AGGAGGATATGTTTAACCACCTCCTTTTTTATTTTTTTTTTTTTCTTTCTGTGTGCGTCTAACAGAGACTGACTGATAACAGTAGCATGTTCTAGATACATTGCATTTCGGAATTCCTCTTCGTCAAGCTCTTCCTTTATCGCCTTTTTTGCGTATCCCTCGGCTACCCCCCCCCTCATCTCCTCCTCCCTCCCCTCGAGGCANATCTCCTTGCATGCATTGCACACTATCTCCTCTGCCTCAACTATCCGTCTCCACTTTGTTGTATCATAAAAAGACTCTGCATGTTCTTTCTTATCATCCAAAGAGCTCTTCAGCTCCTTTCTCTTTCCTTCGTCCATGTCACCAGGCATATTTTCCATCATCTCGTCAATCATCTTTATAACACATTCTCCATACCTCTCCATCTGCCTATTTTCTCCCTCAGAGCACTGCAGTACCCTTTCATACACCATTTTTAACGCATCGCTAAATGTCCTGCTCCGATTAATGTATATCCTTAATATATCTAGAGACACCCAGCTTAAGTAGCCACCCATTCTTTTGTCAAACATCCTCCTAAATCGATCATCATCTTTGTACATCATATCCCCGATCACAAAATCCCATACCATACTCGGAAGATTGCCGAAGAATATTCTAAATTCCTCCGCATATTTGCCACTTTTCTTCATGTCACTGTACTCCGTCGTTGGTAGCATGATAATATCATATCCCTTAAAGATAAACGGAAGAAGTACTGTTTCATTACCACCTGGCTGTGATACAAAATAGGAAATCCTTTCGAGTTCTGACGAGTAACGCATTGCACTAGCCATGGTAACTAGTATCCATGAGCCATATCTCCATCTCATAGGGCGACCCTCCTCCTTACTTAATTTGTTGTTACCTCCTTTTCCTGTGATACTGCCACAGGGGAAGACACAGCAAACAGAAGCTGCCATCCTACTCTACACAACAGGGCTCCTTTGCACTGCCCTTGTCTTCTTCAATCGCTTCCAGCCCTATCCAGATTTACATCCTCTATTGCCGCCAAATAATCCCAACTCCGCTCGACCACTCCATGGAACAGAGACAACTTCCCTGCAACCATCCCAACCCAACACCGAGACTCCGAACTAGTGTTCCTGCGATTCCCCCACTCCATCCTCAGCTCTCCTCCCTCGCTACTTCACACCCCTGGATACAAAAACCCAGCCATCTCAAAGGGTCTCCCTACCTCCTCTCTATCTCATCCCTCTGCCCCCTAGCCACCTCCTCCTGTGCGCTCCTCGTGCACAGCCAACATCCTCCTCGACCTTCCGAGCTATCTCCTCCTCTTTCTTGTTTTCTTTGTCAGAAAGAGACCCTGACGTCCCCTCGTCCAAGTCCGCCGTCCCACCATTGCCCCGAATCTCTCACCTATCAAGTGCATCAACCGAATCCTAAGTCTCCCTCTGGTCCTCTCGTACACAGTAACAGGTTCAAAGCCTCAGAAAGACGCCGTCCCAACCCTCCCACATCAAGTCTAAAGCTCAGCTGCCATATCCTGCTATCCGGAATCTGGCGATCCAACGGTTTCATTACCATGAAAGATAAACGGAATAATAATACTCCTGTGTCCAACCCCGAAGCTCCCTCAAGTGATTCCCTTAGCCACTCTACACCCAACTCATCAAACTTACAAGAAAAAGCCCTTTCAAGACCTTCTCTTACATCCTTCCCATCTTCAGTCTCCTCTATCTGAGAACCATGTGTCCCGTCAAGCAATCAAATCCATATACAAGCCATATCCTCATTACTCGGCAAGGGCCTTCACTCATTAGACTACAACCTCCCCCTTTTGCTTTCTCTGTAAATCCTCTCTAGCCACGAAGGTTCACCTAATTACTTTACATATCTCATATCTAATATCAACATATTTATCTCAGTTACCCATATGAGCATTACCAGTATCCCACAACCACATGAAACCAACGAACAACACCACACCGAGATCCAACACCACCGGAGCGCAATTCTCAATAACGATCTTGTGGTACTCATATCAATTGCATTTTCAGCCCTTCTGTACTTCATCTTCGACAAAGACAATTTTGAAAAAAATCCCTGTCTCAGGCTCATCACCACACTCTTCCCCCTTTCATACCTAGCAGCCCAACATCTCCTCCTGTTCCACACTAGCTGGAAGGGAAACAACAAGCCAGAGGACACTCTGCACAAAGCACTCCGCTACTTCTTCAGTGCTCTCTTCATCACATTTGCCACCATCTTCATTCTTTCAATCATTATACTCACCAACGATAATTGGAGCAAAGACGATGATCCACTCTTCTTTTCTATCGTCCTTCCCTCTTTCTTCATCCCACCCACCTATCTCCTCTCCATCTCTTGCTCTCTTGTCCCGGGACAGACTGGATTCACAGACACCGGCATCAATATCCTTATCGATGTGTTGATATTATTATGCTTCATAGTAAATTTCATATTTATGCATGAAAAGTCCAAGTACCGTCTTTACTCTGCAGTAACATTTCCCTTACTTGTCCTGGTAAGATTACTCACGGAGAAATACTATCCATCTGGAAAGAGCTCTCTGCCCACTACAACATGGAGGGTAGTTGCTTTTGTTCTCATATTCATTCTTGTTATTTACACCTACACAGACATGGGCTGTGAAGCCATCCTCACTCTCGATTATTACTTTACCTACTTGACAAGGTAAAGAGTGTCTTTGTATCAAAAGCTGATCAATAAACCTCCATCCATGAGCATGTCCTTACACCAACACAAACCATTTTACTCTTTAACCGTAGCCAGCATACATCAACATGCAGACATTTACTAAGCCTGGAGAGATCAAGCTTTGAACTTATGACATTTCTTACTCCTCCAAACCTACAGGTTGAAACAGAAGGTGGTACACAACTCGACATCATCCCGTCCTTGAATGCCCAACCTCCACCACTCCTGTCATTCTCCTCCGCTCTCAAGAACTCTAACTGCTGCCAAACGACGTCTCAAACATCCACTCTCGACGTGCTTTCCTAATCCATCAAGAACCTGCATCCGGGATCCTAAGGAGCAAAACAACACCCGCTATGCGACCCAGTATCATCTACTATCCTCTGCTCCCTGATCTCTTCAATCAACCTTCATTTCAACCTCTCTCCCCTATGGACACCCCCAATAATAATTTAGTATCCATAACAGTATACTCCAGATGTCCTGTCTTGCTGGTCCGACCACATCGAAAGAACTGCCGTGTTAATGCTGCCACAATAAATAGTGTGCCATAAACACATCCTCCATCCAACCTACAAGGTCTTTGATGGCCGATGGCTGTCTTTATCAATTATGGCCATCAGAATCTACTTCACCCCCTCTCTGCAATGCCTGTCGCTAAACAGATCCCTGGATGGAGATCCGCCATGCCACCATTGGTCCACTCTTATGACCCTTATTTATAAGCCATATGTGTAAAGATTGCTAATGCGATATATCACACCCACCGATGGAACAAATCAATCGTATCAAAACAACGCTCAATGAAGTTGACCTCAACTATTGTGAAAGAGCCTTTACAGGTGAAAAATCATTATACAACAAAGCAGGATGGATTATTGATCTTATAATATATAAAAGAATGGTTCCTGCCATTGCCTTCTACACAAACCTACTCGATGATATCCTCAAGGACTTAGAGGGGAAAGGGAACCCCGAAGGAACTGCTGCCGTCGATGCAGCCAAGGGTGTGTTGAAGGCCTTAGAGGAGCTTTTAAATCAGCCGCATAGTATTATCATTCTTACTGAACCAGACATCTCCAACTTTTCCTATTACTTTGGAGCGATCGATGGGTTTCTCAAGAACTATCCAGAGCTGCTCAAAGCGTTTAAAGATGCGCTTGGGAGGGTCTTGCCCCATGTCCGTGAAGGCCTGAAGGTCGAAGTAAAGATCCCTTTGAAGTTTGTCATTCTTGATTTCTTAGGGATGGAGGGAGGCTGCAGTGTTGAAGCCAACCGGAACTGGAACAACCTTCATCGGTGCATAAACGAAATAGGCCTCGAAGTCCTCCAGCAATACTTTCAGCATGACATTGATGAGGCTTCTCTTTCCGAGACAATAAAGAATGAGCTGGACTGTTTAGAAAAGATGATCACCAAAGTCCCAGAGCCTCATAGAGCGCAACTCTACGAGATTCTTCGAGATGTCAGGACGGCCTTTGACTCCCTTTCTCAAAAGCTCAAGGCTCTCAGAACATCATGTGCCCAAGTCGTCGATGATCTTCAAAGGAATAGAAAGTCTTTTTCTGATGCATTCAGTGAACTAAAGGGAATGTTGAGTGAAGCAGAGAAAGGCCTGTCTGACCTGAAGGAAAGGATCTCCGATCTCGAAAGGGTCCTTCCCTCCTCTCCCCCGATGAAACTATGTGAACTCCTATGCTTTATGTTCATTGCCATTCTGGCCATCCATAGTTTTCTTCACCTTGCCGAGGATAAAAACAGCAGGGTGAAGACAAGATGGAACACAGCACTGTACTCACTAGCTGTGGCCGGGACCATCATGCACCAGATGTGGGTACTGTGGGGGGGGGGTGGAACTGGCATGAGGATGGGACAAGTGATGTGTTGAGGAATGTATGGAGTGTGCTTGGATGTCTGGCTCCTGTGGCAGTTGAGCTTCTGAATGCTGGCTCTATCGAGAGTGGTGTGTACAGCCTGACGGTAGCTGGAGTTAGTATTGCCTCGATGTGTGGACAGCGTCTCATCCAGTGTGGGATGAGCTGGAAGCAGATGTGTGTGTTCTGTGCCGGAAATGTGCTATTGGCAGTGGCATGCTTTGCCGAGCCTTCCAAGCACCCCCTGCTCGACACATATGGGCGGTGTGGCATGGTATGCATTGGGCTTACTGTGCTTATTGCTCTTCTGCTTCTTGTGTCGTACATGGACGAAGCTGATGGAGAAAAGGCATCCACAGGTGGGAGTGGGGCTGTTGTGATGAACTGCCTGTTTGTGATGAGTGTGGCGGTCACCACCTTTGCATCGTGGGTATCAAGCCGGGACTACTTCATGACGTACAGGAGAGGCACCGACGATATGACTGGTACTGCTGCCGCATAGCGGGACTGGACACATGACTCCCCGAGGCCTGACTACTTACTCGATTAAAGCCATGTGAATATCCTCTGTTGAGCATCTGGCCGTGTGCTGGGTAGGAGTCCTTGCACGGAGTTCCTCTCCGATCGATGGGTGTTCTGTTTCATCGAACGGGCCTGATTTTCTACTGTGGGAGGAGGGAGGAAGAGTCCCAGAAGTACTGGTGGCAGTGGATTGCACCCAAGCATGGTCCATTGCAGGATTGGGAAGACCCGGACTACAACGATGAGTGAGGATGTGCGGAGATGCAGAGTCATTGAAAGCACAGTAGAGAACAGAACACAACCATAACACTATTTGCTTTATTCATCATCACATCACACCACTCAGATCACACATGGTCTGCACTGAATCGTGAGACGCCGGAGAACCTCAGAGGTGTTTGAAGGATTCCCCCACACTATCTGGAATGATCCTGTCTCCTTCACCGTTTCAAACGTTACTCCTTTTGGATACACAAACTTGCCCGCATCCTGGTATTCCTTATCCTCATCTATCTTCTCAACGTCGCTCGCCTCACCAAGATTGCCCCCCCCCCGTCTCATAACATCTCCCATCCCCTCTATCCCCGTAACCCGGAACATCAGGTGGTACACAACTGGGCATCCACTAGGACAGTCCTTGAACGTCCCAACCTCCACCACTCCTAGCATCCTCTTTCCTCCGCTCTCAAGAACCCCAATCGCCACCATCCTCTGCCTCTCACTCCCGCCCTTGGTGTAATCTCCTGTATCCATGAAGAACCTGTCTGCATCTGGGCTCCTGAGAAGTTCCAGCACACCCATTATGTCATGGAACACCTTCTGCTCCCTGATCTCTTCAAGAGACTTTCCCCTCCACCTCTCCTCGCTTCCTTTGTCCCACTCCTCCTTGATCTTCTCTGGGCTCTTTCTCCACCGAAGAACCCTTCTGTGGATCTTGTAGCGCTTCCGGCCACCCTCACTTTTCTTACCTGTCTTCCTGCGTGCTCCTCCAACCTCCTCGGACGGCATTTCCACTTCCTCACCTGCCTCAACTTCCTCTGTCTCGCTCTCCTTCTTCTCTTCTTCCTTGGCCTCGGAGACTCCCACACTCTTCCTCTTCCCCCTCTTCTTGCTCTTTGCCTTCTCCTCGTCCCTCAGCAGCTTTTTCACTCTCTTTTCTATCTCTTTTTCTCCTCTTCTCCGCCTTTCCTTGACTGCATTCGCGACCTTACCGATATACCTCTTGTCTATCTCCTCTTCCTTCTTCCCCAGCAGCATCTGCTTGACTAACTCCTTTGTAACATCTCCTCCATGTTCTCTGTGTGCATCTAATAATAGGCTAATGTCAACAACGATATATTCTGGATACACCGTACTACTTACCTCGCTTTCCCCAGCACTTGCCTTTATATACTTTTTCGCACTCCCCTCAGCTAGCAGTCCCATCAGCTCCTCCTCTTTCAACCCAAGGCAGATCTCCTTGCATGTATTGCACACCATCTTCTCTGCCTCAACTACCTGCCTCCATTTTTCTGTATCATGAAAAGACTCCACATACTTCCTATTATTATTCAAATCACTTCGCATCTTCTCTTTTTCTTCTTCAGACATCTCGGCAGGCATGCTTTCTATCATGTTGTCAATTTCCCTTATAAGACTCTCTCCATATCTTGCCATCTGCCTACTTCTCCTAGAATCACATTCAAATGTCCTTTCATACACTATTTGCAACAACTCGCTAAAGGTTTTGCTTCCGTTGACGTACATTCTTAATACATCTAAGGACACACCGTCCAGATAACCTCTCATTCTTTTGTCAAACAGCTTCTCAAGTCTGCCACCATCTTTGTATACCGTGGAATCGATCGTGAGGCTCCACACAACATGAGAGAGATTAGAGAGTAGAAAAGTAAGGTCTTCCATGCTCTTGGCATTTCTCTTCAAGTTACTGTACTTCGTTGTTGGCAATACAACAATACTATGTCCTACGAAGATAAACGGGAATGCTATCACTTGACTTCCTGGCCTCGTTACAAAGGAGACACTGGCACTCTTTTCTTCCGAGGAGCAGCACATTACATCGACTACAGCAATTAATATCCATGCGGCATACTTCCACCTCATGCGATAGGCCCTCCTCCTTACTTGATGTCTAATACTACCGTCTCCTTTTTCTCGCTATAGCAGGATCCAGCTCGCCTCTTCAACACCCTACTGCCCAGGACTAGGCATTCTATCTTATAACTCACTCCACCAGCCCTACCACACGGTATAAAGAATCTTCTGTTAACACGAAACAAGCCCGTCTCCTGGAATTCCTTCTTGTGGCAGGGCGATAAGACTGAGCCCTCCAACTACTCCTCTGGAGCTACACTATATCAACGGATGGATGTAATCCCAATTTCTCATCCATAGGGGTGCTAGACATCCCTCGCTGATGACAATCCATCCAAGCATAACATCAAAGCAATATCTAAATGACAATAATCCTCCCTTTACTTATATACTCATACCATGACTTATACCATCCCACATACTCATGGCCATCACCGGATCTCAGGAATTCGCAGAACAGTAAGACTCCGGAGAACCAAGCTGGTATCCCTCTGATTCTTCCACACTATCCTGAACTCACTCCCACTACTCGTTATTTCAGATCGGACGCCCGGAGGATACTGAAACCCAGACATGTCGGAGATTCTCCCTTCCTCTATCGCATCCACACCATCACACCTTCCAAACGATGGCCTTGCTCCTTCTCCTTCCTCTTCAAAGTCTGTGGGCTTGAACATCAGATGGTAGATTATATTCTCCCCTCCCTTGCCCTCAAAAAGGCCAACCTCTACATTTCCCACTCTCTTCTTCCCTCCCTCCTCAAGTATCCCAACTCCCACCATATTCCATCTCTCACTCCCACCCTTCATGTACTTGCCTGTCCGGGCAAAGAACTTGTCACACTCCTTGCTTCTGAGGAGCTTCAGCACTTCTGTAATGTCATGTAGTACCTTCTGCTCCTCAATCTCCTCAATACTCCTGCCTCTCCACTTCTCTTCCTCTCCGTTATCCAGCTCATACTTAATCCTTTCAGCACTTTTCATCCACCGGAGAACCCTCTTGTGCACCTTATAACAATGTTCCTCGCCTTTACTCTTTTCTTTCGGACTCTTCTTCTTGGGCCGGGCACCCCCAGCCGCCATCTCTTCTACCGGAACATCTGCCTCTACACTCTCCTCCTCTTCTTCCCCTCTGTCCTCTTCCTTACTCTCCTCCTTAGCCTCTCCTGCACCCTTCTTACCTCTCTTCTTCCTGCCTTTTCCTTTAGAGCCCTTCTCTTTACCCCTCTCCCTCTCTTCCATCCCCAACAACTCCAAAGCATTTCTGGTACTGATTTCCTCCCCTCTGCTTGCCTCTTTCTCTCTACTTCTTCTCTCTCCTTGACCTCATGTACTGCGCTGTTGATGCTTTCATCATCAATATCTTTCCGTTCTGTAAATACTTGCTTAGCCTGCTTAGCCAGCTCAGTCATAACGTCCATCCTCTTGTACTTCTCATATGCATTTATCAGTACTGGATGGTTCACATAATAACTTAGTGGTTCCTCCACACTCACATTCAATCCTATTCTTTTTAAACGTAGACACGTCAAATACGCCTCCATTAAAAAACTTGTTCTATCCTCCTCTCTTCCCCAAATGTGTGCACATGCATCGCACACCAGCCTGCGCCTTAGTCATCTCCTCTTGCTTCTCCTTGGTGCACAACTTCAATCCATGTTCCTTGATCTTCCTCAACATCTCTTCCTCTTTCCTCTTCTCCTCGGCAGACAGAAAGCTCGTCATGCCCTGAATCCTTGCTCTCGCTCCAGAGGCAAGCTGTTGTCCAGGCCTACCGGTCATACTATCACTGTGTCTGAATATCCTGTTCACTAGGCCTACGAATCTCATTCCAAATCTTCCTCTGGTTTTCTTGTATATCTCAACAGACTGAAAATCCTTGAAAGATATTGCTTTGAAGATTTCCTTCATTAAGTCCACAGTCCAGTTACCATTCCCAAATAAATGTATATATGCTATGGAACACCATGCTAACTCTGGAAGTAGCCCAACAACATTCTCAAGATATCCTTTTTCTTTTTCATCTATATTCTAATATCTCATGCCAGGAGATATAACGAGCTTACTGCTATGAAAAAATACATGGAATTATCACTCTTGCGTTTAAGCCGAGAGTTTTCTCGAGTGGTCTTTTTAGCAGCTCCGTTTTACTAGACTTCCAGGGAAATGTCTTTTCAAATCTTTCTCCTATCTTCCTTACTTCGCCCTCATTCGAACTATACAGCCTGGCAAGTAGAACAAATATACATGCAACATGTGTTCTCATTGTTCTAAAAGAGCATACATTCATCAGACTCATCACCATACTTCCCCCTTTCATATTCAGTAGCACAATACCTCTTCTACAGCCTTATTCGGGGATAAATCAAATCACAGATACAGAGATCAACATTCTTGTATCCTCATTCCGATAAGATTATCCAGGAAGAAATGTTCTTCATCTAGAAAAGCTCCTTTTCCATTGCAATATGGAGAGTGGCTATCCTTGCCGTGCATCCACCTTTCCATATGAATCCGCAGCCTCAGATTGTCACTTCCTTTTTTCGACGAGAAAGAGTATCTCCTTATCAAAAACCAATAATAGCTTCAGGAATACCGAGAAACAAACAACGGCCCTTAAACTTTCCCTATCTTAACTTAAATAGCTGGGTTAAAAGAAGTGGAAATACTGTTGTTGCGGGATAGATAATATACACAAAAATTAGAATCACAGAAGCTTTATCATTGCCTGTTCTGGTTTTTTTCTTCCTCCAGGTACATTTTCTTATTTATTAAATAAGAAATGTTCTCTAGCTTACTTCTTATTCCAGCCTTGGACACCATCTCTTTGAAACATGCTACGTCTCTCTCTATTTCCTCATTCTGGATTTCGAGAAATGCAGTAAGGTCCTTTAGTTCTCTTTCCATCGCGTCTTCAGAATCACACACCTCCATTAGATGCTTCTTGATCTCGGAGCTCTCTTCAGCAGAAGAAAACCCCTGCAGAATCCTTTCGCTACACGAGTTTATTTTGTGCATCAACTCCTTCAAAGATGTTAGAGTCTTCTGAGCCCGAAGGGAAGCTTCTTCAAACACCTCCAATGTTGCTTCAAAAAGCATCGAGGGCATGGTCCCGACTCTAAATTTCCTAGGATAGTGAGATGGAAGGTTCTCACCCCATGCTCAAAAAAACCTTAACAAAGAATAACAAAGCAAGTAGTCTTACAGTAGTATGATCAGTAGGATTTACTAAGACCTTTAATTCTAAAACCTAAACTAATGAATCTTCTGCTCCCTTTACAGACATGATCTTGCATTGGCTTTTATCGCAAATAGGCTTTCTTTTATGTTATCGATGTCTTTCTGATTAACAGCACCGTTCTTTATCCCGTTTAGCACACTTCTTAGTGACTTTAACAACAGTTCAATCTTTTCTATTGACTCTACGTACTTTCCTGAGTTCATGGGCAAAGATGGATAACACAATACAGACTATGAAATAACCCGCACAAAGCTAATAGAAACTGCAATTTATTGTGGTCATGCAGAGATTCTTGACGATCTTGAGAAGCTCTCTCTGACAAGCTCGAGATCTGCATCGTCAACCTCCTTTTCAGGGTCAACCGTCATCTTGGGGCTGTAGTAGTTCCTTACCTTCTCGAGAACCCCAATGTTGCTGACATCCTTCTTGTGCTGGTTCGGGTATATGCTGGCGAATATCCTGGCAAACACATTGGCAACATAGTCCATCCGCGCCTCCCGGAACTCGTTGCTGCTCTCCCCGTCGCCCCGGAGCTCCGCAAGCCTCTCAGACTTGAACTCAATCCCCGCAGTCAGGAAGTTGAACAGGTAGTACAGCCGCGAGTAGGCAAACGTCTCCTGTGGCGTTCCAGACACCCTTCCATTGTTGATGAAGAAGTTCTTGATGTCTGCGTCAGAGATCTTCTCGGAAAGGAGGACGTCACCGTCTCCAGCACTCCTGTCGAGTGCATCAAGGCCCTCGCGGATATCCTTCATCAGATCGTCTCCTACCTCCGAGCCGTCAAACAGGTATCCCTCTCGGTCCTTCTCGTCCTGCGACATAATCCGAGAAACCGCCCTTATCAGTATGTTGCTTACATCAAACCACGGGTTCCTGTCTGCATTGTTGTTCGGGAACAGAATCCTCATCATCTCCTCAACAGACTTCCCGCTGTAGCTTGCAAAAAACAGTCCTCCCTTCTCCTTCTTCATCTGCTCCATCAGGTCAGAGTGCTCCAGCTTCATGTTCTCCTGCAGCCCCTCAGACTCAACAATGAATCTCTCCCGGACCTTCAGAAAGTCCTCGTATGCAGGGAAGTTCAGGCTGAACTGGTGCTCGTGCCCCCGCGGAAAGTGCTCGGGCCTGTCAAACCGGATCAGATACGGACCCTCCTTGTCCTGCGAGATCCTGTAGAACCTCTTCCTGTCCTCCGTCTCGGGATGCTCGTTCTTCTTGATGAGCTTGTATCTCCCGTGCGTCATCAGCTTGTCTGCAAAGTTCACCCTCCAAGCATAGAAGTAGCTTCCATAGTACTGCGGATTCAAGTACTTGATTCCAAAGATAAACAGGAGCGCATAGTACACAGCAATCACCCCGACAAGTCCCAGAAAACCTGTCCTCAGCGTTTTGAAAGTCCTCTTGGATCCGCTGCTGGTTTCTGCTCTCATCTTACCCCTCCTGGCAAAAGAATATTTATAATAAAATTTTATTGGTTCTTTCTTCCAGAGCCTCATCTGCATAACAAACAGAGATCTAAAACGACGATATTTCACAAAAACTGATGGCCCAGCTACAGCATCCATTGCATTCTTTCTGTCTGCTCTCCATGTATTTCCGACTCAAGCGCTTCCCTTCTGCCAAGCACTCTTCTTGCATCTTCCTCGATCCTGTTTTTTTCAATGGCTTTCTCTGCCTCCTTGACCCTTATTTGTGTTTCATGCCTGCTTGGGTGCCACTTCTTCTTGCAATTTATATTCGTAGCCATGAGGGCAACTCTAGACTTCTCTTTAGCGTTCACTTTTGTATTTAAAGGAAGCATATTGGATAAAATCACAGCCTTCAATGATGTGGGATGAAATGCTCCTTACTCTATTTGGCCTGCTCTATTGGTTGAGACTCCTTAAAATCATGTAGAAATCTCATGGCTCCTAAGGAGAGATAGATGGCTTTACTCGAGAAAACATCGCGGAAAATTCTCAAGTTCATGATATTGGTATTGTTTAGTTACATAGTACTCTCTATAAACTAGCGGATGCTTCGAGCTCTGACGAGCAAATCCACTTGACTCCTGGAATTCCTGGCCCGTTTGTTTATTGGAAGTGGAGCATTTGGAAAGGACGCAGCACCACACCCCAGGTTAGATGGTTGACCACGATAACCCAGACCACTCGAGAGAGGATCTTGAGTCTCTAGCCAAAAGAATAATAGCCGATCATATGAGATTTGTTTGTGCAGACAAGGCGTTGATGCTGTGGAACAAGAGATGCCAGGGACATTGCAATGAATCCGCAGACGACACAGAACTCTATTCATCCATCACCACAAGAAAAAGAATCATGTCTCTTATTGAGAAGGAAAACACAGACGAGGCCTTTAGAATATGCGAGGATTTGAAGCTGTTTGACCTGGGAATTGAAAACGAGACGTTGGTGAAAGAGGCTTTGTCGAAGCTGGTTTTTGTTGATTTATTACGAGCGGGAAGACACGTGGAAGCCATAAGGTTTGCCAGGACGTTTATGAATGACGAGAACGAAAATGACAGGTTATTTACTCTGATAGGATATAAGGATGTAGATGACCCAAGGTTCCATGAGATTGCGGATTCTATTAGAAGAGAAAATGTCATGGAAGTCCTGAACAAACACTTGTTCAGAAAAGAAGTCGGGAGAGAGCTTTCTTTGTTGTCTCTAGCCCTGAGCCACTATAACTCCATTCTGAAGTATCAAAGAAAGTAGCGGGAGTGGGCAGGCTCGGCCATATGGCCCTGAAATTAAATCAAATACCATGCTTTATTTCCTAATAAGATTCTCTATCGCTTCACTCGGGAAGATTGTAAGCGCCTTTTCTCGATCCCTATCCGATTTGTACCACCTGAGAATTATGTCTGTAGCTCTTGAGTTATAGTCCGAAGTTTTCAGCTCCTCAAACAGTGGCTGTGATATTACCTTTGATGCCCTCAGCTTTGTGATAAGCTCCGAATACTTCTTAGGAGATATGGGGAAGTCGATCTTCAGAACATCTAGGTCGCCTTTGAGACTCAGAAGAACTTCTCTTAGTTGTTCCTCAGTAATGCTCGATGTACTTCGGAATGAAATGAAAAAGTCGGAAAGCAAATCCGAGACTTTGTGATTCGATATGGCTTCTTGGAAGTATGATAAATAGAATGGGATAACTCCGAACTTCGACTCCCCGCTCTGTAAACTGTCAGAGAGGAGTTCCTTGTCATCGTCCTCATATGCCACAGACAACTCTTCTGACAGCGAAGACAAAAAAGGAAGCACATCTTCTGAAGGCGATTCCTGAGATCCCTGGTTTTGTGCATTTCCATAGTCGTTTTCAACCTCCAGGCAAGAAAACACATTTCCAGCCTTGGCCTCTCTTGGCTTCCAAGAGCTTCTTTTGTCCAGAAGGCTTTCTATCATGTATCTAATTCTATTCGTATAGCTATTTTTCTTCTGTGCAAGGCTGGAGCATACCATCGATATAATGTGTTCCTTCCCGCTAACTACTAGCTTTTCGCCTATGTTCTCAATCAAGTAGCATAGCACCTCAACATTCTCAGAGTCGTCTAGCTTCATTAGTGTATTGATACAGGCATTCATGTGCACATAACTTATTACATTTAAGGAATACAACGACGACAGGAAGTCGATTGTTCCAAGCGTCCTTCTTTTCTTTATGTACCTCTCTGTTTCCGCCTCTTCAAGCTTTTCCTCGTAAGCCATTCTTTCTTCAAATGACATCTCTTTCCTTCTTTCGTATTCGTCCCCCCACCTCTCCTTGTTCTCAAGTGTCTTTAGTGTTAAGGTAAGAAGAGTTCCAAAGAACACCGTTTGGGTTATATCCCTGGTCTTCTCCTCTTCAGACTGCCACTCCTTCTTCAGATCAAGAACCAGCAGTGCATAATACTTTACAAACGTGGGCTCAGAAATTGCCTTGTCAAACAGAATCTTAGCTATCTCCTTCATCTCTTCAATAGTCCCAACCCGAATGGCCTTAAGATTTTTTATGACAAGTCCTATATTCTTGGCTGTAAGCCTGTTGAACTCGAGTCTTGCCTGCTCAATGCACGTATCCTTCCTGTTGTTATCGGGTCTGTATACCCCCTTTGCCTCCTTCCTGGTTTTTATCTTCAGCTCAAGAGAAATTGCCTTTCTGTCTTCCACGCTAAGAATCTCGTCAACACTGTAACAAGGGCCCCTGTTTTCTGCAATCTTTTGCTCGGAAAACCTCTTCAAAAGGTTGTCCAGCATCAATGCCCTGTCTTCAAGAGCAGGCCTGGGCTCTTCCTCAGCACCAGCTTCCCTCTGGCATTCCTCAGATTCCTCACGAGTATTACCTGTATCCGCCTCTTGTGGTATATTTTCAACCTCTGTCTCTGATTCTACTGAGCTTTCACTTAGTATTTCACTGTCTGTCGAGTCTAGTAAGTCTTCCTTCCTTATCGGCGTTCCATCGGCCCTTGTAAACCTTACCGCAAGCTTCGGCTCGATCTTTGCGGGAGGCTCGAAGCTGATTTCAATCGGCGGTGCGCTTTTCACCCTGGGCCCGTATAGCAAAGACTCCTCTTTCTTAAACACAAAAAGAGACCTCTTCGGTCTGTGAATGATCTTTTTTATCATAAGGGCATTGGATAGACGTATTTTTGAATCTTGCAGAGAAGGCTTGCCCATATTATTGGGTTCTCGGAAACATTCATTTTGGCGTGCCTATGGATTGCATTCCCGTCTGTTAGCAATGGATGTCAAAGCCCGGTAAGGATGGAAACATCACATTAGGGAATGATAAATTTTTAAATGTCACACCCGTTGATGGTAGAGACAAGGCATTCCGTAGCAGAGGAGGCCTTCCAAAGGCTCGTCAAGGAAAGAAAGGCTTATGAAAATGAACTGGCTGCTCTAAGAGAAAAGCTTGCCACGATGGGTGAGGCAGAAGACAGATACACCAGGAGATTAATCGAGGATCAGATAAAAGAGACATGCAAAGCTCTTGAGATGGTTGACAGGCAAGTGTTGAAGTTTTCATGTTCCCAGGAAGAGAAATAAAACTTCAGGTTTTAGATGCATGTAATGGCACCTCCAGCTTGGTTACCTTCAAGTGCGCCTTGTAATCCAAAACATGTTTTACTTTCGATGCAACATCATAATCCCTCTGAGGAGGAATCGTATGATTAGAAAGGCATTGTTCAATGGCAACATCCTGCACATGGAGCTTATAGAGTGTGACCTATTCATGTGCATTGGAAACACGCTCTACATACTGAACATGAATGGATTAATAAGAGAAGATGTGAGTCTTCCCTCGGACGGAGTAAAAGAAATATTTAAACACAAGGGCATTGTATTTCTTCGGATTGACGAGGACGAATATTACTACTTCAGGCTGGACAGCCCGATACTTATGAGGATAGGATGGGACATAGAGAAAATGCACGCAAACAATAATGCTATTTTTTCGTGCGGTTGCAGTATATCCTCCATCGACCTTCCGGTAGTACGGCCCCGACACATTGTAACTATGCCTGGGAACATAATAGACTTTGCAGAGGTTGGACCAGATATATATGTTCTTCTTGAGGCCCATCTTTGTCTTATTCAAAATTGGCATCAGAACAGAGAAGGCGTGTTGATAAGACCTGTGGAGTTCTTAAGTCACCTAAAATTCGTCTCCATGGCTTCCAACGGCTCCGACTTTATAATCCTTGAGAGTAACCACGAGGTGGTTGTCTACGGAGGAAGGGCGTTGGGGTCGATAAGAAAAAGCGAAGACTGGCAAGGGCTTAAGGTCTTCAGTACTATCCTTGTATTTTTGCTATCAGACAGCATAGAGTTGTACTGCCCCAACACTTGTAAAATGCTTGCAAGGCTAAACTTCACGCCTAAGGCAATCACCTATGATTCATACAGGAAGAGAATGTGGCTGTATTCCGATGTCCTGTATGAAATAGACACTTCAAAGCTCACTACTTAAATAGAACGTTAAGTAGATTCTGTATCACACGCGCTCTATGATATCTGTTATGATTGTGCCAGGCATGACCACAGGAAATGATTGATGATGGTTTCCGATCAAGCGCCATCTTTCCAAGCCCCAGACTCTCCCTATGGCTGCGGACGGCTTGATTTATAGATAAGTAGATTTCACAGTGTTTTGTTTTTGTTTGTCTCCCCTCTTCGACAAAGGAGACAGCAAACCACCATGAAAAAGCCTTCAGCACACTCAGAAGACCGATCGGAGGGCCTTATTCCTTATCGGCCTTTTCATCGAGATCCTGAATGTCATCTATATCTTAATTAATTGTAAACATTGATTCGGTCTATTATTTAGTAATTTAAAGGAGAAACCTTTTCCTATAAAAAGAGAGGAGCTTAGGAGCAAGGAGTATGGGGTTGTGCTTAGAAAAGATAGAGAAGTCTATTTCCTATATGGATGAGACGTACGATGCAAACTTTGGGGAGTGGATAAGAAACGAAGACAATGCACGCATTGTTGCATACAACATGAAGAAGTATGTTGATAGCTACAAGACGTCGGACTTCATAATTGTTGTGAAGTGGATAGTCAAGGACTGGACGCTGAAGTCTATAATAATTTTCTCCAAGAAAATGCTGGTGGAAGACATCAAAGCCCTGAGCTTCAGAAGATCCAACGAAGATAGAGAAAGGTACAACAAAAGGATTAGGATAATCTCAGGACTTATCTTTACATGGAATCCTGTGTTCATCACAGAGTTCATAGTTTCGATAACAAGGTCTTTTTCGACGAACGAAAAGTCGAAGCTGCTGACCGGCCTGTTGGAAGTGTTTGAGCCTCGAAAACTCTCGGAGATTCTATCCCAGCTTGAAGCAAAGATCGAGCAGAAAACTTGGAATGAGCTATTCAAGATCTTCAATGAGGAGGCATTTAAAAAGTCTAAACCAAGGAGCAAGCGAACAGCCAGTATACTGCGAGCATATAACTTATCTTAATTGGAAGAACAGACAGAATTTGTATTTTAAAATAAATTTCACAACACTATTCCCGCGCCTATATTCAAGCCTTCAAGAATCTTCTGAGAGCATTTTTGGGCCCCTTTTTCATCCCTCTGTGCCACGATGATTTTTACCGACGAGTCGTTTTCCGAATTCAGACGATCTAAATCCCTAGGCCTGAACACCTCTCCAGAGGAGGTGGAGTACTCAACAGATGGGCTTGTGTTGAGCGCTACGCAGAGCAATGTACTCCGATTGTACTCTTCACTATCAGGGGATGTTCAGAACATCATTCATACCCCAGGCATACAGAAGTACAAGTTCATATATCCCAGTGCAATCGTCCATGCGGCGTCCAATGCACTGCATCTCCTGTCTGTGTTTGACAACAAGTACGTCCGTACTTTCGTCGGGCATAAGAACCAAATAAACACACTCTCTGCATGTCCAAAAGAAGATGCTGTCCTGTCCTCATCATGCGACTGCACCAACTATTGGGATATAAGAAAGAAAAACCCTGTGTACAAGATCAGCACACCCAATTCCATAAGCGCCCTATCGCCCTCCAACGACTATGCAGTGCTAATCAATGGAACCCTACTTAAGATCTACGACAGGAGAAGCACAAAGGGGCCAAAAACCACTTCATCACTTCCGGAGAAAAGATACGAAGAGATATCTTACTCCCCAGATGGAAGCTCTATGGTAGTGTCCGACGAAAAAAGCCATCTTCTTCTTGGTCCAGACGGTGCGGTAAAAAGCTCAGTAAATCTAGAAAGAGGAGGAAGCGGATGCATCACGCCAGACTCAAAATTTTTTCTTTGCTGTGAAAATAGCACCGTACTTGTGTACCACCTCAAAACCGGGAAGAAGTTCCATGCGTTCAGGACACCAGGTTTTGATAATCTAAAAGTCCGCTTCAATCCATGCTATGCACAGTTTGCCTCTTCATCCAGTCTTTTGAACATCTGGGCCATCAAGGAACATGCGGAACAACCTCATGCGTAGGTCCTTGTGTCTAGTTATTGCCAAAATAAGGCTGCTATTAAAAACATTTAATCAATCAACGAGGCATCGTCCTTCTCCGCCCTCTCCTCTGCTCCTGGTTCATTGGGCTTACCGGTGGCATCATTTATTTCGCTAGATGCCTTTTCATACACGCTCTTGTCGATTTCCTCTGCTTTTCCAGTGACAACAAACCCAATAGGCTTATTTTTTTTGGTGAAAATCACCCTTGCATCATCCAGCTTGTAAACATGCAGACTCGTGCCCTTTTCAATTGTGCAGTGAGACATCTGTAATTTTTGGACCCGCCTACCAAAGGATTTAAGTGCCTCTTTTAGCTTCATCTTGCAGTCCTCAGATTTCCTGTTAAGGTTGTTCTTGACATATCTCCTTCCTCCAATCGTCACAACCGTTGGAAACTTCTTCTCCATTTTAGGGCCTTTGTAATGACAAAAATTAACATCTACCTCCAAGTCGACAAGTAGAGCCAAAAGTAGGGTGTATCACTTTAATCTTACTCCTCTGGAGCCATCTTCGACGCCTGCTCCATGTAGTCAATGTATTTCGACTCCTCAGGACTATGATAGTCGTAATTGACTTCGGTTGGCTCAAGATTCACATTCGACACAAATATAAGATCCGGCCTTCCGGTAAAGATCCTTGCCAGGTGCAAAAACGGAAGCCCGAAGTTATGCGCAGTCTTCGCGCTGATCTCAAAGTACTCGTAGTTCTTTCCCTTCAACACCTCCATCACCAGCTTCTTACTAATCTTCTGCCTATTCTTTATGTCGATCTTGTTAGCACAGACGACTATAGGTGCCTCGTTACCAACAACCGCTTGGAACTCCTTAACCCATCGCGCAAGGTTCTGGCACGTGATCCTCGACGTCACATCAAAGAAGAAGATGGCTCCGCTGGCTCCTATGTAGTATACGTCCTTCAGAACCGCCTTCTTCTCCTGCCCCGCAGTGTCCCACACATTAAACTTTATTACATTTCCTTGGTCGTCAAGAAACGTCACGGGGTGATTCACTGCTCCAACTGTTGCATTGTAGTTCTTTTCAAACCTTCCATCAAGCACCCTGTTTATGTACGTTGTTTTTCCAACTCCTCCATCCCCTATCAGACATATCTTGTATGTTAACTCTCTCCTCTCCATCCGGGGTGCAAAATTTTTCAGTTTTTCTTCCTAGCTTGCAGTGGAAAACAGAAGGAGCCCAGCCTTCGGTCTAATTAAAACCGTTCCACAACATCCTTAGCACCTGCTCTCTTCTCACAGGAGCCGCCTCCATAAGCCATATGGAAATTAAAATTTATTTATTGTATAGCTAGATCAACATTAAAGTTATATATCAAAGAAATAAAGTCATTGGACACCAGCTTCTCAGAATTGAACACCTCCACCTCAATCTCAAACTTTCTTTTCTCCTTCTCGTCTTTTTCCCCGGAAAGAACGACCTCCGTAAAGTCAAACCCATAGGGCTCTATAAAGTACGTTTCCCTACGCCTGACCCTTTTCACGATGGCCTTCTTCTTGCTGGGACGCTTAAACATTTCATTCTCCTCGTTCAGAACAAGCCTCACGTCATATCTTTTTCCGGGAATGTATATGTCGAGCTTCTGAGACCTCGTTTTCTTCTCAACCTTCTTCAGCTCGTCGTTCTCATATGTCTCCCGGCCATCCTCGTTGATTATAACCACATCGTTCGTGCTCTCGCCCTTGCAAAAAGAAAACTGCTTCTTAAGGACTTTAAAATCTCCAGGATCAACCGCACTCTCAAACCTGTAGTCCACAGGAATGTTTCTAAACACAATGGGCGCCACAGTGTCAACCTTCATTCTGCTTCCATCCTCCTTGCTAACTATCTTCCCCAGCCTTATCTCCAGCTCCTTCCTCTCGTTCTTAAAGTCCAAGATAAATCTTCTTAGATATTCCGCATGGTCTCGCACAGGCCCTTTCAATATCTTCAAGAGAGCCTCCATTGGGGTGGAGAACCTTCATCAAAATATTCTTCCAGAGAGTCTTCTAAAGAAATAGATAGCCGCCACGATTTATTTTTTCTTCTTCTTCTCCACAGGCATGAGGAAAATCGTGCATATAGAGTATAGCATGTAGGCAATAATGGCGCTAAATCCAAAGTTTACAACCCAGGCGGGAATCGCATCGAAAACCACATACGACTTCTGCATGGCTCGGAAGAAAATACAGTTCGCAATGGAGTATGCCGAAGCAAAGTGCGAATTTACATCCATCCACCGCGCCATGGGCTTAAACATGGCCCATCTTCTGTTCCTTATAATCTCTTCCAGCTGCTCAAAGCTATCCACAGGCAGGTGGTAGCTGCGTCCCCCATCCCTGACAACAAAGGATGGAAAAAGGAATGTGTAGAAACGCGATGCAACTCTTGGATCCTCAAAGAAGTTTATTTTCTTCACAGGAATGTATTTCTGTACCATGGAAATGTTTCGATTAAATGATTCACAGGCAGCACAATGAAGATTCGGCCTTGAATAATAGATATACACAAGAAAAGTGCCGCTTCCCTCCATATCCTCCTTGCTGAGCACCGGTAGTAGCGAAAATGCATCGGACACCACTTTTCCGATCAAAAGAAAGATGATCCTCATGAAGGGTCCCAACAAAAAGCAAAACAAAACTTTGACCTTCTGCTACCTTACCTAGCCACATCCCCAGGAAAACTAGTGCCACAGTCGAGACCAGAGCAGTTGCTTAGACGTTACTTTTCTATAAAACTTTGCTGACGACAAGATCAATTCAATCTCCGCTTCCTCCCATTCCCGATCGTATATGCTCTGCAAAAATAGGATGTTGTGGGAAAAGTCGTTCTCAACTAGAGTGGACTTGAACTTCATCAGAAGCGCAACTCCAAAATACACCAGAGACTCGTTGATGCTGTCAGACGCAAAGATTGTGTCTAAAATCTTGAGTAGTATGGGAACCTTAAACTCTCGGACAAAAAGGCAGTTGAACCATCGGAATGCAAACATGTGTATCTCCAGACCTATCTCCTGAAGAAACTTATGAAAGTCTGGATCCACAGTCTGCAGAACAAAGTCCAGCCCCTCGATCATTCCAGACTGAAGCTCCACCATGTTATACTGAATCTCGTCCAGGAGTCGAGCATAGCAGAAATAGGCATTACTTTCCGCCCTCTCAGCATTCTCATTCAAAAAAACAAGGATAAATGGAATCAGAATGTCTGCCATCCCTTGGATGTATCCGAGCAGTGGTCTCTTGTGTGCAACCAGCCACAGCACACGATAATACATGTACGATATATCTGTGCCCAGATAGCTTCTGTACCTGAGGTCTATTCTCCTTATATCAAGGTCAATCTGGTGTACTATCTTTTCGGGTAGTGCAAGCTTGTGATAATGCATCCCGTCTGGTCCTTCCGGAATGCTCCCATCCACATCAAAACCTTCCCCACCACAGCCATTCCCGTTCGTCAAGGAGCATCCCATTTTTACGACCATTTTGACATACTTACTGTACTTTACTTCAACCTCGCCCGTGTGCAACTGCTTTCTTAGCCCCACAACCTGAAAGATGATCTTCCATGCAATCCCTCTATACTTGCTTCCCACCCCTCCAAAGCACAGCTTCCTCACTAGCTTTTCATCAATGGCATTCTCGCCGAAGACTTTACTGCCTGGCGAGCTCACCATGGAATACAGGGGTCTCTACCCTTCCCATTTCACTGAATAGCCTGCCATTTCTATTTATCGATATCATGAAATCTATTGATGTTGAATTCCTTTCTTCCCCTGACGACTGCGGGAGAGAGCATATTGCACACGTCCCTGATCCTATACAGGAATTTTCCAATCTTACTCATATCCAGCACCACCGTCTTCATTCCCTTGCACTCTCTTCCAATATAAAATAGTTTCTCGCATTCAACATCCACAAACCTATCCATCACAACAACAACACCTCCTCCCTCCATGCCAGACCCGTGGCTCACAGCATCTAAGCTCAGCTTGAAAATCTCGGAAAACATTCTCACCCTCTCCACATCCTTGCATATAACACGTATGCTCCTGTAAATCCTGCACAGCGCAAAAATTACAGCGTATCTTTCATCACCAATTGCCCTTATAAAACACCTATTACTAGACAAAAAAACGGGGTCCTCAACAAACTTAGGAATTCTCTGCACATTCAAAAGAACAAATGAAACGCCTCTACTCTTCAGGTACATCAGATCGCCCAGGTATCCAAAGTATTCCATCAGCTCGCAGTCCTCTACAAGCACATGGCTGCTTCTCATCTCCCCAAGGTTTTCTGCCAATCCCTTTGGCGTCGTCACTGCATCTTGCCCATCTTCCCTCCAACCCAAATCAGAGCATCTGCTTTTGTATGGTGTTAGGGTTATTGTTGGCTTTGGGAGACAAAGAAGACGCTCTATGTCTCTCCGAGAGCCGCGGATTATATAATCCACACCACTCGCAAGCTCCATCTTGCCCTCCATTACCCCGCCATCAGAAATTTTATTTATCTCAAACACAAAGACTGTTGCCTTTTGATTGCATTGCTTAAAATTGGTTTAATCAGCTCATTGGCCCATCCGATATGTTGGTTTTGATATACTTTCCTCTGCAAGTAACTTTACTTCCCTTGAAAGTAAGAAAATGGCCAACAACTTTGAATGATCCAAGAGCGTTTATATACCCGCTCCTCCTCATGTCGATCTTACCAGAACTAAAGTCACTAATAGGTGTCTCAAACCCCTCAAGCTCTAGTCTAGACCCGTTCTCAATTTCCCCTGGCATCCTAATCGGTTCGATCTTTCCATCTGGTCCCTTTACACACAGAATCATCCCCTCGGAAACCTGTCCCTTGAACTTGGCAGGCTTTATGTTTGTAACAAAGAGGAATTTGTTTCCTAGCATCTCTTCTTTTGCCACATGCTCTCTTAGCCCACTCAGCACCTGTATTCTTTCCCTCGCAACAACGTCTTCGGAATAAAGCTTGTCAAGGCCCTGAACATCTCCGATACTTACTATCTCTCCAGCCTGAATATCCAGCAATTGAAAGTCGGGGTCTAGTCTCACAGATGGCATGATCTTCTCTACCATCTGGTCAATGAACAGTTTGTTTCTTAATGTACCCTGCGTGATCATCAGGCAGTACAGTCCATAAAACGAAGTCAGGCTCGATATGCTTACCTCTATCTTTCTTGTCTCCGGACTTTCCCTCAGTCTCTTTGTTTCCCTTATGCTCCTGTGATCATGATTTGGCTCGTAGATTCTGTACAGGGCAGCCAGTACATCATCCAGACCTTCATGGCTTACACCATCGCAAAGAAGCCTCACTCCCTTGTCCACCCTTTCCAGCTCAGCATTGCCATTGAGGCACTTCAGAACGAATGCCAGGTCTTCAAACCCGCTCGAAAACTCGAACCTCATAGGCCTTGGGAAAATCGAAAGATTAAAAGAGCAGAGAATAAATTTCGGAAAAATAGAGTCCTTCAAATGAGTGTTTTTGTTTTTGGGTCAAATGCCATATCCCAGCTAGGACTAGGAGAAGATGCAGAAAGCACCCATGTCCCAACCAGGCTTTCCTTCTTCGATAAGATGTCCCTGACCAAGGTTCGATGTGGATCGTTACACACTCTGGTGCTTGACTCCGATGGGATGCTGTACTCTTGGGGATGTAACGATGAAGGTGCATTGGGAAGAGACGGAGACGAATCCACTCCCCAAAGGGTCTGTCTTGATGAAAAGATCGTTGACATGGACTGTGGGGCTTCTATCTCCGTGGCGCTGACCTCCAGAGGACATGTATATGTCTGGGGGACATTCAGGTCGACTAACGGCACCTTTGGATTGACCCCAGGGAAGAAGATTTCTTTTGAACCTGTAAAAGTCCCCCTCAAAAGCATAACAGCCCTGAGTGCTGGCCAAGGCTTTGTGGCTGCGCTTGATTCCAAGGACTCTATCTTTACCTTCGGCTCGAACGAGTTTGGAGAACTTGGAAGGAGAACATCCGAAAGAAATAAGCTAAGGGCCCTTATCCCTGACGCAGTAACGACGCCCAGAAAGCGCCTGCGAAACTATAGGTTCAGGTCGATTAGCTGTGGCCTGAACCATATTATAGCACTGAATACAGATGGAGAGGCCTACTGCTGGGGATCCAACTTGTACGGCCAGCTGGGGCACGACAAGGCTGAAAGCACCTTCAACAAATACAAGGTGCCTTTGGATGGCATACGTCAGGTGGCCGGAGGAGAGAACCACAGTCTGTTTGTCACCATAGATGGCACCCTATATGGGTGCGGCAGAAACAAGGAAGGCCAGCTTGGGATCCAATCAGTAGAAGCCGTGAGGACTCCCATGAAGCTTAGCATTGAGCATGTAGAGACAGTCCGTTCCTACAACAGCTTCAACATATGCAGGGTTGGAAACGAATTATACTCGTGGGGAACGGGATTCAACGGTGCGCTAGGGCATGAGGAGGAGACCATACTCATACCAAAGAAAATTCCATTTGACTTCCCGGAGGTGATAGACTTTGATGTTGGGAATGATTTTTCTGTTGTGGTAACAAGGTAGGGATAGGGGTCCTACTATAATAAATATTTATGATTTATGCTTGTCACATTCCAATGGATGCCCAAAGATACTGAAGTGGCAGATTCCTGTATCATCGATGGCAAATGAGGTTTCTAGGACTCCCAGCACCTCTTTGTGGACGACCTGGCAGCAGCTCCAGAATATGACTAAAGTTTTTAAATTGAGGACCCCTTGCAAAGTTGTGATGGGGGATCATACCTACAAGAAGAAGGACTCTGGCATTTACGATGCACTGAACATGCTGGTGTACGACTACCTGCTGAAGATGAAGTATGAGGGTTCGGCAAAGATATTCTTCAATGAGGCCGGCCTTGAAAATTTCAAACCTGGAGAGGGTATGCCCATCCTTGCTCAGTGGTATGCAGCATTTCACGACATTTCAGCAGTTAGGTCAGGTCTGTCGTCGAATCTCCAGGACCTCAACAGGATTGAGGGGATTATGATGAAACTGGAGAATGAAAAGAGGCGGTATCAGCACATAGGTAGAATAGATCCGGGCGCTATGGGATATGGAGGAACAGTGGACCCATATAAGCAGTATCCCATGTATTATCAGCAGTTTGATCAAAGAAAGATGTACGAGATGTACGGGCAAATGTCTCCTACAGCAGACGCGACTCCGAGATTCTATGACCCAAGGAAAGGCAGCATGCCTGGACCTGGATATAGAGCTGCCCAAGGATATCCCCGATATCATCCCCGGTTTGAGGAGCAGGGTGTTCCCCCAGCAAAAATGGCTCCAAAGCAGTTTAGAGACGAGGGGAGAAGTGGAAATGTAGAAAGCCCTTCTATAGCAACCAATCAGGAGGGCTCCAGCCCTCTGTTTGAATCTGTGCTTGGAGGAGGAGACAGGCAATTCGGCCTGAAAGAAGTGATGCTATTTGTACCCAGTGAGCATACGGCCGTATGTTCTGCGGTGGCAGGGGAGCACAAGATTCTGCTGGTTGCATCTTCTAACAAAACGATAACGGCTGTTAATCTGCTGTCTGGAAAGAACGAGTCGACTGTCGAAACGGATGAGAAGCAGGTGGTGGAGATGAAGATAAGAGAGTACGAGGACGAAATAATAGTGGTTTGTGGAATTGCAGACAATGAGCTTTTATTGGTGAGATGTACTATGAAGGGGAGTGCAAACCTGGAGATTGCCGGGATTCTAAGAGGACATACAGCGTCGATAGTCAGCTTCGAAGTTCTGGACTCGATCCATTCTCTCGACAGCGGAGGAATAATGAGAAAATGGACTCTGAATGGAGTGTTTGAACGAGAGGAGGTTCTTAGTGGAGAGATTCTTCACATATGCTGCATATCTGAGGATAATTTCATGTTTGCAGATAGACAAAGAGTTTATGTATATGATTTTGAACTCAACATAGAAATGATGGAGATACTTAAAGGTCAAGCCCTGGGAATCAAGCGCATTAAGGATGGCTTTATTGTTGTATTCAGAAACCAGGCGATCTGGCTAGATAAGCGAATTCAGAAAGTTAAAGTTCTAAATGTAAATGAAAGCATAAGGACTGCCACCCTGATCGACGGAGATCTCGTGGCGGCATCGTCCCAGAACGTCTGGTTCGACAACGGGAAGTCGTTGGCCAAAATCAAGCTCCATGAAACAGGTATAGTTGCCCTTGATGGTGTAAATGTATTTAGAAAGCCAAGTGTTATTAGCTGCAGCGCCAGTGGGGAATGTAAGATATGGATCAAATATGTTGGAGATTAAATATCATAGCCCCGCTAATCTCTTTATCCTTTATCTGACTGGTTCTCTGCACCTGTGCTGAAGCTATTGGTTTGTACCTTTCTCCGGACACGGAGATGAAGACTGCGGATTCCACCAGTGATAGGCCCAGCTTATTCCTATTGGCCTATAAACAATGAGAAGCAGATTTAAGAGAGCTCAGGAGTATGCCCTTAATGAAGGATGAAGGATACGAGAAGGTGCTGAAGAATAACATCAATGAAGCCGACATGAAGTGTGCAAGTTGCGGATGGTCGGGGAAAATGAAGATTGTTGATCTCGGCGACGTAACTGAAAATGTGATCTGCGCATTTGTCTGCGAAAAGTGTGGAGACAAGTCGGTCAATTTCTTCGAGAAGATGTGCGACAAGAGAGGAAGCGTTAGAATTGAATGCAACTTCGACAGCACCGAAGATCTCCACAGAGAGGTCAACCTGAGTCAACTGGCATCTGTGGAAATAACCTCTGAAAACCTTTCTTTCAAGCTCTCAAGTACCTATCCTAGCATCCAGAACGTCGAATCCTTTTTGATACAAGGAAAAGACCAGATCAAAAACTTATGTGGAAAGGAGGATATTACTAGCGGTGCGTGTGGGAAGGTTCTTGGAGATTCGAGTGTTTCGAAGGAAACCTGCGAAAAGAAGCTGGATGACATTCAGAACCTTATAAATAATCCGAAGTTCAAAATGACCATTAACGACGATTTTGGGCTTTCCAGGGTTGCGCCGGTGGGGAAAAACGTTCTTGAGCTGCGAGATGCTGACGTCAACGAGCTTAATGATGGGAAGGTCAAGCACATTTTCAAGAAAAAGACACAATAAACCCTTTTTACTAGTCCGGTAGCGTCTATGTACACTTTTTTACATGGACTCTGCTGCTAAAACCTCTTGCTACTCTATACCTGATAGATAAGCATCCTCGAACTGTTTCAGATTAAAACAGTATGGTCAGAAAAGAATCCCAGGCCCTATAAATAAGACAAAAGAGCATAAAGTATGGATGATGTCTTTAAGCTCTTACTTGCCTCCTCGTCGTTTGTCCTGCTGTTTGGGCTAGCTTCGAAATACATCAAGGACAGCCTGCTTCTATCGGAGCCCTTGGTCTCAGTACTAACAGGTATAGTTCTTGGGCATCATGTACTGAATGTATTCGATACAAATTACGTATACTCAAAGATCATGATGTACAACTTCTCAAGAGTCGTCCTTTGCATTCAGACAATGACAGTTGCAATGTCCCTACCAAAGAACTATGTATTAGAAAAATGGCAGTCCATATTTGTCCTTGTTGGGATGGTGGGAATAATCAAGTGTTTCTTTTCGTTTTGCCTAGTATACCTATTCACCAACTACAACAAGGCAACATCATGGTCACTAGCTTCCTGCCTGACTCCCACAGATCCCATTCTGAGCTCCAGCATAATACATGGAAAGCTTGCCATGAAGATGGTTCCGGAGAGAATCAGAATGCTCCTTGCTGCAGAAAGTGGAATAAACGATGGAATGGGGATCTTCCTTCTCTTCCTCGGGCTTGATTTACTTAGGCATGGGCTTAGAAAAGGGATGTATCCGTTCTTCATTGACAACTTGCTCATCAGAGTGTTTGTATCCGCATTGATAGGCCTTGTTATAGGCATCCTATCAAGGCAGGGCTTGAAGTACTGTTATACAAAAAGGCTGGCAGGTGTTGAGTCCTTTCTTATCCACGGTGTGATTCTGACTGTGTTTTCAATGGCACTTATGGAGTTTATGGGTGGAAGTGAGCTGATATGCATATTCTTTGCCGGAATAGTGTTTTCCTTTGACGAGTGGTTTGTATTGGAAACCAAGAACTCAAGGCTACAGGAAATAACAGATACAATTCTCAGCACCTCGTTCTTCCTATTTTTTGGATCGAGAATAGATTTCAGCAGGTTTACATTGTCGAATGTGATTATTTCGCTTACTATAATCTTCATCAGGAGACCTGCTATATGCTATCTGATGTATCCACACATCCCGGAACTGAGATCTTTCAAGGAAGCTCTGTTTATCGGCTGGTTCGGCCCAATTGGAGTAGGAGCGCTATACTACGCACTCCTCACAGATAAAATCCAGGAAACCCTTACAATAGACTTTGTCAGCTGTACTGTGTTTCTGAGTGTCCTGATACACGGGCTAACCGTCCCGATGTATACCTATATGAAGAGAGAAAGGCTGGAGTCCAGCTATGAGGGCCAAGCCCACTCAGAGGCCTTCTGACACAGGCCCAAGTTGGGAGGGCGTTGCAAAGAAGGGATCCCTGTGGCTGCAGTCAATCCTACGGATCAAAGTAGAACTTGGGCCTTCCGTCGATCCGAAGATCAAGTGCAGGCTCGTCGATAATAACATCAACCTTTCCGTCAAATGCAGGGTCATTTCCTAGCGGAAGGTTAAAATATAAAAAATATGTTACAATGCTCCAATAGGCCTGCGGGCTCTTTTCAAGAAGATCCTTCGATCCACAGTGCTTCAATACTGTATCGATATTTTCAGGCACAAGCAGAAAGCAAAGAAACGAGTATCCGGGACCTGCAGCAAGTACAACTGAGTTCCTAACCGTGCATCCACAATCTTCTTTTTCGAGATCAAAGAAATCTTGCTTCATTCCCCCTAGCAGTTTCCTTATTTCACTCCGAACGGCCTCCATAGAATTCCCTTTTTCTCCCCACCTAGAACTCTCTTGGCACTGCAGCCCTCCAAGATCCAGAGCCTTACAATCACAGGCTCTCAGGTGGTATACCTTATAAGAATAGAGGTCCCTGAAGACTACTCTAGGCATCCTGGAGACAACATTGATGTTCATATACATTTCATGTGTTGGAGAGGAGATGCATGATAAAAGCGTGTCTATCTTATCGTAGTCCTCTCTGTAGCTCAACCCCTTGAAGATCATGTCCGCAACATCTTCAAGAACCCCATTCTTAACAAGATGCTCAACCATCGGTTCCATATCCCCGTCGAATAGTTCTATCCACAAACGCAGGGCCTTCGTGTACATGTGTGCGCCCAGCTGTGCATATGGAAGAAGTATGACCGAGTAGTCACGCCCTATCTCAACCAAATATCTACACAAATGGTCATGCTCCTCGGTTATAAAAGCCAGGAACATCCTGGTTCTAAAAAAGTCGCTGTAAAACCCGCGGGCCTTCCTGGTAAATTCCAGAGGGTTGTTGGGCATTTTGGCTATCACCCTGGACCCATGCCTCTTTATCAAATACTCTCTCCACAGCAGTATTTCCGTGGCTATCATCTCGATGCAATCCTTCATCTCCTCCATATGACCTTGAGCCGCCGTGTCTTTTGCTTTTTTATTAGGCAGCAAGGCCTGTCTTTTGGAGCTGTGGATTTTTAGATCGTCCAGGTCCACGAAAACCACGTCCCCAGCCTTCAGCTTCCTGTCCAGACACGTGACAAATGGCAGGGGACTCTCAAGAATCTCCTCCATCCCGGGAAGGAGAGGTAGGCATATTATATGTGGCCATCGGAAAGGCTTTATAAGTTCCATGATCTGCAACACTCTCAGCGACGAGCTTTTTGCGGAGTAAAACACTATCCTTTCCTCAAGCAGTATCAGGCTCAGAACCTTTAGAAGAAATTTGCGAGGATAGCTCCAGATGTGCCCATATGCTCTAGACTCATAGATTTTCCGCCACTCACAGCTAACGATAAAGTTTGTGTGCGGAAAGTACGGGATTCCATAGACCATAGGCAGGGAAACCCCGCTTGAAAAGAGCTCGTTGAAATTGAGGAACACAGGAGACGTCAGCGTGTGAAGAACCATGGTGCTACCTACGCAGGAAACCAAAACCTGGCCGTATATGGCCTCCACATTCGAAACATAAAAGTATAGGAACTGTGCATGGTGCTGTGGCCTTATGCTCCCCAAAAAAGATAAAACTACCTGTCTGTGAGCTTCCGACTCACATCTTCCAAACTCCTCCTCAATCTCTCCCAAAACTTCCGATGAGCCAGCTTCTTTTTCTTTCAAAGCTCCCTCAGAAAAGATAAGGTACTTTGTTGGGACATCAGACTCTTCCGCACATACATGGAAATGCTTGCCATTCATTAAAATGGATGTACCGCCCTCCAATCCCTCAGCAAATCGGAACTTCATATTCAGATTCCCAAGCCTGTATTTCAGATATCCCTCAAACTCAGCTTTGTCAGCACTTCCGACGCATCTGAACACAGGAATCCTTCCGTTCCCGTCACTTACCAGGTACTCGTCAGGCTCGTTATGCTCCAGCACGTTTGAAATGTACACCTCGGATATCCTCCCGCAGTCCATAGCCTTGATCTTTCTTGTGTGCTTGAAGCATCCGGTAATGAGGTTCATCTTGGGGCTACGGCGCCACAATTGTCTCAAGAATTTTTAATCCTCCGACACCATATGATTAAGTTCAAGCTTGTCGAGGCCGTGATGTGCGTGGAGATAGACCCTGAGCTTCTTGTAAACCCCGAGAAAGCCGTGTCCAAACACATAGCATCCAATCTGCTTATATACTCCCACAAAATCAACGGCGTTCCCCTATCGTTCTCCATCAAGGGCATGGAACGTACTGGACCCATAGTTTCCTCAGTAGGGTCTGTGGCAGTTGCCGTACATGTGGAGTATGTGGTGCTTACGCTACCAATTGGCGAGGTGATGAGCTCCATCGAAGGAAGAACACTTGGGATTTTTAGCACAGACATCGACGGGAGCAAGGAATATACAGGAAACTTTGTTGTCAAGGAGATGAGATTGAAAGGAAGAGTATTTTTCACAATAGCAGGAACACGCCCATGATCCAAGTAGACCCTACATGAAGGACAATTAACAATAAAGAGTTTATTTGCCTACTGCCTTTCATGGATCATTGGATGGGTTATGCCTTTCTGTGCTGTATCAGCACGGGATATATATTGTTGAATGCCTGGTAAATGTCATCTCTCACTTTGGCACCGGTGAGAACAATCTTTCCAGAAACAAATATCAAGAGTACAATCTTGGGCTTGACCATTCTGTAAATCAGCCCTGGAAAGAGCTCTGGTTCGTAGCTGCAGTAGTTGCTATGGGCATATGCCAGCCCCTCTAGCCTGATGCTGAATTTGATGTCGCAAGACGAAACTATGTTCTGTATTTTGAAGTCATCAAATGTTGCATTGAATCCCAGCTTGTGGATTATCTTTGCATACCTCTGGGCTGCCATTCTCGAACTCTTCTCGCTCTTTGCACCCGTTATCACCATTTTTCCGGAAGCAAAAATCAGTGCTGTGGTTTTCGGCTCTCTTATCCTCATTATCACAGCAGCGAATCTTTTCGGATTATATTCGGCATTTCTGGCCCGGAGGGCTATATTCTTCAGGTCGAGTTTACAGCTCAGATTGACCGTTGCAACAACGTTCTGAAGGGTGGGAATTATTCCGGATCTGTTTGGAACAGATGTCTCCTGATGCTCATAAGAAATATCTGGTGCGTCCATCCGGAATTATTTATTTCAAGGGTTAAGTTTTTTTTTCTTGATTTTTATTTGTCTCTGGGCTCAGCAAGCAGGAGTAGAACCTGTTTTCTACAGCTCGTCCTCTTCCTCCTGGGCCTACGCCATCATAAACTTTCTCGCAATGTTTGCTATCCAGAACGTTACTCTATATGTCCATACTTTCGCATAAACCTCACCTTTGTCTCGCTCCATTTATCCTGATCGACCCCGCTCCTGCGGACGGCTCCTTCATCCTCTTCGCTGCTACAAGAAAGATTCTCTATGGCCTCTATCAGTTTGCTGATCATTTTTCTTCTGCCGTCCTTCTGAAAATTGGTGGCGCAGATCCTCGACATTTGTTTATGGATTGCAGAATGGGCATATTTCACAGAGTTGATAGCCCATTATGGTTGATAGCAAGTACGACATAGACTACCGGCGTCTCAGAGACGAGACAATGCGCATGATAGATGACATCCGATCTGCGCTGTCCCTCGACAACGGCCCAGAGCCTGACACCTTGTCCCATGCAGAGGCGGACCTTGTTGGTCTTTGGAAAAGCTTGCTTTCCGAAGACTGCAGGCCCGCAGAATTTGATGTGCAGGTAGGAAACCAGATATACCCGAACAGCACCCAAACAGTAACATATCTTGTAGTGTACTATCTCCTTGAAAACAACTGTGCCGACGTTGTTGAAAGGTTGATATCAGAGACAAAAGACGGGAAAGACGAAATCATCAAAATAAGAGATGGCTATGTCAAGTTTAAAAAGGTTATTTCCCAAATATCGGAGGATTCCACATTTCTTCTGGAGGAGTTTCTCGAGGGTTACCCAAGCAAGGAGCTTGAGCTGTATTTGGTGTCCCACGAGTTCCTGCTACTAATACACAAGGGGAGATACGACGAAGCCCTTAGGTTGTGCTTCAAGAAGCTTAGGTCATTTGTTCCTACATACATTCAGGATGTCAAGCCGCTCCTTAGGTTTCTGGTAAATCCTACGAACATACAAGAGGCTCTGAAGAAAAGCAGAAGCAAGCTTATTGAGAAATTCAAGTCCAAGTACATAGAGATGAATGGAATGCCAAACAGATGCTATCTCAGGGAGCTGTTTGAAACAGGGACCTCTGCCTTTCTCCAGCTCTCCACCTCTGGAAGCCTGCTTTTCGATAAGGATGATTCAACTCTTCCTATGGAGATAAAAATAGAGAAGGGAAGAAACTACCACTCTCTCTTTATATGCCCAGTGCTCAAAACGCTCTGTGTAGACGAAAACATTCCCGTGATGCTTGAATGCGGACATGTAATATCTCTGGAGGCGGCCAGCGTGCTTTCCCAGGAAGGAGTTCTAAACTCTTTCAAGTGTCCGTACTGCCCTGAGATGTCCAAGTACGAAAACATCTTGAGGCTTAGGATTTAGCGCTTGGGCCGGATAATTGAAAAACCCCATAGCCCTATGAAATCCAACGAGCTTCCTGGGTTCGATGAACATCCAGAGCCCATCTACGAGCTGATAGAATCTATGGGGACTTCCAATGCGATGCCAAGAAAAGAACTGATAGAAGCAATATTGGGCTCAAAAGAGTTCAAGGACTATGGCTCCCTTACAAACCAAAAAGACGACGAGCTACACAGTAGTAAAATGGCGCCTACGCCAGGGGACAGGAATGTATAATCTCATTTGCGCAGGAAATAAAGCATTTATTCGACTTCCTTAGATCTTGAGATATACGGCGATATCCAGCAGTTCCAGGGCCTCCTCGTCACCGATCCTGAACTCCTCGGGTTCCTTATCTGGATCCGAATGATGCTTAAACTCCAGAAACTCAACAATCCTCTTCAGGTGCCGTGCTCTTATCGGGAGCCTAACCTTTCTGGAAGTGGACTCTAGGAACATTTCTGGCCGACCAAAAAACGTTCTGAGCGTCTGGCTTTGGACCGCTACGTCATAGTCGAGAAGAAACTCTTTGTTGTCCGAAGAGACCATCCTCACTTTATTTTCCATTTGGTCTATAAACAAATCTCAAACAAATTAGTCGCTTATAGGCTCCTGGGAATCCATAAAGTCAGCAAACACAACCCCGCTGAATGCAATCTTCTCTCCGCCGGGGTCCACTGTGTACACCTTCCCGTCGTTAAGAACGTATTCTCCCTCTTCAAATTTGATTCCAAAAAGAGCCTTCAGCTCATCTCCCAAAGCTCCAGAGCTGGACACAATTCTTACATCCTCAATGTTTACAACTATGTCAATAGACTTCCTGACATCAATCCCACTGAACAATCTCTGAATTCCAGAGGAGTTGTAGAAGAGTGTGGACGAATACACAGCAACGGATGCCTCTGAGTTAGAATACACCCTGGTTTCCGAGGACTTCAGAGACTTAACAACCTCCTTTCCGTACTCGGCAAGATAGTCGTAATACTTGATCTCTCTTATATAGGCCTCATCAAAAACCACGTATAGCCTGTCGTCCTTTTTCTTCACAGAAAAATGTGCATATATCTCCTTCGACAGCAGGCTGTTGAGAATAGAGTCTCTTATTGCAATATTTACGCCTCTTGTCTCGGCCTCCTCAAGCAGCTTTCCAGAAAGAAAGTCCTGGCAAACATCCTTGTATGCATCGCCTTGCTTGTCCCTTACATGCTCAAGCCTTGTTTCCTTCCTCAGATTGCACCCTTGGCCCGTCTCTTCTTTAACATGGACTATCCTTTCCTTGCTCTTGACAAGACATAGCTCATCGATGCTCCCTACCTCCTGAACCTTGGAGATAAAGGCAAATTTTCCTTCGAAGAAGGCTCTATCCAAGTTCATTGGAAGGCAGAGAAAAGGATAGGGAAGGTCATGCTTAAGCCTCTTTTTAAGCTTGGTTGTGAGTATGCTTGTCTGGTAGTCACAAGATCTTGGAATGGTGTTCGGCCCCACAAATAAGGGTTTATTTGGAAGATACATGTACTGCAGCTGCGATTTGTTCCAGGGAAGTAGCGGGGGGCTCTCCTTGAATCTCTTAACATGAATGACCGGTATTTCTCCCTGTTCAGTACTCGAAGAACAAAGCGTGTATTCTTCCATGGGGATGTAAATCCAAAAAATGGTTATTCGTGGCGTATTAGAGAGTACTCTCCGCTGCAAAGTGGAAGACAAAAGGGCTCGGCCAGGATTTGAACCTGGAGCCCTCCGCACCCAAAGCGGAGATCATACCCTTAGACCACCGAGCCTCTAGCCATGCCCAATATATACTACCTTATCAAAACGCCTGCACCAAACATGAAACCATGCCCACAAATATTTCTAGCACAGGAGAGAACAAACAAACATTCCTTTCAGCAATGATAATTCTAATGATCATGGAATGTCTACATGCTATGCAGAACGAGCTGACGAGCAGGTGCCAGAAGTATGGGATAAGCCTGAATGATTGCCTAAATTCCGTATATATGCCAAAGAGGGAATATGACGAATATCTTCAGAGCTTTAATCTGCCAATAATACGCGACTCAAGCTGCACCAAAGGAAGATGCATGGCTGTAGTCTACAAGGATATGAACCGATGCATGAACTGTAGGAAGGAGCAGTGCAGGGACGAGTGTGGAGAACTTGAATGGATGAGGGAGGATCTCGCTAGTAGAGCAGCCGGTGCGTACCAGAGAGATGCAGAATCTCAGATTCCGCTTATCCATGTGATTCACCACAAAGAAGCAGACCGCAGGACTGCAGGGATGCCCAGAATAACAGAAGCCCCGTCGGTATCCTATAAAAGCATCACGGTGATTGAAACAAAGACAGAGACAGTTTCTGAACAGCCGGTGACTTCTTCGAGAAGTGAGGAAAGGCAAGATACCCGTACATCCGAGGCTAGTACAATCCATGAGACTCAAAGAGAAGAGACAAAAACAGTCTTCAGAACCGTTGAAGTTCCTCAAGTTCTTGAAAGGACTTCCCGCGAGGCTCGGCCTGGAAGATCAGAAATACAGATGAAGCGGGGAGACAACGATAGTAAGGCTTTGCCAGAGGACAGCGAGAACTCTCGTGCGATTCCGGTTTCTATAAAGCGCTCCAAGTTTAAGTACAGCTTGCCTGAGTTGGAGAAGATGGATGACGTCTCTGAAGATGAGAGGGGAGTTGAAGACGAAAAGAAAGAAAAGAGTGAGCCAACAGTTGTGACAGTCACCAGAGTATTCTACAAGACTATTAGTGTTGAAAAGCCCATTACGCTGTACAGAGAAGTGACGACAACAGTTAAGAATGAGGTTCCCATCATCAACTATAAATTAACAACTGTCAGGGAGATTTCCACAGCAACAAAGACAGAGAGTAGCACAAAAACAGAAACTGTTGTACAGACGCAATATTCCATGATAATATCTACAAAGACCCAGTATAACCAGGAAGCATCGTCATCAAGAGAAGTGAGCATATCCACGGGACCACGCACCGTTTCTTCTGAGACATCAAAGAAGGACGACGGAGGCCATAAGGACATAAAGATTTCCGAGGCTCCTGGGAAGGAGGAAAGGGCGACTACATCTCCTAGTGTAGTATATAGAACGGTGACAAAACCGGCCACCTCAATATTAACAGTTACAAAGATACAAGAGAAGACAATGCAATTGGAGTTGGGCTCTGGTGAAATCCACGACTCTGCCTCCCAGAAGAAGGAAAGCACCTCTGCCAATACCATAGGGTCCTCTCCTGTGGCATCCCTGATATGTACAGAGAAATGCTCTACTGCTGGAGTCTTGAGCTCTTCGGGAAAGAATGATGTGGCTTCCTCCACAGTGGGTGTTCCAGCACCGGCTACCCAAAGCCTTGTTTCTGCAGGAAGGCAGGACATAATAGCCGAGCTTCTCCCGCTAGTCAGGAAAGTACTAATAGAGGATGCTGAGGAGACAAAGCCTCCAAAGTCCTCTAAGAAAAGCTCTTCTGCAGAAATGTCAAACGACGTGACAAGGACGGTAACAAAAACAGTGGTGAGAACCATCGAGAGAGAAGTAAGAAACAAAGGTGGACATAAAACCATCTATAGCACTGTCTATTCGTACAAGAAGAAGCCGAGCTGCAGAAAGGGGGTGGAGGGGAAGAAAAAGAGGGTGTGCAAAGATGCGGAAGAAGAGCTTGTTACCACGGTCTATGTTTGATTCTATTTTTAATAAAGGAGAGTTCTTATCTTGGCTTTAGGGACTCTCGGGATGGTCTGTCCAAAACCACTAGCATGGGTGGGATTCGAACCACACAACCTCTGGGTTATGAGCCCAGCGCGCTTCCGTTGCGCTACCATGCTTTGCGGGGAAGACCAGGGCCGACATCTCGTGGTGCCATGGTACATTTTTAATTTCGGCGTCGAAAGGGGCCCTCTTCAAAATGGTTATGAAATTTCATCCAAAGAATATATCGTTTGGATCGTACTCCGATGAAGAGATAGAGCGAAACAGCTGCATGGAGGTTGTGGTACCAGGATGCTTTGATAAGTTCGGACACCCCATACGCGGAGGTCTGTACGACTTGAGAATGGGGCCTTTGGATTTGTCATCAAACTGCAAGACTTGCAATCTGTCGTTTCTCAACTGCCCAGGGCACTTTGGGCACATAAAGCTGTCCAGGATAGTTCTTAACCCGATGTTCTTTGACTCGTTGTTTTCAATAGTTAGGTGCTACTGCTTCCAGTGTAAGCACTTCAGAATAACGAACTATGACAGATTGATCTTGTTCTGCAAGTTTTCCCTTCTACTTAATGGAGAGGAGGCTGAGGATCTGGACAGGCTGTACATGGTTTCAGAAGAGGAGGAGCTGTACAAGATAGTTAGCGAAAGGATAGAGAATGCAAAGAAAAACAGATCTGAGCCGCTGATGGAAAGCCACCAGGAGGTGGTGCATAGGTTTCTGCAGAACGCAGGCTCCAGAAGAAAGTGCGTTCGATGTGGACACAGTAACCCGAAGATTGTCAAGGGTGCAAAGATGAAGGTGCTGAAAGACTTGAGAAAGGGCAACGAAAAGGATGAAGATGGGAAGGACCTTGAGTTTCTTTCACCGGATGCCGTCAGAGAGCTTATGGACGATTTGTTTTCAAATGAGGCGGATCTTATTGAGTCTATTTTTTTCCGAAGAGATCCTGGGATGTTCTTTATATCCAACCTGCCAGTCATCCCCAACAGATTCCGCCCCATGATCGTTTTAGATGGAAAAAAAGCCGAGAATTTCCAAACACTTTATCTTAACGACATCCTCAGGGTCAGCGTACTGGTGACGAAGGATCTGTCATATTGGCCTGAGCTCCAGGCGGCCATTCTTTCGTCTTTTGACAACAAGAATATAAGCAAGTGGAGTCGCACCCGGATGGTACCGCCTGGCCATAAACAGATCCTCGAGAGGAAGGACGGATTGTTCCGCAGAAACATAATGGGAAAGCGAGTCAACTTTGCAGCGCGAACTGTTATATCGCCCGATCCTAATCTTGAGACTAGGGAGATAGGAATTCCTCTTGTGTTTGCAGAGGCCCTAACCTTTCCAGAAAGGGCAGCCAGCTTCAACGTGGATAGGCTGAAGAAGGCTGTTGTGAATGGGCCTACTTATCCAGGAAGTCTATATCTCCAGGACGGCGATGTGATGCTCAGCCTGGCACACATGCCTGACGAAAAGAGGTACGCCCTGGCAAACCAGCTTCTGGACGGCAAAAAGGTTGTTTGGAGACATCTAGTCGACGGAGATGTGGTGCTTATGAATAGACAGCCGACTCTCCACAGGCCGAGTATAATGGCCCACAAGTGTAGGGTCCTAAGGAAAGAAAGAACGTTAAGAATGCACTACGCCAACTGCAAGTCCTACAACGCAGACTTTGATGGTGACGAGATGAATGTTCATTTTCCACAAAACTATGCATCGGAAGCCGAATCAAGACATATAGTCATGAACGATTCCAACTACCTGGTACCTACCAATGGAAAGCCCATAAGGGGCCTCGTCCAGGACCACATTGTTATTGTGACCGTTTTGACAATGAAAGATTCGTTCTTTTCCGAGGAAGATTACTTTACTCTGGTGAATGCTGGACTTAGCGACAGGCGCATCGTCCTAGATCGTCCTTGTATCGTCAAGCCTGCAAGACTCTATTCCGGGAGGCAGGTGATTTCAACGATATTAAAGAATCTTGGGCTGGTTGTGAACATTGAAATTGAAACCAATGTTCCGAAAAATGCGTGGAGAGAGCATTCCGAGGAGAGGATCCTAAGAATCAGGGAAGGAAACATTGTGACCGGGATCCTGGATAAGAACTCGCTGGGCCCAACCTTCAAGTCTCTTATCCATGCTTGTGGGGAGATCAAAGGATTCGCGACTTCAAACGACCTGTTGACATATATCGGATGGGTTGGCAACAGGTATCTTCTGATGTATGGATTCACAATAGGAATAGACGATCTTCTTCTCGACAAGGAGGCAGACAAGAAAAGAAGAGAGGTTGTTAGGGTCAAAGACCAAGAGGCCAAGGAGCTCCAGAGGAGATATGTGGAGGCAAACCCAGACTTCTATCTCTATGCTGACAAGAAGGCATACCTGGATTCCGTAATGAGAACAGAGATGAATAGTGTGACTTCTGAAATAGTCAAGGTATCTGTTCCGTCAGGATTGCAGAAAAGCTTTCCAGAAAACAACATGGAGCTAATTATCGCAACAGGATCTAAAGGCTCCATTGTCAACCTGAGTCAGATTTCGGGGGCTCTAGGGCAACAGGAGCTAGAGGGCCAGAGAGTTCCGATAATGGCTAGTGGAAAGACATTGCCTTGCTTTGCGGCACTGGATCCTAGCCCGTCTTCTGGAGGATATATATACCACAGGTTTCTGACTGGAATTGACCTGCCACAATATTTTTTCCATTGTATGGCAGGCAGGGAGGGCCTTATTGACACGGCAATCAAGACGGCAAACTCCGGATATCTGCAGAGATGCCTAATTAAGCATATGGAGGAAGCAAAGGTAGAATATGATATGTCTGTCAGGATTGGGAAAAGAGTGATTCAATTTATGTATGGGGAGGATGGGCTTGACTGCACAAAGTCTAGCTATCTCGATGACGCTGAATTTTTCAAAAGAAATGTCTTGCTTTTTGGAAAGTCGGCTTCTATTGTCTCCAAACTCGAAGATAGATACAAGGACTTCCTCTCCTTGAAATTCAGGAAACAGATAGATCTGCTTGACGATGAGCTCAGGAGGTTTTTAGCAGACAGATACATATGCTCCCTGGCTGATCCCGGAGAATCTGTAGGGGTCATAGCTGCACAATCAGTAGGCGAGCCTTCCACACAGATGACGCTCAACACCTTTCATCTTGCAGGGGTTGGGGCGAAGAACGTGACGCTTGGGGTTCCTAGACTCAGAGAGATTCTAATAACAGCGTCCAAAAGCATAAGGACACCCTTGATCACGGTGCCAATCAAGAGGAGGGTGAGTTTCGACATTACAGAATGTCTGAGGAGGGTGACGCTGAAGGACTGTGTCAAGAGATTTGGGGTTACAGAGGAGATTGTGATGGTTTCCGGTGTGTTCCAGAAGAAGGTCAAGATAATGTTTGAGCTGGATAACTTTGTTGATCTTGCAGGCGAAGTCCTGGATAGGAAGTTCCTGAAGCTGCTTGGGAACAAAATGAAAGGATTAGCCAAGGCAAAGTATACATTGGGGATGTCAGAGGCGCCCAAAGACGACTGCAAAGAGGTTGATGAGAACAAGGAGAACGAAGGAGAAGACGAGAGTGACAGCGATAAGGAAAGTGACCCGGAAGGCGACAACGTGTGCTTAGAAGCTACCACCGGTGAGAATGGCGATAAAGATAGTGAAGACCATAGTACTAGCTATCTAGAGGCTACCGACGAGACCGATCAAACGGACGACTCGGGCAATACCGAAGAGGAGGAGGATTTCATGAACTTTGCAAAGAAGTCAAAAAACGTCCTTACATTTGAGATCCTATATCCCTCTGGGTTCAATGAGATGATTTCCTCGGTTGTTGAATCCATTCTCCCTACAATTGTAGTACGAGAGGTTAAGGGCATGGAGAAGGCCTCCGTTTCTGGTAGCCAACTCTTCGTGAAAAGCTCCTCTATATACTCCCTGACCAGAATGATAGAGGTAAGCCCCGGTGTGTATGAAGACTTGCTAGATATCCTGGACATCTACAACGCAGAGTCGAACGATATATATGATGTGTACCTAACGCTCGGCGTAGAGGCTGCAAGACACGCGATAATCAACGAGGTAGTGAAGGTTTTCGATGTCTATGGAATTTCTATTGATATCCGGCATCTTCTTCTCATAGCTGACTACATGACAAGAAAGGGGAGCTACTCTCCATTCAGTAGGCATGGGCTCGGGGCTGATGACTCTCCTATTCAGAGAATAAGCTTTGAAAGCTGCTACTCCAACTTCAAGACTGCTGCAACATTCCATCTGGAGGACAAGCTGTCCAATCCCTCTGCCTCCTTAACTGTGGGCAACCCTGTGCGGTGTGGAACGGGCTGCTTCGATTTGATACACAACATAGACTTTCCTAATAAAGTCTAAGATTTATTTCATATGCTGCCCCCCTCGGAGTCACCTTCTGAATGGAGATAGCGTCTTTCCGAATTCTCTTAGTTGGAACAGTTTCTGGACACGGTCGCTTGGAAGCTCGCAGATCCTTTTGTACACAGAGGAGTCGTAATAGAAGAGGCCCGTGTTTGGGCATGTGTACGGCGCAGGAAGGCCTGTTAGATCACATAGCTTCATTCTAGGCTTTACAGATACTCTGCTGGAAATTTGGAGGTATCTGTGGTCCTTCTCAATAAGCCTTGGCAGCAGCTGCTTCAAGGTCTTAAACTTCATATTCTTGCCTATATAGGTACTCTTCTTGCACCATGGCTTCTGTTTCTTCATTCAAGGGCATCGCAGAGAGCAGAAAAACTATCGCTCACACTACAAAAATGTTGTAAAGTTAAGAGTTTTTAATACCTCATGCAAGCATTGCTAATCTTCTGTTCACCTCGTTCTCAAAGTTCTTGTCCGTCTTTAGCTCTTCGATCTTCTTATCGAGATCCTTCTTCTGCAAGGATGCCAGGCTCTCTCTTTCCTTCAGTTCGTCAGTGAGGCTTTTAGCCGCCTCCGCATGCTTCCATCCAAACATGCTCAGAAGCTTTCCAAGGGTAACATATCTGTTGGGGTTGCCTGTGTACTTGACAAATGCACAGGTAACCTTATACCTTGGCTGGCCCTCGAGCTCTCTCGGAATCCCTTCATAAGTGGCAAGTCTGCTCATTGCAGCCTTTCCTCTGGGCTTCTTATAGGAGATCATCCTTCTGATTATCTTTGCGAGATGCATCCTTGGCTCACGGAAATGGAATGGCCCTCTCCTTGGGTTGACAAGGCATCTCTTATTAAGATATTGCTTGAACTTATCCATGGCCCTTTCTAGGCTTCCAACAAACACTGCTTCCTCAGCACACACAACAGTCACCCGGACTCCCTCAAGGAGGAGCTTGGCAACCTTTGCTGCAAGCTTTCCTGCCACCTGTCCTGTGGCATCAATTATCACATGCTCCTTTTTTTCCATTGAAGGGATAAATTTTTTAACACACAAAACTCCGTAGGCCCCTACAGAGCCCTACACCCTGGCCTCAAGGCATATCACTGTATAACCGTGCATTCTATGTCAGAGTAAGGATTCTTCTGACGCCCCTGTACAACACCACTTCCTAATAGATTCAGAAGTGATAGAAAGAGCCTGCCCTTCTCATATCTATTATGCCCTCCGGCAATTTCATTAAAGACAAAGGTCCTAGGGAGCTTCTCTATGTCCAGATAACTCTCCATAACAATCTCCTCGGACGCCTGTGACTCAGCAGCATGCTCTCCGAAACTGATGTCTCCATATGATTCCACTATTGTAGCATCACGAATGCTTTCTATGCTTTCTCTTGGATGTATCTCTCTACACCCAATCCTGGACAATATCTCGGGTGCAATCGAAAGCCTCGAGGCCAGCTCGTTCCTTATGTCGAGAGCGCTCTCCTTGTGTATTATATCTCTTGTATTTCGGAGATTTACCCTGAATACCTGAGAATCGAATTCCAGTTCGGTGTCCTCAGCAATCCTTCTTTTTTTCTCTTTACGCTCTCCCAAGGAAATCTGCGTGACCTCCGTGGTTGTGGAAATTCGGGTGCTATCCTCACCTCCAAGTCTAGCCTCCTCAATATAGGAGATATCGTCAAGCCCACCAAAACTAGCATCCCCAGGATCCTGACCATCGCCTGGATCCTCTTCCTCAGGAAGAATGGTAAACTCTTCTGGATCTATCATCTGGTCATCTACATACAAACTTTCCAGGTCCAGTCCCAGGGTTATTCCCCTTGAAGATGGCTGTTTAAAGCTTCTTTCTCTGTCCATGTCTTTTCTGCAGATTTTATGGACAACCTCGTTGCACTCATCCAGCAGGTATCTCAGTTTTCTTATTAGAATTCTGCTAAGCCCAAGCGCAATGAGGCCTCCATCCTTGACAGAAATGTTTTCCTCCATCACTCTAAGAATAATCGCAGAGATGGACACCTCTTTCAAGTGATGCCTCGAAAGCCTTCGCTCCACAAATATCGCTTTAAAAAGGACATCCTGGGGATTAGCAAGACACAAAGCGCCCATAGCCTTAGACATTTCAGGCGTCCTGGAAATGCCAAATATTATGCTCTTTTTGGCGGGAATCCAGATACACGCCATTTCCAAGAAGATCCCTATGAAAAGGCCGTTCGCCGTGTCTGTAACATATCCTACCCGGGAGTCTGCAGAAGAGAGTTCGTGTGAACTGGTAAGGAGGAGGCTCGCCGCATGCTGTCAGATATCTGAAATAACATCTATCTATTTCTGGAAAGAAGCTATTGTTAAGGAAACAGAATACAAGCTGATCGCAAAGACCTTTTCTTCTTTATTCGCTGGAATACAGGAGTTTGTGGCAGGTAGCCATCCATATGAGGTTCCTGAAATCACCGGTATGGAAATGCATTTGGCATCGAGGCAATACTTGGAATGGATGAACTCCTGTGTCGACGATACAGGACAGGCCCCCAACACCAGGCAGTAGCATATGTTACACAAGCTTTGCCTTCTTCTCCTCAAGCCCTAGAATGGCATGGATTAGGAGAATGGAGAACAGGGCAACCGAGGCCAGAGTGATTAGAATATCCTCGGCGATACCTGGATCGTGAAATAATGGCTATAAATTAGATAGGCAACTTACTCTTATAGCTAGTGTGTAAAATACAAATGCGTATGTCATCGTGAATACTAGCATCAATAGCTTTGCACTGGCCATCAAGGACTGGGGAAACGGCATTCAAATCCCGTGCTAGAATAAACAATAAAAAAAATTTCATCCAGGGGCTTCGAGAAGGTAAGTGGTTTGACTATGCAGAAAGACTAATTTGTAGAGCAATGTTGGTACCGACGGCGAATAAGTATAAGATAAAGAGGCGCTTGCTTGAGAAGAAGGCGCTTCTGCTTGAAGACACTGTCCTTGGGAACCACAGAGACCTCGAGATTCCCAACCTACATCTGAAGATATTCATGAAGACCATGATTTCCTACGGGTATGTCCAAAGGATTCATGTATGGAGACACTCATACTTTCTCCTGACACCCCTTGGGGAGTCCAGGCTGAGGGAGGAGCTGGTCTTTACCGACGAGGGTGTTGCCAGCCAGGAGGCACCGGCTGTATCTGCCTGAATAAACATCTTCTTTATTCTCCAGGACCTGTGACATTGTAACATGTTTTTCGCTTCTGTGGCTTGATGACCCTGAATGGAGGATTGCGGTCATCCATCGATTTCCAAGGGTGTTTGTACATCCTGTGGGTTGTGTGTGGAATCTGAGTATGACTATGTGTCGTCATACACGCCTTGCACATCTGTGATTCCAAAGAAAAAGAAATACCTTGCTGCCGACGAGTCTAGAAGGTATAACAAAAGCGTGGAATCGTTGGTTAATATTCTAAACATACCAGGCTATTCGGACGAAATCACGCATCTTCTACAGACAAAAGACTTCAAGCAAAGGATCGGGATCAACGATAAGGTACTTGCAGTGGCATACAATGTACTCAAAAGACATCAATACCCAATATCATACAGTGATCTGCAGCCCTTCACAGAGAAGACCAGACTGAGGCTCAAGAGAATTCTGCTAAGGGAGTTTGAGTATATAGAGCCATCCTTGGAATATCTCACGGCGGTCTTCCAGAGAGTCAAGGACTTTTGCCTTTCACATGGCTTCAGAGGCAGCCATGCGCTGGAGGACTTCATCTCAATATCCCGAAGCAACAGGTGTGTGAATCCCCATAGCCTCTGCGTAGCATACTTCATTAGAAATGAGAACCTACAGGACTTTCACAAAAGGTTTAATCTTGAGAAGATCATAAGTATAAGCTCGCTAAGGAGGATTGTAAAAAAGATGCAGGAGAACCTCCCGGAAAGAGAAAATGCCCAACCATCAGCAAAAAGGAGACTAAGGGTCAAGTACAACGCAAAGAAGTACTTCATTGGCATGCTACAAAGACAATCATGGCCAAAGTAAGTAGATGTTTTAATTCCGAAGAGAAGCGGTTAAATCTCCATCTTGGGAAACACAAAGTTGGCCAAGGACAGAAGCTTTGGTCTATGCTTGGCATCCATGGCTTCGCGCTTGATCAGCCCAGTAACCTTTCTAATTCCCTCCAGAGACTTACTCAGTATATCAAGCTCGAATAGATATGGCTGGAATCTATTAATTTCGATCGACACGGTCCACTCGAGGTCTTTCCTGAAGCTCTCTCTTCTTGCCATTGCGTACGCCATTGGATGAAGACGCATAATCCATAGGACGGTCCAAAGAATCTTATGGCAGCACGAAGACCTCATTTGGAGGGAGATGCTGCACAGCTTCTTGATGAAGGCCTTGGCTGTAAGTAACGAAACGGAACTATCCCCTAGGGCCATCAAAATAAAGAACAGCTTCCTCTCTATGTTATGTTCGATATTGCCGGGGCTTATGCAATCGAAAAGATTGCTGAGAAAGCCATCAAACTCAAGCCCAAAGTCTCTCTTAATTACAAAAACCACTTTTGCAACATCCACTGAAAAGTGGCATTCGGGACGGAAATACCTTTCTATTGACGAGTAGATGTTTCTTGGGTCCCTCATATACGAAACAAGGTCTGGGAGCATCTCTACAAGCCTCTTGTGATTCTTGGGAGATATCTTATCAAAGGAGTCTACAAACAGCTCATCCAATTCGCAGCCTGCCATTTCCTCAGCCGAGCACTCGCGAGATATTTGCACAAGGCTTTCTAGTGCATCCATGACCATCTCAGATCGATTCTCGTCCCTGCACTCCAGAGCTGAATCTAGCTTACCAACAGCTTGTTCCATTTCTGGGGAGGCGTACAGAAGAAGTAAAATAGAAGCCAGAATGGAGTCCAATCATTTATTCTATGTAATTTCAGAGAGCTCTTTTTCAAACAGACTTATAAATGATGCAAACATTTGACTATCCAGTAAAAACAGTCTAAATGTGTTGCTGTTCACCACAACCTGCTTCTTGGCCATATACGACGAAAGCAATAGAATCTCTTCTCCACGCACGGGCCTATGGTTCAAGTCCAGTGGGCTGTACTCTTTGAAGTCCTCTACAAGATCCTTCATTTCCATTCCCATGCATGCCTTGATTCTAGAGATAAATATGATGTGCCTGAGGTTTGCAAACGAAAGGGATCTATATTGATCTAGGATCATTTCGAGAGGAATGTTGACAGCTCTCTCGGTGTAAAAAATGTAGATATCATCCCTGTTGATTCCATCAAGAGCCCCAGCTGCAATCAGAGAGTTGAAGGCCTTCTTAAGCTTCTTCTGGGCCATGCTCAGTATTCTGGAAAGTTGAAGAAACCCGCAGAAGGAGAGAACAACATCTCCGCTTACCAGAACTTTGGAATTAACAAACACAGAAAGAAGCTCTTCAGAAGAGGGAAGTATCCTAGACTGATCCACAATGATTGAGACGTCCAAGCGGTTAGACAGGGAAAGATCGACCACCTCATAAGCAACCCCGTCAGACGAGGACATCTCGGAGGCGGATTCTGAGCAGGAGTTGCATTCGGTGCTATCAGATGTCCCACTGATGGCTTCTGCCTCTTTTCCGACTTTATGCCTCTTACTACCATCCATAGGGTGTTTAAGAACTGCATCAAATAAGCAGTGATAGAAGTTCACGGTTTGCACCAAGATAAACGCAGTTTATTCATAGAAAACTTTTCCGCTGTCATCCACAATAGTGAGGTCCAGCATTACCTTATAAAAGGTGGATCCGCTACAAACCCCATCGGCTATGGCCTCCTTCACAAGAGAGACGAGATCGATACGGTCTTCTACCCTAAAGAGAAGGTAAGAATTCGGACAAATTACTATAAGCTCATCTTTTCCTCTACTTATGGTCTTTAGAACCTTTGTATCCTCTGGGAGCTCGAATGCACTTTTTATTGAGTATTCTCTGTCATGTAGAGCTACACATCTATTGCTTATCGAGACCAAGGATCCATTGATACATTCCAGAGATACTATGGGGTCGCAACTGAATTTATAGTCGAGTATCTTTCCATCCATCCTGCTTATGCGGATTCTTCCGTACTTATCGCTGAGAATGATCTTCCCGTTGTGTATCGCCATTCCAGTCAGATACGACAGGGTTCCCAACACATACTCACACTCACCGTTTCCAATTCTGTGAACATCCCCGAATCTGTCTGCAACATACACCGCATCCCCATGCTCGACCAAGCAGAAGATGTTCCTGCTGAGCTTCAGAATTTTTCTCAAAGCGGTTCCGTCAATGGTGTACAAATTTTTCTCGCTGTCAACCAAGTACCTCTTGCACATAAAGGATATTTGGCCTGGCACAGCTACTTCCTCCACGGCATCTGTGGTAGTGTTCTTCACCACCAAGGCTTTGCCTTTGCAGAAAATAACACTCCCATTACTAGCTGATATCAAGTTCATTCGGATGCAAGAGGATGTTTTTCTTGTATTAATAAATCCATCCACAGGACAACAAGAAGTAGAGCAGCAGATGGTTTATTCCTCGATCTCCGGGATAAGACGCGCATTTCCGTTCAGCAGGCAGATCCCAAGCTCCTTTGCCCGGTTGACGATGGCTATTCTCTTCCTAGCACCCACGGCATGTGCAATCTCTCCACAGTAAAACCTGTTCAGGGACGTCAATGGAGTCAGGTCGTTGATGTTGAATATCCTGACTTTTCTCAGCCCATTTGGAAGAAGGTGCCTGATCTCCTTTGGCTTTTTATACTTGATGGACGGCATCTCCCTTTCTCCTTTGCATCGCTTTCTGACCTTGCTATCAATTCCGTGCGGCCTCCTCCAGGATGGCTTTACCCTCTTGTATCTGTCAGAGTGATGGCGGATAAACTTCTTGTTCTTTCTGTAAGCCTCCTTTATCTCGACTAGCGGCTTTGGATCAAAAAGCTCCGAGCTCATCTGTTCAGGGTAAATTTTTTCTCAGTTTTAACAGGTAAGGCAGAGCTGCACTGCGAGCGGACAGAGACATTACCAGCCATGCCCAGCAGACATTTCTTGATATGGTAGGAGTAAAGAGGTCTTATTTCTTTGAGACATATATTAGCCCATTGGAAGACGCGGGATGGGAAGCGATATGAAGAAAGAAAAAAGAGGCAGGAGTGGGTGTGAATACGTGCAAGGGAGCAAAAAACATCGTAAGAGCACAGAAGAGAAGAAAGATAGCGGAGAGAGTGAAAGGGGCACAGGGAAGGGAAGCGGGCGCAAGGAAGTCGGCAAGAGGGATAGGAGTCCGGATGGAAGGAAGGCTGGATTTCAAAGAATTGAGTTTGATGAGGCCTCATGCACCATCAGAGTGAAAGGAGACTTTACTCTAAAGGATATAAAGAGAAGATTCGAAAACCTCAAATCTGTAAAGAGCTGCGAGGGCGGATTTGTTCTGGAGTACCCGAGCAAGGAACACGCGCTCGTGGACATGAAGGCAAACAGAAGGCCAAGGGGCGTAAAGAAAGAGAAGAATTGTGAGTATCTGGACAACAAGTATATACTCACCAACCTCTCGTACAAAGAGACCGAGGAATCGATTTCGGAGACGTTTGGAAAGTATGGGGAGATTGAGAGGGTAACAATAAAGAAGAACAGGGACTGTATATCGACGGGAAAGGCGATTATAACCTTTAAGAAAAGAACGTTCATCAAGGACGAGATTATCATGAGTAACAAGCCGATTTACATTGAGAGAATTAAGAAGCCCCTGGAAAACAAAAGAAGATTCTTCCTGAGTAAGCTGAAGAAGTCCCATTCTATTGTTGCAATAAGGAAAATACTTTCCGATGCCGGGTGTAAGCCAAAGGACATACGAGTGCTGTATGGGGAGAATAAGAGGAATAGAGGGTATGGGTTTATAGAATATGACAGTGAAAAAGATGCAGATGTGTTCGTTAGCAAATTTGAAGAAATCAGAGACTTGCTAGGTCCTGAGTGCTATTACGAATATTCCAATGAGAAGATTTCTTCTCGGAAGAAATAGCCGAGTGAGTCTTAATAAATTCCATAATGGACAGAAGTGTGTTTAAGCCTTAGCGTGCCGGGATGGATGTCTTCCAGAAATACTCTTGGGAATGATGAGCCCATGAACCAAGAAAAAGAGGGCGTGGAAAGCAAAGACACTCCCAGGACAGAGACGAAAGGCGTGGAGAAAAAGCACTCCGTGTTGGTGAAGCAGGATTGGCTTCCTTCGGACTATGCACAATACGTTGACGAGAAAATTTTAAACATCGGATTTGAGCCAGACACTTTCCAGAGACAGGCATTCTATCTTCTAAGTCGGGCCTCGTCTGTTTTCGTGTCTGCACACACAAGCTCCGGAAAGACCCTGGTGGCTGAGTACGCCATCTCTCTGTCCCAAATTCATGGGACAAGGACCATCTACACATCGCCCATCAAGGCACTGAGCAACCAAAAGTACCACGATTTCAAGCAGAAATATGATGATGTCGGAATTATCACTGGGGATGTGCAGGTTAATCCTGCTGCAAAATGCCTTGTGATGACTACGGAAATCCTCCGGAATCTTGTGTACAGGAATGGAGACCTGCTAAGAGACACGGAGTTCGTTGTATTTGATGAGGTCCATTATATCAACGACTCCGAGAGAGGAGTAGTGTGGGAAGAATGCATAATCATGATTCCCCGACATATAAACTTCATCATGCTGAGTGCGACGATCCCCAACAGCCTTGAATTCAGCGAATGGGTGGGAAGGACAAAGGATAAGACGATATATGTGATTTCAACGAGCAAGCGGGCGGTTCCTCTGGAGCATGTGATATATTGTGACTGGTGTGTGTATTCTATTGATGATGGGGGAGGAAAGAGGAATGCCTCCAACTTCAAAGGAGACCTGGTTCCTTTCAGTAAGAAGACCAGGCCCACTGGAAAATTCAAAATCCTGGATGTGGCTAACTTTGTTGTGAAAAAGAAGCTCACTCCGGCTATATTCTTCTGCTTTTCAAAAAGAAAGTGTGAAGACTATGCCGAGATCCTCAGGACTCTGAATCTAAATGACACAAAGAGCAGGGAGGAGGTAAAGCTATTCCTCAGCGAGGCTACCAGATGTCTTTCTCCCGAGGATAGAAACTTGCCCCAGGTTCTTAGCATGTCGTCAATGGTGCTGAATGGAGTTGCTGTCCACCATGGATCTCTGCTTCCTTTTGTCAAGGAGTGTGTGGAGCTTCTGTTTTCGATGAACCTAGTCAAGCTTCTCATAGCAACCGAGACGTTTGCAATGGGAGTGAACATGCCTGCAAAGTGCTGTGTGTTCTTGTCTCTTAGCAAGATCGATGGCGGAGTATTCCGGTACATCTCATCTGGAGAGTACATTCAGATGAGCGGAAGGGCTGGAAGAAGGGGAATGGATGCCGTGGGGACTGTGATGATAGCAGATCCGAAGATGCCATCTCTTTCGACCATCCAGGGAATAATACATGGCACACCGTTCAGCCTGTCCAGCCAGTTCAGGTTGAGCTTTGGGCTTATTCTTATATCATTAAGGTCAAACATCAGGGTTGAAGATTTGATGAGGAGGAGCTATGGAGAGCACAGAAGCCAGAGAAACTATGAAAGGGACATGAAGAAGCTGTCTGAGCTGGAATCCGTGGAGGAGGATGTATGCAATGTGTGTGGGGATCTGTCGAAGTATATTGGTGCCGTTGAAGAGATATGTGCCAGAAACTGGAAGCTGATTGCAAAGCACCATGTTTTGAAAGAAGGAAGCAGGGTTCTATTGAAGAACAATGCTGTGGGAACTGTTGAGAGGGTCTCAGGAGCAACAGTGTTTCTAAAGCAGAAGGACGAGGCTCTGGACAATGGTACTCCGATTCCCACCAAGTTCTTGGCATATCCTTTGGGCACTAGGAAGCCTTTGGACAGAAGCAAGGTCACCTTCGAGAACATCTTCTGTGTTCTTGATGGCGAGAAGGCTCTCTGGAATTACGAAACAGCAAATGTAATGGATGTGCTAGAGATAAGGAAGATAAAGAGCCTGTACGACTACCTGCTGTCTGAGCAGCAGGTCTGCAGGGAATTTGACCAGCACTACTCAAATGCACTGAGAGTGCACTGTAAAAGAAAAGAGATGAATGACATAAAGATTAGATACAATGTTTGCAGCCTTGGGATGATAGACGAATATAACAGAAGAATGGAGTTTCTCAAGAAAAAAGGATTTGTTGAGGAGATGATAACAATAAAGGGAAGAGCAGCGGCCGAGATACACACGGTCAACGAGGTCTTGGTTGTTGAGATGATCTTTTCCAATGAGTTTAGGCAGATGGACGGACGGAAGATCGTTTCGTTGATGTCATCAATGATACACGAGGAGGCTGACGGGCAAGAGTTAGGAAAGGCCCTTTACGACGAGTGCAAAAGAATGGATGAGTGCTTCAGAGAATTGTCCAGAGACCTGGATGAACTAATGATTCCTCCGTTTACACCTCTAAACTTCTCTCTTGTTGATGCAGTCTATGACTGGTGTAATGGATCATCACTGGGGAAGATAGTGTCTAGGTACAATGTCCTTGAGGGTACTTTTGTAAGGCTAGTTTTGAGGCTCGAGGAGTGCTGCAGAGAGCTGATAAGTGTGTCCACGATGATAGGAGACAAGAGCCTGGAAGAGAAGATTGGTGATGCGTCGGCGTCCATGAAGAGAGACATCATATTCCTACCCAGCCTGTACCTTTAAGAATAAATTTGGAGTCTTCCAGCTATTTATTTTCTGCGGAGTCCTTCCATCTTGATATCAGGGCATCTTTCCTCTCGAAACTCTTATAGAGAAACTCCTTATAGTCGGCTATTTCATCAATTGGAACAACCCTGATGTCACAGTTGAATGATCCTGTCGTATCCCAGAGGAGGAACTTCCACAACGGTGGGACCTCTCCTTCCGAGTAGAAAAATGTGACATCCACAATCTTCTTTATCCTGGAGTTTCTGAGCTGTTCGCATATGAGCTTGAATCCTTTGTATCTAGGAAGAAGCACATTGTTCAGCCTTACCATGTTCTTCTTGTCCGAATACTCCCAGCTCCTCAGCTTTAGCTTCTCAGTGAATCTGGATCCCTCTGGATAGAGAATAAACCACATCGGGATGCTCGAGATCTTAAAGAAGTCGAAGTACTTTACGATTTTCTTTTCATCATCCTCAAAGTTCCTTTTCAGAACCAGAAAGCCGGCATAGACCACTATCTGGTAAAACACAGGAAAAATCCTCAGTCCATCCTTGATCGCATACTTCATGTGGGCAATCATGTTGTTCCTCCTGGCTATTTCATTGATTAGAATGAAGTCTACAGACCCTACGTGGTTACTGATCACAAGATAGCTCTCATCTCCAAGAGCTATACTGCCGTTCACCGTACTCGAGAGATTGAACATCCAGCTTATCAAGGTCCAGAGGGTGTACGTGAAGAATGTTGACAGGCGAATACACAGAGGCTTATCTAGGATGTATATAGGGTATGCCAGCGCAGAAAATGGAATTCCAAGGAGAAACAAGACCACCACTCCTTGAAGCATCACCAGCTTCAGAAATATCCTGAGAGCCCTCCTCATTGATGGGTCTATTTGATTCCGCAGCCATTTACATGACCCCTGAAATAGAATGGGATCAGGGTCTAGCTATCCGGTGAGCTTCGAGTCCTTGGAGGCTTTTTTCGAAATAGTGAGAAATGAAAGATACTTCAAGATCCAGATTATAACTCTCGAATCCCTGGAGGTGTTTGAAACTGCTCTAAGAGATGAAAGGATTGAGTACGTGAGGTGCTTCAGCTCTATGATTAGAGAGTCCGAGCTCCCCATCCTTATTCTTAGAGATTCCGATATACACCTTCCTAGGCCTGGAAGGTATATTTTGTTTAGCAACAAGCGCTGTGGGGGCTTCGTACAGATTGTGTTCAATCCAACTCTCTCAGAGAAGCTTGCCATTGTCGGGGACATGTATGTCGTCCAGGCATACAGCTACAAGAATATTAGCGAGCTTCTGAAGGTTGCCAGCAAAGAGAAAGACGAGATGGAGAGTTATTTTGGAAGTGGGTTAGACTACTTTGAGAGTGTGATAATGCTTGTTGTAAGGAATAGAAGTAGATTTAGGGACATCCTGTGCGGTGCTAAAGAGATGGATGATAAGCTAGGAAACAGCTTTTTCCTACAGATGAAGCTCAATGGACTGGTCGATAAGCTTTTTGTGGTTAGAAATGGAGATAGCTACCGGGTGAATGTGAGCGAAGGTGTTCTGAGGTCTATAGGAGAGAGAATAGGGTTTGATGCAGGCTCCGGTGTCTAAGCCCGGTGATCTAGGAATGAGAGTGTTTATGGTGCTGTTAAAAATGGCCTGGGGCCTTACCGATCCCTTGTTTCTGATGGAAGATCTACGAGCAAAGTATGAAAGATTGCTGGAAGCGCGCGCGAATGCTAAGCCCAGTGAGAACATGGTTGGAAAATGTATGACCTTCTGCCCAGAGCTCGAGGGTCTGGAGCGGGTACTGAACAACGATGTGTCTCCCTATGAGGCGGAGGTGATGATAAAAAAATATCGTAAGCCATCTTCGGGAAAGCATAGGGAGCTTCCCGAGGATGTAAGGCCAGTGGAGGTGCTTGTTGGCGTAATAAACCATGTCATCAAACTCTGTGCCGGTGATCAAAGCATTCGGATGTACAGGTTTGCAGATAACGGAATCAGGGCTGTCATATCAGACATGAGGATTCAAAACGAAAAAGGCAAGGCTGCGATTGAAATACTTGAAAAGGCAGCCAGGTTTTACATCGTCTTCCGGTATTTGCTGCACGACCATCCTCACTTCAACAAGGACATGAACTTAGGACAGCTCAAGGTTGTGATAGCCAGCCTCATAAGGCTGTACGGACTCGGGGAGGCCGGGTGCAAAGAGAAGGATAACCGAGAGGAGTTTTACTGTTATCACATTCTGGCATCCATGGGGGAGAGATACGTTGCAGGGATCCAGGGATGGATCGGTGGGGGAAGATGTAGACTGCCTACAGAAATCACGAAGAAATACATGCAGAACAACGCATCTGGATTCTTTAGGCTCCTAAGAAGACTTGATTATCTTGCGTTCTGTTTGGCACAGTCGTTTGCAGGAGAGATCAGGGCAAAGTCTGTCCAGATGTTCAGAAAGTCTCTTGCAGAAAAAGTGAATATTGAATTCTTTGGAGATGTCCTGTGGGCTGATGAGTCCGAGATTGAGGAACTGATGAAGAGAAAAGGAGTTGTGGTGAAGTCTGGGAAGGTGGATTTTGAGGAAAAGGGAGGTGGAGAGGAATATGAGAAAGTCGTGCCTAGTAGCAGAAGAATAGAGACAAGCGTGAAAGCCCCCATAGTGTTTATGCTTCATGGATGTATTGACTATAAGATCTCAACGGCTATTCTTTGTGCAGTACTCCGGAAAAGACTTGAGGCTCTTAGGTTGCCTTTAGGTGACCGGCACCCTCAGGATGAGGATAGGGAGCGTTCTGCGGGGAATAGACTGTTTGCAAAAAAAATGTGTATTGCCATCCTGGACGAAGTTGTCCGAAAAATCGCTGTCGAGGTATTCTCCAGGATTATGCTCCTGAACACACTGAGAAGGTATCTTACGGGGTGGAAGGATGAGGCAGCGAAAAGGAACAAGAATGCCCCAGTCAAGAACAGATATCTTCTGCTGGTCGTCCTAGATAGAGAGATATCCTCAGTCTCGTTTATGGGATGCATCAACTCCTCTGTCTTGAATACGCTTGTACCTGTGATCACGTATATCGATAAAACAACAGTAGACGAGATGCTGATGTACAATCTTTGTGTCTTTTCTGTCTCAAAGAGCAAGCGTGAAGAGATATACAGCAGATATCGTATGATCAACCTTATTGCTGACACACCCCAAGGCCTCTCCAAAAGGGTCGAAGAAATCTACGAAAGAGCTGTGAACGCATTGAAAGTCAGGAAGTCTACTCTGTTTGCCTTCATCGATGGAATGGACAAGGTGCAAGCAATAGAAGCGATAGTCAGGCTGATAGATAACGGGAGGAATGGAGACATCCTGGAGGGCAACCTTGCTTTGTTATACGAGGGCAAACCGCTTGTCGAATGCGATATTTATTACGAAGAGGAAGGTGTTGATTAGATTTGCTTGAACCAGTAGCTTTTTAAGGCTTTGATTAAACTGTTAATTTATGGGCTTCAGGTCTGTCTCCACAGATCTATGCTGTTGCACAGCAAAATGAAGGATGTGTATCATCTGAACGAGAGACTGTCTCTCCTTACAGAGGCTTTTTCTGTGCTGAATATCTTCCAGAACTTCAGGTTTTCGTCTGCAGATACAGAGGCCAGCTCGGACCCATCGGGACTTAGGGCTACATGAAGAACCCTCGAGTTGTGCTTCCCAAAGGAGGAGATTAGGTTCATTGTCGAGGCCTTCCATATTCGAATGTCATTCTCGCTGTACCCATGCGAGGAGATGACTTCTTTGTACTTCGGAAGGTATGTAAGAGTGCACACCTGGGATTGTGTGTCAATGCTCCTCTCCATCTTATTCTCCACAACATCCCAGAACTTTATGGTCATGTCCTTTGCCCCTCCTCCGGAAGTTAGTATTCCTGACCTCCATGGGCACCATGCAAGCGCCTTAACAGCAGATTTGTGCCCTGAGAGCGTTTGCGAGTTGTTATTTCCGAGCTGCCATATTCTTATTACATTGTCGTTCCCCCCACTGGCCAAGTACTTCATGTCTGCACTCCATGCTAGTCCGCATATCTCCTGCGAGTGTCCCCCAACCACGGAGATCCGCCCAGACCTTATGTCGAAGTTGCACAACCTTCCTGCCTTGTCTCCACTGCTTATTACGTTCCCGTTCCAGCTCAGCGATGAAACCCTAGCGTTGTGGTTCCTTGCTTTATGTACTTCCTTGTTCACCGAAATGTCTATGAGACGTATCGTTCCATCGGAGGTGCCAACACAGAGAATGTTTCCACTACTCTTTACTGATGATATGTAGTTCTCTCCTGCATGAATTTCGGTTACGCTTTTGTCGTCCACGTTGTATCCATACACCGACTCTCCCAGGCCTATGACCACGAAGTTAGTGGCGCTCCAGTCCAGCAGATTGAGATAGTAGTCATCCACCATTCCTGGAGCATCGAGTATTCTGTGCGGGGACGTGTCGATGACTCTGTTTTCTATGCGGGCGCTTCTCGAGGATGTCATCAGCCTTATACTTGCCAACACGCTCGTATGTATTCCTATTGTAGTTTTGGTATATCTATCCTCTTTTTGTGCCTGCCTTCTTCCTGTTGTTGTGAATATGTCGCCTAGGTTTATGTCCATTGGTCGGATATGTTCAAGGGTAAACATGCGGGATCTAAGGACAACAATTTTGTTTTATTGATTCGTGTGGAAGTATTCTGGCGCGCCTGGCATCTGAGAAGCCCAGGATGTCTATTTCTGCCTGCACATCTAGACGCAATTTTTTACCCACAAATGAGAGTGAAGAGGCCGAGCGAGAGAAAGACTTTGCTCTCAGTGATCTGCTGCACTGAGGGTGAACGAATCCAAAAAGAGATAGGCGTTATCAGAGGAGACACAGTTCACATGCATGAAAAGACAAGTCCTTCCGGCTCTGTAGAGAAGATCGAGAAACTGATGAAGAAGAAGAGGTCTGGGCTGTTCCTTTCAGTGACCAAGGAAAGGCACCTTGTTATTGGGCGTGCCTTCAACGACGAGCTCATAGACATGGTTGAGTTCAAGATAAACAGGTACTTGTCTGTGTCTGACTTCGAATGTGCCGGTCCGGAGTTGCACATGAAGTATTTTGTGGTTCTGCAGAACATCAACAACAGCCGGCTGGAGAATCTTGTGGTGGATTTCTTCAACATGAAAAGCAGCAAAGTCTGCTTGGAAAGCGTCAGATACTCTTGGGTTTTTGCGAGGACAGAAGAGGGATATGTGCTGAAATATGTAAGGGTTCTGAAGGATCTTAGCGTCGAAGACTGTGGGCCTCTGCTTGAGATGGAGCTTGTTCGGAGCTACCATTGCAGCGATGAGCTCTACAAAAAGTCGCTGGGTGAGCCAAGCAAGCCTAGAAAAAATACAGCCAAGAACCTGTTCAGCGACAGGATAGGGACACTCCACATAGACAAGCAGGATCTCAGGGACATCAGACTCAAAAAGAGCAGGGGATACAACGGTGTTTCTAGCTGGAGTTAGCTATTTTCTAAGGACGGGCAGCAGGTAATAAAGCCAACTTTCTCCATTAATGGTCTATCCCCTTTCTTGCAGAATGGATCTTGAAAAAGAGGTTACAATCCAGGTGAATCTCATGGAGCCGAAGGAGATCGATCTTAGGAAGAAGACAAAACAAAAGAAAAGGAGGCAAAGGACGGACGAGTATGACTACAACGACCCGTTCATAGAGCCCTTTGAGGGAGAGACGGAGATGGTGATGATAGAATGCAACCTCGAGGATTTCTTTGTGTACAAGGGAGAGCTGCCATATAGTGCCAAGAAGGTGCTGAGCGTGCACAAGGCAAAAGAAAAATCCAGGCTTGCAAAGAGCTCAAACACAGACTCTTGTCCTCAGGAGGCCGGTGGAAAAAAAGAGGGGACAGGGGGCTCGGCAGTCTCAGAGACACCTACAAAGAGGAGACGTGGTAAGATCCCAAAGAGCGACACCAAAATCTGTGACTGCCTTGCTGGCCTCATCAAGTCCGAGGTCGACAGGCTAGAGCTGTCGATTCAGTCCGAAAGCACCGAGGTGGAACGCTATGTACATCTGATGATCCTTGAAACATTTCAGCAGGAAAGGGGAATTGAGTTCTGGCATATTGCAGGTCCTAAAGCCACCAAGAGGCCATCGGATGAAGAAATGGCGAGATGCCTAAGAGAGAAGGAGTCAAGAATGGATGTTCTATTCGATGCAATCGCTAGGGAGATCCGGAACTATGACCTTTACTCAGATGACCTCTCTCTGTTCAAAGGCTTCCAGAAAGAAGACTTCCTATTTAACGCATGCGAGTACTTTCTACTTTTTATTAAGATTTCGTTTCTCAGCCAGAAAGATATGTCGTTTAATAGAGCAAGGAAAGAGGCCTATGGCAACATTCTTGCTCTTTTTCCCGACACATGCAGAAACTCAACGCAGGCCCAGTACTACCTTGCAAAGCACATCTCGCAAACCTGTGGAATCAGAGGCCTTGGAGCGCCCAGCAGTGGGAGGCATGAGGGGGAGAATGCAGAGGACGATGTGTCCTCAAACTTGGAAAGAATGGAATAAGAAGCCCTAGAGGCAGGAGCAGTTCATATGCCCATACACCTTCTGGGTATGATAAAGTTAGCTACCCAAGTATCCTTTTCCTCACGATTTCAACAACCTCCCTCACTGGAAGAGTTCCATCAACAACAAGGGTGTTCTCTTCCTTCTTGAGGAGTGCTTGGTATGCAGAGAGAACTTTCTTCAAAAACGGAACAGTATCGTGGATTTCCGTTCCAAACCCCTTTCTCCTGCATATCTCATCCATGGGAACATCTATGAATATAGTCAGGTCGGGCTTGGGAAGTAGAGCCTCGGACGCAATGCACCAGTCCAAGCTTAGACCCTTGGCTACGGAATACGCTATCCCGCTCATCGAGTAGCGGTCACAGAGAATTATGGTATCCCTCCTGAGCTCTTCAATCATGAGTCTGTGTTCATATCTATCTGCACTGAATAGTAGGTGGATGGTTTCGCTCTCCAGATTGGTTTTCTTCTGCAAATACCCGTCTATGATCTTGCCCACAGGGCCGCTTCTGTTTGGAAATCGGATCTTGCTGGTAGGCACAATAGGGAGCAGGCTTTCATACAGGCTTCCGACTATGGTCGTCTTTCCAGACCTATCCAATCCTTCAAACACAACAAACTTTCCTTTGGACATCAAATTCTGAAGGGCTTTGGAGCCGGGATCTCGAGATATAAAAAAGATTTAATGCCGCCAAAAATCAAGAATCTCTATCACCAGGAGGGCCTTCAAGCCTCCCCACCTTGGCCACTACATCCGTAATACCTGTTTATCTTTTCCTTAAGCTCAGCATCTTCTATAACCATATCCTCCGTAAGGGGCATCCTGTTAAACGGATCTATTCCTCCGTTCATCATCAGCATATCATATGTGGATCTGTCTACAGTTATTCTCGAAGTCAAGAGCTTCACAGGGTTTCTTATTGGGTTGAATGTCAACGGATCAATAAACTCGTCAGGGACGGACTCAACCTTCTCAATCACCTCGACTTTCTCCAGCCTATCTATGAGGCTTCTCAGCTCCTCCACTTGTGATTCATTGATGAGGTACTTGTTTTCGCATATCCGAAGGGCCGTACGAAAAAAATCGATGTCAAAGTACATCTTGTCACTGGCCACCATCTCAACAAACTTACTGCTGCGAATCCTTATGTAGACCATGACCATTCGCCTCAGGAGATTCTTTGCATCAAATCCATACTGCTCTGGAGATTTTATCACAAGATCGGTGCACTTGGGCCCGGTGATGATCTTCAGGTTGCAGTTCAAGACCCTTACAAAGTTCGAAATCATCTCGTCGACCAGGAATAGGTCGGGCTTCTCATCAAGAATATGTGTGAACAAGTCGAAGCATCCGTCAACGTACAAAAAGGAATTTCTCGCCTTGTTTTTTGAGAAGCGGATGCTTTTCCTTAGCGACCCTATTCTCTCGCTAATCGACTCAATCTTCTTTTCCTCCACCCTCTCTTTCTTAGCCTCGTCCAGCTCCCTGCTCAGCTCCTCAACAACCTTCATGTCCTCCTTTATGTCCTTGATGGATGAAAGACCCTCAGACAGGCTGTATTCAAAGTCCTTCATCATGCAGTTGATGAATGTGATGTTTCTTCTGCAGACATTCATTCTGGAAAACACTTTTCCTTCCTTAAAGATCGAGTGGATGATGCTTCTAGGCTCCATTCGCATCTCATCTCTTCCGAGAGAGTTGTAGTAGTCTATTATCCGGTTGAGCATTGTAAACTTTATTGCAGAGCTCCTATGGCTCACTATCTTCACGACCTCTTTCTTGAATATAGGACTCCTCCAGTCCATGATGCTCTCCATCACCTTGTTTAGCGCGTTTGAAATCGTTGCAGACTTTATCAGATCAAGTGTCATCTCTTGCATCCACAGAAGCGTCTTGTAGTAGAAGTCTGGCCATGGATACTCGACTTCAGCAGTGTATTCTGTCATGAAGTCGGTGAATGGTTTTTCATCTGCAAAGAGATCCGTCATGAAGAGAAACCCGTTTAGTGCGCTCATCTTCGAGTCTATGCCCTTTCTGTATGCCTCCATCCTTTCCCCGCCATCCCCGTCAAGAAGCCTGCACTCATATGCCAGGCTTCTAATGTACTCTCCAAACTTCACACATGACGTAAATAGAAGATGAATCTTAGTGAAGTAGCAAAACGTCGGAAAAGAGTCCAAGGAGATCTCTTCCACATTCTCGGGATTTATCTTGTCTACCATGTCTCCGTCAATCACTTTCCTATTGAATCTGCTCATCACCATCGACATATTGTATGCAAATCCGTCACTTATGTTTTCCCGCCAGCTGAAAATAGTCTTGCTCCTTTCCTTACTGACCGATATGACCTTGGATACGTACTTCATGAAGTTAGCTTTCAGCTCCTTGGAAGACTTTACAATCGAGTGTATTATCTGGTGCATCTTGTATGAGTGGTCACTTAGGGTGCGGTAGGATCTCCTTGACTTCTCCACTACTTCTCTTGTGGAGATTCCAAGATAATCAAGGGCAGGCGCCGCATAGTCGCACTTCTTGTATATGAAAGGCTCGAAAAATCCGTCAAGAAAGCAAGGAAACCCGCACGGAAATCCAGAGTATATAGGAAAGTCGAGAATGACATCTTTCCCAGGCCTGGTGTTACCCAGCCCCCAATATACCTCGTTCTTGAGCTCCTCAAGGACACCATGGAGCCCGGTCAGTGCCTCGAGTGCAGATGTGTAGTTGGCTATGTTTGATGCTGCATCCAATTGCGAACATTTGAATGATAGTCCATATATCATAGGAAGAAGCATCTTCCTTGCCATTCCTTCAATCTCACTCAGCTTTTCAAAGCACTCCATGACATCAAAGTACGATGCTCCAAAGGTATTTGTAACAAGAGGGATGAGGGCTACCGGGCTGAAGGCAGACCCTGCCATCTCTGGATTGTTTACTATCATTGCTATTGTCTCAATAAGAAACTTGGCGCTCTCTTGACTGTAGGATGACTTGTACCTTGGAATTAGGGTCAAGAGGATGTTTTCACTGGAGTTGTTGGTGATGTACGATAGTCGGATGCATTCTGCCTCATCAGCTTCCACAGGATCCATGTCTGCAGGCATCCCGTGGCCAAACACTTCGTATAGCTCTCTTCTATTCATTCCAGGGTATTCCATGAAAACAATTGAATGGTGATAAACAAGTCAATATCTTCACAGACCGGAGCAGGGTATCCTGCCTTGCACCTGCCGGAATCTGAGGTGAAGCACCTGCTTTGTACTGTGTATGTTAGAATAACTCTTTCCTTTGATACCCCAGTTCGGCAGGAATGAGCACCCTATATGACAGGCTACAAAGCATTGAAAAGGAGATCGATAGGCTATGCCTGGGCAGGAAGCTGAATATAGAGGCTGAGTATCTCAAAAGAATCAAGTGCAAGAAGTTTCTGAGATGCTATGTTAGGGTTGGGATGAAGAGGGGCGTGTTCATACGCCTTGACAGTAGGGTGATCAATGACTACAAAAATGGGGGAGAAATGAAGTTTTCTGACGTTGTAAAAAGGCTCTGCATTGTATTTGATAGCAACCTTCCTTCAACGACCGATATCCATGCTAAGCTGTCTAGCGAGACGGGTGGGCGAGACGGAGCTACGGAGGAGATTCCTAGAGATGACTGGGGTAGGTCAGATTCCATGCACGCCAAAGACGTATCTATGGAAGACTTCTTCGAGTGGACGAAACACAGTGGAGATACGGAGGCACTTGAGGTGAGTAGCGACAGAACTCCGAGCAACATAAAACTGATCTTTGATCTTGAGAACCCACGAGAAATCTTTAGACTGTCTACAAAACTGGGCAATCTTCTGATGAGGTACACAGACACAAAGCCAAACGTGGTAACACACCTGTGGAGGTATGTAAATAAGAATGGGTTGATGTCTATTGATTCAGACGTAGTCGAATGTAACCCGCTGCTAAAAGACATTCTTGGGGTAGACAGATTCTCCTTTCCGGAACTTCCTGGTCTCGTGGTGCCCCATCTGTGCCCTCTGGACTACCTAGTGGTTGACATTCCTCCTATTGATGGCCATACAGAGATTTTCGATATCCCATTCGAGTGGGACGACCTATACCAATGTCCCACCCTTTACACCAAGAGAATCCATGCTCTTGATAGAAAGGTGGAGTCTCTTAAGCAACTGCTGAAGAGATGTGAGGAAAGAGAGAATGTTTTGAATGAATTCGAAAAAGACCCCGTGGCATTTATCAACAGATGGATATGTATTGACATGAGTGACGCATGTCACAGGGCATCTCTTTTCCGCAACAAGGATGTGCAGGAGAAGGTCTTTGAGTTGCTTAAGAAATTAGAGTAGCTTGAATGTCTCAACCTGGCAATATTTTAATTAAAGCCCTTGTCCTAAAGCCAAGCACAGAACACGTCAAACCTCCCAATCGGTACATTATGTTGTCAGTATGTTATATGACATATAAACCATTGACACCAAGCTGCCAACCCCGAAGACTGCAGCCATACCAGACATCAGGTCCATCTTCTTACTGAAATGAAGATAGTATATGCAAGGATAAGTGAACGAAACTAGATTGACGGCAGTGGCCCCAATCATCTTCAGTATAGTGTCAATGTTGAGCTCCTTTATGAGCCCCAGGACCAGAAACATAGACATCATCACGCACACTACCTTCCTTCTTACTATATCCTCGTTGCTTCCCTCTTTCATAAAGTAACCAAGAGACATTCCAGCCAATGGGTTCATCTGAACGGGAAATCCTCCAAACAGAACCAGCATTGCCCCAAAGCATGCTATTCTTGATGACACCGCATACTTATCGATGGTGTGGCTCATAAGATACACATTGATGTTGCTCTTGGGATTTATCAGTATGTCGATTATCGAACTTTTTATCGAGTGTCCAAGCACAATGTATCCGCAAAGCCCGACACTTCCATAAATAAGGGTACCAAAAAATGCGGCCCCCACTGCAACCTTAACAATGTTGCCCACAGACTTGTGCTCCAGCTCGGTGTATGTCTTAACCATGTTGGCCTGGCACGACAACGCAAGTATAAAGCAGGAGACACCGCTTGAAAATTCAGATCCAAACCTCTGGATGGGCTCGTCTGCACAACTCCCTCCAATAAATAGACAGTACACAACCATAAGCATCGCGAGATAGCTTACAGATGCAACCGTGATGTATGATGTCACCTTGAGGTTGGATAGATTCTTCTGCAACGATAGCAGGAGGAAAGGAACTGCAAGGGCAACAACAACCATCTTCCGCCCTATCTCAGGGTCAACATACTCTCCTATTGGAAACATCATTGTAATAAGCTCTGCAAGGTATCTGTAGAAAACCACATTTACGCCAAAGCACCCGCTGAATATGGACATGTCCACCAGAGTCTTGAACGGCTTTGAAATCTGGGATGACAGCGACGAGTATGTTGGGTTTGGCTCCTTAGACTTGTTTGCTGCAATGGAAATCGCATACAGAGAGAAAAACGTCAGCACCCCAACTATATTTATCAGAAGTATGCCCCGGACATATCCGACACTCTTGAATGCATAGGGCATGTAGTTGATTCCCGTCCCCATCATTGACGTCACCATCGTTACTACCGCAGATGTGACGCTTAAGCCATTTTTCATTTAGGGCTAGGGGCCTCCTTGTTTTTAAACCCCATTGCCATAAATGGAAGATTTCTTGGGTGGACTTAATGGGCTTGATTAAATGTCCTTGAATTAAATTCCTTTTTATTAGCTCTGGGTGCATTGAGCAGTGGTTTTTCTGGATGCCATGCAATATTTTCAAGGCATGTGGGGAAGATAAATGGATTTACACCCTTGGGCACCCGATATGGGAAGGATCTACTTTGCAACGACAAATCTGAAGAAGCTGAAGGAGATTAGAAGTCTTTTTGAGGCAGACATAGTGCACATGAACATCCCGATGGTTGAAATCCAAGCATCCCTGGAACGAATTGTGGACCACAAGCTCAACCAGGTGGTTCCGTGCATAGGGGAGGGCGATGCAGTGATTGTTGACGACACGGCAGTTGCTTTCGAAGGGCTGTATGGATTTCCCGGTGTTTACATCAAGGACTTTCTCAGGATAGGATCTCGAAAAATCTCAGAGATTGTAGGGAAGATAGGGAATAGCAATGCAACAGCATTCTGCTGCTTGGGGATTGCCCACTACAGGGACGGACGTGTGGTCAAGAAGGTGTTTTTCGGGGAACTCGAGGGCTCAATTGTGGAGTCGAAGGAGGACGGCCTGGAAGGCTTTGATTACATCTTTCTTCCCAGCGGGTCCTCGATGTGTCTTGGAGACATGCCTGTCGACGAGAAGAATAGAATAAGCCACCGAAGGATTGCAAGCAAAAAGCTGGCAGATTATATGGCGTCCGTTGGGATAATTAAGGCCCATGGCTCGTAATAGGCCGGCCTTGCGATATTTGGGTCCATCTCTGCTTGTGATAAAATTGCTGAGGATCCAGGGGTGAATGAAAGGAAGGAAGGGGAGATTTGCTAATGATAGGGCCTTGGTATTTGCAGAGGAGGAGGGAACTGTGTATGGACAAATAATATGCCCTCTTGGCCAAGGACAGTTCAAGGTGAGTTGTTCTGATGGTGTCTATAGAACGGCAAAAGTCCGTGGAAGAGATTACAGGCGTGTCAGAATGGTGCCTGGCGACATAGTTCTGCTGCGTGTCAGGGACGGCGACGAAAAGAGGGCAGATATCGATAGGAAATACATGCCAAAGGAGGTTAAGATACTGAAAGAAGATGGAGAAATAAACGATGATTCCTTTGCTGCCAACGATAAAGGCAGCGGATTAGTTGAGTTTGAAGAGTTTCTTTAGAGCAAGAATTAAAGATTTGATTTATTATTCTTGTGCAACTTTTCTCTGCAGATGCCCATGACAGAGTTGACAACGTCCAAGGATGTCGGAAATGCCATCTTCTCTATCTCTTTTGAGTAGGGTGTCGGAGTGTCTTTTCCGTTTATTCTTTGAACAGGAGCCATCAGCCTGCCAAAGCAGCTCTCATGTATTGTTGCTGAAAGCTCCGACGCAATGCTGAACGATGGCCAAGAAAAGTCAACCACAAACACGCATCTTGTCTTCATGGCAGACCTCAGTATTGTCTGGATGTCTATAGGTCTGATTGAGACAAGGTTGATCACTTCGCAGGAAATCCCCAGAGCTCCCAGTGCCTCTGCTGCCTCAAGGCATGTTTTCACAGAGAGCGAGATCCCGATGAGAGTGACGTCGCTGCCTTCGATCTCAACAACAGCCTTGTCCAGAGGCTGGACATATCCCTCCTCTATGTTCTCGTATGTGTCGTTGTAGAGTGTCTCATTCTCCAGGAACACTACAGGATTCTCGTCTCTCACTGCAGACTTCATCAGGCCTTTGTGGTCTTTCGCAGTGTATGGTGCGACAACCTTGAGCCCCGGGACAGCACCGTAGTAGCTACTGAAGTCCTGTGTGTGCTGGGCTGCATATCCTGGGTTGAATCCGTTGGGCCCTCTGAACACAATCGGGCAGTTGATTTTCCCTCCAGACATATACAGCGTCTTGGCGCATGAGTTAATTATGTGGTCTATCGATTGGAGCGCAAAGTTCCATGTCATGAAGTCCACTATTGGTCTCAGGCCGAGATAAGAGGCGCCGACAGCCAGACCCGTAAATCCCATCTCGCTGATCGGCGTGTCTAGAACTCTCCACTTTCCATATTTCTTATAAAGGCCCCCGGTAACTCCGTGGCTTCCTCCAGACACCCCCACCTCCTCTCCAAGAACGAACACCCTTTCGTCCCTCTTCATTTCTTCGTCTATGGCTTGGTTCAAAGCCTCTCGGACAGTCACCATTTCTGTGCTTTTCTTGCTGCATCACTTTATATCCCATAGCCGTTTCAAGTATCACATGCATTCCTGCCATTTGCTTCACCACATGAAACAGCCCCAATTCACAGCGCCTAAATACTATTCGATCCCCTAGCCCTTCCAAGGAGATGTCACAGCTGAGCTCGACCAAGAAAACATGGATGCTATTGAATGCATTGTTTGCAACAAACTATACACTATATCTCATGCTGCATCTGATCAGGATTCCGATATACCCATTGCCGAACTTTGTCAATATCCTATGCCTGGCATCATCATATGCAATTTCTCTGTTCCCGCACTTCTCGTCCATAGGAGAGATCCTATCGCAGTCAAACATCTACTGCATCATGGTGTTTTTCACGTTTCCCCACGAGGCTCTTCTCCTTCCATTTTATCTCCTGTCGATCTATCATCTCAGCTCCTTTGTGCTGTCGAACAAGAAGGTCTTCGAAAGAACTGCCATATACCCGGTATGCGTCTCTCTGTCTGTATACCACATTGCCCTTGGGAGGCTGGCTCTGTTCACAGAGGTTTTCACTGTTCCTCTCTCCTTTCTAATGATATTTCTCAGGAAATCAAGTCTTGTCACCTTCACTGCACTTGTCGCCATGGTGAGACAGCAATACTTCAACAACCCATCAATGCGAAGTGTTTTTGGAGAGATGCGTGTGTCTCTGGACAGATGGATCCTTAGCTGCCCACGCGATGTACAAGAGTATTACCGAAGAGGAAGAGACTTCCTGGTTTCAACCCATTCGCTCAAGAAGTTAAATTAAAAGACTTTAATCGATCCAATCCCTGTTCATTCCGTTTGTCTCACTAGGACCCTTGAGCCCCCAACTTTTTCGTATGGACCGTCTTCGGCATCGCTTATTATTTTGAGCTCGACGATCTTTCTACAGAGCGAGCGGATGAATCTTAAATCTGCGTGGTTGACGTCTCCTCCGGGAGCAATCTCCACCACAGCTTTGCTCCATCCGTTTGACTCTGCCTTCGCCCTTATGTGCCTTGTGATCTGCAGAGTTACGGAGAACTTGCTCTCATGCTCGGATCCGTCTGTTTCTGGATACGGTGAAACAGAAATCGAACCATTGAAGTAGTTTGAAAACACCTCCTCCGTGATAAATGGCATGAATGGATGGAGCATCTTCATCGAGTCGATGAACACTCTAAATAGCACCCTGATGTATTTCTCGTTCTTGCTCTTCTTAACAACCTCAATGAAGACATCGCACAGGTCGTAGATAAAGAACTGGTGAATTGCCTGTGTAGCACCCATAAAGTTGAATGAATCAAGCGTTCGTCGGATTTCTTCAACCGTCTCGTTCCTTCTCCTGAGAATCCATTCAACAGGACCCTCTTCAGAAGGACCCGGGAGCTCAGCAGAGGACACGATGTACTTCCCGTAATCATCCTTACACACAGGGCCATTCCCATTCTTCCCCGCTAGCTCGTCAACCATAGTCTTCACAAATTTGTGAGCATTCCATATCTTGTTGCAAAACCTTCGGTATCCTTCCACCCTAAGCACGTCCAAATTGATATCCTTCATTCCAGATGTGTATGAAAGTAAGGCGAATCTAAGCGCATCCGCCCCGCATCTAGATATCCCATTCGGAAAATCCTGCCGCAGAACTGCCTCAGCCCTCTTCACCTCCCTCTCATCGAGATTCCCGCTCCTCATTGTGGATATAAGCTTCTCGAGAGAGCACCCGTCGATCACAAAAATCGGATCGATGACATTTCCGAGGCTCTTGCTCATCTTTCTTCCATGTGCATCCCTCACTATCCCGTGGAGAAGAACCTGACTGAAGGGCACCTTTCCTGTCAACTCAAGGCCCAGCATCACCATCCTTGCAACCCAGAAGAAGAGAATGTCACTCCCCGTCTCCAGCAAGGTATTCGGATAGTATTTCAGAAAGTCTTCCGTTTCCTCAGGCCAGCCTAGCGTAGCAAATGGCCATAGCCCGGACGAAAACCAGGTGTCCAATACATCCTCGTCTTGTTCAAGCTCGGAGAGATCGCAGTCAGACCCCATACACTCGCTTCTCATCTTCAGAAACGCATCTTCCTTTGTTCTTCCGACATACCACTTTCCAGACGGCGCTTTGTACGCAGGTACTCGATGTCCCCACCACAGCTGTCTGGACAAGCACCAGTCCCTGATATTTCCAAGCCATTTGTACCACTGCTTCTCCGCACCTTCTGGTAATATACTTATCCTTCCATCCTCAACAGCCTCAATGGCCTTTCTGGCCATCTCCTTACAGTTCAGCCACCACTGACTCTTGATAATGGGCTCTATGACATCGTCAGATCGGGAGCACCTTGGAATCACCTGGGGATGCCCCTTCTTGCTAACAAACAGCCCAACGTCTCTAAGCTTGGAAACAACAGCCTTCCTCGCCTCAAACCTCTTCAGCCCCTTGAACTCACCCTCCACAACCACTCTATTTTGTTCGTCAAATACAACCTTGCATGGAAGTCCGTGCCTCTTGGACACTTCAAAGTCATTTGCATCGTGTGCTGGAGTTATCTTCACCACCCCGGTTCCGAAACTCATGTCTGCATAGTCATCAAAGATAACAGGAATCACATCTCTAGTTAGTGGATTCACCCCATAAATCCTGCATCCATGTGGAACATCTCCAAGCATCTCCTTGATTCCCTCGGGACTGAACCTACAGTCCCTTCCGTTCACACACACTGCAGTATCTCCAAGGATGGTTTCTGGTCTTGTTGTTGCAACCTCAATGGTCGGCAGGGAGAGATGGTCTCCAGAAAACCCTTTGTCGGCAGTTATTGGATACTTAAAGTGGTAAATCACCCCAAACTCGTATTTCCCCCCGTCCACCTGGAGATATGTGTTGGGCATCACCTCCTCATGGTTCACCTCAAGGTCGCTTATCGTTGTCAACAGCCTGCTGCACCAGTTCACAATCTTCGGCTCGCGATATATAAGGCCCTTCTCATAAAGCTTTACAAATGCATCGGCAACAGCCCTGCTCATTCCAGGGTCCAGAGTAAACCTTTCCCTGCCGAAATCCACACTCGTCCCCAGCCTCTTGAGCTGTTCGTATATCCGAGATCCATGCCTGTCCTTCCATTCCCAAGCTTTCTTCAGAAACCCTTCTCTGTCAACAACAATTCCTTCTCTTGCCAGCTGCTTAGACACAACATTCTGTGTTGCTATCCCCGCATGGTCCGTTCCAGGAATGTACAGAACTTCGTATCCGCACATCCTCTTGTACCTGCACACTGCATCCTGGATAGAAACCATCATCGCATGTCCAATATGGAGGCTCCCCGTTACATTTGGAGGAGGAATGGGAACAACATATCTTGCCCCTCCCTCGACAGGCTTGAAGAGCCCCTGCTCCTCCCAAAGCTTGTACCATTTGCCCTCAACCTGCAGCGGGTCGTATCCTTCCTTCCTGTACTCCTTCCTGGGTTTTGAAACACCGATCTCCAGAGTCTTCTTGGCCAGAAACTTCTCAAGCTTCTGCCTCTTCTTCTCGTCCTTCGCCATCTTCTTCCTTTCTTTCAGAGCTTCCTTCGAAGAGTCCATCCTTTGCCCAGGACAAAAATAAACCAAAAATATCCATTCCGCAGATTTTATTACTGTTGAATATTCCCCTGCCCGTCTGCATTCACAGAAGAGACTTTATGTACAATCCCAGACACGAGTTTGAAGAGTAATCCAATGAGTTGGAGATACTGCACTTGCATTTGGACCTCATCGACGCCTCTCGAGGGCAGTGTTGGAATGGAGGGTGCTCATACCCTATATCACTGAAGAAGTGAGTCTGATCCTTATCCAGGAAGAGAGATGCAGCAATGCTATGAACTGGGGCATCTCCCCATCTCTCGTAGAAGAACCCTCCAGCTTTGTCCAGCCAGTCAAAGTACTTTTGGTACGTCTCGCTTCTGAAAAATCCAAAGCTTGCTATCTCGAAGTTTGACCAGAAGTGGCATCCGTTGTAGGATCCATCCTTGTTCAGGATGAACCTGTTTCCATCCACCTTTCTAATCGAGTTCAGGTTCTGTGTTATGAACTTTAACACCTCTCTAAAGAGACCGGGAATCGTATCCATGAATTCAACCAGCGATATCACAAATCCATATTGCTTGTTGTTCTCCCTTAGGTATGTAAATGGGTCGTACTCTATTTGACACAGAAACTTCACGTCGGGCTCTATCCTCCAATAGTAGTCGTATTTCTCGACCAGCTTGTTTCTATAAAAAAACCCGGAGAAGAATCTGCACATCTTCCTGTACGATAATGACCCTCCATAAATAATCTTTTTGTCTTCCATCTTCATCATCTCCTCCTTTGCCTTCTTCATGTCTATCCACTTTGGAACCTCCCACTCCTCGGGCTCGAGCTTCCCAAACTCAACGGTGCTAGACGTAACGTCTCTTATGGACTTCTTGAAGTCCTCAGTAAACTCCTCGTCGTTCAGGAACACGTATGGATATCCAAAGTTCTTATTGAACACCTCCTCGAAATTCTTTATCGTCTCTGTTATCCCGTTCTTGTCGCTGTTCCTGCAAAGAATCAGGATCACAGCATTCTCTCTGCAAATTGCCATTCCAACAATCAGCAGCGGCAAAAGCATTCTCTCTTCTTCTGTTGACACATACGATTTGTTATTTATGCTTCAGGTTACTGATTTTCGATGGAGCCCGGCCACTTAGTGGAGGTAAGCAATTATAGGTCCAGACAATAGGCTCTATCCCAATAAAGACCAATCGCCTGGGGAGAGTTGTAATAAGTAGATTCACAGAATCTTGTTTGAACTAAGGACACCCACAAGCGCCCTTTCAAGTCCCCCGGGATATCTGTCGTTGCTAATACGAATAAATCTTCTAAGAACGCTAGATAATGCATCCAAGCTCTGTGGGATGCTAGAAGTGATCAGAGTTCCTGCTCTTTTCCCGTTGCATGTCACAGGCCCTGCATCCACTTCCACAAACAGCGCTTCTCTGGACGCCCCGATTCTCTTCCCCGTGCTCTCCATGGGATTTTCTACATTGAATCTGAAAAGCATAACCAGAGCCTCCTTCTCCTTTGGAACCCCGACGTCAAATCCGCTGCACTCAAGCTCGAAGACGTTGTTTCCCATCAAATACACCTCCCCTCCGTTGCCCTCCACCAAGTACACTGGGCTCTCTGATTTGTACTTCGACACCTTGTATGCCACTGCATTGGCTCTGCTTTGCACCATGCACAGGTGCCCAAGAAGCTTCCTAACCTTTTCATATCCCTCTGCAGTGTAGATCATGCGATATACACAGGGATCATTATCCCAGATTTATGCTCCATGGCGCTGGCTCCCACTTCCTCTGCAATATCCGGGTCACTAAGAAGCAGCATGCTGAAACTTCTAATGAGACTGAAGTCAAGGACTCTTGCAACAAGGCTCAGGCTGTACGAGATAATTATTGAGATGCAGGAGCTTGGAATCACTAGGAACGAGAGGGAGATCTTCTACATGGACGTGAATGTATTTAGGACGCAGTCTGTTGTTAGGAGGCTGGTATCCAGCATTGCATCCGAACTCCAGATTTCTAAGCACGATCTCGGCGTAAGAAATACTCTCAAGGGAATCTTTATTGGAAGACTAGGTTTTGTCAGACACCACGGTCTCGGCATGGTGGAGATGTCTTCGAAGGGAGGCTGTCCACAGCTCATCCCGGACATGTCAGACATAGCAGAGGTGTTATGTGACTACAAGAAGACTGTGGTTGTCGAGAAAGACACAGTACTCCAGAGAATAGCCTCAGAGATCGAAAGGGAAAAGTGTCTTGAGGAGATATTGTTTGTGTGCGGAAAGGGATATCCGTGCAAAAACACGGTGCTATTGCTTAAGATGATAGAGCACAAGACAGCTGTTGCCGGGTTATTTGATCTTGATCCATTCGGGATCCACATCTTCTGCATTTACAAGTACGGAAGTAAGGAGACTCCGGATATCAGGGTCGAGACCATCATGAGAATCGGGGTGTGCATGGAGGATGTCCTTGAAAAGAATGCCTACAAGGATGTCTTTGTAAAGCTGAATGTGCACGACTTGAAGATGATCAACAGGCTCGTAAGATTCGGGGAGCTCTCCGCCGATCTACTATTTCTTCGGAAGATCGATGGGAAGGTTGAGATGGAGGCTCTTTTCAGCAAAGAGCCGAGGAGGTTGAGGTACTTCCTTTTCCGGATGCTGGAAAGAATAAGCAGTTAATAAAAAGAAGTTTAATGGAAGTACTTCTTTCTCAGAAAGAAAGTTTGCTCATGCCTTCTTCTTGGAGGCCGCCTTTTTTGCTGCCTTAGGATCCTCGTTCAGGTCGATTCCATAGTCTTTGAGGAGCTGGTCGCGGGTGAGGGGCTCCATGACGTTTCCAATCCCCACTACTCCATTGCTATCCATAAGTGCAAACTTTGCCAGGTTCTGGAATCTCTCCATCTTATCAATGACCAGCGGCTTCTGGAAAACGACAATTCCAGTAAAGTTCTCTCCGTTTGCAACATTCTCTGGATTCTCGTGAACCTCCTTTCCAACCACCTTGGAAAGGATCTTGGCAATCCTCCCAGGAGAATGGCAGTTTCCAAAGTTGATCTGTGGCGTGTATCCAGGAGACAGCCCCTTTGGTCTTCCAACAACAATCGTTCTGATCTTTGCCCCGGGATAGGCCACGGCCTTGTTCTCATCGTTGGCAGAAATTACATGGCCTGCATCCACCTTGTCAATCTCTCCAATCACACCTCCCTTGAGTGCAACACCGCAGTTCTCTCCACATGGAATCATGGATCTTGGCTTGTTGTGGATCTCAACAGACCTAGTCTCTCCAACCACCCCGGCAGGCTGAATCGTGATCTTGAGGTTCGGGGTGATGGTTCCATACTCAACACGCCCGGTGAAGATCTTTCCCACCCCGGCAATCGAGCAGACCTTGGTAATCGGCATGCGGAGAGGCTTGTCGTTGTGCCTCTCAGGCACATCCTGGTAGTTCAGCGCCTCCTCAAGGGTGTATATCACAGAGGACCCCTCCTTCTCCTTCCATCCCTTGAACCACTCAAACTTCTCCCCCTTCTTCGTCAGGTTGATTCCCTTGAATGCGGATATCGGAATAATAATGGGGTTCTTGTCCTTATGACTTCTCTTGACAATCCTGAGCATCTCGGCAGACACCTCATTGAACTTCTCCATCCTCTTGTTCTCTGGAATCTCGTCCATCTTGTTGACGCACACAATCAACTTTTCACATCCAAGAATCCCAGAAATCATAATGTGTGTCTTCAGCATCCCCCCAACGCCTACACAGGACTCAAACCCAGATGCTGGAACAATCACCACCGCAACATCAGCCTGCGATGCCCCCGTCACCATGTTCTTCACAAAGTCCTTGTGTCCAGGGCAGTCAAGAATGTTGATGTTGAACTTCTCGGTGGGGAGGTTGACAAGAGTCGTGGTAATCGTAATCCCTCTCTTCCTCTCTGCATCGGTCTTGTCGGTCAAGTATGCAAGATAGAACGTCTCCTTGTTGTTCAGAGCTGCCTCCTTCTCATACTTCTCCATCTCCCTCTTATCAACTGCTCCCAGCTGGTATGAAAGCATCCCGACCGTGGTGCTCTTCCCAGAGTCTACATGCCCTATAAAGCAAGCATTCAAGCGTGGCTTACTATCATCCTCAACCTTTGTAGCCATTGTAGGGGGGCTGGCGCAAATTTTTTTTATACTTTTCAACACACAAAAACCAAAATACAAAAACCCAGGCTCCTGCGCACAGACTTTATTGCGCCATCTCATACAGTTTCCACAATCCACTCGCACTTCTTTCTATCCAGAATGCCCTCTCCATACTCTTCGTAGTCCCTGGCTCCAATGTGAAGCCCCTTTGCACTTCCCATCGATCCTATCACCGATCCTCCTTGGAACGTGCTAAATCGACTTCTCTCAACAATCACCTTTGCTTTCCACCGGGGCCGCTCTCTCCCGAGTTCCTCGCAAATAAGCCCTTCAAGTCCTCTTGCCCCTCCAACTCCCCCACCAATCAATATGTTTCCGCTCAGCAGCGGCCTTATGTCCGCTGAATTCAACTCAACAACCTCAACAACCAGCTTCACAACCTTTTTAAGTTTGCCTAGCGCTGCCTTGCAGCACTCCTCCATCTCAACCACCTCTCCATCAGGTAGCACATATCTTCCGCCTGTATCCTCGCTACCCAGGCTCAAAACTACCTCCTTGACATGTCTAGAAAACTCGTTCCTTTCAAACTCGGTCCTTCTCTCACACCAAGACTCATTCCCCCGGGAACAGACAAACTTCGACAGATCAACCCCAGAGTCGGTAAGCCCCTTCCTGAAGTCCATCGTAAGGTCAAGGCCCCCGGCATCCAGCTGTCTTCTGCACGTGATAAGCCCATCGACAACGCTGCAGACCTGGCTCGACCCTCCTCCAAGACTGACAACCACCCCTGTTGTCTTTCCATACGAAAAGGCATCAAGAATCCCGCTCCTGACAAATAGAACAGACTCGCACACCCGCTTCTCCATAAGATACCCCAAGATCTCCCTCTTCGCCCCTCCTGCCTCCATGGTATTCTCCGAAATCACCAGAGATTGTGCATCGCAAGGGATGTTGTCGCACAGGGTCCTAAGATAAGACTCCACATCGCTGACAACAGATCTGGTCACAGGAGATATATATTCGTTCTTCCATGACATGCTAGGGCAAAACACCGTCGGCAAGAAGGTGTCTGAATACCCGGTCTTGACCGTTTCGCTGCCAATGTCAACAACGGCCGTGATGGTGTCCCCTGTAACATACATCGAAGGGGCTACAGAACACTTCGACAAACAACTCAATATAATCCATTTAATGCCATATTTGGATATCACGCGCCCCCTACACAGGAGAGCTTACTTCTGTTCCATCAGGTATCCAAGGAGTTTCACTCCACACACAACCAGCCCAATGACAAGCATAGACATAATGGCTATCATGAATATAAAAACCACCCTGGCATCCTTTCTCCTCTTCTGTACAATCTCTTTGAATTGCTCGTCTAGATAGACAACATAGGGGATCAGCTTCTTGTTTTCCATTCCTTCCATGTTTTCCACATACATCATGATGTCCCTCACATTGACAACGGGCATGTCCTTGGGAATTGCTTCCCTCGAGGGGGACTTCTTGGACTCAGGCTCCTCTGGCTTCATCTGGGGCAAAGATTCTGAAGAAGCTACACTTTCGGCCATTCATGCTCTTCTCCGAGGAGCTTTTATACTTTAAAAGGAGGGCGTTCTTCCACCCTGCATAGAGTCCTAAAAGGAGAGCACGCAATGATATTAAAGGAGACCTCTTCTCCTCAGGTCTCCCACTGGAAGAATTTGCAAGGTTTATATGCCTTTTTGCATTTGTAGAACTTCCGGCCCCGGTTGCTTTCTGTGTTTGCAACAAGTAGCTGAGGTTCAAATCCACAGAAGCACTTCAGTTCTTCTTCCCCCTTGCTTTTCTCGTCCGTGCTCCACTGGAAAAAATAACAGCTTTTCGGAGTCTTTCCGCAGCAATAGAACTCCTTTCCAGCGTTGTTTCCCTTCTTTACCTTCAGCATTTTGGCTTCCACCCGACAGCTACATTCCACTCCTTTTGCCTCCTCCCCCTTACCAATCGCCTTGGCTATGCCTCCTCTACCTTCCACCTTCCTGCACCTTCCCTTCCCACCGCCTTTCGGCCCTATGCTTCCCCACGGTGTCACTCCAGATGCATCGGCTTCAATGCCCCTGCTAAGAATGCTGGCAAACTCTCCGATGTTTCGTTTGAGAATGGCATATATCCCTCTATAGGCCATGACCCCTTCATAGACAACACTCTTCCCATCTATCTCTCCGTCCGATATCTTCTTCAGGCTAACTTCCAGGCTTTTCCTCAGCTCAGGCTTACCAACATTCAGTCCAAACCTTTCATACCCCTCAATAAGGGCTGTCCCGAGGTTCAGCGGCCTTATCTCCTCTGCAACCTTGACAGCATATCCTCTCTCTTGTATCTTCTGGATGTGCTCATGTATGGTTGCATCCGTTCCGATTCCGTTCTTGTCCATAAGCCCTATAAGCTCAGCCTCGCTAAGATATTTGGGTGCAGATGTCTCCCCCTCATCAATTTCCAGGTCTCCAGAGACTATCTCCTCCACTGCAAAGTCGCCAACCTCCTTGTCGTCCCATTTATCGTAGTAATACACCTCAAGATAGTTCCTTTCAATCACCCTTATTCCGCTGAGGTCAAACATCTCCAGTCCAATCTTCAGCTCATATCGCGTCTCAAGACCTTTGGCGTCCTTTGCTATGCATCCCAGAAATCTCCGGGAGACAAAGTCGTAAATGTCTCTATCGCTTCCAGAAAGTCCAGATCCCTCTTTTAATGGATATATCGGTAGATGCGCCATGTCGTTATTCTTTCCATTTCTGGGATGGTTAAACTCCCCCATCAACTTACTGGCATACTCTCCAACCTTGCTGTCTTTGCACAGTTTGCCTAGTATGTGCTTGAAATCAAACTTCCTGTCAAAGACATCTGTTTCCGTCCTGGGGTAGCTTATGTATCCTCTGTTGTAGAGTCCCTCGGCAATCTCCATTACCTTATGCCCACTCAATCTGAAATATGACGAGCATTTCTTCTGCAGCTCAACAGTCCTCAGTGGAAGCGGCCTGTACTTCGTCTTCTCCTTCACCTCTCGTGACACTATCCTGGCATCTTCTCCAGACAGGCTGTTGAAGAAGCATACCACGCAGTTTCTGTCAAAAACAGGCCCTCTTCTCCATGTAAACTCGTCCTTAAACCCCTTGTGCATAGCCTTGAACTTCAACGTCCAGAATATCTCTGGAACAAAGCTCTCTCTCTCCCTAGCCCTTTCCACCACAAACCCCAGCGTAGGCACCTGGCATGGCCCAAAGCTTAGTATCTTTTTTCCCTGTCTTGCCCTACCGAGTGATAGTGTCTGCAGTCTAGTAAATGCTGATCCTATTCTAAGATCCAGCTCTATCCGTACTTCAACAGCCTCCGCCTCTGCCTCGTTTATCTCTCCCAGATTCCTTAGTGCACTCTCCACGTCTCTGAGGGTGATCCCTGAAAACCTTGCACGCCGAACGTCAATCTTCTTTACTTTGAGAACAATATCTCTTATCTGTCTTCCAATGTTTTCTCCCTCTCTGTCGCAGTCTGTCCAGATAATCACCATGTCGCACTTCAAGGCCTCTCTCTCGATGTTCTCCTTAACCTTCACAAACTCCGGCTGCACATGCTTAACAATCCTGTCCGTAAACAGCACCTCCGGATCAACCTCGTCCCACCTGCTCTTCTCCTCAAAGTCGCTCGAGAGCAGGTGGCCCAGAACGCTCGTAAACACCATCTGGTTGCCGTAGTCAAAGTGGATGTTTGGACAATACTGATGGAGTCCTCTCCTGACATTCAGCTCTTTCGACAGAATCGAGGATATCGATCTTGCAACCGACGGCTTCTCAGCAACATTCAATATCCTCATCCAAGGGATCCAAGGAACACAGACTTACACAGTCCAGGACACTACAGAGACACTGATTTAATTAAGCGCTGAAAAACAGAACTCCTATGGCCTTTATGTACATCACAATCTCCATCAAAGACAGCTTTGACTGCCCTCTCCTCCTCTCGTGAAAGACTATTGGGCACTCAGATACCACAAATCCGCGCCTTTTGGCTAGGCACATAAGCTCCATCTGGAAGGAGTACCCCGTAGACACAGACTCTTCAATCAGCAGCCTGAGCACCTCTGTCCTATACAGCCGAAAACTTCCGGTGAGGTCGGACACATTCACATTAAGGAATATCCTGGCAAGATTGTTTGCGCCGAGGCTTATGATCTTTCTCTTCATCGACCAGCCACACACTGCTCCTTCTCCAGAGTATCTACTTCCCGCAACTATGTCGGCCCCTTTTTTCTGAAGTCTGATCATGTCCTTAATGTACATAGGATCGTGGGATAGGTCCCCATCCATCACAACCGTAAACGGATGCTCACAGTGCTCAAGGGCAGTCTTGTATGCACTTCCAAGCCCAAGCTTTTTCTTTCTTGACAAGAGACACACATTGGGAAGTCCCATCGATTCCACAGTCTTATAGGTCCCATCGGGGCTGCTGTCGTCTACAACAATGATCTTGAACGGCTTGCCCTCCTCACTCATGACGTCAGAGACCATGCGTAGCAAGACCTTGATGTTTGGTCCTTCATTGTATGTTGGTATTATTATATTGTACATGGGAGTCTAGGAGGTAGGAATTTAATACAGATCAAAATGGCTTCGGAACGTACAGGAAGTACGCAGGAATAAGAAGTGGAACAAGGAGGTACCACCTCCAACTCTTCTGCGCAGAGGGAAGTCTTTCATACTCTCCCCATGCCTTCAGAACACTCCTCACAATCTTCTTGCCATTGCTATTCCCCCGAGACGTAATGATCCTGGTCTTGTCCCTCAAGGAGGAAAGGAATACCTCGTCCGTCGTCATGAACGAGTCATCGCCACCAATAGAACTACAGCACTCCTTTTCAGGCCCCTTGGAACCATCCGGAAACAGACGTCTATCACCGCCACGATCCTCATCTCTACAAGAGATATCGTTTATGCTGAAAGAGTCCTTAAGAAAGTCTGTTCTCCACTTCCTTACCAGCTGCAATAGCCTTGCCACTGTGTATTCGTCGTTCCTTTCCCACTCCCCCACCTCATCTCTTTCGAGCACGTTGCTTTCAACGGCCTCCCTCAGTATGCCCTCGATGTCTTCCCTTGGAATCACCCCGTCTCCATATCTCTCCATAAGCTTCATCTCGAAATCCACACTCCTCATCCCTAGGGATACACATCAGAGCAACATTTCAACCCATCGAATGCACCTGGTTCTCAATGTCGGATTGACATGCCGCCCTTTCCGTCGGTTTAAAGACATCCGTCTTCAAATGATACGGAAACCCCATCAGATTGAATATGTTGACAACCTTCTTCTTGGAAAACTTGAAGTCCGGCAGAAGCTTGTATTTCACGCAGAATCCCTCAATCTGTAGAAACAGTATGTAGCAGAGAACTGCAAGCCTGTCTCTACACAGCGGGGTCAGCCTCCCGTTCTCAACCTCGTCCTTTACCATCACAAAGAAGCTTGAGTACCCCGAATCGCTTAGGCAATCGTCGGTAACATACTTCTTCTCCATCAGCTTGATTATGCAGTCTGCAAGCAGGAAGTGTGTCTTATACCTCATGTTCTGTCTCAAGCCCATCAGATCTGGATGCAGAAGTACAGAGTCCAGCTTTATCTTTGAAAAGCTCTCCAGCACATCTGCAGGAAACATCTTCTCCAGTACAAAGCGCTTCTCGGGACTCGATGCCTCCTCGTCTATGGGTGGCAGAATCTGATTCTTGTACTTGAGCTTTGGCATAAAAAGCCTTTTGCTGTATCCGTCGATTTCCTTCCTCTTGAGATACTCTACATATTTCCTGTTTCCAAAGGAAAAAATCAGCTCCTCAAGATTCGTCTCCTTGTGGGACAACCCTGTTTCATAAACAGTCTCAAACACTACTATCTTGGCCTCGGAAGCCTTGCCAAGATCAAGCACGTCGCCAGAAGATTCCACCACATAGTAGCTGCAGGGGGAGTTCCACTCAGATCCCCTGTACTCTATCCCGTCCAGACTCCCCGTAAGAAAGACCCTCCCGTTGACTCTGGAGACCTCAAAGCTCATCTCTCTATTGATGTTCGCCAAAACTAGCATCTCAAGGGTCTACATCCAGAGGTAGCTTTTCATCCGCACAAGCAAGAAAAAATTATATCAAAATGTAGATGCACACTCCGTCAGCCAGGAGTGTACTTCTTTGCTTTTGCTTTGTATAGCACCTATTCCCCATCTGGAGACAGGCGACTCAAAAAGCAGGGCAATTCCTGGGCCGGTTTAAATCAATAGACCATGGAATGACTCCATCGTTTAAAACTAAAGACACAAAATATTTTACTACCCGCTACAGCCATGCACAACCCTTAGATCTCGGTACAATCATTAAATTACAATAACGCCAATATACCCATCCACTAGAGAAAATACCTCTCTTGAGGAGGAAAATCAAAGGGGCACATCGCCTGGTAGCTCATCTTGCCGTGTTCATACTCCCCATCTTCAATCTCTGCATTCCCGCTTCTTCTCCGGCCGCCATCCCTGGCTGTCTTCTCCTTGGCCCTCCTGTTCTGGAACCATATCTGGATGTTCTTCAGGGGAATGCTGAGGGCATTTGACAGCAGGCTCTTGGTGGCACTGTTCGGGTGACTATCGATCTTAAAGTTCGACTCCAGAACATCGATTTGCTGTCCACTCAGTTTCAACCTTGATCTTTTGCTAGAATCACTCTTGTTTAGATGCTTTATTATTTCCTCGGTTGAATCAATAAACTTCACAAACTTCTTCTCGTCCTTGTTGAACTTCGAGCGAATCGACATCTAGGCCTAGGCCCATCTCTAAACCGCGATTTTATACCTCCCATTTTCAAGTAGAAATATAAAGCCCTACCATTTCCAACGGCCTGACCATTTCTCACCTCCATCTAGCATCGAGACCAGCTGGGGACATCTGTGCCCTCTCCTGCATCGCTGCCGTGTTGCATATCCCCTAAAGACCCTACGCCCTTTCCCAGACTCGCCATCCCTGGTTATTGTAACGTCGCCCGCCACACCTGAGGTGTCCCCTGTTGTACTGCTCCATACAAGGTATATTGGATATTTGATTACTCTTATTATTTAGTAACCGTCTTTTTGCCAAGAATTAGATTTAATTGTAGCCAGCTGAGACTTCTCAGTGATCTTCCTCGTCCCAGTGCTGGTTGTTCCTGGGCCCTATGTTGAGCGCCTCCGGCCTCCCTATAAGATAGTCGCTGGTCTCAAACAGCGTGGAGACAAACTCCATGGAGTACTTCAGTGCCTTTATCTTGGCATTGTATATGTCATAGACCTCGACATCCGATGATCCAAACGTCCCAAGGGCCTTTCCAATGCATTTGTATGCAAGGCTCTTTCCCCCTGACAGGCCTGCAGATCTCTCCAAAAATGCCTTCGACAGCCTTCTCTCAAACCTTCCTGCCCCGTCCACCAGGCCAATCTTGCCCCCAGAAACATTCTTGCTCAAAACAACCAGTGCCTTCTGGACCATCCTCTCATGTTCGTCCAGCACTGCTTGTACAGAGTTCTTAAGGACCAAGGTGTACACCTTCTTGCTTCCAGAAATAAACTTTGTATACTCGGTACTGCCCTCCCTGAAGGTGGCGACCTCTGAAACAACGCCCATCGAGCCCTCGGCCGGAGGCTCCAAAGTAGATAGAATGTGCCCCCCTAGCAGTTCCCTGATCCTTCTCAGGTCATACTTGCTGGTAATTCGGAAAACAAGTTTCCTACCCTTGTTCAGGAAATCGAGATAGATCTTGTCCACCTTTCCGCTGCATATAATAACATCCGCACCTATCGACTCCACAAGTTCCTTGATCCTCTTGTTCTCCTCCTTGCTAAACGACAGGAGCTCAGAGGCCGTCCTCATCAGAACAGTCCCTTTCAGCTCAGTCCTCGATATGTCCAGCGGACAGTTGTAGATCGACGTTCTTCCCTGCCGGGCATGCTTCACCTCGCCCTCCGGCAATCTGTTGAACACCATCCCCTCTACAACATAGCTATCCTCCACAGACCCGCATGCCACCTTGCAGACCCTGATGCTTTCAGAGCTAAAACTCCTGGCCAGTGATATTCCTTCAACAACTATCTCCTCTAGCCACTTATCCTTCAGCACGCCCCTTAGAACCATCGATATGCTCTCCTTGTCTTCAAAGTCAATCCGATGCTCGACCAGAAGCTCTCTTCCCAGATCATCAATCTCCTTGTGGGCTTCTCTGAGAAGACTGCTGAAGCATGCAGGCTTCATCCCCCTCCCGATAACATCAATGGCCTCTTGTATCAGCTCAGACACAAGAACCACAAAAAACGTTGCTCCATCTCCAATCACATCCATCTTCTTGACATACTCCTGCAATAGCTTCACAAGAGGATGGTTGACCTTGACATTGTCATAGATAACCCCCGGCTGCGAGGAAAGAAGGATCTGTCCATATCCATTCACTATGAGCTTGCTGCGGTGGGACCCTCCATACAGACTTTTCACAAGATTGCATGCCATCCTGACCCGAGACCCCACAATATGGTATCTTACCTTTTCGTCCTGCTGGGAGTTCGATATCAGCCCTCCCAGGTGCGTTTGCCCGATGTCCATCAGGGCTTAAAAATTTTCGGCTTTGACCTTTGCGCCAAGCCAGCAAGACATTGGAACCAAAATCTTTAATCAATATTCCTTATGATCTTCTTGAACTCACAGTTTGGCGACACAACCGCGCGGCCTCCAGAAGACGTTAGGATGATGTCCCCGCAGCCTGGGCATGAGATGTTTGTCTGCGAGTGCGAGTAGCAGCAGGTTGTGTGCCTGCACCCCCCACACCTCACATACATAAAGAATCCGTTCCCCTCTCTGTATAGACGATCCTTCTTGTAGGTCGATCCAACCTTCTCTCTTGTAGGAAATGCCAAGTCAGATGCCATTCTCTTAGGGTCCTTGCCTAAAAATTTTCTTGTAGTCAGAAAGGCAGGGAATTCGACCGAGACCTGCACTAATCCTCGTCATCCGGAAAAATGACAATCTCCTCCTCCTGAGCCTTGACATACGGGAGAAATGCAGTCTTGTCGCAGGCCCTCCCGTCTTCTTCCTCCCTAATCTCATCCAGGTCGATGGGAACTCCATCTGAGCCGCGGATTACTGCATAGTACTTGACCACCCTCCTGCTCTTGTTGATGTACTGGACATTGCCAAGTACCTCCACAACCTCATTGAAGTAGTACTTCATTTGTCTAATCTCCTCGTCGCTAAAACACTCCTTATGAATGCTGTATATCCCCCCAGCTGTCAGAACCCTCTTTATCGTCCCCATCGACACCTCCTCCACCTCCACAACCTCCGAAGACCGGAAGAGCCTTCGAGATATTACCACCGAGGGAACCTCAAAGGTGTCAATTACCAGCACCATCGCCTGGGGCAAGAAAAAACTGTCTACATAAACAGAGCCTAGACTCAAAAAGAACGTTTATTTCCTTGAAGTCGCTGCATTCCATAACTTTCCCGCCTCTTCCAGACGAGCCAGCGTTGCCGGGTGCAGCCCCAGGAACTCAGAAAACTTCGGCATCTTGGGCTTTTTAATTCCGCCCCGATGGTCCTTTCTGTTCTGGTTATGGTTGGTGTGATTCTTCCTCTTTGCCATGAGATAAGGGCATAAATTTTTCACGGCATTAACCAGAGCAGCAGGCAGGACGAAGGCCTTGGCCGCCGCAAAGTCACACCTTTTTCTTCCGTGCTCCTCCAAGAGTCCTGAAAAACCTCACCATCTCTCTCTCCTCCTCAAGCTCTCTACTCAGGTGGCCCACGGCCAGCGATTGGCACCCTAGCTTCTTCTTCATCTCCAACATCTTACTCCTGCCAGCATCAATCTCTCCCCGGAGCTTTTCCACTTCTTCTCGGAGCTTCTTGTTAATGGCCATCAGAGACTGCCTTTCGTCGTTTGCTCTTGCCAGCTCATGCTCGACAGTCATCCTCTTGCGGTCCAGCACTTGGCACTTCTCCTTGTCGCTGACATGCACAACCACTGGATTCCTTTCCCCGCTGAGTGACCCCAGAACTTCGTCCTTGAATCTTGTGCATCGCTTCAAAGTCGAAATCTCAGATTCATACATCGAAATCATGTCCTGCCTGTGCACCTCGCTCTCTCGGAAGGCACACAGCTCCCCCTCAAGCTGTTCAATCCTCAGCAAGCCCTTCATCTTTTCGTCTAGGAGGCCCTGGTGCTCTTCCTCCAGCTCCCCAAGCTTCTTTGACAGCTGCTCACATAACTCCTCCATCGCCTTGAGCTTTCTCCTCTCTCCATCAAGAACAGACTGCGCACACTCCTCAATCCGTGCCTTGTACCTCTCATCAAGCTTCCTTATCCCTGCAATGCTACCATTCAGGCCGCTCTCAAGCTTTTCCACACACCTTCTCCTTTCTTCGTCAGACCTGCGAAGGTTCTCAATCTCCTCATCAACCCTGCACACCAGGCCCTCAAACCTCTTGTCGTACTCACTGCATCTCTCGCTGTATCCTTTAATCTCCTCCTCCTTCTCAGACACCGTCCTTTCAAGAGAGCTACACTTTGTACTTAAAAGTGAAAAGTCGTTCATCACGCCATTGTACTGCTTCATTAGCCCGTGCACCTTCCTGCTCATCTCCTCCTCAATCTCCTTTCTCTCCTCAACCTCCCTACCTAGCCTCACAATCCGGCCATTCAGCTCCTCAATCACCTGCTCCTTGCTCATCACCTGCTCCTTGCATTCCTTGAGATCCCTTTTGTACCCGTCAAGGACATTCAGGTACATACCGTTAAACCCCTCAATAGCCATGTCAATTTCATTTCCAAGGTCTTCAACCTCCTTCCTGACACCGGCAATCGCTTTGCACAGCCCCGTCTCTTTCTCATGCCCCCGAATCACCTCCTCCTTGCTTCTTCTCTCCATCTCAACCATCTCCCTCAGCATCTCAACCTCACTGCTCAGTATCACATTCCTGTTCTCATGCTCAGACGCCTGATACTCAATCTCCTTTCTCTTCTTCCTTTCCTCCTCAAGCATCCCACAGAACCGCTCCGTAGCAGAGATGCTCTCCTCACTGGCCTCCCCCATGCACTTCGCCTCCATCAGATCCACACTTAGTCTCTGATTCTCCATCTCCAGCCTCTGGATCTCCATCTGAAGATTCTTCTTGATGCTGTTGAATCCTGCCTCCCTGTCAAAAATCTCGTCAAGTTTCGACTGCTGCAGAACATGGATCTCCCTGTACATCTCATCCTTCTCGCTCATGAGCTGCCTGTTCGCCATTTCCTCGCGCCGCAGCTTTTCATTGAGACTCTTAACCCTCCTTTCAAGGCCTCGCGTCTTTTCCAGCAGAGACTCTTGTGTCGAATCTCGGAACTGCCTTTCCTTCTGCAGCTGCCCCTCAACAGCCTCATACTCTCCCCGAAGCTCTTGAAATGCCTTCTCAAGCTTGCTTCCCCTGTTCCTCTCAAACTCAAGGTCGTCCAGGAGCTTCTTCTGCATCCTCCCAAGCTCTTCTCGTTCCTTGCTTATCTTTCGTATCTCGTTGTGGAGCCTATCGTTCTCCACCTGCATATCCTCAACCTCGTCCTTCAGCTTCTTCTGCAGAGCCTCATAGTCCTCTCGTAGCTCTGCATACTCATCCTTCCATCTCTTCATATTCAAGCACCTCGTCCTGAGCTCATCAATCGTTGACTCGTTCTCCTTCAGCATCCTGTTTCTTTCCTCGCCTTCCCTCTCCATCCTCTTCATACCTTCGAGGATCCTCTCAACCTCTGCATCCTTCTCTTTGACTTTCTCCTTCAATGCCTGAACCTCGCTATCTCTCTCCCGCAACATCTTCTCCACCATCGCATCCTTCTCACTCAGCTTGCTCACCACTTCCTCCCGAAGAGAGCATATCTCTTTTTCCTGCTGCGAAAGAGCTCCCTTCTGCTCCGACACTTCTCTTCTTAGCCTCAAAATCTCAGAGTCCTTCTCCTCCAGTTGTATAGCCACTTCATTCACCCGTGTCTCCCACATCTTCCTCTCCTCATGCCCGTCAAAAACCTCCTTCCGGGCTTTCTCAAGCTCCTGTGCAGTCTCATCGCTCTTGTATCTCAGAGCCATCAGAAGCTCGTCCTTTTCCATAGAAAACCTCTTTTCATCCTCGACACTCTTCTCCAGCAACTCCCTCTTCAGACTCATCGCCTTCAGCATATCCTCAACCTCTTCTCTCCTGCTCTTCTCCGCATCAAGCATTCGCGCGTACTCTTGGATCATTGCTTCCTTCTCCTTCATCTCCCCATCCCTCTTCCTAACATCCAACAGTGGCTTGATCTTCAGGTATAGCCTCCACCAATTCCACCTCTGTAGGTCACAGCATATCCTGCCATTCCGCTGAATAACAAGAATCCCTTGCATCCTTCTTTGCGCCTGGTTGTACTTCCTGAATGCAAGCCTTCTTCTAATAAGCGCCTGGATCTCTTTCACCACCTCAGAAACCTTGACATCCCTCATGTCCTCGATATCTGCAAGAACTCCCTGCCTGAAAAACACCTTTGTCCGCCCGAGTCTGTACTGGCTTGTACTAATCCCAATCTCAGATAAGATCTTCCCCCCAATCTCCTTGTAAAGCTCCATGCACACCCCCTCGTCCCAGGACTCGTCAACAAGGATCTTTTCCTTCATCATTATCCTGTACCTCTGGACAAACTCCCGATGCCCCATCCGCGATGGAAACCCCTGCCTGCTGATCCTTATTCCCTCGAGAACCCCATTGCACTTCAGCTGCCCAAGAACTATTCCGTTGTCCAGGTGCTCCCCACTCTTCTCCAGGTTCGGGATTATGCACCGTACAAAGTGAGGATTTGTTCTACGGAGCTCAGACATCAGCGATGCAAGCTGTTCCTTGTGCTTCTGCGAGACAGTTCGGAAAAACCCTTTCTTGACCGCCTCCTCGTTTAGGCTTAGCCTTGAAACCAGCTCGCTCCCAGATGCCCGGATCAACGACGTCAGCGCCTCAGAGTGCGAGTCCTTGTTCTTCGACAGCCAGTCGTCAACCGTGTACTCCACATCCCCTGCATAGTGGTTCAAAACAAAAGCATCCCGGATCTTATCAACCTCAAACTTCTCATCCCGGATGTTCTTCATCAGCTTTCCGAGAAACGTCTTCTCCGTCGCCATCGGCATCACACACTCCTCATCCAGGTAGCTCAGAATCCCAATCGGATTGCTCTTCTCTATCAGGTCAATCGTCGGCTGCAGATCAAGCCCAAAGTCAATGAAGTCCCACTCAATGTTCTCTTGTCTGTACACCTCCTGCTCAAGAATAAACATGTGGTGGTTGAAAAATTGTTGCAGCTTCTCGTTCGTGTAGTTTATGCAAAGCTGCTCAAACGAATTCTTCTCAAAGATCTCAAACCCTGCTATGTCAAGGACCCCAATAAAGTTGCCTTTGTGCGGGGAGTCGAGCGACATGTTGATTCGGTCTATCACCCCCTCAAACATCTTGTCGTAGAGAATCCTGGACAGCCCATCAACAATCTTAAGAGCCTGCTCCCTGCTCCTGCTGTGCGCAACATACTCGTTCCCGGCCTTAATCACAGGGTGGATGAGCCGCTTGATAAACTCTGCAAGAGGAATGCTGAGAAGCTTGCAGGCCTTCTCCGCAACGTCGAGATTGGCTATTTCTGCAGCCCCGTCCTTCTCCCTAAACTCAATATTTCCGAGATGGAGAATCGCAGACACAATCTTGAAATATCCAATCTGCTCTTCTTCTCCAATCCCCAAGACCCTCATGGACTCCCGGAGGCTCCTAAACTCCTTTGCATCGTCGACATCCGGAATCTTGAATCGCGAATCCTTAAGGAACCTGTAGTCCTTTGGCTCTCCATCCAGAAACAGCTGCTTCTTAAGCATCTGATCGTCACATCCAAGGAGCTGGTAGAAGATGTGGTAGTTCCTCTCGTTCCTGTTCTGGCTCGTCACTCTAGATTTTTCCAGAAGATACTTCTCGATATGTGCTCCGCATATATTGCCTCCGTTGAACTTGATCTTGATAAACTTCCCAAACCTGCTGGAGTTGTCGTTCTTCACCGTCTGTGCATTTCCAAACGCCTCCAGAATCGGGTTTGCATCTATTATCTGCCGATCAATGCTGACCTCCATTCCCTTGCAGCCTCCCACCATAGCAAGAAACTCAACCACTCTTTTTGTGTTCTCTGTCTTCCCTGCCCCAGACTCTCCTGTAATCAGAATCGACTGGTTCTCCCTGTTTGAAAGCATTAGTCTGTATGCCTCGTTCGCAACTGCAAAGATGTGCGGCTCCAGTTCATACTTCTTGCTCAGAGTGTACTTCCTAGCATCCTTCTCCCCGTATATCCGAAGGTCCTTGTACGGGTTGATTGCAAGGAGAAACAGCCCCGAATAGGTATATATGCGCCCGTTCTGGTACCTTCTCCTCAGGTTGTGGAGAACCCCCGGCTCGTTGAGATAGCTCAGCTCGGCAAGGTCGTCAACCATGTCGAACTTCGGCGGGTTCATTCTGAACACCTCACAGCTCTTGTGCCTTACAATAACTCCCCTGCAGTCGATCTCAAGAACATCTCCCTCCTCCTTCACAACGAACCCGCACACGTAGGCCTCCTTAGAGCTTGGAGCCCATACCCATTTCTTCTCCATAAATCTTCTTTGGATCTCGTCGCTGACACTTACCTCTCCACCAGGTCTGGAGCTCCCACTGCCTATGTCTTTGTTTGTTGTTCCTTCCATTTTTAACACCCCCGGCAGAGTTGAGAAATAAGGTTTCCCCAATATTTTTGACCTCACAGACATCCCAGAGAAATGACTGCTGAAGAGCCCAGCGACGAGATAATCGAAGAAAGCTCAATCAGCGTTTCTTCGCAGCTGAGGAGCGAAGGCCTTTCATTTCCTACAGCCAACTCTCCAGACTTAGGAAGCGACGAAGCCCAGAAAGAAGGACCTCAAAAGCCCCGCCTCCCAAGCAGACTGTGGGTAAAGAGGGATGTTGAGTATGATCTGGACCCGTCACATGCTGACAGGATTCTTGATAGATTTGCTTTCCATGTAAACACATTGAGGGAGGGGGGAGTCTATGAGAGAGACATCAATGAAGATGCATTTTACTACAAATATAAGCCTGTTTCCGTCTGCGACATCGAGACGATCAGAAGCTCCCCCCTGCTTCAGGATCGAATCAGCTGCAGGAGGCTGCGGAACATTTCCATCCAGCTGGTTGACTACTGCATGAGGATCAACAGAGATCGGGAAGCTCTCATTGACCTTGGAATGGATGCCTCAACGCTTCCAGACGATGTTCAGGCCCTCATCAGAAGCAGCATTCTTAGGAAAAAGAGGATCCTGAGCCTCATTCACAAGGTCAGAAATTGTATAGGAGAAATAGTACTTATGGGGGAGAAGTGCTGTAACTATGTTGAGAAGTCGAACACCATAGCATTCAAAGGAATATCATCTTTTGATGACCACACTACGGAGGGTAGTGACTGACCGGGACCGGAACCATGAAAACCGAGTGTCCTGAGGCGTAGAGAAAAGTTTAATCCAAGGCTTCCTGTTTGAGGGCGGCATAATTAAAAAGATACTTCTTGACGTGATCAAAACATTGAGCCCATGCGGTCAAGAAGATCCTTTGGCAGTATATTCCTTGCCTGCTCCTTCAGCTTGGCCTTCTGGGCCAGACTCATCGAGGATGGATTTCCCATCATGCCTTCGATCCCGGGGATGGAGCTGATCTTTTGCATCACCGCGTGCGCCTTCTTGAACTGCGTAAGGATCTCGACAACGCCCTGGACAGACGTCCCGCTTCCTCGGGCGACCCTCATGATCCTACTTGGCTCTTTTTCAAACACTTGTCCCGTGGAGTCTAATTCTCCTCGGCTCAGAGAGTCAAACACATATATAAGCTTTTTAAAGGTGTCTTCGTCGGGCAGTGAGAGCCCCGAGAACCCCGGTATCATCTCAAGCAGCTTGGAAATCGGCCCAAGGCTTAGGATCTTCTGGAACTGGTCGTAGAAATCCCCAAGCGTAAACCTTCCCTGCCTCAGCTTCTTGACAACCTCCTTCTCGTCAATTCCGAGGCTCCCTACCTTTTCCATCAGCCCCTCGACATCCCCCATCCCAAGCATCCGCGATACAAATCTCCTTGCATCGAATGCCTCCAGGTCGTCCATCCCCTCCCCGGTCCCTACAAACTCGATGGGGCATTTTGTTGCCGCCACAGAGCTTATTGCGCCCCCGGCCTTGGTGGTTCCGTCGATCTTGGTCAGGATTATCGATCCAACATCCACAGCCCTTTTGAATCCCATCGCCTGGTCCTCCGCAGACTGTCCTATCCCTGCATCCATCACAAACACAATGCTGCTCGGGCTGATCTCTCGAATGATATCCTTCATCTCGGTAAACAGCTCGGTCTCCTGGGTGTGTCTTCCACTGGTGTCGACAAGAATAAGCTCAAACCTCTCCTTTCTAAATCTCTCCACCCCTGCAGACGCCACCTTCACGGGATCTGCCTCAGAGCTGCCGAAGAATGGAACCTTGATCTTCAGAGCATTCTGCCTGACTTGGTCAAATGCCCCCGCTCTGAACGTGTCTGCACACACTATCCCGACCTTATATCCTTTCTTCTTGTAGAAGTTCGCATACTTGCATATGCTGGTTGTCTTTCCAGACCCCTGGAGCCCCACAAACACAACAACACTTGTTCTCCCCTTTTCGATCTTGTAGCTCTCAGTCCTCGGGTCTAGCAGATCAACCAGCCTTTCGTAGACAGCATTCTGGACCATCCGAGCCTTGTTGAACCCAGGCGCCATCTTGCCCGGGTCAAGCTTTGCCCTCAACTCGTCTCTTAGGTCACTTACATATCTGGGATTCACATTCGAAAGAATCAGAGAGTTGCATATCTCCCTTATTGCCGTCTCAATGTGCTGGTCGGTGGCCGGCGAGCTCAGGAGGTTCGACAGGGTGTTTGTTATTGATCTTCCAAGCTCTGTGATCATTCCTGTTGTTTGAGGGCAGGGCTGACGACGATTTATTGCTGCCCCGGTGCGGCGCCAGAGCTAAGGAAGGGAAGGTTTCCGCACCAAGGAATCTCCTCCTCTACACTAGTATCTACGGTATTGGAACTCCTCGGCAAATAGGGCGCTTCTAGAGCCTAGGCTTCTATGTCCAGCCCTTCTCCCATCCCTGTGCACTTCTACCGCCTCCTCGTAGAATGACTTTTCCCGTGCACGTCTGTTCTGGAACCAGATCTTGACGTTCTTCATCGGAATCTTTGTCTTCAGGAACAAGTTATACTTTTCTATCCGATCTGGATACGGATTCATTCGGAAGCTGTGCTCCAAGAGCATGCTCTGCCAGTCGTGAAGCTGTATCCTGCTTCTCTTCGGCTTTCTCCTGGGCTCGTAGCTCCTTTCAATGTCCTTCTCAGAGTCAACAAGCTTGTATTCCATCTTCCTTCCGTTCGTCATCCCGGGCCCGTGCCGAAGCGGCTTTAACTAAGAAGCAACCAGTTGATTCCATAGCTTTCTTCCTTTACTCCGTTCCGCTCCTATTCATATCTCCACACTCCGTCATCTTCACCCTTTAATCCAAGGAGGTACTCCTCCCGGTACCAAGAGACACCCAAGAAGTCATGGAGCAGTGCAGCCTTCGGGCAACCTTGGCGCTGTAATTTATTTCGGGCAAATCCTCCCTCAATGATTCGACTTCCTGGAGACGGAGCAGACGTGCTGATGTACTGCGACCGGCCGGTTGTAGACACGGTGTTTCCGGAAATAGGATGTAGGTGCAGGGCCAGGGTTGTCAGAACGACGTTTACACAGGTGATCGTGCAGATATTCGAGGTGGAGGAAAGGCAGACTGCAATCGAGTACAGAGGTGTCTTCAGGCCTGCAGACTTCGATCCAAACGAGCACCTATGCGACAAGTTTGGAAAGGGCGATGTCGTTGAGTGTACCGTTGTGTCGTATGGAGATAGCGGGGTGTTTGTGAATCTTTGAGGTGGGAGCCGGTGGCCCCTGCATGAGGGAAGCCCGGAGAGTAAACTTCATGAAGGACATAAAGGTGATGATGTATGGGTATGGAGATGTTGTGGCACCCAGGTACGATACGGCAGAGGCTCTCCACGGATATGTCCTGGACTACATGAGCATCCTGCTAACCAATACACACAACATGGCACAGGTGAAGGGAAAAACCAAGACTGAGGATCTTTTGTACTATCTGAAGAGAGACAGGAAAAAGTACTCTAGAGTCCGGCATCTGTTGATAACAAACGAGGAGATCAAGCTGGCCAAAAAGGCCTTTGAACCCAAAGATTACGAGAAGGAGTGATCCCCATAAGATTAAACCGCCTCCATATGATGGCTCTGGATCCTGCTCTTTGTTTTTGGTGTCAACAAATTGTACTCTTTGAACCCCATTGAAATGATTCTTTTGTTGGCAATGATCCTGTCTACTGTGATTCTGATGTTTACCTTTATCAAGAGGATTAACAGGAAGAAGGCGCCTGGAGACGAAAGCCCAAACCTGGAGCTTGAGGTGTACTTTCTCCAGAAGTCTGAGGGCGCATCATCCTCTACACTTCTGAAGCAGCTTGTTAAGGCAGCAGCTTGTTTCAAGGAGAGGGTGATGAAGCTGGAGAAGGACATGGAGGTTCTTGGCACCCTTTATGAAGACAGGATGATAAGCGAGGAGCACTGGGAAAGGGTAAACGAGGAGAGCAAGAACTGCGAGGTGGAGAGGATATGCATTGAGTCTGAGGCAAACATTATCAAGCCTGGGTATGGAGAGGAGATTTTCAAGGATGCCTCCAGGGTCAGCACCATAGGCCCCAGGAAGGGAAAGGGCCCTGGGGACGGTACCTTGTATCAAAAGAAGAAGGAGGTTCTTGAGCTCGAGCTGCTGAGGAAGCTGGGGGTTGGCGGGTGATGCCGGATGTCCTCCCTCCAAGTCTTCAAATAAAGAGTAAATGATGTGATAAACATAGGCAACGCTTTAATCGTCAGTCATTCAACCTATAGGTGAGCACTTTGCTGACGCCTTCATGGGGATCCCTATACACGCCGACCAGTCCGTCACTGTGCTGGAACAGGGCTGGCTTCAGGGTAATGAGGATAAATTGAGCATTGGATGAAACTATAAAGGACACAATCCTCGATGCATTGATCTTGTCCAGAGCAGAGTCCACCTCATCAAACATATAGAAGGGTGCAGGTTTGTATGCATGGAACGAAAAGAGCAGAGACAGAACAGCCATCGTCTTCTCTCCGCCAGAGAGCAGTCTGACCTCCCGAAACCTCTTGTTCGGAGGCATCAAATGGAACCTAATGCCTTCTTTGAACGGCTCCGATGTATTCTCAAGAACCAGGTATGCATTTCCTTCTGCGGTCTCCGTCATCGTGAGAGACTTGTATATCCTTGATATCTCCTTGTTGACCTTTTCAAAGCATTCCATAAACATGTGGGCTCTTCTCTTCTTCACCTCATTGAACTCGTTCTTGGCTGCAATCGCAATCGCCTTCCGCCTTTCATACTCTGCATTGATTTCCATGTACCTGGCCAGATCCCCGCCTCTTTCAGCCTTTGCTAGCGGCACCCGGCTGTTTATCTTTTGGTTGATCTCCTCAAGCTCTCTTTTCAGATCTTCGATACTTCCTTCTAACCCAGAAAAGTCTATCTCGTCCACAGAAACGCCGCTCGCAGGTCTTCTGCAGCCTATGCAGGGAACCTCGATCTCCTCAAGTGCTGCAAAGCTCAAGAGATCCTTTATCTCCTCTTCAAGACGCTCCCTACTGGATGTCCCAGAAACTATCCCCTGGTCCAGCTTGTTTTTCTGTTCAACAAGCCTCCTAAACTCTTCATTGACCTCCTTAAATTCATCCCGGGCCTTCTCAAAAGTTTCAAGGCTCCTTTTTTTTCTCTCCTCAAGAGAGGCAAGATCCTTGCACATGGCATCCACATCTCCCAAACCCCCGTCAGGCTCCTTGTTCAGATCCTCGGCCTCTCTTCTCAGCCTCTCCACCTCTTCATCCAGGTCCTCTATCTCTTGTCTCAGTACCTCGATCCTAAGCTCCGCCTTTGCCTTTACACCCTCGTATTCCATAGTCCTCAATGCAAACACCTCATTCTCCCTCGCTTCCTTATACTCTCCATAGCTCCTAAAGTAGTCGTTTGGAAATATCCCACGGAACACAGAAGACTCTGCCTTCCTGATCCTCTCTTCCAGTTCCTTCATCCGACCCTCAGACACCCCTATATCTCTCAGGACGCATTCCAAAGACTCCTCTGCCTCTTTCACCAGCCCGCCATTCTCTGTCCGCTGGAGTTCCAGTTCCTCGATGCAAGAGTCCAGCTCCCTTAATGCCTCCATTTCTAGCGCCTTACTTCTTCTCCACATCTCTATTCTTTCTCTGCATATCTCGACATGCGAAACCTCACCCTTGGCATCCTGGATCTTCCTTAGCTCCTCCAGAACCCGAATCCTTCTTCCCATAAGCTCGTCCAGCTCATCCTCCTGGAATTTGTTCCGTCCAACTCCTCCCCCGCTCATCAGAGATCCTCCCCCGTGGATATAAGTTCCGTCCAGGGCGCACACACTCGCCTTGATCTCCCTCCCATAGCAAATGTCCCTAGCTATCTCAACACTGTCTGCTATCAGCTTCTCCCTGAACAGAAATGACACTACCTTCCTGTACTTTCCGTCATATGTGATTGCATCCACAGCCCGCCTTACAGCCCCACCATACTCCTCAATCTCCCAAGAAGCATTTCCAGCGCCTCTTCCCTCAGACCCGTCTCGAATGCTTTCAATAGGAAGGAAGGTCATCTTGCATAGCCTCTTCTCCTTAATAAAGTTAATGCAGGACATCGCAGTCCTCTCCGTATCAACAATAACCGACTGGTCGTGGCTTCCCAGAAGAACAGACAGAGCAATCTCATATCTGTCCTGAGTGGCTTTGACCAGGTCGACGACTCTTCCATAAACCCCCGGAAACATCCCCTTGAGAGTCTCAACAGCCCCCTGGATCATAGAGCGTCTACTGTCGATCTTTCTTCTTCCCTTGGTCCGCAGTATCTCTCCAAGGATCCACGAAAGCTCCTCGTTTCTCCGTTTCTCTTCGGAAACAAGCTCTCTGTACCTCCTTTCGTGAAGAGATATTCTTCCACACAACTCGCTCTCAGACCTCTCAAGCGCATCTATCTTCACAAGCACATTCATCCTGGCCTTCCTCTTCTCTTCAACCATCTGCCGCAGCTCAGAGCCCTTCTCCTCAAGCTTCTCCATCCTTTCTCTGCAATCATCCAGAAGCATTTTCTTCGAAAACATCTCCAGATCCAAACCGCTTAGATCCTCCAAGTCCTCCCCGCACGCCTGAAGAAACTCCCTCTCCTTCTCTTCAATCACATCCTTCTTCTCTTCAATTCCCTGAAGACGCCGACGTCTCCTCTCCTCTTCTTTGCACATTTCTTCATATCCGCCGTCAACAGCCTCAACCTCTTTTCTTCTCCTCTCAATCTCTTGCCTCTTAGCATCTGCCGCATCTTTCTTGCCTCTAATCTCCATCTCAATCTCCACAGCCCGAGCCCTTCTCTTGTCCCTTTCCTGCTCGACCTCGTACTTCCGCGCCCTTCTCTCAGCCAGCATCTCCCTCTGTCGAGACAGATGAGCATCAACCTCAAAATACTCTCTTCTCATCTCGCTTATCTTCCCTCTGTACACCTCAACCTCTCTCTCCTTGTCATCCATAAACTCCTGCATTCTTCGGCTCTCCGCCTCTAGCCTCGACACCTCGTCGTCCGCATCCTTCCTCCTGGCCTTCCGAATCTGAATCTCATGGAGAACCATCTCTTCCTGAATCCGGTGCTTCCGTTCAATAAGCTTCCGGAACACATCCTCCTGCGCTCTGGCCTCCTCAGCCTCCTTCATCCTGCTCATCACTTCCTTTTTCTCCTCAAACAGCGAGGCACACTCGCTCACAGCCCTCGCCTGCACCCTCTGCTTCTCCTCATAGACGTCCTTCAGCTTCACACTTCCGCTCATCTCCTCAAACAGCCTCGAAAGCTCCATAGGCATCATCCCTCCTATCACACCGACATCTCCTTGGAACACCAAGAAGTTTCGAGCATCAACCAGCAGGTTCATCCCCTCAACAACTTCCTTAAATCTCTCGTAGCTGGCATTCTCAGAGTCGACAAAGTAAGAGCTGCGGCCTTCCCAGTTGACATGCCTCTGGAAGCTCCTCCTCTCTCCACAGCCCTCAATGTAGAGCGTCACACTGCAGTGGTTGCACTTGCTGTTGATCAGGCTTCGGGCACTACTGCCTCGAAGGTATCTACTCCCAACCCCAAGGCAGAACATCACTGCATCCATGACATTGCTCTTTCCAGACCCATTTGGCCCGACAATGCAGGTAAACCGGTCAAACGGCCCTATCACGTGCACTCCAAGATACGATTTGAAATTCTCAACTTCAATCCTTTCAAGCCCCATGCAGAGCCCGGCAATATTTTTTTTAACCCAAAAGGTACTTCCACCGGTTCCCTTCGAATGCTGTCTGCAGTCGCCAGAATGGCTGTTGTGGGCTGTGCCATCTACAAGCTTTACAGGAAAGCCGAGAAGGCCATGAAGAATGACGAGGAGTATCTTATGAAAATAACGGGCCACGCCAAGGAGCTGGGAGAGAAGATGATCAACGAGGCCAAGAAGCACGCCAGAGACAAGGAGTATGAGCTGTCTGCAGAGTATTTCTACTACGCCTATGGGCTCCTGGACTCGGGCTGGGACTACATCATGGCCCAGGTCGATTCCCAGGAGGTGCACAGGCTTTTGCATGCCAAGAAATGTCAAGACGCCAGAAGTCTGTCTTCACAATAATACACCTTTGCAAACGATTTAATCCAGGTCGGATACTCCGAGAGTCATATATTCACGGAAACACAATAAATTATGATGCCCACAACAATCAATGCAGCAAGCAGCCCAGATCCAAGGGTTATGTCAACAGAGATCTCAACAACCTCGTTGCTCTCCTCATCACTCAAATTGTTTTGGTTGCTCGCTTCTGTCTTTGAAGTTCTCCGAGCCTCGTCTTCAGCAACCCATGATGGTTTTTCAACCTCTTTTATCTCCGTTGCAATGTGCAGCAGTCTTACCAGTGTAATCACGACATACCTGTTCTTTGCCTCCTCCAGATAATAAGCAGGTGCCCATGGGTCGTTTTGCATCTCCGTCTGAATAATCTGAACAATATAGGCTTCGTTGTCGAAAACCCATCTGGGCACAAAGCACAGCTTCCCATTCAGAAGCGTGAGAAGTTCGCTGCAGTAGAAAAGCCTATTCTTCAAATCCTTCAGCCATTCGCGCTTCAAGGAGCTTTCATTCAACCAGCTGGACCTGCAGAAGTCTATAACCTCACATATGTTGTTCCAGTTCTTCATATTGCTTGCCATGTCCGTTATCTTGAAATAGTCCTTGAGGTGCTTATCAAGTGTTGCGCATACTCTCAACTCAAACCTGATGTATCTCTGGAAGTACGAGAAGTTGCTGCGGGTGATTGTTTTCCAGGACTCCACAAGAGACAAGAGCTTTCTGATCTCGTTCTTTGCAAGAAGAGAACTTTTCTTCAGCTCTTCAACTGCATTGCTCCAGTGGCCGCTTTGGTAGCACCGAGCAACGTCGTTTGTTATAATGACCGGAACATCTGAATGTCTCCCCATCATCTGCAGGTGTTTTGCTAGAATGTCCAGGAGATGGAATACCATCATAATGGCAGTATTCCCATACTCTGGGATCTCCTTCATCGCATTGCATAACTCGATATCGTTCATTTCGAAGGGTCCACTTTGCATTTTATTTCAGTTTGGTAAATCTACGGCATTCCACCTGGTTGTACTATGGCACGGAGGGACGCCCGAGGGACTTTGGCCGAGTGGTCTAAGGCGCTCGATTCAAGACTGAGTACGGTAACGTTCGGGGGTTCGAATCCCCCAGGTCCCATTTTGTCCCGCCACACAGAGGTCCTCTAATACTTTTATTAGCCTTTCACCCTACAAATGATCGATGACAAATACTTCGATGTCTTTAACGACAAGTCGACACTGCAAGCCATTGCCGTTCCGGAGAGGCTCGAGCGAAGAACAACAGTAACAGACAGGATCGATAGGAACGGGACCCGCCACGAGGCAGTTGTTCCCGTCGGAGCTGCATACACGCTTCTGCCAAAGCAATTCTGCAAGCCAGCTGCAAAGAACTATTTGTTTGAGCTCGACGACTTCCAGAAGATTTCTGTGTGCAGCCTCGAGAGAGATGAAAGCGTCCTTGTGAGCGCCCACACAAGCTCTGGAAAGACTGTTGTTGCAGAGTATGCCATTGCAATGTCGCTGAGGAGCAACCAGAGGGTTGTGTACACGTCTCCCATCAAGGCCCTGTCCAACCAGAAGTACAGAGAGCTTCTTTCCGAGTTCAGCGACGTGGGGCTGATGACAGGGGATGTCACCATCAACCCCACGGCATCCTGCCTCGTGATGACCACGGAGATTCTCCGGAACATGCTCTATAGAGGGGGCGAGGTCGTGCGTGAAATCCACTGGATCATCTTTGACGAGATCCACTACATGAGGGACAAGGAAAGAGGGGTTGTGTGGGAGGAGACGATCATACTGCTCCCAAAGCATGTTAGGATGGTGTTTCTCAGTGCAACAATTCCAAATGCACTGGAGTTTGCAGAATGGATATCCCACATCCAGAGCCAGGTTGTCCATGTTGTGTACACCGAGAAGAGGGTGACGCCGCTAGTCCACTACTTCCGTAGCAACAAGCTGTACAAGATCAAGGATGCGAAGTTCCACAAATCGAACTTTCTGTCTGCAATGCGATCTATCCGGAAGAGGAATGTTGGGCCTCGGGAGGTGGGAGAGGCGATTGGGGATGCATCTCTTCCTGTTGTTGTCTTTTCGTTCAAAAGAAAGGATTGTGAAAGATTTGCAATGAAGCTTGACGGGAGATACCTGACAGACGAGGAGGCAAGGACGGTGCAGACAATCTTCACCAATGCGATTATGTCTCTTAGGAAGGAGGACAGGGAGATTCCGATTATCCAGAACATCCTTCCTCTTCTTATGAGGGGGATTGGAATCCATCACTCTGGGCTTCTGCCCATCATCAAGGAGGTTGTTGAGATACTGTTTCAGGAGGGGCTGCTCAAGGTTTTGTTTGCAACAGAGACGTTTTCCATTGGGCTGAACATGCCTGCAAAGTCTGTTGTGTTTACTGCACTGAAGAAGTTTGATGGAGAGGCCATGAGGCTGGTGAGCTCTGGAGAGTACATCCAGATGAGCGGCAGGGCGGGACGGAGGGGGATAGACAGCATGGGGATTGTCATAAGCATAATCTCCGAGCCCATCACCTACAAGGAGGCCAGCAGGCTTTTCTCTGCATCCTCCGACAATCTTGTGAGTGCATTCCGGCTAACATACAACATGCTGTTGAATCTGATGAGGGTTGAGGGCCTTGATCCTTTGTACCTGATCAGCAGAAGCTTCCACCACTTCCAGTCGTACAAGAAGGCCCTTGCGGAGGAGGAGACCTTGCACTTGATGTACCGTCGACTAGAGGACATCGAGCCCAACGAGACTGCATGTCTGTATCGGAAGAGAGAGGAAAAGAAGGTTGAAAGGGGTAAGAGGCTAGTGGAGGCGTTTGGCAAGTACCTGAAGAAGGGGAGGGTGGTTGATCTGTTCATACCGAGGAATGGGCCGTCAATCACAATCCGGAACGCAATAGTCAGTAAGGCTAGGGAGAAGGTCCAGTGCATGGTTGGGACCGAGGAGGGTGTGTACATGTGTAGCTTTCCCCTGCACTACATCGACTGTGTATATGACATCAGGGTGAAGCTTGATGTTCGGGTGTTTACGAAGAGCTTTGAGAAGATTGCAGTTAGGGATGAGCTTGATGAGGAGATAGAAGAGATAGAGGGGAAGATACTGTCGATGGATCCGGAGTGGAGCTTCGACTTCTGTGTACTGTGTGGAAAGTCCTCTGTGGGATGCCTGGTTTCGTGCAGTAGGGAGCTTATTGACTCTGAAGCAGTTATAGTCCAGATGCCCGAAAATACAAAGAGGTATGGAGAGAGTCTTGAGGCCGCCAGATATCCGTCTACAGAAATGAAGAGCAATATGGATGGGGCAAGGGCGTTCTTTGTGAACGAGACACTGAGGCAAAGATATCTGGAGAAGCTTCTGGAGCTGAACAGTCTCAAGGAAATCTACCACATGAGGGAGTGCAAGAAGATGATTGAGGTTCTAAAGAAACTTGAGTACTGCGACGACACAACTGTGCTTATCAAGGGGAGAATGGCATGCGAGATTTCGTCTGGCGATGAGCTAGTGCTAACAGAGATGATATTCAACGGGGACTTTGCAGGGATTCCAGTGGAGCATTTCGTTCCCTTGCTTTCATGCATTGTGTTTGAGGAGTGGGACTCGGACAGCTTTGTTCTGAGCGATGAGAACAAGCTCTACTATAGGCTGCTATCCGACTCTGTGGAGAAGGTGTGCAAGGTCTTGAAGTCGTGCGGGATCGAGATAGACCCTGCAGCATACCTCAAGAGATTCTCCTACGAGCTGATGGATGTTGTCAGGATGTGGGTCTGTGGATGCACATTTATCAGCATCTGCAGCAAAACAAGCATCTTCGAGGGCAGCATCATCAGGACATTTAAGCGGCTCGAGGAGCTACTCAGGCAGCTAAGTAGTGCAGCCAGAGTCATAGGAAACACTGAACTGGAGAATATGTTTGCTCTGGGGATAGTGAAGATCAAAAGAGACATAGTCTTTGCCAACTCTCTCTACATCTAAATTTAAAACGTTAGAATCCTAAGTCTTTTTATTGGTCCATGGTCAGGTCCTGGCCATATAGATCGAAAGGAGCTTCTCGACATCTATCTCAAAGAATGATGCTGCATACGGAACTCTGAACGTCTTGCATATCTCCGGGTTGCATACGCCTATCGATCCGATGGCAGCATCTTCTACAATCACCAGGGCACTTTGGTTCTTAAGATACCTAGCGGAGTCGTTGTGGGTGCTGTATGAATGGCGCACTCCACATTTCTTCAGAAGAAGAGACAGAGAGCCCTGGACTTCCTCAAGACATGGAGTGTGTCCGCAGTACATGGCTGCCAGTCTCCTTGAATTTGATGCCCCACACTCATTCTCCTTGTCTAAAAGGACGACATCTGAGACTTCAAACAGCCTGAATGGGATTTTCATGTGCAGGTTCGAGGCCACTGTCTTCATTAGCCCTGGAATGAGAGAGGTTCTGCAAACCTCGTAGCTAGCCGACTTCGGGTTCATAAGCACAACTGCTTGGTCTCCGTCAATCACATTCTCCTCACGGGACAGGAGTGTGAGTGTTAAGGCTTCGTCAAAGCCCATAATGGAGAGTTCAGTCCGGAGCTTGTCCGAAAACTTGTTTAGAGGAATCTCAGACCCGGCTGTGAAGAACGATGGCAGCTCTCTCCTGAAGTTGTTGAATCCGTGTGCAATAGCAATGTCCTCAATAAGGTCGCACTTGTGAAGAACGTCCGACCTGATGTCATGCACCCTAACCCTGAGAGTGCTTTCATCAATCGTGTCGACGCTATGCATCATTCTCTCCATGTATGACTTTGCTGCTGACAACGACAGATCCAGCCCAAGGCTCCTGTTAATTTCCCCCAGCCCCATCACATACGAGCGATTATGCATGACCGGCGTTCTGGTCCTCTCGTTTCCATTCCGAATCTCAACACTCTCTATCTTCCTTCCTCGAAAACACCCTAGGAGCAACTTCAGCGCCGTATTAACCCTGTGGAAATCGGTTCCTGTCATTTCAACAAACACATTCTTGGTCCCAGGGCTTATTTTAGTTGCATCAGAGTTTATTATCGGCGGCAAGGACATAATCGTTCCCATAGAGTCTTCAAAGAGGGGATACTTCTCGTTCTTCTCAATAAGCCTCATGTACCTTCCGATCTTGCTTCCAGGCGGAAAGCGAGAACCTAGCTCCTTTCCATTCACCTCTCTTTCTGCATTCAAGGGCTTGAATCCGATTCGCTCGGGCGTCTCGCTTTTGTAGAAGACAGGCCCCTTAATCTTGTCGAGATCATGGGTCCCCATCGAGACCAATGCCCTGTTCCTTCCAATCGTCAGGTGAAGCTTATCTTGGTAGTCAATGAAGCTTTTATAGGCTCCTTCAGACAGAAGATCCACGCCCTTGATAACTGCGCATGCTATGCACGGTCTTTCCTCCCCTCCAGTCTTGTAGACAACAACCTCCCCCTCCTCAACATCTATATCCTCGTATGTCTCCATCGAGAGAAACGCCCTCAGTGCATAGCAGAGCCCCTCGGCACAGAGGAGATCGTATCGGTTGGCAGGGATCTCTATTCTGTACATGGTTTTCCCTTCCTCCTCCACTACATCGTCAAGCTCCAGTCCAAAGTCAAACAGAATCTTTTCAAAGCGACGATCCCCAAGGTCCATGCCAAGTAGGTCTTGTATCCTCTTTTTCTCTGCCACCAGCGTCGGCATAGGGCTCAAATTTTTCGTCAGAATTCTTCTTCTCCAAGACCCTTGATGAAAATCAGAGTAGGGCTGCTGGTAGGCTACGATGGAAGTAGATACCACGGCCTCCAGTTCAACAAGGACCTGGATACCGTGGAAAAGAAGATAGTCGAGTGTCTGCTCAGGATGGATGCAATCAGTGAAAGAAATGCAGGAGACCCAAGAAAGATCCACATCAAATCATCCTCAAGGACAGATAAGGGCGTTCATGCCGCACTCAACCTTGTGTCGGTCAAAATAGAGCTTGGTGTCTCCCCAGAACTGGTCTCAGGCCTCAGAGAGCTGCTTTCGAAGGAGGGCATCCATCTGTACGACATCGTAAGGCTTACAAAGAGCATCGTCCCGTCTAAGCAGGCCATCTCAAGGACTTATGAGTACATCGTCCCGACATACTTTCTTGCAGAGGGAGACTTCAGCAGAGAGGTCGAGGTGTTGAGCCAAGGAGACGAAGAATGCAGGGGCGACAGAATAGGAAGGGTCTATCCTGAAAGCATGATCGACAGCGTGGTAGGATATACCTCTTCGGAAGACGATACCAGGGTCTTTAGCACCATCCTTCAGAAGTATGTAGGAACCAAAGACTTCCACAACTTCACCAAGCTCAATAACGAAAAGGGCTCCACGAGATACATCAAGTCGATCATTGTGTCGGATACGTATACAGACAACGGGGTGGAGTATGTGAAAATATCGATCACCGGGCAGAGTTTCCTGCTTCACCAGATAAGAAAGATGGTGCTTTTTGCAGTTTTGCTGTGCAGGTACTCCAGGAATGCAGTGGACTCGAAGTTCGACATGGTGTTCAGCAGACATAACATCCACGTTCCGAAGGGCCCGTCAGAGTATCTCCTTCTTGACAAGCCTATATTCCATAAGCTGAGAAGGGGAGACGGAACCACAGAGCACATAGGAGTCAGTGATAGTGATAGAGAAGAGTACAAAAGAAGCACCATCTATCCAAAGATCCACGAAAGGAAAAACCTTACCAGCTTCTTTGCCTGCATGGACTCAGTAAGGTTCCACAGAGAGAACATCGTGTTCATTGACTAGCCTTCAGACGCACCAAACAACAGTAATAAAAACTCCTCAATGGCATTTTCCTTTTCTATCCGCTCAGGACTCTTCTCTGTACTTTTCTCCCTCCCACTTTCAGCAAGGTTTCTAAGCCTCTCGGCCATGGATACGTGCTTTTTACTTTTCTCCCAGGGCTTCAAAAGGCTCCCAAGCTTACTGACGAAGGCTTCTATTTCCTTACTGCTGAAGAAAACAATCTGGAACCTTCGATCCACACACCTACATCTAAGCACCCTCTTGTCCGCACAAACTCTAATATCCCACTCACCAGTAAGCTCCACCCTCTCCAATGTCACCAGCTCCTGCCCGCCTGCAGAAAGAATGTAGAGCCTTATCTCCAGCACAGGCAATAGAAGGACCACCTCCAACGTCCTGATGCCCTCCGTAAACATATGGAGCCATCGCTCTCTTCTGATTCCTTGACTGTCCGATTGCGAATGGAGTATCACCTGGCTCACTGCCTCCAAATCAAGTCCGCAGAACGACTTCTCGCCTCCTCTTTTCTCCATCCTTCTGGAATACTTGAAAATCCTCCATGCATTCATGTTCATGCCTCAGAATCTAGCTTTATATCTCCAACAGTCCTCAGCTTTCTCTGATCCTCCTGAGCAGAGACGCCTTGAGCTTTGACTTCTCCAGCCCTTGCTCAATGATTATGCACTCATTAGTGGTTAGTGATGAAACAAAGTAGATGAGGACGCTGTCATACAGGAACATCCTCTTCTGCTCGACAAGTGCTTTCATGCCCCGGAAGACCGTCTTCTCAGTCCCAAGCCCTTTCTTCCCCATGCCGCACTTCGAGCCAATCAACCTTCCAACTCCCTTGCGCACATTCTTCTCCTCCACATCCATCAGGTATCTGAAGTATCCGGAAACTAGGTTCATCCGGGACTTGCTCCTGCTCAGAAACTCAGAAATCAGCTCCTCACCACAGACCTTGAATATGATGTTCGAATAGTCGGTGAGAAGGCCTTCGTCAACAAGCTTGAACAGAGAGATGCATGACTTCGGATCGACAAAAATCCTTTCAGCTTCCGAGTGTATAAGAGCAGACAGCCTGTCATACATCACCTTGAAGCACTCTCCCTGGTCAGATGCTCGTTCCACTTCTCGATTCAGCACGGCAAACTCAATGCATTTTTCCCTGAAGAAAAGCAGGAAGTCGCAGAGAACAGCGGGATTGGCTGTGTCCTTGAGTTCGTATCCGTTGACGCTTTCGTAGTCCTTTGACATTATTCTCCACAATGCTGCATAGCACTTGACCTCAGTTGGATGATCGCTCCCAATCCCCTCCGATATGTCAAACGACTTGATTATGCAGCAGGTAAACCCAACACTGAAGAATCTGAAAAACTCCACAATCCGGTAGACAGAGGCTTCGAAGTCGTTCTCGAGCTTCTTCAAAAGATGTACAAACCTGGAAAACATCTCTTCGCATCTGTATCGGCTAGAAAGCTCCTTCATCGCCTCAAGAAGCCTGTTGGTGGCATCCGGCTGCTTCTTGAACACCTCGGCATCAATCTTGCAAATAGACTCCACGGACTCCACTATGTTCTCTCTGCTGTCCTTGATTATTTCAAGCATTCTGCAGTACTTCATGATGTCCGCTGCACTGCTGGAAAGCACCCCAAGAATCCTCAGGTAGCACAAGCTTTTTGACTTGCAACATGAGCTTCCCGTGCGCAAAAAGTCCAGAATAAAGTCCATGAATCTTTCAACATCTCTGTCAGTGTGAGGAATACGGGAGCACAGAAACAGGGACGTGCTGGAAAGAAGTTCGTGCAGGCCCTCATGGTTATCTAGCAGAGACCCGGCATTTGGCTCTTCTCCTCCAAGGATCTTTCTGACAACATCGTCCACCAGGCCCCTCCTATCTCTTTCGCTCATGGATGCCAGTACCTTGTAGACATCGTCCTTTGAGATCATCCCGCTGATGTACAGGGACATACAGAGTGCTTTCCCTTCATCCCGGAGGCCAGGGTTCCTGTCATATAGCGCCAGCTCGATCATCCTGCTCTTAAAGCGGGACACAAATGCTTGAACACTAATCTTCTTCTGCACCAGCCTGATGCATGAACTCACTCCCCTTCTCCTAACAGTGTCGTTCTTGTCACTGAGAGCCCATCCAATGTACTTCAGATAGCAGGAGGAGTTGAATATCCCGGGAACAGAAACAACCCATTCACACATAAACTCCACGCAAACGGCCCTTATATTGAAGTCTACATCCCTGAACCTGACGAGAAACACCTCATCATACATAGTCTCCACCACCTCGAATCCCTTTCCGTCTAGAATCCACTGCTTTATCTTGCCGAGCATCAGGTACGTCGATACATATCTCAGTATCCTGTTTCCATTCCTTGTGAGTTCAACCACGGAGCTGGTGTCGTAGTTCGACAGTGAGTTGAAGACCTTCGAAAGCTTCTTCATTCTGCCCTGATTTACGTGGACAGACTTAATGAGTCTAATGATGTCCTCTGTGCAGTCTTCGTAAGCCTTGAGCCTGCTTACCAATGCCTCTGGTGTAAACACATCGAAGGGGCAGCTCCCGTGCCCGGAAATCCCAGGAAGGGTGGGGGTAACGATGTCGTGGCTCATGTCCGAGGCCAGTACTCCGTCCGGGCTGTTCTCTTTCTCCATCAAAGGCTCGAGCTCAAAAATATTTTAAATGAGTGGGAGGACAGCATGGAGCATAAAAGCCCCGGGAGGTGACCCATGGGTTTGCTATGAGGCTTAGTCTAGTCGAGCAAGAAGAGGTCATGAGGGAGTTTGGCGACCCGGTGGAGTTCATACGGAAATACATAGATGTTTACGAAAGGCAGAGGTGCGTGCCTGTGAAGGTGTTCCTGGAGGATGTTTCGTACTACGAGAGATTTGAGCCGAGATTTCTTGACCTGGTGCTCAAGCGCGCGCTCTCTGAAGAATCTGCGGATCTGAACCTTCCGGAGGTTGAGGCGCTGCTGTGCAGTTTCCGTGAGAAGGAGTTTTACGACGAAAGGTTCTATCTTGAGTCTACTCTGGTGCTCATCAAGGGAATAGCTATACTGGTGGACAGAGTCGACCAGGAGGTGCAGAGAAACGACTTCCGCAACCTGCGGTATCTGTACTACTACACAGACGAGGCCATCGACCTGACGCGGATTCTTGTTGGCCCCTATACCAGATATGTCGAGGATCCACAGGTCTTGGTCAGCAAGATGCCTGAGCTCCGGAATGCAGTGGAGCTCGTAAACAAGCAGCTGGAGGGGGTGGGAAGATCGTTTCTTGCGGACGACGAAAGGCTGAAGGACAGGGTGAATCTATCTGAGGGGATTCTCGGGACCCGGAGGATAGAGAGATATGTGACAGAGGAGGTATATGGAAGCATATTTGATCTTCTCATAGTGAAGGCGACGGGGATGGACGTGGATTCTGGGTACCTCTATATCATGGGGTTTTGCAGCGAGTTTCTTGTGCATGAGGCCGGTAGCGAGGAGACGATCCTTCGTTTGAAGGAGTATGCAGCTGCTTTGCTGAGTAAGAAGGAAAACTGATTTCCGTGTGATACAGGCCTGTAATAAATGCTCTTTTGTTTTCTAACGACATCTTTATTTCTGCAAAAGCCTCCCCTGAATGGCAAAAAGAAGGTTTGAAGAGGACGAGAGCATGTCTGAGGAGGAGAGGATACTGGATGCGGGTGGCGTCCAGGAGCTTGAAAGTGAGGACATGGACGAGATCAGGGACGACCTGTATGAATCCGAGGGGATGTATGAGGAGAGCGAGGCTACGGAGCACTCTGACATTGAGGATCTTATAAGCCAGGAGGTGAAGAATGTGAGGCCTGATGAAAGGAAGGGAGGAAACGGAGATGCAGAGTATGATGCGGAAGACATTCTGAAGGCCTCCGAAGTGACAAAGGACTTTTTTGAGCAGGACTTTTTCAGGGCTAAGGTGGTTAGGAAGTTTATTCGCTTCTTTAACGAGTTCGGGAACAAGAAGTATGCAAAGAGGATCAGGCAGATGTGCACTGAGAACCTTGAGAGCATAGAGGTGAGCTATCTGGACATTGAAGAGGAGTCGATAGACCTGCTGAGACTTCTGAACCAGCATGCAGAAATGACTATCGAGGTGATGGACAGAGCCTTGTCTGATGTGGTGAGAATGCACTTTCCAAATTACCACATGATAAAGCCGAAGGTCCACTCGAGAGTTGTTGACCTCCCTGTGTGCGACAGCGTCCGATCGCTGAGGAACAGGCATCTTGGCAAGCTAGTCAGGGTGAGTGGAGTTGTCACCCGAAGAAGTGGGGTCTTCCCGCTCTACTCTATTGTGAAGTTCAGCTGTCTCAAGTGCAGGTCTGTCTTCGGGCCTTTTGTGGCATCCTCGTTCAAGCCTACACACTGCTTTGAGTGCCAGTCGAAGGGGCCCTTTACGGTCAACACGTCTGAGACTGTCTACAAGGATTTCCAGAAGCTAACGATTCAGGAAATTCCTGGGAGTGTTCCGCCCGGGTCTCTTCCAAGGTCCAAAGAGGTGTTGCTATTCTACGACCTGATTGACTGTGCAAAGCCTGGAGAAGAGGTTGAGGTTACCGGGGTATACAAGAACAACTTCAATGTGTCTCTGAACATCAGGAATGGATTTCCTGTGTTTTTCACGGTGATTGAGGCTAGCTCTGTTGTCAAGAGGGCGGGGAAGATTGAGATGACGGACGATGATGTTAGAGAGATCAAGAAGATGGGAAGGCACCCGGAAATCAAGAGAATAGTGATCAACTCCATAGCGCCCTCTGTATATGGACATGCAGAAGTGAAGAGGGCTATAGCACTGGCAATGCTTGGAGGGGTTGCAAGGGAAAGCACAAGCCATAGAATCAGAGGAGACATAAATGTCCTTCTGTTGGGAGATCCCGGAATGGCCAAGTCACAGTTTCTTAGGTATGTGGAGAGCACGTCCCATCGGGCTGTTCTGGCAACGGGGCAGGGGGCCTCGAGTGTTGGGCTGACAGCGTCTGTTCGAAAGGATCCTGTTGTGAAGGAATGGACCCTGGAGGGGGGAGCACTGGTGCTGGCAGACAAGGGGATATGTCTTATCGACGAGTTTGACAAGATGAACGAGCACGACAGGACAAGCATACACGAGGCGATGGAGCAGCAGTCGATTTCGATATCGAAGGCGGGGATTGTTGCAACGCTTCATGCAAGATGCAGTGTGATAGCAGCGGCAAATCCAATGAGAGGAAGATACAACGGGTCTCTGACATTTGCACAGAATGTGAACCTCAGCGACCCGATAATATCGAGGTTCGACATCCTCTGTGTGGTCAAGGATGCCATTGATGCAGGGGAAGATGAAAAGACAGCAAAGTTCGTTATAGAGTCGCACGAGGGAGGAGAGGAGAAGCCCGATGGGTTTGACCCGAAGAGAATGATGATGGGCCATGAGCTTCTAAGGAAGTACATACTGTATGCAAGAACCAATGTCGTGCCTGCCTTCAACGACGTCGACATGGAGAAGATTTCGAGCCTGTACCTGGAGCTTAGGAAGGAAAGCCTGCCCTCCGGCCTTCCGGTGACTGTTAGACATGTGGAGAGCATTGTTCGGATCAGCGAGGCATTTGCAAAAATGAGGCTCAGCAGGGTTGTTTCTGTCGAGGACATTGACGAGGCGATTTCTGTTGTTCTTGACTCGTTCATGGGGGCTCAGAAGTACTCGATGTCCAAGAGCCTGAGGAAGAAGTTTGTAAAGTACTTCAACAAGAACAACATCGATGTTCTGGTCTTTCTTCTGAAGGAGATGTTCAACGAGAAGATGAAGGCCTTCCGCTCCCAGTCTGTATCTGTGGATGAGTTTGAGCGGAGGATTTCGTCTTTTGGATTCTCGATTCCATCCAATTTCTACTCCTGTGGGCTGTTCAAGGACAGTGGATTCAGGCTCGACAGAGAAGCAAGACTGATACTTAGGAGTGTTTACTGATACCATGTTTTGGAATAAAGTGCTGGTAGTACTTCTAGGACAGCTATATCTTTCCTTCTATCTTAGACATCCCGCTTCCGTACTGCATTGCCTTCTTTGGAATGGTAGACGCAGACCCAAGCCCGTTCCTCCGAAGAACCTCTCTTATGACGAACTTTCTTTCTCCGTTCATCATGATCACGCTACTCCCGATTTCCAGGGAATACTCGACCAATTCCGAGTCCAAAAAGGGAAACCTGCACTCAACCTGGCTGTCGGAGATAACCCTATCATCCCTGCAGAGATTGTGGTGCGAGATTGTAAAGAGGTCGAACATCATGTCCTCTCTGAAGCAGCTGTCCTTATACTTATGGTATCCGCCAAACATCTCGTCTGCCCCCGACCCCAGATATGCAACTCTGCCATACTTCCTCGACTCTCTTGCCGTGAAGAATAGCGTTGCCCCTATGTTGAAGTCCATAGGGCCACTTTTTGGATATATCAGCCTGTATATATGTTCCTTGGCAGCTCTAACCTCTTCAATCGTAACATCGTTGGGAACAAAAACAAAAGATCTCTTCCCAAACCTTGAGCAAAGCTCTTCAAACCCTCTTCTTCCGGCGTCTCTATCCCACGACGGCCCAAACGACGTGTTTATCAGGTAGATCTTTTGCTGGGGAGAGGCGACATAGTGAAGGAAAACCGCTACAAGCATTGAGTCGACTCCTCCGCTGAAAAACACACAGACATTCCCTTCCAAAATCCTTCTTTCGACGGACCTCCTGAAAAGTCTGCTGAATCCACTAATCACAGCGTTTACGTCATTCAGCTCCGTCCTGCTACCCTCCACTTTCCCGCACACTAGGTGTCTCCTTAGGTACTGGTATTTCTTTGAGTATTTCGCATCACAAAGGCGGCTTAGAATCGCACCGCCGAGAGAAATGTATCTCTTGACGATTCTGCTATTCTTGGGCCATTCGTCGAGCCTCCGAGTCGCTTTGTTGTATGAGTAGATCAGCATGGGATTGACCTCCTCGGTGTACCCCACAGAAGAGACGTAGAACGGGTCCAGGCCATATCCCAGGCTTCTTCTCCCTATATCGTCTTTGAAGAAATACACGCGGTCTCCCAGCATTAACACCACTGCCATCTCGTTCTCATGTCTGTTGATCTCCTCGTAAATCCTATCCACAATGTCTCCCTCGGACTCCCCCAGTCCACTGCACTCCTGCAGGAGCCTGTCGACTGTATGTTTAATGAACAAAGTGTCGCTTGGCTCTCCGTTGTAGATCTCGCCATTGTAGAGAAACAGATACCCGGCGCCCAACACAGGCTGCCCAACTGATCCTCTTATGGAGAGCACCGAGGAAATGGCCACAACCCCATCAGTGCACACCTTGCTGCTGTGGTCTCCTCCTCTGTTTCCTATGAGCAATGCCATCTCCTCTGAAGCCAAGTCTTTGTCTTCCGAAAGAAATATTCCACACATGAAGGATTGAAGGCAGAGTGGGAAATAGAAAGGCCCGGAAGGACATCGAAGTGATGGCCCAAGCTGTTGCATGCCCCTGAATGGGGTCGTTTGTAAGAAGCACAGCACACAGGAAAGTAGAGCACCTGTCGACGGGGATAGCCGGGCTCGACATAATACTTGGAGAATGCCTCGGAAGAGGAACATCTATCCTTTTGCTGGAAGATGAGAACTCTCAGATCCACTCGACAATACTGAAGGTTTTTCTTTCGGAAGGTGCCAGAAGCCAGGAAAGCATGGCTGCTGCGACGAAGGAAGGTGGAGACATGGAGGTGTATGGCACTGGGACGCTTATGGAGAAGGACAATGGAGACAAGATGGTAATAGCATGGAGATACTCCACTCTGTCCTTGTCAAAGCCCATATTCAGATTCAATCTTTCGAAGAAAAAGAGGTTTGAAGGGATCTTGCTTTCTGGAGAGGAGGCAACGCTGGAGGCCATTCTGGACACTGCAAGGGAAAAAAGGGGACTGAGGATGGCCTTATTCTCACTTGGATCACCGGCCTGGAGGTTCTCGGGATGCGGAGAGAAGGAGCTGATGAAGTTTCTCTTCGAGCTCAAGAGGCTTGTCCGAGCAAATGACCATGTGTGCATGGTTTCCATCCCCGCTTTCTTTATGCCCCATGCAAACTTCAGCCTGTACTTTGACATGGTTGCTGGGCTTGAATCGAATCTGTTCAACCGCTTCTGCTCGAACTACAACGGGATCCTGGAGCTCAGGAAGATCAGAGGGCACGGGTGCCTCCGGACCAGCACCCTTGAAAGCCTGAAGTACGGAGTGAAGATCAAGAAGGAAAACGTCTGTGTAGAGAAGATCGAGATGCCGCCCGAGGATGCCAAGCCGCGTGAGAAGCCCTGGATCCCAGACAGGTCCTTCTGAGGTGCGGGTGCTGGAAGGCGGATACATTTCTATTTTTGCTATTTTTTCGGACCGTTTGAAATGATCTACCTACTGGAGACTGCTGTTGGATATGTGGTGCTCGACAAGGCGGACGGATCCCAAGAGGCACAAGTGGTCGAGATATACAAGTTCGGGAGTATTGAAGAGGCGCTGGAGTCGTCAACACTGTTGGCTAGGGGGGAGGTTCCAAGCAATCTGGAGAGCTTTATGAGGCTTGTGGAGGTCAAGAGCAAGGAGACACTGGTTGTGAACGACCAGAAGCTGGTAGAGCCCTTGGAGAAGAAGCTTTCTCGGAAGGTTGTGTATCTGCATGACAGTGTCCAGAGGTCCATGAGATCTTGTGTCCACGAGTATTTTGGGATGAACAGCTCCGAGTACTCCGAAAGGATTCTCTGTCTGGCACACAAGATATCGATGGGGAAGGTCAATCTTGTGCCCGAGAAGATCGACACGATAGTGATCCAGTCTGTGTCGCTGCTGGATGACATGGACAGAGACATCAATCTCCATTGCATGCGACTCAAGGAGTGGTATGGGTTTCATTTCCCCGAGCTGTCATCTGTGACAGATAACAACAGGAAGTATCTGGATCTTGTTGTGGCGATTGGGAGGAAGGGAAGAATTGGTGAGGAAAAGAAGGAGATGATCAGAGAGGTGATTGGGGATGGATGCGAAAAGGTGATGAGGCTGGCTGAGACGAGCATGGGCGTTATGATGGAGGAGTCTGATATTCTGAATATAGTGGAGGATGCAAAAAGCGTGCTCCGGAGCTTTGAGTTCCGGGATGAGTTGCTAGAGTACATCCGGGTGAAAATGGAGGGTCTTGCACCGAGCCTGACAGCATTGGTTGGCGAGGTGATTGGAGGCAGGATGATAAGCAAGGCAGGGTCTTTGTCCAATCTTGCAAAGATGCCTGGATCGTCGATCCAAATGATGGGGGCTGAGAAGGCTCTGTTCCAGGCCCTGAAGTCAAGGACAAACACCCCGAAGTATGGAATTATCTACGGATGCTCTCTCTTGGGACAGGTCCCTTCCCAGCACAAAGGGAAGATAGCCAGGAGTCTGGCCTCGAAGATTGCCATAGCAGCCAGGATCGACTCGTATGGTGAGGAGAGCACCGGCGAGATTGGAGTAAAGATGCGGGAGAAGATCGAAAAGAGGATCAAGGATCTGGAGGCAAGAAGCCATGCTGCAAAGAAGGCGGTGAAAAAGCTTAAGTATGAGGTAAGACCAGACTTCTATGATGACTCGAAGGACTCCAAGAGAATTAAGTCGAAGTAATCACATTAAAGCACATTGCATTAGTATAATATGTTTAGTGATTGTCTGTGGCCCTGGCTCCTGTTAGTCTGAAAACGGAACCAGCATCTTAAATAACTTCTCGCTCCTTATAGAGAGTGTTTTAAAGTCTTCGAATGTGAGGAAGCCTCTATCGCTCTCGACAGAGGCAAAGATCTCGCTGACTATTCCTTCGGCATCTATGGAAATGTCGAGAGTGTGAGATGTCATGTCTGCCAGACACTGGACCACCTCTACCATCTCTTCCTTGGATACGACGCCGTCGTTGTCCTTGTCATAGAACCTGAACATCCAGCGCAATTTCTCATGGTCGCTCCCCTTAACCAGTATGCTGTATGCTATCAACAGCTCGTGGAAGTCAACGGTCTCTGTCTGGCTTATGTTGATGGTTTCAAAGAGCCTCCTGGAAAAATTTGTGGGAGATCCAAAAGGGAAGAAGCTCCTGAACATTGCCTCTAGATCTTTCAGTGTCATGCATCCGCCAGGATATTCCGACCTGAACGAGGAGGACCATTCCTGGATGTCCCTTGGGGGAAAGTGCGAGAACTGCCTGACATCCTCCTCCACATTGTCTGGGATTGTGCTTGCACCTGATCCCATGGGGTGTTTTGTTTTAGCCAACTAGAGAGAAGGCGCCAATTAAACAAAACAGGGATTAGGGCTCTAACCCATGCTACGTCTTTGGATCATCTCGCTTGTAGCGTGCTCGAGGATTCAGAAGATACTGAGGCCTGGAGCCAGAGAGGTGTATGGGGCTGTTCTTGATAGCAAGGATGTGGAGCTTACGATCCAGCTGAACCAATACTCCGATATGTCTGTGTACTACAAGATAGTCAGGCCTGGCGAGGTTGACGACGACAGTGATATCAGAGAGGAGCTTGTGGAGGCGGTGGACGTAAGATATACGATTCCCGGGGAGTACAGAATCGAGGTCTACAACGACGGGCCTGAAAAGGCGTCTATAAGCGTCTACACAGACGTCATGTCATCTGGAAGTGTTGACAACGACAACCTGGCAATCAAGAATCTGTTTCTTGACCTGGAGGCCAAGCTCATGTCACTTCATAGGACAAACACACGGCTGAAGACCATCCAGGAGAACAACATTGCAGAGGCTAGGAGGATCCGAAACGGGTTGTACATCATGTTTGCAATTCCAATCATGTATGTCATCATAGGTCTGGCCAAGCTTCATACGATAAAGGCTATGTTTGCCCCGAAGAAGGGATCCCGAATCTAGGGCTCTCCAATTAAATGCTCTATTGAAGAGATGTCTGATGAACGAGGCTGAGGCCCTGTTTGGATTGTTTACTTGACTCTTTGGCATACCCTGCACGATGGATGGATCCTGTGATAAAAAGCCTGCAAGGGAAAATCCAAAGCAGTTTCTGCAAAGGATGAAGAACAGAAGCGTCCGAGTTGCTCTCAAGTGGGGACAGGTTTACGAGGGGACTCTTGTTGCGTCGGACAATTACTTCAACATACTTCTGGACGAGTGCACTGAAAGGGAGGGGGAGGCATCTGTGAAGATCGGCGAGGTTTCGATCAGGTGTAACAACATCAAGAGGATATGCGAGGTCTAGTGATATGCAGCTGGGCGATGCAACAGCATTTAATAAAGATCCGGGTTGGTGCGGAAAATGAAAATTTCTCCGATGCCCATGTCGTACAGAATAGATTTCGAAGGCAGCTCTGAGATTGGTGCATACATGTCCCTGACCAACACATACTGTGTGATTGGCCGGAGCCAGTCGAACAACGTGCTCAAGTTTCTCCAGGAAAACGTTGCCATTCCGATTGTCGAGACGACGATCAATAGCATCCGGAGTGTGGGGTCGCAGTGCAGGGGGAACCGGCACGGACTGCTTGTCCCGCACACGATAACGGACCAGGAGATAATGCACATAAGAAACTCGTTGCCGGAAGATGTTGTGGTTCGGCGAATTGAGGAGAGACTGAATGCTCTTGGGAATGTTATTCTTTGCAACGACCACATTGCCATTATACATGGAGACCTTGACAAGGAATCCGAAGATCTTATCAGGGATGTGCTGCAGGTTCATGTCTACAGGCAGAACATAGGGCAGGAGCCCCTTGTCGGAACCTTTGGAGCCCTGAACAACCAAGGGATGCTGGTCCACCCCTTCACCAGCACAGAGTGCCAGAAGGAGCTTAGCGAGCTTCTTGAGGTAAATGTCGTTGCAGGGACGATCAACGGGGGAAGCCAGTGTGTTGGAGGGGGGGTTGTTGCCAACGACTGGATGTGTATTGCAGGGATCAAGACAACCAATGTTGAGATGGCGGTCATTGAAGGCGTGTTTGATCTTACTGGGGACCAAGACCTGGAGGCAAGGAGAAGAGCTATAGTAGATGCCATCGTTCGATAAAAGGCTGCATGAATAAAGACTAAGCTTTCCAAGACTTTAATGGACCGGCGCCATCCAACTCCGGAAGTAAAGACAGGTTATTTTCTATAATGGCTTCCAAACATAAGAAGGTCTTTCTTGAAGGACATGCAGTTTGACACCACCTCTTCGCTTCTTGACCTGCTGATCGTCTCCTGAAGAAGCATCAGGATGTTCATTAGCACATGTGTCATGCTGCTACTGTCTATCAGCACATTGGCCTTTTCAAGCTCGTTGAGCATCCCCATTTTTTTCATGTGGTACTGGACAAGAATCCTGAGCTCGTTTCTCCATGACTCGCCACCACCTGCATCCGCTGCCTTCTCTGCAATCTTTTTGGCGATTGCTCTGTACTGGTTTTCTAAGGAGATCCATGACTCTCCTGCACCCCTGAGCCCTGTGGGCCTGCTATTTATCTGGGAGGAGGCCTTTATGATGGGATACTTTCCCCTTAGCATGTTTGGAGCAAGGCCATTCCTTGGGGTGTTGTAGTCCTCTTCTTCCATTTTATCCAGGAAGTCGTCGACCTCTCTTTCCTCATCAGACATCCTCTGATAGAACCTCTTCTTTTCTTTATCTGTGACTCCACGATGCTTCTTCTTGGCTTCCGAGGTCTTGCTTGTTCCGCCTGAATTTCCCTGTCCTCCTTCCTGCCGCTTGTTCATGGCCTCTACATGCTGCCTTATGATCCGCGGGTCAACAGTAGGATACAGCTGTCTATTGTCCAGGACATCCTCGGACACTCTGGCAATCCCATTTATTCTCTCGATGTTTCCGATATTCCAGTCATGCTCGGGAACCTCGCTAGGACACTCCACGTCCTCTCCCTCCAAAAGCCTATTCCTCAGCAGCATCTTCTCCGTGTACAGTCTCCTTGCAGTGTCAAGCCTCAGGTCCTCACAAAAGTCGACAGGAGACAAATATCCATGTTCCCTGTACGTGTCGAGGACCTCCTGGTAAATCTCCTTCCATCTGTTTGGATGGATGTATCCATACATTGCTGCGATGTACCTTGTCACAGAGGCCTCGTCTGCATCTCCATAGATGTCCACTGCTCTGGAGACAACCAGCTTTTCTGTTGTTGTGGATTGTGCTCTAGCCCCCATGCCTTTCTACTGAGGGAAAGATACTCCTTTGATTCAAAATCCTTGGAGTGCCTTTTGAAGAAGAGTATATGGGTGCTAGGGGTTTGCCCTGTCATGCCACCCAACATTAGAAAGGAAAGAATGCCACCGGAGCACCTCCGAAGGATAGTAAGGACATCAAGAGACATGCACCCATCCTTTATGGGAGCGATGAGGTACATGCCACATGCGCTGCACAACCTCCTGAGATCGATGCCCATGCCGTGGGAGTCCATTAGATATGTGGACGTCGTGTACCATGTCTCTGGGCTGATCACGTTTGTTGCTGAGAAGAGAAGAGAGGATGCAGACGAGTACAAAAGAAGATGGAGTCGTGTGAGTGCGAGCTTCTCCTCGGAGACTCAGAAGAGGGGACTTGTGCGTATCCTGAGATATCCTGTGTTCGATGACGACGACCCGGTGGTAGATTATGGAAGCATAATCGGCTTACCTGTTCCAACTGCCGTTGAGTGTGAAGGAAGTGAGGAGTGCAGGGATGTCTTTTTGGACGAAGACGAGAGGTATCTGTTCAATTGTAAAACGTTTTTAATAAGTAGGCATCTGGGAGTGCAGCTTGACAATGGGCCTTATGTTGGTAAGGGTGCCAATGAAGAGGTTTGTGTAATGGAGAGGAAGTTAGGGAGCGAGAGGATAGCGTATCCGTATCTCTACAACAAAAGCACCGAAGTGCGGACTCTGGAGAGAGCTCATCTGAACCTCAAGAATTCCTTTGGAAGAAAGAAGGGGAAGGGCAGAGCGGAAAAGAGGAAGAGACATCCGGCGGACATCCCGTTGCTCAAGGGATACTGCCTGCAAGAAAGGGCGGATGGAGGGCCCAGGGTTGGGAATCTTCTTAGGAACTACGCAAGGAACATGCAGAAGAAGACAAGAAAAAGGCCTCCAACACACATCCTTAAGGAGTTGAAAAACACAAGATACTTCCAGAGGACTGAGATTGACTGGGTTGAGGCAGGGCTCCAGCTGGTGTATCAAGGCCACAGGATGCTTAGTGAAGTGCTGAGGAGGAAGAAGCTTAGCTACCTTGTTCTTGACTGGAACTTCAACCTGAAGCCCATTCGACAGCTGACCACGAAGGAAAGAAAGAAATCGAGGGTTGGGACGTCGTACCATCTGACGAGAGAGATGCTCAAGTTCATCAAGCATCTTGTGGACATTCATGTTTTGTTTAGGCAAGGGCATATTGATTGCTATGAGCTGATGGGAAACGTGGGGCACGTGCTCAACAATGTTGGAGTTCTTACTGGGATATACCGGTATAAGTACAAGTTGATGAAGCAGATCAAGCGGTGCAAGTCGTGGAAGAGGCTTTCTGATTATGCCCGGACCGAGGGATGGGGAGAGCAGTGGAGAACATGGTGCTTCATGTTTAGGGGACACATCCCGCTGCTTGGACGATACATCTCTGGGCTGGTCACTCGGATCGCTGAGGGAAGGGATTACAATCCGAAGCCCCTGTCGAAACAGCGAAGCGAGAGTGGATATGATGTTGCACTCAAGAGGCAGATTATGGCGGAGGCTTCATCGATTCTCCATCCCACGCAGGTAAGAAGGCTTCTCCAGCACTTCGGGGAGGCGTGGAGATGCTGGAAAGCAAATGTGCCCTACCACATTGTGCTTGAGCATATCAAGGCGCTGGAGGTCAAAAGAAGCGGCTCTGTGTCACTTGAGCAGAGAGGCCTCCGGGGCACTGCAGAGACTACCACAGTGAGTCTTGAGGCTCTTAAGGCGATGACAGATGTGGCTCGGCAGAGTTCCGGAAATGCATTTATATCTTCTGAGCAGAGTCTAATTACATTTTCGGATGGATTTGTGTCCAAGATGGAGGAGATGAGTCGGATAGCAGGGGTCGGACATCTGAAAGAACTTTTCGAGTTGCAAAGGATAATAGACAAGTATGTTCGGCTGAAGTCTGAGTGGTATGTTGACAGTGCTGTTGGAGTTGGAAAGAAGAGCAAAAAGGAAGAGAAGAAGCGCCTCGGGAAAATCACGAGGCTGTATATGAAGGAGAGGATGGCGGAGCAGGTGGAGTATCTGGGTCTTCCGTTCCTCAGGCCTCCAGAAGCCGTTGCCATCTACAGGCTTTCTGCAGAGTACTTCCGAAGCAAGGGAACTGGAAGGATACCATTTCCTGAAAAGAACGAGGAGAGGTTTTTGCATATTGCGGTGGACCGGCTCAAGAAGAGCGCGACTGCCGAGGAATCTGAGTTTCTTGATAAGGCGCTAGAGGAATCTGCAGACACCATTTTCAGGATAAAGAAGTCGCTGCTTACACAACGATCATTCAAGGAGGTTGGAGTTACCCTGAAGAGACATGGAGATGGAGCCATTGAGTGCTACCATGTTTCGCATGTAGAAAGGCTTGTGGATGCCTTTCTCTGTGCATATCTGTTCTATGAATCTGACCGGCTCAACATCTTCCCCGAGTTCATCAAGCCTGGAGATGAGATGAACATGCGGACCCTCATGGATTTCTGCGACAAGATCTCGTCATTCAAGGCAGCTGAGGACGAGAGGCTTGTGTTGTATGAAGGGAAGTACGAGGGAATCATGAGGATGGTGGACAACAATCTTCTCTCGAAGCTGCTAAAGCTTGTCCTAGACCCAGCCCTGGCAGACTACATCATAAGCAGAAACAATTGCAAGGTGGTCTACAAGGATATGGTATATACAAACCATGTTGGATTTATCAAGGGACTTCAGCTTTCCTCGTTTGTGTACAAGTTTTACTCGTTTATTGTCGATCTGTGTGTGCTGGGAGAAGATGTTTTCATGGACGAGAAAAGCAGGATAAAGTGGTATTTCAGACACATGGACGACATTTACATTGTGTTCCGACTTCAGAGGAAAGAGGAAGACTCTCTACTTGAGGACTATGGGAGGGAGGCCGAGAGGATGGAAGAGGCGATGAATGAAAGAAGAAGGAACTACTTTGATGGTGCATGGAGGGATGCTTGTGATGAGGAGTCGGGACCGCTTTTTAGCAATTACGGGAGAAGAGAGGAGGGGAAGGGTGAGATTCTAAGGAGATGCATCCATGCAGAGGTTGCAACCAGGATGCTGCCCTCTCTTGGAAGGATCAGATTCAGGGGATGCAGCATATTTCCGTTTGTCAAGTTCTCGATGGTCGGAGTTGACGTGCTGATTTCCTCGAAGAAGATCCATGAAAGGAGCTCATGGAGGCTTGGAAACGGAATGCATGCAAACCTGGCGGTGAGTGAAGGGGGGATAGAGATGTTTGAGAGTAACATATCCCACATTGTGAGCACCAGTGGGTCTGCAACCTTCCTCAAAGTAGCAACAAGATGGAATACACAGATTCTTGCATTTGTGACATACTACAGGGAATGTATCTGCGATACCAAGGGGCTAGTGGAGAAGCTCCAGAGGGCTGAGAGACTGATTGGAAATGTGGTGAAGAAGGGAATAAACTCGAAGATGCCTGTAAGATTTCCTCCTGTTATGTTCTATGCGCCCAAAGAGATGGGAGGGCTGGGGATGCTGAGTGTTGGTGGGATACGGGTTTCGCATGAGGATTTTGAAGGCTCTGAGGACGTGAATGATAGGATGATACCTGCGGCTATGGACTATGTTAGCAGGTGGGACTATGAGTTTGAGGAATCAAACAGGGTGTGGAAGGAGTATGGAAGAAGCGGGAAGATGGAGCCAGACAAAGGGATTCCACGAATGAGCACACTCCTCCAGAGAAGCAGATGGCTACTCTATGACAGGGGGTTCAGGATGATCAGCATGTTTAGGATATATTCAGGAAAGCCCGATTGGTTCTGGTTTACAGATGCAAAGCATGATGGAAAGCTATGGAGCATGGAGAGATTTACGCTGGACACGTTGGAGGCTCTTGGGGGCGTTGGAGGGATTGCGGACCACACGCTGTTTGGAGCAACATACTTTAGAAGCTTCAGTAAGGTGTTTTGGGAGGACATGGTTGTCGAGAAGTACAGGAAGCTTACGAACGCACAGAAGATGGGGCTGAGCCAGATTCCCAATAGAAGGTTTATTCTGTGGTGGTCGCCGACGATCAACAGGGGAAATGTGTATGTCGGGTATCAGGTCCAGCTGGACCAAACAGGCATACTCATGCATGGAAAGCTACCGACACTGAAGATCTCGTTTATCCAGATTTTCCGGAATCAGCTATGGAGAAGAATCCACGAGAGTGTTGTTGGGGGGCTGTGCGATGTGTTCAGGAAGTATTGCGATGTCAAGAGACTGGAGGTGCACGGGAGAAAGAGTTACAGACTTAGAAGCAGCTGTGCAGATATTCTACTATCTGGAGACTTCTGTGTGGACTCCCCTATTTCTATTCTTGAAGAGAGGGACGGGGGCTCTGTGAGGTGTAGCGAGCTCTGGATTGATGTCCAGTTGCGGTGGGGAGACTATGACAAAAGGAATCCGCACAAGTATGCAAGGACGAGGTTTGTTGAGTGCACAGCAGATCCACAAGCTCTGTATCCTGTGAAGAATGGGTTTGTGGTGGTCCTTGATCTGTGCTACAACACGTGGAGCGGATACGGGAACCTGAACGAAGAGTTGAAGACTGTATTGAAGAGCTCGATGGAAAGAATTGTGGTAGAGGATGCCATGCTTCACATACTGAGAGAGAGGCTCCGAAAGGCACTTCAGCTGTATACCTCTGATATCGAGGTTGTGAGCAACAGCGGAGACCTATTTACCTCTGGACTCCTTGTCGATGTCAAGGCCCTACTCAGGAAGGAGAAGACCTTGTTTGTCCTCGACCCTGCAAGCGGGAACTTATACTTCAAGAGCTATTCTGGAGAAAGCAAAAAGATTAGACAGACAAAGGTGTTGGCAGCCCAGGATGTATTCCAGCTCGGGGAGGAGCTGAACAAAAGAAGCATTGTTGTACCTGAGAGTATGATAGATGCCATGGAGAATTTTATCATAGACCACCCATCGATATCTGTGAGGACGTGTTTATCGGCTCCTCCGTTTTCGAATGTGATGGGGATTAAGGAGATTCGGGCAGAGAGGAGTGTCCGGAGCATTAACTTGTATGAAGGATGGGGAGAAACAAGTAGGTTTACTAACTTCTGCAGACTTCTCCTGGTGGTGCAGGGCATGGATGTCGACGAGGCAAGGGTCAGAGAGCTTGGGATCAACGCACTATGGCCCGGCTTCAGTGACTCTGAATGGATCAAGAAGGAGATCCAGCTGAAGGATCTTATAGTTGATAGATACTGCAGCATGCATGGGATAGAACCTTCTGGGCTGTCTCAGAGCGAGGTAAGAGACATAGTGTTTGGCTTCAGAGTGAGCAAAGGACAGGGAGCTACCGTGGAGACTATAGACACGGGAATTAGGAACAGCAAAAAGATGTTGAGTAGACCTGCGAATGTATCTTTTGGATGCATTGATGGATGGAGAAGGAGATATGTGAAACTGGATGGAATGATTAGAAGTGGAGAGCTTGAGAAGTGGATTTCCGAGGTACGGAGGACAGGGCCTCTCGAAGGAGAGACTGCGGAGGAGAACGAGCATAGTATCCAACAGATGCCAAGAATTCCGCTGAATCTCATTGAGGGGTTCATGAGATTGGTGGATCCTCATGTCCTGACCTTTGGACTAGTGATTGGGGGAGATATTCTCTCGTTTGGAATGGTTCCTCAGTTTTCATCGTTGTCTGGAATCCACTCGTCATTGTTTGTTCCTGGTGGCGATATTGTCGGAGTGGTGGTGAACGGAGACGATCTAGAGGTTGCAGGCACCTTATGTGAAAGGTACAAGATAGTAGATCCTCTGGCAGTGCTGATAAGCGATAGGATTAGGGTGGTGAAGAAAAGCGGATGTAACTGGAATGAAGTGCATGCAGTACTGGGCAAGGACTTGGGTGTTTTTTATGTTCCTGAAATGTGGAACTATAATTTTGCAAGGCCATTCTATGACGACCGGCTGGAGTATACATGGAAAATAGGGATGCCGCATGGATTCTATGACGGGTTTTGCAGAGTCGGGCATTTTTCGAGGTTCTACCAGGACCGGGCTGGCGGCGAGGAATGGCAGGAGGATTAAAGGGATCTTATACCGAGTTTCTTCAATAAAACAGTCTGTCTGGATCCCCCTCAGATGATCGATATCAACCTAATCAGAGATCCAAAGACCCGTGAAAAGGTTGTTGAGAGTGAGAAGAAGCGATTCAGAGATGGACTGGCTGTCGGGAAGGCCTACGAACTGGACAGGAAGAGGATTGAGATGAACTTTAGGCTTGACCAGATCAACACCCGAATCAATCAGCTGAACCGAGAGATAAAGTCTGGGTATAGGCAGGGGAAGAATAAAGAAGATGGTGACCTCAGCGAGAAGGTTGCTGAAATCAAAGGGCTTTCTGATGAGGCAAAGGGGCTCAGAGATGATGTTAAGGCTGTCGAAGATGAGCTTAACAAAGTAATGAAGGGGATAGGAAACATTATTTCGCCCTCTGTTGTGGTCAGCAACGACGAAAAGGACAATCCGATTGTGAGGTCCTACAGAAGCAGCAGGAACATGCAAAAGAACCCAAGGCCCTTCTGTGTGTTAATGAAGGACTTCACCCATTCTGTGGCTGGGGCAAAGGTGATGGGGCACCGTGGATACTATCTATCTGGGAAGATGGCCAGGCTTGCACAGGCCCTTACAAGATATGCGATTGACTTTCTTGAGAACAAGGGATATACATACATCCAGACGCCCGTGATGCTTAGAAGAGACGTAATGAGAAAAACATCGCAGCTGAGCGACTTTGATGACCAGCTTTACAAAGTAGAGGACGACCTGTATCTGATAGCAACATCTGAGCAGTCTCTTGCTGCACTGTATATGGATGAAAGAATGGTTCCTCAAGAGGTTCCAAAGAAATTCTGTGGGCAGTCGCTTTGCTTCAGGAAAGAAGCAGGGGCGCACGGGAAGGACAATGCAGGGCTGTTCAGGGTCCACCAGTTTGAGAAGATTGAGCAGTTTGTGATATGCGGGCCTGAAGAATCTCAGAAGTACCACGAGGAGATGATAAAGGCATGTGAGGAGTTTTATCAATCACTGGACATAAGCTACAACGTCGTGGGCATTGTGTCTGGTGAGCTCAATGATGCGGCAGCCATCAAGTACGATCTTGAAGCATACTTTCCAAGTGCAGAGAAGTATAGAGAGTTGGTCTCTTGCTCCAACTGCACGGACTACCAGTCTCGGGAGCTCGAGATAAGATATGGAGTGGTTAAGGAGAACAACCGCAAGATCTATGTCCATCTGCTGAACGGAACAATGTGTGCTGTCCAGAGGGCATTGTGCTGCATTGTGGAGAACTACCAAACTGGGGACGGAATTGCTATCCCGGATGTTCTGCAGGGATACTTCGGGGGAGACTTGATTGAGCTGGGCCCCTAAAAGCCATCTCTCTGCTCTTCTGAAACCAAATTTTTTCACCCCAATAAGCTAAGAATGACTGCAGCATCTGAGAAAACCACAAGAAGGTTTACTATCGACTGCACAAAGCCGGCATCCGACAGCCTGATCTCTCCTTCGGACCTGGGGGCATTTCTTCAGCAGAAGATCAAGTGCTACACGGGGAAGAAGGAGAAGCTCCTCCATATCAATGCAAATGGAAACATTGTTGAAGTGGATGTTACCGGAGGGTTTATAGGCAAGCAGGGGCTGAAGTGGCAGATAGGAAGGTTTCTGCACATGAAGAAGCTCAGGGCCTTCATCAAGATTTTTGCACAAGGGCTGGATGGGTTCGAGCTCAGGTACATCAATGTTGAAGAGGGCAAGGAGGAATAAAGATAGGTTTTTTCTAGGCTACTCTTAGAGTCTTTTGGCATTGATTAAGGAATTCTCCTGGTGCCCTTATGGGCTTCTTATTTACTGAAGACTTCAACGGGAAGCTGTACGAGATCTTAGAGGGATACTGCGGGAAAGGGCTAACACTGATGGTTTCTGGAGGCTCTCTGCAGCAATGTTTAGACGATCGAAGGTACTCTGACATGGACACTTCTGGGTGGAAGATATTCTATTCTGATGAAAGAGCGGACCAGGACTATCTGAACTACACCTCATCACTGCCTTTCATCAGTAGAACTAACGCAGAAATACACAGGATACATACGTCAAGACCGCTGGATGAGGCTGTTAGAATGTACTCTGCAGAGCTGGTGGATATTGACATATGCCTCCTTGGAATAGGTGGAGACGGGCATATATGCTCCCTGCCTCCTGAGTGCCCTGAACTGAGCTCCAACGACTATGTAGTAGCTCTGGAGGGAAGCTTTCCTGTGTCTCCAAAGAGAGTAACCATCACGCCCAGGTTTATCAACGAGAAGGTTGGGGAGTTGTACTTTGTAGTTCCAGGGAGCAAGAAAAAGGGGGTTTCTGCCCCAGACAGAAGCATAGTCGAGAAGATCAAGAAAGACTTTGTTGTGATCTTGGAGAAGTGAGAAGAGCACCGCAAAATGTTGTCCTGTATTAAAAGGTGAGATAAGTAAGCAGCTTCTTTATTTGGCATGTCCAACAAAGTGACCAGAGAAAAACATGCAAAATCACAAAAAGACCGTGCAAACGAGAGAAATAACTTCTACAGCAGCATGGGACAGGTAAAACCACCTGTGGTTTCTATAGATATAGGGATCCCTGTCATCAGATGTGCTCTCAATTTTGTCACGATCGCATGTGAAGAGTACTATTGTGTCAGCAACAGCCAGGAGTAGCATCAAAGCCAGGTGGAGCCACAGAAAGTTCCTAGTTTTCTTTTTGGGTCTGAGTGCCAGGAAAAGTAGCTTAACTATCAACGGGATTAACAAGATAAAGGTGCATAACACGCCACTCTTGAATGCATAGAAGTTTATCCAGCGGTCGTTCTTGTCATACTTCATTCCTAGGATGTCAGGAAAGTTATGAACTCTGTAGACCCTAGAATTGACACAAGCATGCTCGACCATGTCGATAACACCAGTCTCCAACATCTGGTAAACGAAGAACCCTACAACTATTAGAACGGGCGAAGTTTCCTGCAGCTTAATCAAAATGCCCCTTGAGATCATAGGGTCCAACGACAAGATGCTTATGTATCCTGTAAAGGGGCACTGGGATCTTCATGCGATGCGATGTCTCCTTCCTTCATATAAGGTCTTAAGGGGCGGATGTGGACTGAGAGGCTGTACCTACCTTGGTGTTGAGATGCAAATAACCTGCATGAGTCCTATGCATGACTAAAAACAGGTGAGAGTGATTTAATATAGCTTTAGATGGCCGGAGATGACTTCAAGCCTGGGCCTTAGGGCAGGGCCAAGCATCAGTACTGTATTTGTACCCGGTGGAACCTGTGTTCTACCAGCATCACATATCTTATGGTGATACACCCCGTTCTTTCTGGCCAGCTTTATCATCTCTTGAATCTCGCAGCCAGAGGCCTTCAGCACTATCTTCGCCTCCCCGTTCCTCCTCCACTCGCTGAGCAGCTCCTCGTCGTTCTTGAGCAAGTGGCACATCACAAAGGACATCCCGTGGCAGATCTGGGAAATGATCTTTCCCTTCGACATTGGATAGTCCTTGTTGATTATTATGTTCATTCCATACTCTCCTTTCTCGACGGGCCTTCTAGCTCTACGACTACTTCTCTTTGTCTGAACGACATAAAGAGCCAGAAGAAGACAAGCTACTTTCCAGAAGTTGCTGGCTATTGCCGCCAGAATCTCCATTTGGGGCAATGGGAAAATCCTCTATAGAAGGTCTGTTGAATCACACGATGGATGGATGAGCCATCCTGCAAGAAACATGGATTGATAGATACAAGGCTGCTCTCAATGAACTGTTGCATCTAAACATCAAAGCTCTGCTTAAACGTATCTGTCTTGCTATCACAGTGGTTATCAGTGCATCCTATTTTCTTTGCACTGCAGCTTTCTCCGGTACAGCTGCTAGAATAAAATACAACTCCCTCCTTGCCACTCCCGCGCTTTGTACTGTCGCTCACATAGGGATGGAAATCTTTGTCCCAGCTATTAAGCACCTTATTTATTACGCCACTTTCGTGATGCTCAGCCCCCACTCTCCATGCCGCCACTATTAGCGGAACCCAGCAGTGTCTCATCAGCTCCGGAAGCATACACTCTTTTATTTCTTTTCTGAGGATGTGTTTAGGAATCTAAAAGAAAATTGGTCATTGGGAAGCCTGTGAAACTGCAATGGGTCTCTACTCTAGCTTTGTGGGGCAGTCCTATTCGGTGCATAACGCATGTCATTGGAACAGGAGGGAAGTAGTTAGTATCATTTATTCGATCTAAGCTTGTCTCTTTTATACAGGTCTCTATAATCAAGGTTGTCCATTGTCACATATCCCTTTGGATCGCACAGGTCCGGATACCTGCTGTAAAACTTCCTGTACCCCCCCTCCATCACATACACTTCAGGGATGGTCAGCAGCGGATATGGATTCTTCATCCTGTCCATGTTCCTGAGATGCTGGGCAAGTCTCGGAGCCCTTATGGATGAGAACTCGCAGTGGAAGATCAAAGCCCTTGGTCTTCGGAAGAGGAGGCCCAGCTTCTTGGTGGAGCTGATGTTCACTGCATTTATGATATGTCCTCCTCGATACTCATATGGGAACCTGCAGTCTATGACCAGGTAGTCGATGTTATACATCCCCTCAACAACCTGCTTTGCAACATCAACAGAAATCCTCTGGATGCTATCACTTTTTCCAGGTCCAAGGGTGGGGAGAGAAAACACTTCGCCGTTGCTAAAGTCCTTCCAGAAGTCTATAAGATGTCTATTTGCAGCGGGAGCAGGGCCGGCCCTGCTTTGCCCCCTCATTCCCTGCAGTGATGTCCACACAGCCTTCTCTCTACACTTCCCTTGCTTTCCAGATCCTCTTAAATGATTCATCTTAATCGCATCGCTATTATCTACAAAAGGATCGTGTCCAGGATCCTCGAACTCAATATTCTCACTGGACGACCAGGGGATTTCGTAGAAAGGCTTGATGTACATCTGATCTACGGCTGCAGGGCACTGTTCGTTGTCACTTGAAGCAAATGCTGAGCTATTTGTCATACTAAACAGATCCCTGAGGGTGTGTTTGGCAAAGGTTGAATATTAAAAAGTCATTTGTGGAATTTAAATTAATGAAAACCAATCATATGCAAATGATCACCTGTGGTAATTGTCTTTATGCAGTGGATGGCTCTGCTGCAGCCCCAGCGCCTTTATGCAAATAGCGGGAGATTGCTGCCGTGAGTTCGGCAGAGCAAGAGAGCTTGAGGCGTGAGGATGAAACAGAAAAAATATTTAAGCCCTGAAGGGACGAGAGATGATAGAAGGCTATCTTGAGAGGCTGTTCAAATGCAATTTGCTTGCAGAGGCAGAGGTAAAACACCTGTGCGAGACGGCGACCGAAATACTGATGAGGGAGGAAAATGTTGTCAATGTCAAGGCGCCTGTGACGATATGTGGGGATGTGCATGGGCAGTTCTACGACCTGATGGAGTTGTTCAAAGTTGGAGGCCTTCCCCCGTATACAAACTACCTGTTTATGGGAGACTATGTGGATAGGGGGTACCATTCAGTCGAGACGATCTCTATCCTGCTGTGCTTGAAAGTGAAGTATCCCAGCAGAGTATGGCTGCTCAGAGGGAACCACGAGAGCAGGCAGATAACCCAGGTGTATGGGTTCTATGACGAATGTGTTAGGAAGTACGGAACATCTCTTGTATGGAGGTACTTCACTGATCTCTTCGACTATCTGCCTGTTGCAGCCATTGTCGGAGACGACACGTTCTGCTGCCACGGGGGACTAAGCCCGTCGTTCGACACGCTTGACCAGCTGAAGGCCATTGACCGGAAGGTTGAGATTCCCCATGAGGGTCCCATGTGCGATCTGCTCTGGTCTGACCCCGACGAGAAGGCTGGATGGGGGCCCTCTCCCAGAGGTGCTGGATTTACGTTCGGTAAGGACATAACAGATGCCTTCAACGAGAGAAACGGGCTGAAGATGATATGCAGGGCCCACCAGCTTGTGATGAATGGATACAACTGGAGCCACGAAAAGGGATGTGTCACGATATTCAGTGCGCCAAACTACTGCTATAGATGTGGGAACCTGGCGACGCTCATGGAGATGGACGAGCATGGGGCATACAGCTTCACGCAGTTCGAACCTTCCCCCACAAAGATCGAGACTCTTGTCTCGACCAAAATCCCAGACTATTTCTTGTAGAGTGTCACGGTAGGGCTTGTGTGCTATTGATAGTAAATTTATTAGATCTTTGGTCTCATTCCATTCCATCAGATGCTCTCAGGCCGGGCACCCTCGACTACCGATTTTACCGAAGCAACAAAGGATGGCTTTTCAACAGACATGCAGAGTTCTCCAACCATAAGTTTGTGGTTGCTTTCTTCAACCACTATGCTTCTTAACTGCACATCGAGAATGCTGATAGTATCAGATACCAGCAGCCTTTTTGTGGTCAGAATAAGATGGCACTTTCCGTTGAAGTTTCCAAATGTTCCATCTACAAACCTCTCCTCTTCATTTACCTTCTTGACAATGAACATGAATATGTAAAAGCCCTGGCTCATCCCTTCGTCATACCACCCCACGAATCCTCTGGGTCTTGGATACTGAAGTCTCTTGATCCTGCCGTCCATGGACACCTTGATGGTGTCGGAAATCCCGGTGACAAGGTCTGCAACCTCCACAATCGGCCTTGTAAATGCCCCAAGAATCCCCTTTCCAAGCCCTTTCACAACGCCCGTGACGCCTTGTGACGCCCCTTCAATGGGAGACGTTGCTATCCCCGCTATTCCGCGCGTTATGGAGTCAAAGAGATCCCCAGTTCCCCTGAGTATGGAAACCACAGAGCCCTTTGAGTGCTTGGACCTCGGCACAAGGAGATGCACGTCACACGCATAGGAGTGGTGGCCCTTTGCATGTCTAAGCTCTATATTGCATCCTACTAGCCTGGCACCTGTTCCTATGCTCTTCGAGAACTTCCCAACTGTATTTGAAACACCATAGATAGTGTTCTTCAGAAAGCTTTTTCCTCCCTTGGCAATTCCCCGGGCTACATTGGTCCTCGAAAGAGTAGGCTCGACGAAAAGATCCTTGATTCCCACAGAGACAGACTCCGTGAAGCTTCCTATGTTTCCAATGAGATCAAAATGGGTAAGGACCTTGTAAAGATTCCTCCTGAACTGGGACAGGTAGAAGGATGCCAGAAGACTCCTAAGCTCCTCGGCTGTGGTATACAAACACGATTCCTTCATCCCGTCCATCTCCAGCGAAAAGTCACTAATGTTGTTTATGAGGAACCCCGTGACACTCGAAATGAAGTCCGACTCCACGTCTTTGAGAAAATTGACTTTTGCTCTCAGCCTCTCCATCTTCAGGTTTTGGATTCTTATATTCCTTCCATGCCCTCTTGGCGCATGCTCCTTTACCTCAAACATCTTGCTGACCTTTTTGGCCAAGCTCTCCTCGATGTTCAGTGCAAAGTCCTGCACCCTGCAGTATACATTCGACACTGAGACATGGTGTGTGGAGTCTCCAACAGCAAGCTCGAAGACAAGGAATTTCCTGCTGCCTCTTCTTTTCGCTCCTATTCGCAGATCCTTGTCGAGAGGATGGAAGATGACAGGAAACACACATAACACGTTTTGGTTATCCACCTGCACACTTTCGATAACCGTGCTAATTATCCACTCGGCATATTCCGTCACCAGCTTCTCTCTCTGCGCCCGCATGGCTCTTGAGATACGTTCTATCGTGACCTCTAGTCCCCTCAGATGCCCACATAGAATCTCATCTCCTCCTTTATCCACTAGCGAGACAGCTAGATCATCAACAACTATGTTCAAGTAGGCTCTGGACTCACTTTCAGGTATCGTTCCTCTGGATATCCGAAGAATTCTTGCAATCTTGCCCTGGGATGCCGATACTACAATTCCAGAGGTGACCATGCTTCCATCTCTATTTAGATCCACCTGAATGCTTCTGTCCCCAACGCGCAGCAATATCACAGGATCAAACACTAGGCTGTCCAGTGCGTATCTGTACACAGATTCTCTCTTCACATCATGCTCAACAGTATCGTGCCCTTGTGTGAACTTCATGTTGGTGTCCGTATCATTATATATCATATAGGGCCAGTCGCTCTCCATCCTTATGCCAAACACATGCTGCTCAGAGTCTACAGACCTACTTACACTGAGCAGGACAGCCTCAGAGCCTTGTAGTCTGAAGTACTTTGTCGTCTTGATGTCCAGCGGAATAAACACTCCGCAAGATCTGAGAGATCTGATGTCCAGACAATCCGCAATAAATAGATAAAACCCATTCGTAGACGTGTTGAAAGGCACCTCTTCACCGGCCTCCACATAGTAGCACACCTGCTCAGATACGGCCAGAAGTCTCATCCGAGTTTGGTTTCTAATGAAATGAGTGTACCTAAATTCGACTATTCTTGTGCTTGAGTCCCCTTTGAACTCAAGGAGAAAGTGGATGTAGTCAGGGTATGCCCCAGCCCTGGGTCCAAGACCACCAAATATGGCCTCGTTGGTCCACACCATCCCTTCATGGGTAACCCGAGCTCTGTGGGCTCTGTAGTTCTTTCTCACGAGAGTGACCACCCTAACAGACTTCTTTCTGATAACCACAGACCCATCGGCGCCATACTCTCCAACACACAGGCTGTGGATAATCTTCAGCCTGTCGGAACATGAAGATCCCCGACAGAATTTGATCCCATTGATCCAAATGTCGTCGCTGAGATGATTTACAATCATCATGGGCGGGCATATCGCCATTCTGACCTTGTGCATAAGAACATGCCTCCCAAAAAACAACTGTATCTCGCACTGCTCTTTTCTTATTTCTCCGGAATGTCCAGGACAGATCTGAATGGATGCCCTACTCTGAAACACCTTAGTCCCAGCCTGGTTGTTGAGATTGTGCACCAGAAGCAGAGGGATCTCAGAAGAGTCGATGTCATACACATCCTCTTTGCAGTTTCTTCCGATCGAGAACGGAATGTTCTTTCTTAGAACCCCCTTTGAGTTCATATGGACAGCTTCCTTGTCAATCGAAAGAACCAGGTTCAACACAGACGTTGTCCTGTTCACCACCTCGAAAGTCGGATAGAAGATTATCGCGACAGAAGCCATGGCTCCAGCATCTCTAACAACTACATCAACCCCGATCGTTATCCCGCTCAACTTACACACCGTTCCAAAAGAACTAACAGCTCCCTTCTCAATAGCATTGGCATCTATTCTTCCCACACCTGAATATTTTCCATCAACTCCTATCTCTAGAAAGAAGGTAGAAGCTTGCGGAATCGTATGACTGGAATGCCGGGGAATTTGCATTTCTGATGCAGACACATTGGGACAGTGCATTCTTCCCATCAAATCTATCTCACACAGATTGAAGAATGATAGATTATGTGTAATGGTCAGAAGCCTCGTCCTTCCATCATACAGCACATCAGCTATAAGGTTTTTCTCCTCAGCTCTAAATGAAGTGATGCTGCTGTCCACTATGTTGATGACGGTGCCCGTCTCTCCCTTTCCAACACAGATCCCATGCTCCTCATAATTTATGTTGAACTCGCCGGCCTCTCCTCCCCCTATGCTTCCAAACTGTCCTTGAGTCTTGATCTGTAGCGCCGTGTCTGTGGCATTTTTTATCCTAACCTTACAGTGGAATGGATCCACCGGTACTGTTGACTCCGTCTTCCTAGGCCCAAAAAAACCTGCAACCATGTCTGTAATCCCCTGCAGGTATAGTATCCTCAACCTTGCAAGTGCTCTAACATCTAGAAGAGTCCCATACTTCTTCACAACAAAGACGTTTTCCTCAACGACAGGAACAACCTTCATAGCGCTTGGGTCGTAGATATCAAGTGAACAAAGAAGCCTTCCCTTGAGAGAGTGCAACTCTTGGACGTCAAAGTGCCCGACCGGAAGGTTGATTCTGAGGAAGGACAAGCCGCTCCTTGCCTGCACCACAAGATCCATAAGCAGCACATGGAACCGCTCTTTAGATATCTGAATCCCAAGCTTCTCGCATATCTGCACATATTCAGAGGAGCAGAAGCGAGTGACAGATGCTAGAGAATTCATTTCATAGCATCCTCCCGCCACAGATAGAAGAAAGTATTCATCCTTCCTGCTGCTCACCTTTCTGTATGTGACCTTACTTCCAGCTCCACTTAAAATAGAAAGATCCAGACTCAGCTCATCGTCATATTTCACGTCTCTTATTCTCATTTCATCCAAGTCCTTGATGCTCACCAGTATCTCATCAATGCCAACTTTCATCCTCTTTGTATATCTTGCGTCGCCTTCACTACAAAGAAGCGGATAGAACATCAAAGCCAATATGGAAGGTGCGAGGCAGATTTCTATTCTGTCAATAAAAAGTCCTAGCACGTCTTCTGTTGCTTTAGCGTTGATACCCGATAGTACTGTATGTTCTCCATTCCCAAGTGTAACAGATACCCTTCTCACCACGGCATTCCATCCATCCACCGTCTTTCGAAAAACCAATGGACATTCCATCCTGACTGACTTCCCAGAGGCCATCACATAGAGAGATATGTCAAACGAGATGTTGGTTTTCGTAGGTGTATTCGACGACATTGGAATCCCCATCATCTCGTCTCTTATCCCAACGATCATTTCTTCATCAATCTCTCCTCCAATGCTTCCCTCAACAACAGTTTCAATGCCCGACTTCTCGAATTTGCTGATACAAACCCTCACCTCTCTTTTCTTACCGCTCAATGGAGAATGAGAACCATCCGCGCCCGAGATTCCGATTTCAAGAGGATGAACCGTGATGTCCGCTCCATTCATGAAAGCCCGTATGTTCCGAGCCTCTATTTCCAGGCCATTGCGCGGTCTAATCAGGAGAACCCCCACAGACACCTTAAAGATGCCACTATCACCTCCGGCTCCACCAAATATTCTTGTAAACACATCTAAGCCTCTGATGTCTTCTTTGTGTACTTTCACCATTGCAGATCTGCATGCATACTCTTCTCCCACCTCAAGGTCTTTGATATCAACTATACTCTTGTTCAGAGTGGCCTTCACACTTCTGGCCAGGCCCTGAAAGTACTCGTCAACACTAATGCTCAGAATAGACCCTTTGCGCTTCAATATCGCCTCCACCCTTCCGACCTTTAAAGTGGCCTGAGTAGATCCTCCACCCTGAGCCATCCACGACATCTCACGTGCAAGCTTGGCAATCCTTCTAGCCACCCCACATACCTTCAGGTACTCGATATCCAAGAACAGAGCCTTTCCAATCCTGGCTTCCATTTTCATCTTGGGGACACGGCACACAACTCTGCCATTCCTGTCCAGCACCTTTCCCCGAAAGATCTCCACGTCAAATATGGTTCCGCCATTACCAGACATCTTGATCCTCCGGAGCTCGGCCCTGCCGTTGGGTCCGTTGATCCTTATCGCATCCGAACACACCTCGAAGTTTGGGACAACAAATCCAGCGGGGAACACTGTTCCCCCCCCTCCGAAGTCGCTAGGATGCACGCCATGTGCATATAGGTCCACCATCGATGTCTTCACGTAAAACACACCATCAACAAGCAGAATCGCAGTCTCAATCCTATTGGAAAGAGCCTCACTTTTCTCAGACGTGGGATTGATCCAGTAAACAAAGGAAGATGCTATCGTCAGGGATGCTGCCTTCTTCATGCTTATCCCATCATTCACATACGAAAGAACCACTCCGCTAGACTCAACGCCATATCTGCCCGATGGCCTAATGTCAGCAAACCTTTCTAGATCAGATTCCATAGAAACCATGTCTGCCTTGAAATCGGCTCTCACCTTTCCTCTACATGCCAAAGACCCGTAGGAAGGCACCCACGACTTGCCCGCTATCCTCATAAGACCTTCAAAGCAACGTGGAAGCTCTCTTCTATAGTTCAGTACCCTCCATTCCCCAGCCAGTCCCTTGACATGTATGCCGGGCCCATCATAAGCAAAAGTCCCCCTTACGTCCAGTAGAAAGGAAATCAACTCGTTGTAAGGCTCGTGCTCATTGAGCCTGGTATCAACAAAATACATCTTCCATTCGTTTCCCTTGAAGTCTAGCCTGGCCGGTGAAAGCAGGTCCCTAGCACTGACCCTTCCTTCAGGAAGGACAATCCTGAATCCCTGATGCTTCTCGTCAATGACCGTTAAAGCCGCCCGCTTCACATTAAACACCATCGGAACGACCGTGGACGTCTTCTTTTTGCTGGCTCTCTCTTTCATAAACAGTAGAAAGCTTTTCCACGACTTCTTCTCAGAATCAAAAACACAGCTTCTTTTTATCTTCAGCAGCCTTTCTAGGCATATCTCTCTCTCGCATCTCTTCTTTTTTTCTACTTCGTCAGGACGCAGGCTCGGACGCCCCAGGACTTTTCTGTACTCGCTTGCCCTTGACATTATTCCAGCTATCTCCTCTAACGCAACGCCTTTTGAATCCCCAATCTTCTTTTGCAGCTGAATGAGATGCTTCCATACCTCCACTACATCTGCCCTCTCCACGCTTGCAGGGTCTTTCTGGTCTTCCCAAAGATTCATCTCCCTAGCCATCTCCAATACCTTTCTGTACTCTGGATGACTCCTAAACAATGTCCACCGTACTCTGTCCTCCGAATACTCCTTAAATCCCACAAGAATCTCTTCAATCATCTGTTGCCTCATCTCCAGGCGGAAATCATCGAGGTGTACTTCAATCCTTGGCTTCATGTCTCTGGGTGACATCTTTACTATGCTGCAGATGTTAAGCGGCCCCATGACCTTTGAAGCTACAGCCATTTCTACCCCCGTAATATCAAGGTTCTTCGCATTCCTCACCGAGCCGCCCTTTCCGTTGAACTCCAGCCTCTGTACTCTAAGAGCAATCGACGTTCCACTCACATACTCCACATTCACGTCCTCAACCAGAACCCGGAATCCGTCCCCCATAATCAGATCCTCAAAAAACGCAGAGCCCCCCTCTCGGGCATCAGATAGAAAACTGAGCTTGTCAAGCTTGCTCATGAACTCATACTTCTCATATTCAATACACTCCATGCATGGACTCTCCCCAAGAAAACACCAACAAAACCCGGCCTTTCCAATCTTGATGTCGACATCCCTTATATATATCTCAACAGGCTTTCTGGCAAGGCTCTTCCACGGCACCAGAACCCGCAACGTTCCTATGCGGTTGGACACAACCCTGCCATCAAACAACCTTGAAATGACAGAAGACTTGATCCTTAGGTTCGATACAGACACATACCCCTTGAATATCCCAAGCTCAAGCTGGTGCTTGTCTATGTTCTCCACATAGTTTCCAAGAAATCTGTTCAGCGTCTTCAGAAGAATCCTCTTGAGCATCGGGGATCCAAACAAACTCTGCATTTATCCTTTATTGATGGTGCCATTGATGGAATGTTTTAGATGTGGTTTTAGATATCTTGATCTTATAAGTCTCAGGTGTTTACTCATCATGCCTGGTGTCGCAAAGGGAGAGAACTTCGACTACCTGTTCAAGATAGTCTTGATAGGTGACTCGGCCGTAGGAAAGACAAATCTTCTGTCGAAGCTGACAAGAAACGAATTCCACAAGGACTCAAAGGCAACAATAGGTGTTGAATTCGGCACAATCACATTCAAAATAGGCGAGGACGTCGTAAAGGCACAGATATGGGACACTGCAGGGCAGGAGCGGTACCAGGCCATTGTCCAGGCATATTATAGAGGGACGTCAGGCGCTGCAATCGTCTATGACATCACAAACAAGGATAGTCTGAAAAAGGCCACCGGCCTGTGGCTGAAACAGCTCAGAGACTTCTCGCCAAATGAAATTCCAATAGTACTCATTGGAAACAAAAAGGATCTGGAGAGCGACAGGGAGGTTCCCACGCAGAGAGGGAAGGACGAGGCTGTTACAAACGAACTTTCGTTCTTCGAAACTTCTGCATTGACAGGAGAGAATGTTCGAGATGCATTCTTCGAGCTTGTCAAGATCATTCATAAGAGGGCGAAGGCACAGAAGGTCTCGATCGGAAAGAAAAAGCTCAGGACTGTAGAGTTCAAGAGAGAAAGCCTGAGGGAAGTAAAGCCCAGCCCTAAGAAGGGATGCTGCTGAAACAAGCCTTTTCTGGTGCTTGGAAGTATAAAACTGCAAAGAGTGGAATGGTGATGTTGTCGTTGATGGGAACAAGATACTCAACAGATCCCGCAAATATGAAAAATGGAAGCATGTCGATTCTTCCGTAGAGAGCGAAATAAACAACCGTTCCCGATATCACTCCTGCTATTGCCCCCTGGATGGACTTCTCAGTCACCCCAAACCACTTCCCAGCAATCGAGGCTGCTGAGTCCTGGAAGCAGATCGAAATCAGAGCAGAGACATACTCCACATCCTCTATAAACAGCCTCGGATACATGCAAGCAGACAGGAGATAGATGGGCGACAGCAAGGTTCTTCCCTTGTCATTCCTACTGAAGAAAGGCCTGAGCAGAGAGTTGGTGTATCTACACGACGATAGAAGACTCATGAAGAGAAGGAGGCCTTCTGCAAGCAAAAATGACACCCTGTGCTCCTTGTAGAACACTAGGAATGCAAAGAGGTGGAAGGTCTTTCTTTTCAGGTTTGTGCAGGGCGACCTGAGTAGAAGAACTTGTGCCAGGAGGCAGGCTAGTAAGATACATCCAATTTCAACAAAAGCATATGGTGCCTGTCTTATCTCGTCAAGGACGTGGAGAATATACCCAGGGATGTCAACAATCGCCAGGCATTCCGATATTTTTGTAAGCAACGGCTTGTAGGCGCCGGTGGTAATCGTATATTTCACTCCCAAGAGAGGCGATCCTATCCATAACTTCCGTTCTATGTGCTTGAGTATCGCCATTACTACATACCTTTCAAGGGCCCCAAATGACTTTCCATGTGCCTCTAGCGCCACTGTTCCTACCATGAAGTCAACAATGTCTAGCGGCGCCCCACACAACAGTAGAGTCTTCATGGAGTTCTGGGGAAGGGGAAATAAGTAGAAGCAAGCTGCGCGAGGGTGAAACATTTTATAAACAGAAGAGTGTTTGGGCCAGCATCTTTACTATGCTTCGATACCTCCTGCAGACGCCGATCTACGGTACATATGGTAGAGTCCAGGGGGCCTCTTATCTCTTCGGATCGGTGCTGGAAGACAGTCCTAGACTCAGCACCGCCCAATCCCAAGAATACACCTTAAGCTTTCTGGACAGAGTCCATCTGCTGGAGTTCATTGAGATGGCCTCAAATACATATCACTCCCACGACCTGGACACTGTGCTGGCCACCTTTGGATATGATGGAGACGGCCTGAGGGCAAAGGTCTTTGGATACGACGGGAAGATAGTTGTTGCATTCAAAGGGACGACCCTCTCTATAATGGGACTGGAGATAGGAAGAACATCTAGGAAAGATAAGCTTCTGGACAGGATTCTGTACTCCATATGCAAAGATAAGGAGTGCGAAGAGGAGAAAATCAGAGAGTTCGACAGCATCGGCTACTTCAGCGATGCCCTGGAAATACTTGGTGCCATCAGAAGGATATATCACGAAGGCAGGCTGGTCCTCACTGGACACTCTCTGGGAGGAACGATCGCATCTCTGCTTGGAATCAGGTACAATCTCCCCGTGGTTGCGTTTTCCTCTCCCGGAGATGCATATGCGGCTAACATTCTTGGGCTCTACGACCAAGGAAAGTGCTACGACAACATTATACACATAGGAATGTGCAGCGACGTTGTGTTCAGGGGAGAGTGCACCAAGCTATACAGCCCATGTGGCATTCTTGGATACAACATAGAAACAAGATGCCATACTGGAAGATCATTGTGCATAAGGGATGGAGGCTGGGACAGTCTGGTCTATCACCTTCTGGGCATGATGAGGGCCAAGATCATGATGTCCAAGGAGATAGTACTGATCGAGAGAAAAGAGGATATAAACTGCATTTACTAGTCTCTTGTGTCTCCTGGGACTTATGGATCCATCTCCATTCCCAGCTCCTCATGGACGTCCTTTGCGGTTGTCTGCCTCAGATTAGCTATTCTCCCAATGAGCTCCTGCCCGATGTCCTTAACTTCGTTATAGGTGTTCAGAAGAGATATGAATCTCTTGACTTCCTTGTTTATGTCCTCTATCCCTAGATGCTCAGCCATTTCGCAGTTGGCCTTCTTCCACAGCTCGGCTTCGGCAGCCTCGATGTCCTTGCAGAGACAGTAGAATCCATCTGCAACTTCTTTGATGAAGTCTCCCTCAACCAAAAAGTCGAAGTTCCTTATCTTGTCCTTGTGGATAATCTTCTCTCTCTCCCAATCATCTAGCAACTTCATCGGGAGCCCTTCCCTGTGCCGATTTTTGAGAGAGCCCCCTTGAATCTCACGGCATAGATAGATCAAGATACGCAAATAGGGCTTTATTAAATGCTCTCGAGAACCTTGAATGAGCCAGGCAGAGCCTTCTTGATGTATCCCAGAACCACAGACGACTTGGTCTTTGAAAGAGGCCTGGTCTCTCCACAGATGACGGTGTCTCCAACATTGATCATCCCCTCGAAGCAAGGCGACATGTGAACAGAGAAGTTGGTGTGTCTTCTTGAGTATCTCTTGTACTTCTTGCTATAGTGGACATAGTTGGCAACAACAACAATGGTCTTCTCGGCCTTCATCTTCTTGACAACACCCTTGAAAAGCCTTCCTCGGACATTGACGTCACCCGTAAACGGACACTTCTTATCGATGTACTGGCGCGTATAGGCCGTCTCCGGCGCCTTGAACCCGCAGACCTCTGCATTGACCCTCCTCTTGGGCTGCTCCTCATGAGATGCATACGGCTTGGCACAGACGCCGGTCTGCCTTGGAAAAACCTTCAGCTTCCTCACTTCCTCCATTCGGGGTGAAAAATTTGGCAAATATTTGTCAGGGCCACCTCTGCTCCAGATGGTGGATGTCTGGAATGTCCACACCTGCACACCGTGCCAGAGGTTTCACGTGTTCCGGATGCCAAACGGTGTCCCACTATGATTTCAAAACCATATATAAACCACTGAGATTTCAAACCCAGGAAAACAACATGGCAAACAAGGGAGGCTTTTCAAAAGGACTTCTTCTCAAGGACTACAAGAGGATGCAGGAGAATCCTAATGAGTACTACAGTGTCGGGCTGGTTGATGGAGACATATACACATGGGAGGTGATGATATTCGGACCTCGGAAGACGCCTTATGAAAACGGGATTTTCAAGGGGCGAATGCTGTTTCCAACCGACTATCCGGACTCGCCTCCGAAGTTTCGGTTCTGCTCGAAGATGTGGCATCCGAACATAGATGAGAACGGGAATGTCTGCATATCCATATTGCACAACCCCGGGGAGGACGAGTATGGATACGAGTCTCTGGGAGATAGGTGGCTTCCGGTGCGAACGCCAGAGAGCGTGATACTGAGCATAATAACTCTCCTCACGTCTCCCAACTGCGAAAGCCCGGCCAATGTGGATGCGGCACAGCATCTAAGAGAGAATGAAAGGGAGTATAGGAAGAAAGTGATGGAGCTTGCTGCAATGACTCTTGATCTCTATGACAAGGAGGGGTAAGGCCAAAAAGCAAAGCATAGCCGATAATAAATGTTTTTATTTGAGTGCACCATTTGCCTGTTCTGATACCGATGAGTACCGCATGCGAACCCTTCTGAAATGGATGTTATGGATGATGTGAAGTCTGTGCTTTGCTTGAAGGCGCTAGAAGCAAGCAATGAAAGAGCATCTGATTGTATCCAGAGGGCTGGAGCATCGATCAGGAAGATTCCTCGCATCCCCTCGATAATCAGAGTCAAGAAGAAGTATAGCACATTTAGAGTTCTAACGGATACCAGCCACGACCTTTTGGTCTTGGTGAACGAGGGCTTTTCTGACGGAGAGTACGTGCCCATCAATGTGGAGCTTGAGCTGTGCTACGAGTACTTTACATACAGCGAGGTTCTTAGGAGGATATTGCCGGAGGAGGTCCAGACGCCCTCGTCCTTTGAGATTGTCGGGTCGATAGTGCATCTAAATCTGGACGGGGAGCAGATGAAGCATAAGAACATCATCGGGCGGGTTGTGCACGACAAGACAGGCAAAACAGTGATAACAAAGATCGGCCAGATCTCAAACGCATACAGGTCATTTGATCTGGAGGTCATAGGAGGAGACCCTGTGCTGGAAACTATTCACAGGGAAGGGGATATTCTCTTTTGTATAGACTACAGGAGTGTATACTGGTGCTCCAAGCTCCAGAGCGAAAGAGCGATTCTGGCGGGCAAGTTCAAGGCTGGGGAAGTTCTGTGTGACCCTTTTTGTGGAGTGGGGCCTGTTTCGCTGCCTGCACTGAAGAAAGGATGCAGAGTCTACTCAAACGACTTGAACCTCCGTGCGATTGAGTGCCTGGAAAAGTCCATCAAGATCAACAGGCTTGACCCGAGAAATATCGAGATCTTCAATCTCTCAGCAAACGAGTTCCTCGAAAAGATGGCAGGCAGAAAGATAGACCACTTTTTTCTGAACCTCCCCGAGCATAGTCTAGACTACCTGAGGAGGATTAGTGCCTGGGAAGGAAACCCCCTGGTCCATTGTTACTTCTTCTGCAGAAGTAACGAAGACGTGGTGCAGTACATCTTCTCAAGAACCGGGCTTCGAGTGGATCCTGGAATGCTGAAAGTGGTGAGAAAAGTATCTCCATCGAAGTACATGTACAAGCTTGAGACCTCAAGTCTGTTCCTTAGAAGAGGCCTTGGATGATCGCTCTGTGTCTTGGAGCAGGACAATCGGGAAGTACCCACTGCCAATTCCCATTTATACAGTGGGTTTTAGGATCCACCAATGGAGACTGAGGACCCCTTTGAAAAAAATAAAAAGAAAAACAGAAAAAGGATGTGAATGGATGTGAGGGAAGGAGAGGAGGATTTTGTAAACTTCCAAACCCAGGAAAGAAGCAATGCACTGAAGTTCCTGAAGATACTTATTGTGATAGAGGGCTTTCTGAAGATCTTCAAAATCACTGTTAGCTGCACGGTGCTCTTTCTCACGAGAAATGAAAAGTGCGAAGTTCCCCTGAAGCTCTTTCTGCTGGTATACATGGTCATAACAATAGCCAAGCTTGGGATATTCACGTCGAAAAACCTTCCGTTCTTCAGAATCAACAGGATACCGGAGTACAGAGAGAACACAGACATAACCTTGTTCTCTAACTTTATAGAGGCACTTCTTTTGTTCTGGTATCTCATTGGATTCAACTGGATCCAGGAGTGTGCGAACTGCAGCGTCACAAATCCCCTGTTATACTATACAACGGTTGTGTTTGTCGGGCTTGGGTTTGTGGCCTTCATTGCCCCTCTCCTGGCCATTGTCCTGCTCCTGTTCCTCATAACCTTTATAAAGCCGAAGCTTCAGGAGGTGATTTACAAGGACCAGAGTGACGTCTCGGACGACACGTACCACTGCACAATATGCTTCGACAACTACATTCCTGGAATCAAGCTGAAGTTTCTCCCGTGCGGACACCACTTCCACCAGGAGTGCATAGATGAGTGGCTAGACCTGAAGGATACCTGCCCACTTTGTAAGAGAAACATCAACCTGTTGTACGACTTGATTGATCCGCCTGAATACGAGGTTTGATTAGTATACTATCGTCAGCTAATTAATGACTTCCCATCAAAGGACCTTCGAGGAGTTTTGCAAATTGATATTGTTAAATAAATCCCTAGACAACAGCTGTCCTCCAAAAATGGCCAGTCACTTTATTTTCCGATGGGGGCAGTGTTTTCGATCAGATACCTGTAACCAAGGCCTCCCCTCATAAGAGGCTCCAGGGCAGACCTAATTTCTTTGTTGATCCTGTCAAGGTAGCCTATTTCCTCTTCTGACATCATGGAAGTGTCTACAAGCCCAAGATGGTATGGGACGAGAGTCAGGTTTGCAATCTCATAAAACTTGTCGCCAATGTCTTTAAGGTATACAAGGTTCTCAATCCTTATTCCATACTCGCCCTCCTTGTAAAATCCAGGCTCGATTGAGAATACCTGCCCAGGCGACAGAAGGCCATTCGAATAGGAAATGGACGGGGGAGACTCATGCACACACAGAAAGTGCCCTACTCCGTGTCCAGTAGCATGCCCATAATCAAGCTTCTCGCCCCACAAATCCATCCGAGACAGCGAGTCCAGGACCGACGACTGCATGTGGGATTTAAACCTCATCCTCATAGACCTTAGATGTCCTTTCAGAACGCGGGTGTAGTTCTTTCTTTCCTCATCGCTTGGATTCCCAAGATGCAGGGTGCGCGTGGTATCCGTGGTTCCGAACATGTACTGCGACCCGCTGTCGATAAGAATAAGCTCGTCCCTCGACATAATCCTGTCGCCTGCCTTGTGGTGGACAATCGCTCCGTTTGGACCTCCTCCTACAATGGATTCGAAGCTTGGCTGGACATACCCAGAAAATCTCTTCTTGATCTCGTCCAACTTCTCCTTGACATCTTTTTCAGATATCCCCTTCTCGAGATTCAGGTCTATCCACTCAAATAGCTCTACAAGGGCCATCCCATCAAAGACATAGGATAGGCGGAATCCTTCAATTTCTATCTCCGCCTTCTGCGACTGCAGATGTCTTATCTTGCTACAGTACTCCGCATCCTTGAATAAATCCTTGACATATGCATTGCATTCCCCAGAAATAACGGCGCCGCCCCCAACCATGGCGGCATGTCTTTCAAAGTCGTCGTAAGGGCAAATCTCCACACCATCCAGCCTGATGTCCTTTTCGTTGGTAAACAGCTTTGCAAAGTCCTTGGACAGAATTGCATATGAATAGAACACAGGGTTGTAAGGAATATCAGATCCCCGCAGGTTGAACATCCATGCTATAGTGTCAAGCTCTGTAACAATTAACGTCTGATCAGGCCCAAGAAGCGATCTTATATCCTTTAGCTTATCCTTGTATGTCTTTCCGACAACACTGACATCATTGCCAGCCATGCCATTCCTTAGTGCATCCTTGTATGCGGGGTCCTTGCACAGTCCTGCGAGCTCCATCTGGTACTTGCAAAACTTTTCTCCTTCAATGCTGTACACCTTGTTAAAAACCCTCTTCGGCCTATCCTTCCACAGAAGGTCCACCAGGTCCTGGTCAACCGGCTTTAAAGCTATTCCCCGTGCTCCAAGCTTGGCCTCTAGACTCTCGTACTTCTGAGCCCCAATCAACCTCTTGCATATCCCAACCCGCCTACACTTGCACACCTTCTCAAGATACTCGTCTATCCCCTCATCCTCTTCCATCTTCTTGAGCTTGTACTTCTTCGACTGGTTGCCTGCCTGGATATAGTATCTCGAGTCTGTATACAAAACAGGATGCGAACACGTCACTGCTATTCCGTTCGAACCAGAGAACCCTGTTAGGAACCTGACTCTTTCATCTCCTTCTCCTCGGTACTCGTTCAGGTGATCATCAGAAGTAAATGTAAGATAGGCATCCACCCCATGACTTTTCATCAGTTCTAGCATGTCGTCCTCTTCCTCCTCCCTGCTCACATCCAAGGAGCTGGTATTGGAATCAAGTCTTGCATCTTCAATTTCAAACAACATCATGGTAAAAACACCTAGGACTCTTCGGAGGGCCCCCCATCTCATTATTTACACTCACCAAAAATTAGACAAAACACTTTTATTCAGGCTTCATCGTGGGGAAAAAGATCACGTCCCGGATATTCGCCGCATCGGTCAGATACATCACAAGCCTGTCAATTCCTATCCCCCATCCCCCAGTGGGGGGCAGTCCATACTCAAGGGCTGTGCAAAAGTCCTCATCATTCATCATTGCTTCATCATCTCCAGCATTCAGGTCCTGGGTCTGCTGGAGGAACCTTTCTCGTTGCTCAAACGGGTTGTTCAGCTCTGTATAGGCATTACATATCTCCTTGCAGTTGATAAAGAGCTCAAACCTCTCAGTCAACCCGGCCTTCGACCTATGGTTCTTGGCCAGCGGCGACATTGCTATTGGGTGGTCCTTGACAAAGGTTGGGTTCACACACTGCGGCTCAATAACATGTCCAATCAGCTTGTCAAGTACCCGTGATAGAGTCCGAGGCTTTTCAACAGATAGCCCCTCCTTATCACAGGCAGACAAGAGCTTCTCCAGAGTCTCCTCCCTGTCAAGAGTCTCCCCACTGAGATCCAGCCCGAGTCTAGCATTAAGCTCCTCGAGAATACTTATGACTCGGAAGGGCCTCTTGAACGACAGCTCCACAGACTCCGTCCTTTCCTCTCTCTTCTTCGGGCTGTACACTATCGTGTCCGTACCAAACATGTTTTCAACCATTCCACTTATCAGCTCCTCAGTCATCTCCATAAGGTCGTTGTAGTCTGCATACGCCATGTAGAACTCGCAAGACGTGAACTCCGGGTTGTGGGTAAGATCAATCCCTTCGTTCCTAAACTGCTTCCCTATCTCATACACCCGCTCAAGACCCCCAACAACAAGCTTCTTCAGGTACAGCTCAGGAGATACCCTCATGTACAGATCCAGCTTGAGCTCGTTGTGGTGGGTTATAAAGGGCTTTGCCGCTGCTCCTCCAGGAATCAGGTTCATCATCGGCGTTTCAACCTCCAGAAACCCTCTCGAATCCAAAAAGCTCCTAATGTATCCAATGATCTGCGCTCTCTTCTGGAACCTGTTCCTTGATTCCCTGTTAATCAAAAGATCCATATATCTTTTCCTGTAGATGGTCTCGGGGTCCTTCAGCCCAAAGTGCTCCGTAGGAATAGTCCTGAGGCACGGCGTAAGGACAATTATATCCGTGGCAAATACAGACGCCTCCAGTGTTCTCGTCCTTCCAGGGTTCCCGGTAAACCCAACAACATCTCCTCTCCTGAGGAACTTGGCCATCTGCTCTCTCCCCGCCTCCTTGGTGTCCACAACAACCTGGAGACTCTCCCCGTTCGAGGTAACAACAAAAAAGCAAAACCTTGCATGGAGCCTCATGCTCATTATCCTGCCGGCAGACCGGACCACATCCTCTCCAACAAACTGCGTGCTTGTCTTCTCTATCTCTTGAAGAATCTCCTGGAACGAGTGGCTTATCTGGAACTTGTGTGGATACATGCTTGCACCCTCCTTCATCTCCTTCCTCACCATGCTGACCCTTTGCATGTAAAAGTCCTCCTCTGAAAGCTCAACCTCGCTATCGTGTTTAACCATCGGGGCTTTCATTCTGCAAGAATTTAACCCACCAAAATGAATAGAAAAATATACAAGAGGAACAAGAAGGTTGTCAAGTTGCTCTCGAAGATCGGATTCAGATCTCCCTACCAGATCGTGGTGGAAGAGACCTTCATCGATGCAATGAACAGAGACATGCTGGGGTTGCGGGACATAAATGACCTGTTCAAGTCCCAGCCAAAGCTCTTCATAACTAAGTGCGTCTATAAGAAGTTCAAGGAGGCCAAGCGGAACCACAGAAAGGGCATTTCGAAATACCTGGAAATACTGAACTGCAATCACAAGGATGTGAGGAACCCCTTGAGCTGTCTGAGAAGAGTCCTGAGGAAGTCGAACAAGAACCACTATATCCTCGCAAGCAACTGCCAGGAAATCACAGACCTCATTAATGTGGAAAAGAAGATTCCTGCTATCACATGCAGAGGAGGAACGTTGATAATAAATGCAGACCTCCAGAAAGTTCCGCTGTACAGTGGATTCAAAACAGAAGCTGACGAGAAGGAGCTCAGCCGTCTTGAGGCCTTGTTTCCCGAAGACACATGAGGAAAAAGCTTCCGACAGATCCCAATGCATCAAGCAAAGCAGAACATTAAACCGTTTTATTCTGGGTATGCGTGGTGGGTGGCCTTTCTACTTTGCCTGCCTCTTCTCCCGAAGCTCCTTGCACATTTCAATGGTTTCCACAGACAGCTTAAACCTGGACAGTATCGAGCTAAGAGACTTTGTTAAGTCTTTTGCTCTGGGTGCAGACACATTTACAACGAGGTATCCATCCTCGTGGCTATATACTGCCGATTGCCTGTCGACTCCGTCATCCTCGCTGCTGATGGCTGCTCCAACCACCTCCGGGTCTTCGCACGGCAGCCTCAAAGAAGCCTGGAACTCCATGGGTGTCCTGGCGGCAAATTTAATGTAGGATATGATATCCCGATTTGATGAAGCTTTGTCTGGAAGCCCATGGGAACTCTGAATAAGCACATCAGCCTGGCGCTCCACACCATGGGGATATATGCATTTTTCCTTGTGTTTGGAGTCTATGGCGAGAAGCTGACAACAACAACATACAGCGGTCGGAGGTACGAGTCAGTCTTGTTTCCACTAGTTCTCCAAAGCCTCGGAGGCATCATCGTGGGGAGGGCGATGATGAACTGCAGAAAGACAGAGGAAGTTTCTGGAAAGAAGATACTGTGGCACTATGCCTGCCTGGCGTCTTTAAGTCTGGTATCTGCCCAGCTAGGATTCATTTCGCTCAGATATCTCAGCTACCCAACGCTGATAATCGCAAAGTCCTGCAAGCTTCTCCCCATTGCTCTGATGAACTTCCTGATATACAGAAGAACTCTAAGCAGCAGGAAATATCTCTCTTTGGCTCTGATATCTGTCTCAGTCCTCTCGTTCTCGTTTTTTGACAAAAAGGGCTCGTCAGCATCTGGGTTCAGCATCATCGGGATCCTGGTTCTCATTACCAGCCTTCTTGCCGACGGAGCCATCAACTCATCCCAGGACCACATATTCAGGAACTTCAAGGTCTCTTCATTCCATATGATGTACTACTCCAACCTGTTTAGGTTCTTGATATCCTTCACAGCAATCCTCCTGACAGACAATCTGAGATATTCAATTGCATTCATAAAATCAACCCCGGAAGTTGCTCCAGATCTGTTCCTCTACTCCACATTCAACATTCTTGGCCAGGTTGTGATATATTCGATGGTCCAGTCTCACGGTTCCTTGACCCTCACCACAGTCAATCTTACAAGAAAGATGTTTTCGATCCTTCTGTCGCTCGTTGTGTTTGGGCACAAGATCAAGAAGGTTCAGGCACTCTCGATACTCGGGGTACTGGGGTCAATAGCATTGGAGATACTTGAGTCCAAAGGACGAAGGGAAACTGAAAGAGAAAAGCATGTTTAATAAGCATGATGCCCAAAGTGAGCCTTTGATCTACTCCAGGAATCTGTCTAGAAGAAATGAACACCTTTTTTCCTATTCTTTTTCTTCTGCAGCATCCTATCCTCCTCTTCCGAAGATGCTGACTCCGACGGGATTTCTATGCCAGACTCTTCTGGTGTTAGTGCACCATCTGGCATGCCTGCCAGCTCCTCAGAGCTATACTCCATCAGAACTGCTGCAAGATCATCGATTTCTTGAAAATCAATCTCTGACTTGCATGCACCCTTGTCAAGTGCAGCACGGACCATGTCCATGGATCTCTCAAGTATACTGTCTATGGCATCAAGGCGGGACCGGATGTCATCAACAACGTCTTCAAGAACGGAGTATCTTTTTAGCAGATCCCTCAGGGACCTCGAGAAACCCAAGAGATCCTTTTGGTCAGGCTCCTCAAATGATATCTCTGGGGCTGTGCTTTCCTTGCCTCCTCCTCTTATGAACCCATCTGGACTGATAAACGAGTACCCGCATAAATGCATCAGCTTCTTGAATTCCGAGTAGTCTGCACAAGAAAAAACTTGCCCCATCACTAACTTCTCGAAAAGCTTAGGTTTTGAGACGACAAAGAAAAAGTCGTCTCTTATACTCTGTATGCCCAAGTCCTTCCCGCTGAATAGCAATGTTCTTAGTCTGTTTTTTATATCCTCCAAGACTTCGATGCTCTTCATCCTTCTAGATGAATAATGACCAGGGGTTGGGCGCCGGCTACATGCCATGGAAATTCGGGCCATCCTGCGGCTACTCTTGCGCTCTGCTCCTGGCCATATGGAGGAGGTTCTGGATGTCAAGGCTCAGATCCAAGCAGCTGTTACGGAGGTTGAGCATTGTCCTGTCCAGATCAAACAGCCTTAGTTTTAAAAGGCTTAAGGGACAGTCGGGTTTTCCACGGTCTCCCACGCATATATCATGTGCCCAGCAGAAGGCGTTTTTGAGTGTGAAGTTCCTCAGTAGATCTGTTCGGCCCCTTACAAAGCATGGGTGAGTGAAGGTAATTTCTCGGCCTTCCGTGCCCTCGTCAATAAAGCCACTTTTCTTCATGTAGCCTATAACGCTAAACCTGGCATCTCCGCTCCTTAGCATCCTCTTGAGCGCTAGTCTGAGCTTGTTTCTATCCGCGATTATCACCTTTTTTCCACAGGCACTCCACATAATCCCTCTGTTTCCCTTGGAAACCATCCTATGGAGACCGTGCATCATGTATGTAAAGCTGAACTGGTTATCCTTGGATGCCGTCGACATAAGGAATGCGGCGTCACTCTATTAAAAAGTTTTCTTGGAGCCCCTAGTGAAGAGGGTTCCAAAGCACTTGGTTCCCTGTGGAGCCAGTGCTGGGCTCTTTATCCCAGTGCTTCATGATGAGACACCACACAGCATTCTGTAATGCCAATTGTCATAGTTACTCTGAAGGCACTTTCTTTCTAATGTCTTGATTTAATCCCACCTTTTCGGACCCATTTCCATGAGGCCCAACACACATCTAAAGAAGCTTCTGAAGATAGATGTCTCTCCAGACTCCTCATATCCCGACATCGAGATAGCTCTGTCGAATCTTCGGAGGATCATCAAGTCTGCCTCGCAGAAGGAGGTGATACGAGGCGGGGTGAGAAAGATGATCCTGCTGTTCCACTCAAAAAACCGGACTGCAAAGTCTTTGGCGCTGAAGTATCTTTCGAAGGTTAACAGGCATGTGGATGAGATAGATACAAATATTCTTTACATGTTCTACTCGACAGACCCAAGGATTAACGACCTGGCTGTAAGATACGTGCATGTGTTTTCAAGATTCTTCAAGGACAATGACATTGTGTTTTACCATGTGTACAGATCAGATAGCAAATACCGCAAGGATGCTATGCGGGCACTGATCTCCCAGTCTCCAAAGTACAGGGTCTATGAGAAGGAGTGTGGGACTGAAGGTGACCTAGACCTGTTTGGGAATGTCAGGAGAAGTACTCCCGAAGAGTACTTTGGGCGGCTGGCCCTGCCCAAGCTTGTAGTGCTTGCCTCCACATATCCTTGCCTTGTGAAGTACTTCAAGTTTACAAAGAAGTTCCTTATGGAAGAGGTGCATAAGGACAGCAGGTATCCCCCGGGTGTCCTACGCCGTCTCAGGGCACTTCTGGGAGCCGAGAAAGGAAGAGACACGATGTGGGACGAGTTTCTCAAGTGTCTAGGATGGATGAAGCATGGGAGATTTGGCCAGTGTGTTCCGGTCTTGAAGAATCTCTCCAGCCTTGAGATAAGCAGAGAGTACAAGACAATCTTCAATGTGTTTGTAAGAAAGATGTTACCTTATCTGAGTAGCAAGCCGGAGGGTGAGAAGAAGCCTCAGATGTTTATCTCAAGCAGTTTTGAGATTGAGCTAAGCGGACTTTCTCGGAATGGGGTCTACAGGGTACTTTTGCGGCTTTTTAAGCATGGAGCGAAGCATGTGGATGGTAGAGACAGGAGGTGCAAAAATGTTTAGGCCACAGGGTCCCCGTGGAAATGGGTAGCGACTGGAGTTCTGTGAAAAATGAAGTGGAAGCATTATATGAGATGGTGGATAGCCCACACTTTAAGGATGTTGTGTGGAGCAAGAGTGGGCGGTGCATTGTCATAAGGAATCCTGAGATGTTTGGGTTTGTTACCGGACCACTTTTTGGACTCTATGGAGGAATGGAGGAGCTCAGAAAGCTCTTGTCGAACTACGGATTCATAAGAATTGAAAAGTCAAAGCACCTGAAGTATTATAACAAGTTTTTCAGGAAAGGGGAGAAGAATCTCCTTGGGATGATTTACAGGTCCTGGGGTATGGACGGTCTGGAAATACCGGAAAAAGAGGTTGACTCTATGAACGAGAGCTGCTGTGCCATGATGAACGAGGTCAATTGCATGATTCTGAAGCTTAAGGAGAATGAGCAGAGGATTTCTGAGCTTCGAAATGTACTGTTTTCTCTATGCTCATATATGGGGACTCTGAAGCCATATCACACACTCGAGACCATGGGATACGACCCGAGTAACGAAATGAAGTTTGGGCCAACAATGTCCAGGTGGGCTGATGAGCATCTGAGAAGCAACATGGTCTGCTCGTTTGGATTTCTTGACGAGGTTGGAGACTTTCAGGCACACAAGCCATGCAATAGAGGTGAGAAAGGGAAGAGGCGGCATAATAGGGTTAAGGGGGTGGATGTGAGGTTCAATGCGAAAAGACAAAAGGTTGACGGCACCGTAGACAATCTCCAGTAGTAGTAAGCCTTCAATAAATTTGAGGATGTCGGGATATAGTCCTTAGTTTCTCTTGGGTAAAAAGACATGGCAATGCATCCCTCCCGAAGTACCCATCAATGAAAGTAAGCAACTCTAAAAGCCACAGAAAAAACGGGCATTGCCGACTTATATTGCTGAGACTTATCCATATGGAGCTCGAGAAAAACAGCAATCCTGCACTGAGATGGGTCGATGATGGCCAGGCATTTGAGGTTCGTGGACGGATAAAGATTCCATCCGTTTCTGAGGGCTCTGGAGTGGTTGTTATAAAGAGAAGAGGTCTAGAAAAGATCCTGTTTATGCTTGGATTCCAGAAGAGAGAATCTGTGCGTTCCCACATCTACTTTCATAGGCACTTTAAGAAGGGAGAAAGTGTGGACGAAAGCAAGATGCATCTCTTGTACACAGGCATCTACACCGGAGGCTTTCCGTGCCCAAGTAGATGGAAGGACGGGGGTGTGGACGTGCGGGAGTGGTACAGACATGTATGTGACATGTACGCGTCTGTTAGGGAGATGCTGAGCCTCCAAGATGGCATTATCGAAGGCCTGTGGTCGGAGATTACAAGGGTGATGATGCTAGGGGTCAAGGAAATGAAAGGACCGTTTGAGTACAGAAGATATATCGTCCGAGGGGATGGCAAACCCTTTGAGGAAAGGATGGTGGGGCTGGACAGAAGAGAAGAGACCTCGAGTGGAGATTTTGTCGAGATTATTGGAGGAGAGAGAAGAGACAGGATACAAGAGTTTGTGTAGATGAAATAGCTGGCGGATGAGTACCCCGGGATGGAGCAAGAGGTAAAGTTTTCGGACGGTGACTTCAAGCATGAATTTGCGGAGATGAGTTCTGAGGCGGTGATGTTTCCCAAGTACAGAGAGAAGTACATTGAGCAGACACAGAAGTACATAGTAAGGGCGCTAGAGGCGAAGAAGATATCGTGCAGGATTGACTTGGAGAAAAGAGTTATTGATGTGATGACGAACAGAAGTACAAGAGATCCGTTTATATTTATCAAGGCTGTTAACTTTGTTAAGCTTGTGGGGCGCGGGGTCGGAATTGAGGAGGCGATGAAGGTGTTGGAGGATGAGTATTTCTGTGAGGTTATCGACATCAAGAAGATGGTGAGTTCCGACAAGGTGTTTGAGAAGAGAAGAGACAGGCTGGTGGGGCCCAAGGAAATGACCTTGAAGGCGATACAAATTCTCACGAGGTGCTATGTTCTTGTTCATGGGAAGACAGTCAGCATTATTGGAGGCTTTAGGGGGGTTGAGGAGGCGAAGAAGATTGTTGTTGACTGCATGAATAACATTCATCCGATGTACCAGATCAAAAGGCTTGTTGAGAAGAGAAAGATGGAAAGTGATGAGACCAAGGAAAATGAGGACTGGAGCCGGTTTCTTCCGCAGGTCAAGAAGAGTAGCAAAAAGTCCAAGAAGAAGAAGGTTGTCGGCAGGCCTACCGGGAACATGCCTGAGGACGCGGCAAAGAGAAAGGAGGATATCGAGATGGAGACTGGGGAGTACTTTGTTAGAGATGAGTCTAGCTCCAAAGAAAAGGAAGAGGCCGAAGAGAGGAGGATTAGAAGAAAAGAGAGGAAAATGAAGGACATGGAGAAGTATCTTGCCCCTGATGAGTGATTTGAAGAAATGTTTTAGGACTCTGGTGACGGAATGGGGCTTGATAGATTTCTGCTTTGTTTTGGGTAAGGTTTTGTGCTAGGATGAGAAACAGAGCCTCCTCTTCTTCCCGGATGGATGGCTCCATCGGCAAGAGAGCCAGGATGATGTTTGTTCGGATCAAGAAGGAAAGTGTCTTGAACGAAGGCTCCAATAAATACTTTTACGAGTATACTGTGAAGAATGATAGGGTAGGTCTACTCATGCACGAAGGATATGGCAAGGTGTTTTATGAGTGCAGAGGAACGGAAGAAATGGACCATGATGAGGATGGCGAGTTCAGGATGGAGCCAACTGAAGATGAGGCTACGTTTCTTAAGACACTTCCAGGCGAATCCCACCACAGTGGTCTCAGAAGAAGCATAAAGAAAAGACGTTACTGCAAGAGAGTTTGCAGATTAGTTGATCCAGCAACGAACCTGGACCTTTGCAGTGACGAGCATGAAGAGGCCCTGGTTTGAAGAGCAAGACGGTGCCAAGGATGTGGAAATAATTTATTTTCAAAGCAGAAAGAATCCTGCAGTCAGCTCCAAGGCAGTTTCGAGCTTTCCCTCCAACTTGTCTTTGGACGAGTATTCTGGGAGCAGCAGGGTGTTGAAACAGGTCTGTGAGGAGGGTAGTCTGTCTGTATCGCATCCGTTTCGCATTATGACAAGCTTCAATGATGCAGGCCCGGAAACAGGTATTCTATCGTTCCCTGTGATGAACTGAAGGAGCTTCTTCCTCTTCTTCCTGTTGAATGCTTCAAATATCTCCCAGAAGTAGACAATGATGGGAGAGTCCTCCCTGAATCCTGAGTATGTGGTCGTGGATCTTATTGCCTTGATATCAAATGTATTCGACCCCATCATTATCTTTTCCAGCTCCTTTGGATCCAGGTACGCCAGCTTATCCTTGTCAATTATCGAGTAGAACCCTCTTTTGATGGATTCGAACTGGGGCTTTATAAGGGCGTCTGTGTGAAACTCAACATACTTCTCAATAAACAGCCTCATGTTTTCAGACGTCAGCTTTATGTCCTCTCCATTTTTTACAAGGGGGTACGACCTCGGAATTCCATCAACGCTGTGCTCAACAACAAACCTGAGGTCCAGGCTATCGACCTCATCCCTTGAGAGCCTTCGCAGGTTTCTCAGAGATGTAGCTATCCCAGAGGATATCTCCCTGAGATCGTCAAGAGTTGGCCTTCTGTCAAGAAGCTTCTTGAAAAACAGGCTTGGGAACGGAATGTTAAGGACAACATTGTTGTAAAGCGCTATGGCGATTATCCGGCCAATGGCCTCATATCCCTCCCCGTCTCCTTCGTGGGGCCTGATCCAGATCCTGTTCTCCGTGTGCTCAAACAGCCTTTCGTCCTCCTTTATCTCTTGGCTCAGGAGCTGGAAGTACTCTTTTCTTATCCCTCCAGAGTCTACGCCCTCCTCGTTCCTAAACGTGATTCTAAGCTGCTTCCTGGCATCCAAAACATTTATCTTTTTGAATATCTCAATGCTATCTCTGTACACAGTTTCCCTGCTGACCGTGATAAACAGATACGGATCCACGTGTCCTTCAAACAGCGACTTGAAGAACGAATCCTGCAGAGAGGTCTTCATCCTGTCGTTGTTCTCGTACTTGATCAGTTCTGCCTTAATGTGCACAGGGAGAATAAACTGAAAGTTGAGAGGTGTTTTTGACTTCGCCCTGAAGTGCTTGAACTCCTCACGGAAATTCATTCGGGAGCAAAAAGAGACCAGATAGAACTTCTTGTAGCTGAGTAGTCCACACTCTTCATTCACAAGGTATAGCAGGTGCAGTATACTCAGCAAATTGTCGATCCTCTTGCTCTCTCTGCTATCAACCACCTCCGAGGAATTAAGAATACAGGTTATGTTGTCTACAAGCATTGAAAGATCAACCTTTGTAAACTTAGGTAAGTATATGCAGATCGGCATATCTCCCCTGGAATCTATCCTTTCTCCCCTGCACGTGATGCCTTCGCTGAGCGTGGTCTTTTTGAGCATTTCGCTATATAGGCTGCGAATGCTGTCGAACGTCTTATACAGGGTCGGGTAATATGTCTCATCAACATCACCATATTTGCTTATTGTGCAGTAAATCCTGAGAATAATCATCCCAAGAGTAAAATGCAGTGAGCCTTCGTACTTCTTAAGCAGTAGCTGCAGCACCCCAATAAGAATATACCTGTCTTCCACCGTGATTTCCTCCTTTCCGGAGATCAGGCCGCAAATGGAGTGATCAAGTCTGGTAGTGGCATCAAACTCGCCCCTCATCTCATTGATCTTCAGACATCCAAACCTATCGTCGGACCTATGGCCCTTGGAAAGCGGGGTGCCTTTCTTTCTGAACATCCTCTTGGCCCACTCGACAGACTGCATTCCATTTTCCATTCTCAGGACGCCTCTGCTCTCTCTGTCCTTGACATAGAGTTCCGGGCCACTGTCCGGGCCGAATCTGCTTTCCTCCACAGACGTGCCTCTTCTGGGCCCCATCGTGCCTAAACGAAAGAAGAAGTCCAGGATCACGCTCCCACTAGCATCAACACTTATGGAAGAAGTTTGCTCAATAGTCCTGCGTATATTCCTGCACAGAAACACGTCTCCATATCTCGAAAATAGCTCAGACAGTGTCTCGGCAGCTTCATCCTCGAGCCCATCCCTGCAGAACACCTTGTAACAGGGTATTTGACTACAGCACCCTGTCATCTGCTGCTTGTACTCATCTTTGAGGCATGAGTTCATTGCACCAGGGGATTTGTTTTGGCTCTAATATGAAGCCATACCCGGCGTCCCTTTCTTCGGCATAAAAGGAGCTTCTAAGGAGATAAATAAAGGGTGGCCTCTAGTGGGCTGTGATCAAGCGAACAGCCTGAACCTCCTAAAGTACTCAACCACCTCCGGTATCTGGTCCCTGCTGTATGGCCTGAGGGATATGCATGTGGGTATGTTTTCCGGACTCTCGATCCAGACAGTGTGGTCTATGCCTTTCGCAACAAGGTAGCTTTCAGTCTCTTTTACATCTTTTTCCCCGATCTAAAATTAGCTTGGGCACTTACCTTGAGAACTATCTTTGCCATGGATTTTAGGTCTCTCAGATACTCTATTGTGTCCGGGTGGCCTCTATACTTTTCGATAGAGCAGACACTTGAATGGCAGGCCTGGGCAACCAATGCGCCTCTTGAGAAATTCAAGTCATCTCTGAGCAGAATGTATTGCACAAAAGCCATTCCAAGGGCTATGGAATTCTGGAAATGCCACCTAAAAGTAACTGTTTTAGAAGCACAAAATCAGCCGCAAGTACCCCTTTCTCATTAGTCATAATGCCATGTCTAGAGGAACAGACGGCCAATTCTATGAAAACTTTCAAGATTTCTTGATCCAGCCGAGTTGACCCAGCAGACGAAAAGAATGAGAAAATTCTACCCCGGGAAATGAAGGAGGTCATGAAGAGATCCAGCAAGCTGTCGGTGATAAAGACCGTGATGTTCAAGTATGTTCTTGGGTCGCCGGTTGTGAGGGTTATGATGCTTCCGGTTGTTGTAACGCTGTTGGCTGCAGGATATGGGGAGATATTCATCACACAGATTCTAAATGACATCCAGGAAAAGGCCAGCGATGCAGAGGTGGTAAACGAGAAGATCAGGATATACCTGATTGCCGCGCTTTCCTCGTATGTTTTTGGACTAGCGTCGCTGTTTGCGATGTCGAGTTATATAGAAAGCGTCTGCAGAGACTACATCATAGATCTATACAGAGACCACATTTCCATGTCGTTCTCTGACTTCAAGAAGATAGGTGTGGGAAATATGATTTCGTTCATGAACAGGAAGATTTTATCTCTGCAAGAGGTCCTGGAGTCCACTGTAAAGGTCTTCATCATGACTCTGTGCTGCATCCTCATAACAATGGCGAAGATCCAGTCGGAGGTTGGAAGCCGTTATGGACTGCTGATTGGAGGCGTTGTGGTTGCCTATGGAGCATGCGTGATTGTTATAAACCACTATAGAAACATTATCCGGCTGAAAATGAACAGGGAGATTGATCTGTGTGAGAGGAAGATCTACAACAACATACTGAACTATGACATCATAAAGTCGTATAACAACGAGGAGCTGGAGGCAAATGAAGTGTATAGATGCATGGGTGCGCAGACACGGTATGGAAAGATGTACTGGAGCTGGCTGCAGGTTGGAAACTTTATCGGAGAAAACATATTTGTCATGGCCATGTTTATAATGACTATGCAGTTTTCAAACAACGATGCAAGGAAGGTTGGGTTCCAGGACTATACCCTGATGTTCTCTTTGAGCAATCAGCTCCGGATGTATTGCGTCAATATAAGCAACAGCTTTGGACTGATATTGCTAAACCTGACGAACATGGCACAGAACAGAATTGAACCCAGCAGACTAGACATTCAGGAGCCGGGATATTACAAGAAGGATTTTGACGCGCTGATCAGGATTTCGGAGCTGGAGATATCAGTCGGAGACAAGAGGCTGATAAGGGGAGTGAATATGGACATAGGGAAAGGAGAGAAGATAGGGATATCTGGAGACAATGGAAGCGGCAAGACATCGTTTATTAGGGCTCTCCTAGGTTTTTTTGACTATTCCGGAAGCATTCTTGTCGACGGTATTGAGCTGAGTACGTTGAATAAGGAGGGACTCCGACAAATGATATCATACTCTCCCCAAGAGTCGCAGCTGTTCAATGAGTCGATTATTAGCAATATAAAGGACGGGAACATATACATGAGTGATGAGGAGGCTGTTGAGATCTGCAAGAAGTATGGGATGGATGATATGTTCACTAGTCTCGACGACGGATACCAAACGCTTGTTGGAAATCGAGGGAACAGGCTGAGTGGAGGACAAAGGCAAAAGGTCAGCATGATGAGGACTGTTGTCAAAGATGCACCGATATACATATTTGACCAGGTGACCTCGCATGTGGACAAAGAGTCCGAGAATAACATGGTTGACATGATTATGAAAAACCTCTCTGACAAGACTGTTATAATGGTGGTGCAAAACTCTGACCTGCTTGATAGGTTTGATAAGATATATTATTTCTCTAATGGGGGCATATCCAGTTGAAAAAATAAAGTACATGATGGACAACTCTGCTGCTATATCTCTTCTCAGCTATGGAAGAGTTTCTAGAATTGTTTTTGTAATGCCCCGAAAAGTGAGGTGATCCTATGGAAGGTACAAAGTTCTTTGCAGAGGCTCCTGATGTCTCGCTTAGGCTGGTGGGGGGAATCGTGGGTTGTAAGGAATTTGTGGTGCATGATGGGAATGTGTTTTGTTTGACAAGCAGGAATACGCTGGTTGCTCTGCCCTCGCACGAGGAGTACGAGTTTTATGAAGACATACTCGGCATGGGGATTCACGAGCATTATATATATCTAGTGTTCATGACCTCCAAGATCATTGTCTTTGACGCCATCTGCAGAGAGGTTGTTGTCAACTTTCCGGGGATGGGCGAATGCATTAGAAAGGTGGTGGTCAGCAGCAACGGAATGTACCTTCTCTCTGAGAATGGCTTCTTGTACAAATCTGGATTTGGAAACATAAAATATGTTAAGCAGGCTGTTGCATGCGAAACGGAGGATAGAAGATCGGCGATACAGGACTTCTGGGTTGATGGAGACTCTGTCTTCTATGCTACGCACATCGGGCACGTCTACAGAGACTCGAGAATGATACTGAAGGCTTTCGATGCTGTTCGGATGCTAGTGCCCCATAGTGAGCATCTGTACATAGTGACCGGGAGAAATCTGCTCTTGAAATACAACACCAGAAGGCTGAGGGTTCTTTTCAAGGCGGATGTCGGAAGTTCCAGAGTCATTCGAGATCATCTTGTAGCCTGCGACGGCACAGCAATCGACCTCTCCAGAGAAGTTTTCATGAAGATTCCGAAGGATGCGAGATGCATAGTCAGAGCAGGGAAGACTCTGTATGTCCTGACGCCATCGGGGGTTTTTGCTGGAGCATCTGGATGATTAAATCTTGCTTGTACTGTTAAATTTTTGCATATGGCAGGGTGCTCAAATGGTGAATCCGAAGTTCAACAAACAGCATGGGCAGCACATACTGAAAAACTTGGGTGTGATTGACACAATAATAGAAAGGGCAAGGATAAAGCCAACGGACACCGTGCTGGAAGTGGGTGGAGGCACAGGGAATCTGACGATGAAGCTGCTCCAAAAGGCGAAGAAGGTGGTGTGTTACGAAATAGATCCCAGGCTAGCAGCGGAGCTAGCGAAAAAGGTGAATGGGACGCCGGGGATGGCACAGAAGTTTCAGCTATTTGTGGGAGATGCGTTGAAGCACGACTTCCCCCATTTCGATCTCTGCATCACCAACCTACCGTACCAGATTAGCAGTCCGTTTGTATTCAAGCTTCTGAAGTACGACTTCAAGTGTGCGTTTATAATGTTCCAGAAGGAGTTTTCCGATAGGTTGGTGGCAAGGCCTGGAAGTCCTGAGTACTGCAGACTATCTGTCGGAGCACAGATACTTGCGCAGATAGACCATGTTTTAAAGGTGTCGAAGAACAGCTTTGTGCCGCCACCAAAGGTCGAGTCGAGCTTTGTAAGGATTGAGCCCCGGATTCCAAGGCCGCCAATAGACCTCGGGGAGTTTGATAGGTTTCTGAAGATATGTTTTCTTCGAAAGAACAAAACACTCAGGGCAAACTTCAAGAACTCCTCTCTGGTCAGCAAGATAAAAAACGACCCTAACTTTGAAAATACTACGCCCGACGATGTATTTGAAAGGGTTCTGTCTGGAGCCGATCTTGCAGGGGCAAGGGCTGCCAAGATGGATCTTGACGATTTTCTTGCTCTACTGCTGGAGTTTAGGAAGGTGAACATTTACTTTTGACGGCAGGGGGGTGCAAAGTCAATTAAAAGGTTGCGATGTCTGCAGCAAAAATGCCTCCAGCGGGGCTCGAACCCGCGACCTTGGCATATCTTAGCAGTGTAAGCCAAGTTTTGCACAGCTTTCCAGCATATAAGTACCACGCTCTGACCGACTGAGCTACGGGGGCTTGCAAACCTTCCACAGAAGTGTCCAATTATCGCACTCAACCCCCGACCAGATGGCAACAAATAAGCGCTCCATGGTGGAGACGAGGAAGTGGATCGAGTGAATGGGAAGTTGCTTTGCGCGCCACCTTCCGGCATTTCCTTTCGGGGCGCTGCTCTTCATCTAATCCAAAATCCTGAAAAATTTTGCACCCTTGAAATGCCACAAGATAACACCAGGATCTCGGATAGCATTAAAATACCAGACGAGTTCGTTAAGCTGCTGATAGTCAGCCAGTCGCATCTTGGAGGAACCTCCACGAACAAGAGCTTTGCCAGGTACCTCTATGGAACTAGGCCTCGCGACAGAATCAACATCATTGATATCAATGCGACATGGGAAAAGCTCATCATTGCAGCAAGAGCTTTCTGTGGCATAAAGCACCCCTCCAGCATCGCAGTGGTGTCTACGAAGACGTTTGGGAGAAAGCCTGTTGTCAAGTTCTGCGAAGCGGTCGGAGCAACGCCGATAACCGGAAGATTTATTCCGGGGTCGTTTACAAACTCGGAAGTCAAGCGAGTATATGACCCAAGAGTCCTTATTGTTTCTGACACATATGCTGACAAGCAGGCTATCTTGGAGTCGCAATACTGTAACCTTCCCACGATTGCATTTGTTAACACAGACAATTCTTTAGTGGGGGTAGACATTGCAATTCCCATGAACAACAGATCTCCATCGGCAATTGCTGCAGGGTTTTTTATCTTGTCAAGGTTAATTAATTACATGAAGACTGGGGCTGAGCTTGTTCGAGACATGAAGGAGGTTGAGCTCTTCCTGTTTAGAGATAGCGTCGAGCTTGAGCAGCTTGTTGAGGAGCAGCTTCTTGAGACAACAGACTCCATTCTTAATGTTGGAAAGGAGGGGATTTTGAGTGGGATAGGCACTGGGAATGCCGACGAGTGGAACAGCTTCTAGCCATGGGATTAAATTATCTTGAACATCTTTTCTTTCAGGTTATGGTGTGTTTGTTTCTCCGAGTGCTATATGAGAAGCCTGTTCTTGTCTCCCCCAGATGAAGAGCATCCATGTAAGCCAGCTAAGGGCTGGGTCGTTCAACCTGGTCAGCCTCATAGAGGAATCTGTGGACATCAGAGAGGACAGCATCTTCCAAACGCACGCCGAGTTGGTGGAGCTTGTTGGAGACCTCGAGAGCATAAGGGAAGGCCTGTTTTTCAAGAAAGAAAAGCTCAACACAAAGCTCCGCACCATCGAGGATGCCTTGAAGCTGGAGAAGATTGACGACCTAAGCAGGGAGATAAGCCAGATATGCCTGGAGCCGCTTGGCTCATCGAGGGATGTGCTTGAGAGAAACAAGGAAATAAACCATCTCAAGAGGATGGAAAAGGGAGTGAAGTATCTGATGGAAATCGAGAAGGGAGGCTTCAAGGTGCTCGACAGCCTCATATCGAGTGACAGCGAGGATGACTGGAGGTTTCTTTGCTTTTTTCTGTACAGCATCTCAAAGGTTGTTGAAGATGACGGGGAGCTTCAAAAGTACAACAAGCTTGTAGAGGACAAGATGCTTCATGTGTTCGAAGAGGGGAACAAGAAGGGAAACAAGGCGATGATGAGATCTGCATACAACTCGCTGCTTGAAATGGGCAAGGAAAACTCTCTTGTCTACTCGTATGTATACTCTCTAGACCTGTTTAAGAAGCCCATTAGAATGGTCCGCAAGGAGGAAAGAATCATAGACCTCGACTTCCACACAACAGACCACAGTACATTCGTGGAGTTGGTAGACAAAGTCAGAGATACATACGACGCCGACTTCCGAGATCTCAAAGACATTTTTGCAGACACAAAGGACGTGTACAAGGTAATACACAAGAAGGTGTACGATGACATCATTTCGACGGCACTGAGCGACTATCTCAAGGGAACAAGCCCCTGCACATTCCTACTGGGGCTCGAAAGCTGTTATAGGAATCTCCGCGTACTTGGATCGTTCATCGAGACAATAGATCCTGGGTTTGATGGGTCGTACGCCACCGAGGATCTTGTTTCGCAATACACAAGAATGGCCGTCGACAAGGAAAAGGCCTTTTTTGATCAGATCTACGAGATTCTTGCTCTTCGGAGGCAGAGCGAAACGAAGTATATCATCCTCGGGGAGGAGGCTGGAAGCACTGCCGACAGCATATTTGTGTACAAGCAGTTCCTGAACGTCATAAACTTTACCCTCGAAAGATCTAGCAAGTTCTACAGCGAGGCTGATGAGGATGAGCTCATTGACTTTTTTTTCAGAAAGATCGGCGGATTCATCGGGATTGTCTACGATTCGATACAGGACAAGCTTGAGGTAGTGAAAACTCTGAAATTCATCTATCTGGTGACGGTGAAGTACTTTGCAGATAAGTCCTGGAAGCTTGTGACCTTCAGAGATAAGATCGACAGGAAGCTTAGAGACGCCCTCGAAGACCAAATAGAAACGTGTTCCATGAGGATCGGGGTTAGAGTCAAGCAGGAGGATTTCGCAAACCTAGAGGGGTGCGAGAGGGTGCTGGAGATTGTGAGACACGAAATCAACAGAGCTGCTGAGATGACTATAGAAGGCAAAAACTTCAAGATTCTGGTGAACCGAATCTTCTGTCTCCTCTATTCCACGTTATATAGCAGAATACTGCAGCTCACGTTTGATGAGGAGCAATCCAGAAACATGGTAGAGTATGTCTCCAAGATCCTAGAGTTTGCCAAGGAACTCGGGTGTGCCGAGTCCATCCAAAAGTCCACCCACCTCTATAACCTGGCCATGCTGGTGTCCGTTCCTGAGGAAGACTTCGAATCATTCTATAGTCTCTTGGTAGGGAGGATATCTGATGATGAGGTTCTGAAGATATTGAGGTGTAGAAAAGACAGAGAAAAGGTGCAGGGCAAGGTGTCTGCCTCAAGTGGCAAAGACATGTGACTCTAGGGACTCTTGGTGAAGCAGATGCTGTAGAAGTTTTACTTTATTCCTAGAAGAAACTTGCCCCTTGAGAGTCCCGAGGACAGGAGGGTCGCTTCTGTTGCAAACTTGACCTTACTCCAGATGGAGACCTTAGCATATTTAAGCACAACCTGCGGGATACCATTATGACTGATAGAAAGAGTATACACACGGCATCCGGATGTGTCTACCAGCATGAAATCTATGAAGTCGCTGACCATTCTCAAGGCTGTCAAGCATAGGGTCATGGAGATATAGAGAATGTGGAAGTGCACGACATTGAACATAATTAGAAGAAGAAACGAGAAGATCAGCACAGACATGAAGATTTGGTCCGTATTGAGAATCACCGAATCCCTCCGCTTCCTCAGAGGGTTGTAGCTGCTGTTGTTTAGCAGATGAACGGCCTCGATCAACAAGCTTGCTAAGAAGGAGCACGTGCGCGAAAGGGCTCCCAGATATACTGTAGTTGGAATCACATAAATCCCACCGACAAATACTATGGGATGCCCCATCCTCAGAAATGCCTTTTGGATGGCGCAGAAAAACCTTATGAAGGCACCCAGCGTTGTCTTTATAGTTATGATTTGCTTTGCTTCAGCTGAGCAACTTACTATATAATTCACAGCATGCTGTGGAACATCAACCAGAAGATACTCAACAGCTCTTCTCAACAACCATAAGAGCACAGGAACGACAAAGCAACTTATCCTTCTTTTCCTCAAGCACACTGTGCCCTTGGGCATGGGGTGGAAAGGCATCTCTGACAGTTTCGAAAGAAAGTGCCTCTTTGACAAGAAAAAGTCATACGGGTGGGGAGACGGAACAAGCTCCACAAACTCAACCCTGCTGTCTACTTGGTAAATTGTTTCTAAATAAACAATTCTTCTATCGACAACCTTAAGAATTATCTCTTTCGACTCGATCTCCAGCTTATTTCCGTCTCTCTGCACCGTGGTATCCGGAGGTGAATCATCCCAGGGGGGATTAAACACCAGGCATCTTCCGTGCACTACCTGCTGGTTGACTTTACCAGAATCTCCATGGCTCAGGAAAACTATGTGGCCAATCCCCATTATACCCTGGACAAAAATTTGGAAAAAAAACCCAGAAACAAATTGTAAGGCATTTCCGCCAGGAATGTGACATGTTTTATTAAGGTTACGATGCACTCGTCTCAATCCCACTCTCAAGCCTATTCTTTCTAAGGTCATTCAATGCAACCACAGTCTTGGCAAGCACAGAGACATAGCAATCAGAAAGATTCTCGTCAAGAGGTCTTTCTAGCTTTGGAGTCGAATTGATGATTTCTTGGCAGAGATTGATGATCTCCTGGTTCAGATGAATGTCTCCACTTATTACATCATTGAGATAGGATCTTATCTCACCAAGAACCCCTCTGTAGACCGCCAATGATTCTTTTATTCCGTTGATCCGGGCTGCAATCGATCCACTTGCCTCTTCTCTGATGTCTCTTATCAGATGCTCGACTCCAACCTCCTCGGCCTCCTCGGCCTCTATACTGCATCCAACATGTACAAACTCGTCCTGTTCATCCAGCTTGAATGTCTGGACAGGAAGATCGTTTTCTCCGAGGTGAACATTGATGATGGCAAGGAACGGGCTTTCCACGAAGCTGCCCAGCGATCTCGTTATGTCAAGGTCGTTTTCATACATCCTGGGGCCTGTGTGGTACCATCCCATCACCTTAAGCTTATGATTGACCTTGTAGAACAGATCAAACATGCTTCTTATGTACGAGGTGTCCATGAACCATCCATCTTCGTCCTCTTCAAATATGCAGGCAAAGCTCTCTGTGATGTGAATCTCCCCATCGTCGTCCCCAAGCAATATGCCAGCAACTCTCTTAGTTCCCTTTCTTTTGTAGTGGTCAACTGCGGAAAGTAGTACCAATGGATGGACTATGACCTCGCTCATTTGGGGTATCCACTCCAGGTCTAAAAAAATAAACAAATCTAAACAGAGAGCCTGGACATGAAGGCACCTGATCAGAAGACTCGTGTCAATATGTAGATCCCAAAGCAAAGCTCATTTACTCTTAATCCTTTTTTCTCTCCTGCTTGTTCTCTTATGCTCTCTATCAACCGCAAGCTTACATATTGCCCCCATCGATCCCAGGACAAGAAACAGCGACATTAACGAGACTGCCGGAGAATCAAGTCCAAGCCATCTTGCAGCCACAGGGATTGCTACCGGAGATGCGAGCATAATGACTACGAAAACAGTCAGCTGCCGGTGGAACCTTCTTCTTTCTATCCCCATGAAAGCTTTGGGGTTGTGTTTTCATGCGCATAATCTCTGTTCGCCATTAATGCCTCATCGTTCCTCGTAGAATGCAGCCTCAGAGACTAGGTTTCTTTCAAGCTGGAGGATGAGCTCGCCGTTTTCAATGGAGCCTGCCCTAAGATACACCACTGTTGCCTTAGCAACAAGACTAACAAGACTGAATCTCCTACCCTCGAAGTGACATTTGATTTCCCTGTACTTCCTGGGAAACTTCGACAAAATAGAGTTGAATAGTCTCTTGTCGCTGTCCTTTGGGTACAGATCCTGCATGAAGGAGATGTCTTTCCCTAAGATCCTTTCAATCATAACAATAGCATGGGCAGGAATCCTCTTTTCATCTGCATGGAGATTGTTCACCGTAACCAAGAATGCCCTCGAGAAGAAGCTGTCAACATCCCTTGTCTTGCAGTCCAGATAGTATTTTAGCACATTGGATTCCGAAGAATCGGCAGCCATAGACTGCCTCAAGAGGCTCTCCAATTCGCAGCAAAATACCTTCCTGAGCATGCTCCTTACTATCCTAAAGTACTCTATTCCAACATGTCTACCGTCCGAATATCTTACAGAAAAAGCCTCACTCATGCTTCTAAAAACCCTCGAGTCCACATACTCTTGTGTCTCATCGCGCTCCCTGCATTCCTTGAAATACCTCAAAAGCACATCCATGACATATTCCCCGATAGGAACTTCTATACCATTAAGGATACACGTTGCGGCAGAGACCGAGTTGCTTTTGGGCTTATATGCCACCATGTCCCTAAACACACGGCTGCACTCAGGATTTGTGTCCTCAGCATCAATGCCGGCTTCTTCACTTATCCCCAACAACCTCAGAATAGCTTTGGTGGGAGGATCCAAATGGTCCATCTTTCCGTCATGTATTATCAGCTCGATACAAAGCACAAGATTTTCTCTCAGTCTTCTTAGTCCATCTGTGAGCTTCTCATGGTATTTGTTACTGCCTTCAAACCTGATCTCATGGATGACTCTGGCCAAAAACCACAGATAGTGTCTTGCCTGGATGGACTTGGTGGTGATCTCCATTCTGTGAACAGTCTTCTTTTCAAGCTTGCTAGCTAGCCTGTATATCTTACTTTTGTAGCCTTTGAGGAGCAGTGCTGCCACGTAATCCTTTACCCTAATCGTCCTTTTGGTCTCCAAAATGCGGTAACAAGCTTTCTCGCCAACTAGTCCAGACAGAAATCCTTGGTAATACTTAAAAATAGGCACATCCTGGTCTTTTATCTGCTTTATCATTCCATTCTGAAAATCCTTTGTCAGCCCAAGAAGACCTTCCACAACCTTGTCGGCTATATATTCATCATCGCTTCTGGCTACGACGCTATCTTTGGCCTCACACTCAGAAAGCTTGCCAAACTTGCACGACAGGTTCCTATTAAAGCTGCTCCTACACTTCTGCAGGAGAAACCACAGCTCATCGGTGTCATAAAAGCCTTCGCCTGTCCCATTCAAATCAGAAATAATGCTTCCATGCCTCATAAAAAAGAGAATCTCCCTTACAATGCTCATATATCCTCCCGGGCTCATACACTCCCCATTGCTTAGAATCACAAATGCTACCGGCTTCCTACCCACCGTCCCGTCTACCCCAATCCTCATGAAGAAATCCGTATCTCTCATCATTCTCTTCTGCTCCTCTATTTTGCATTCAACAAGATATCTGGTAAGGACAGACCCAACATAATCCCTGAGCAGCAATTTCTCTCCAGAGACTTTGCATTCTGCGCCGTCCAGATCGCCAGGCCAACGCTCTCGAAGAATGTTGAGCACTCTATTTGCTTCCTCCGTCTCTACATCCTGATCATCAGGAAAGTCTTCGTCAAGCCCGAGAAGTCTTCTTGATGCTGCCGAGGATGGGTCCATGCATCCCTTCATATCCTCGGCCCCTAGCAGCCTCGAGTTTCCACAGATGTTATATCTTATTTCGAAGTTCAGGATTTTGAAATTCTTCCTCTCTCTGCTTGGAAGCCTCTCTTCCCCAGATGCATCCACACCACTTCCTGGAACAAGGGCATCTCTAGAGATAAGGTCCAGGATGCTTGTGATAAATTCGAAGTACAGCTTTTCGTTGCTTTCCTGTCCCACGTCCAAAGTTATGATGTCAAAGCCATTCTTCTTGATGTCTGAAAATCTAATAGAAATGCATCCTAACTCCTCAACCGATACTGCTGGCGATTTTGATAGGCACATGTGGGCTTCCTGCATCCCACTATCCTTCGTAAACAGGGACTTTATGCAGGCCCCAAGTCTCGGCATAGAAAGAATGATGGTGATGACTCCAGACACTAAGGCAAATAGACATACCAGCGCACCCACAACCCTACTTCTTTTCCACACTTTCATCAAGGATGGAACTGCTTGGATTAAAATTAAAGGCCGTTAAACATTGGAAATTCGTTCTGTTGGGAAGACTCCTTGGTTACGTACTCATCTTTATTTTCTAGTACATCCATGGATACTAATGCCTGTTCATAACTCTATGGAAGTAAAGGCAGCATGAATCTATTTATATGCTTCTACTTAGAAAAAAGGGTCATAGTTGTCGTCCTTGGTGTCGGAATCAGCATGAGGAATCCCGCCCGGCTTGAAAGAAAGCTCCGGAATGCCTTTGTCTTGCAATGGCGGGGATGCCGGCTCGCATCCTTCTTTAAGGGGCCCTGAAAGCTCTCCAAGAAAGAAGTCCATTTCGTTGTGGGGATTATGCCCGCTGGGCTTGATCCGGGCCCCCAGGTCTTGGGAGTTCGTTCGGAAGACCCGAGAAAGAATTTCTATAAGGCCATTGAGGGCCCTTTCCTGCCTTTCTATGCGCTCCTTGCAGACAGAAAGCTCTGTATACAACTCCTGGTTCTGTACATACAGGTACTCCACTATCTCCTTCAGAGACCCGTCTCCAATCCGCATCCGAATGTCGCTGGACTTCTTCCTCTTGATCATCCGGAGCGAGTCGTCAAACCCTAGCAAATCCTCTCTTCCTTTCCTGAAATTCTTGTTGTAGTATATGTCCTCCTCCTCAATGTCTTTCGACTTAACAAATCCATAGCTGTTTAGCATCCGAACAAACGTTCCAAACTCCCTGGTCTTGGATATCAAAGGAAGCGTTTCCTTCACGAAGACATCTCGGTCATATATGTGAATCTTGAGTCCGTCCGGTGTCCAGCAGATCCCCTTGTACTTCTCGTTGTTGGTTGCCTTGTAGAGCTTCATTATGAACTTTGGTATTTTGTCAAAGTTGAAGCTTGTGCTTGATCTTTCCATGTCCCTGAACAGATTATATGGGTGTTGATTTTGGAAGGTTTCAACTAAAAGGACCCCGCGAGGCACATTCGGCACCTTACATTCATAAAACCTTCTTATGTCAGAGGACAGAGCATGAGGTATCAGGGCATCGCTCATAGGACTCTTCTATCATCCTTAGTCGCAGATGTCAAATGATCGCAGAATATTTGAAACCGTGCAACTGGAATCATAAACTCTCCCAGAACACCATTGGTACTCCGCGAAACCCTTCCTTTTAATGAGCCCTGGAGAGGCAGATTGATGCTCGGTGATCTATTCGACCCAGCACTATACAACACCTCGCTGTTAATCCAGTCAATACCAGGGCTGCTCATATCTCTTAGTGGCTTGATCCTCACGGGATCAGCACTAGCAGGCGCTGCCAACGACATCCATCTGACGGATGTCCCAATCATCCTTGAATCAAACTGCATTCTGGCATTCAAGGGAAACATAGAGCTCATATTTGCGATGTATCTCTCGTCGATGAGCCAGTCGCCCCTGTTTGTCTACAAGAAGTACTTCAGATATGTCTTTGACAACTCCAACCTGGTTTTGGCACAATCTGCAATAATAGGGTTTATGATAGGGCTAATAGGGATAGCAGCAAATATCTTATCTGAAGGGCCGGACATCAAGCTGAGCCTATCCATACTGGGAGGCTCGCTTGTGGCATGCACATTGACCTCGGTCTTGTTCATAATACTGCTCATAGTATCCATAGAGCTGTCCAAGTTTATGGACATCAATCCAGACAACATCATCCTTCCAACCATATCATCTCTTGGAGACTACCTGAATGTGAGGTCCCTGATATACTTTACCAAGTGGTTCAGGAATGCTTCGATATCATCATGCCTTGCCTGGATTTTTCTTTCAATCTCCACAGTACCTTTGTGCTTGTGCTTTGCACTGGCCGGCAAAAAAAGAGTTCCCCTCCAGTCTTCGGAGGTCCTTCTCATCACCTATGCAATTAGTACAACTAGTGGATATATCCTCGAAAGCTTCTCAGACAGGTTTCCAGTCCTTGCACCGTCCTTTCCTGTATTCAGCGGAATGTCAGTCTCGATAGCATTTATCTATTTACATAGGATATTCACATCAATCAACAACCAAACAGTTCACAACAGCAGAGAGTCTTACATAACACTGGTCCTGATTTCTGTGCTAATGTCTTTAATGTATCTTGCAATATCTGCATTCATGAAGCTCCAATACTCATACGAGTTTTGCATACTATTCACAATGCTTTTTGTGTCCCAGGTTACAATTCTACTGAGAGGTGTTTCTGTTATTGTTGAGTACCTAGACAAAAGGGAAGAAGATACAGGTGTTCTGGCTCTTCCGCTCATTACGTCTGCCTCCGACTTCCTCAGCACGATGTTTCTTCTGACTCTAGTGGCCATTCTAGATCTGTTTGATATAAAGCATAGTTTTTAATTGTTGTCTCTTCAGGATGTTTAAGCGCTGGTCTCTTGGCAGACGAGAGAACCACAATGCTGAAACTAGATGGATGTGTGTGAAGAGAAATGTGACGATTGCCAGGCTTTCGGTTTCTTGCTATTTCCTCTCAATCCTCTAGGAGCTTGCATCGATAAGATATCTCAGTCTGTCCAGAAGGTGGCTGCTGAAGAGATGAGAACAGGCCTGGAACTTCTCTATATTGCCTTCGGTTGGGTACTTTCTGAGTAGCTCCTCAACAAGCGCTTCATGGAAACTGTCAGCAGGATTCTTGCAGAGCATCTTCAGTGATATCTCATATGCAAGATGGAAGGACGGAACACATTCAACCATTCTCTTAACGAGACCGCATGGAAACCCTCTCATTACAATGACCTTCACAAGAACAGGCGTGTCGAGAATCAGCTGATGGACAACGCTTTTCAGCAGGCGTTTCTTGGGGTGAGATGAGAGGATTCTTTCAACGTAAATGGTCTTGACCAATACATCCAGGTTCTTCACCGGCCTTAGGGCTTTGCACTTTCTCCTGATGAAGTAGACGGATGCAGGAATATAGGCGCATAGTAGCCTTGGCCTGATCGGGATTGAGAGGGGATTCCTAAATATCTGCATCCTACTGGCCCAAGGCTTCCTTGCTCCAAACATCATTTCCGGATAGAAGTCCGTCAACACATGGAAGTATTTCTGTATCTGAGCAAAGTTGGACTTCAGAAATGTCCTTTTAAGCGTCCTGAAGTCTGCATTAGACTCGTGGATATATGCAAACCCCTCTTTGTATCCCATCTCCTTGGCCTTCAGGAGGTTGACAACTGCTGAGTGAGTGCCAGTCAAGTTGCCTACGCTCATCGTCTTCATCATTAATATGGATAGCGGAGAAATTTCCAGAAATCTAATTAGCTCTGCCTTCCTTGGCTCTGATATATTGGATATCACATCCCAAACGAAGGACTGGTCAACAAGCGACAGCTTTTTACTCGTTCTTTCAAGGTTTAGAAGGAACTCCATAACATTAGCGTAGTCGTTTTCGCTACACTTCCTGCCATCATATTTTTCAGGTCTATTCGGAACCTCCACCGCTATGTTCTTTCCTATAAGCCGCTTGACTATATAGCTGGCCATCTTGGTGCTTCTCATGAGGATGTTGAATGGCATTGGGCATGGTATTCCGGGAAGCATGTCATGGAACATCGCGTGGAGTACAAATGTTAGATACGGGTTTCCTATGCCCACAAGCTTGGTAAGAGGAGGGCGAAGGCGGGGCTCTCCTGCGCCTCTCATTAGGTATAGTTTTCTGATAGATTTCTTATCTACTTTATCAATCATCCTCGAGTCCCAGGGCCGCACGGTCGTTGAATAATAAAAGATCCAATCCCCGAGGGGCTTTGCATGGTTTGGATGGATGTCACCGAAGACAGCGTGGATGCAATTATAGAGAGATGCAGGGGGCTTAGAATAGGAGAGAAGGAATACAAGGACATGGTCAGAATGCTCATGGCGGAGACTCTGTCAGACATCCCTTCTCCAAAAGTTGTAAAGCTGATAGAAATGCTCATTTCGGCAGAGGCCAAGCAGATCTATTTGAATGAGGTGAAGAACTATTTACTTGTACATGACGAGGATCTCTACAAGCGCTACGCCGGGATGTTTCTGGATAATCCCGGAGTATTTGAGGCATTTGGAGTCCGCGGAAAAGAGAGAGAGCCTGTGGTAGAAGATGGGCCAAAGATGTTCAAAAGTTTAAGGCCCGAGCTGACAAGCTTAGGATCCAAAAGAAAGCCAAAGACCCTGAAGAAGGCTATCCGAAGGGAAAGTAGGATGTCTGCATACCGTAAGATGGTAAGGGAAAAGTCGGCCTCCATTGAATACAAAAAGAAAGTAGATGCAATGTACAGGAAGGCGCGAAAGGAATAATAAAGTTTACTTGGGGTCTGGCTTCTTGAGAGCTGCAGCGATACAAACAGTTAGATTAGGGCTTTTGGATGCAACCGTCTCAGGTTATGTAAGGTTGTATTTTTTCCAAGGCTTTTCCTGTGAGGTTTCCGAGTCGGTAAGGTGCTCGGTTACTGGCAATGATCTGGGCTTTCGAGTCACCTTGGCCTTCTTCTGTCTGTCGGAGATGCCGGACCTGGACTTTGGCCTTTTGCCTTTCTTCTTGATACATCCGTTCAACTCATCATCGTACTCCCTGGCCTCATTCTCAGCTATCCTCAAGTATTCTTTCTCAAACACCTCCAGATCCTCAAGCCACAGCTCTTTTGGTGTTTTACCCATCAGTTGATTGTACTCGCTCAGCCTCTTTGCATGTTCGTTGCTCAGCCTTTCGATTCTCTCGACAGTGAGGCTTAGTATCGACATGCTCAGAAGATATTCGTAGTCGTCAGCCCTTGCATATCCTCTGGACTCGAGATCAAAGATAACCTCACCTTTCCTTCTTCGGCTGATGACAAGCTCCCCCATGGAAACCTCCTTGATAAACCTTACCTTATTTTCCAACTTCTCCAGCTCCTCCCTCATCACCTTCAGCATGTTTTCCTTTCTTATCAGGTAATATCTGAGGCGTACACCATAAAACTCTTTCAGAATCTCTTGAGGCGTTGCATACTTCTTGATCCTGAGATTCTCATCGAAGCATACCATGTTGTTGACAGTAATAGTACTGTTTAGCTTTAGATTGCTAACAGGTTTCGAAAGCTTCACAGTAAAGCTTACAGTCTTCTCCGTATGGTACTCCTTGAAGTCCCTTGCAACCCCTGCCTGCACCAGAGACTCAAGGAACTCCTTGTAGTTCAAGGTCCAGGTTCCGACAGGGAGTTCAGTAATCTCTAGATCCATGTCTCCTTCGTATATCCCAGAAACCTGGAACTTCCCCTCTCCAATCTTTTCAATGGTCCCTCGAAAGTTCCTGTAGTATGGAACCATCTCCACTGGGTCCTCGCCTCTGATCATCCTCCGGATGTTCTCCACTACATCCACCGGATTGAAGTTTGGAATAGAAGTACTCCATCCAGTTCCAATTCCCTCAGCCCCATTAACCAATACCATTGGAATGATGGGCACATAGAACTCAGGCTCTATCGAAAAATTATCGTCGTTGAGATAGTTCAGAATCGCATCATCATTCTCATTGAATATCATCCTTGTGAGAGGAGATAGAGACGTGAAAATGTAACGCGGACTTGCCGCATCCTTTCCTCCCTGGAGTCTGCTTCCAAACTGTCCAATCGGAAGAAGAAGATTTATGTTGTTCGACCCAACAAAATCCTGAGCCAAGTTTACAATAGTGGAGCAAAGCGATTGCTCCCCATGATGATACGCGGACTGCTCCGAGACATAACCCACCAGCTGCGCCACCTTTATCTCAGACCTAAGATTCCTCTTGAAACAGCTGAAAATCACCTTTCTTTGCCCCGGCTTGAGCCCATCTACCAGACTTGGAATCGAACGGATGTTGTCTGCCATGGAAAACAAAATCAACTCTTTATTAACAAAGTCCGAAATCGATATCTGCGTCTGGGATTGGTCCAAAAACGTTCCGGGTGCAAAGTTCAGGAGCCATGTCTTTCTTGCGTCTGCCTTCTTCTTGTTGAATGCAAGGTCAATGAGCTCCTTATCCTCGGCTGCCAAGGGGGTGAAAGACTTGACATGGACCGGAAGGTTGCTGAAGTACTGCTTGGCATCTGCGCTTGTAGACGTCCCTAGCCCCTTATAGTACTTGATGTTCCATCCATCTTCATTTTTTTTGAACTCCTCGTACTCAGGCAACGTGAAGAAATCCCTGACCTGCCCCTTCTTTGTGGCTCTTATGATTGGTGTAATGAATTCCTGAAGAAACCCAGGTATCTTTAGCAACGAAGGATAGAAGTGGTCCAGGAAGTTGATTATTAGTCCTTTTATATGGCTTCCATCATGGTCCTGGTCCGTCATAATCATGACGTGCCCGTATCTAAGGCTTGACACATCCTCATAGACCTTATTGTGCTGCAGCCCCAGGATCTTCTTTATGCTTGAAATCTCGGCGTTCTCCATTATCTGCTTGTGGGATGCCTCTCTAACATTCAGCAGTTTTCCTCGTAGCGGAAAAACCCCATAGGCATCCCTCCCAACCACGCTCAGCCCAGCAACGGCCAGTGTCTTGGCAGAGTCCCCCTCAGTCAATATCAGCGTGCAGTCCTTCGATCTGCTTGTTCCAGCAAAGTTGGCATCCTCGAGCTTTGGAATTCCAGAAAGCCGGCTTGTCTTAGCCCCGTCCGTCTTCTTCAGCTGTTGGCTTTGCTTGGCCTTTGCGAAGGAGGTTATCTTCTGAACAATAGGCGTGTTCTTTATAATGCTCTTCACAAAGTCGCCCATAGGCTCGCATTTAGAGCCAAAGGCAGAAGCCCTCAGCGTAAGGTTTTCCTTCGTCTGCGAATCAAATGCTGGATTGTCAATGAGGCTATTGATGAAAACAAACATGCATGACCTGACTTGGAAGGGCCTTACCGAGAGCCCCTTTTCTTTTTTCTGTATCGCCTCAACCAACGGGTCTACAATCCGCTCAACCACATGGTTCACATGGGTCCCCCCCTTGGTTGTACAGATCCCGTTGACGAACGATACCTGCTGAAACTGCTCCTCGCTGGTGGTGAGGGCTAGCTCCCAGCGGTCGTTGATAACCTGGTGCACAACACTAGCCCCGGGAGGAATATATAGCTTCACATATTCCTTGAACCCTTTGACTTCAATTCTTTTTTCGTTCAGAAATATCTTCACGTCCTTGACAATCCCTGCAAGGTCATAGACCCTCTTCCTTAGCAGAGCTACTATGTCATCATCCAATCTGGTCATCTTGAATCTCCTCAGGTCGGGCTTAAATGTTATCTTTGTAAAGTCTCCCTTGGTGTACCTGCTAATCTCAGGATCCTCCTTGACTCCCATGTTGTCTCTGTATCTCTGTCTGTAGTACTTCTTGACTTCACAGTCTGCAGTCTCCACCACAAACTCCTTGCTGAATATGTTGCACAGCTTGGCTCCATATCCATTTCTCCCCCCGGTGACCTTCTTCTCGTCGTCATTGTAGTTCGACGACGTCAGCAGATTCCCAAATATAAGCTCAGGAACATACACGTTTTCCTCCTTGTGGATCCTAACAGGAATGCCCTTCCCATTATTGTACACAGATATCTCGTTGCCTTCAGGGTCAATGGAGACCTTGATAACATCCATCTTTGGATCCCGTATCTTGTTGTCTGCTGCATTGACAATTATCTCATCAAATATCTTGTACAGCCCAGGAACATATTCTATGCTCTTGTAGACCATTCTGCCGTTTTCCTCATCCCACACATACATCTCCTGTGCCTCCTTCTCCACAGACCCTATGTAGGTGTCGGGCCTAAGGAGTATGTGCTCCACAGGCGTCTTCTTCTGATATGTTTCTTCGATGGTTTTCATTTGTTGAAGGATATAAGAAGGACCGCTTTTCTACTTTTGGGACGACGAAAAATAGCTATAAATAATACAGATGCTTCAGGCCCAATACATCTCCCACAGAAAGCCTATCTTTTTATTCATCCAGAAAAGTCGGCACGAGTCCGCGGGTAGCTCACACCCCTCCTTGAAAGCAAGCACAATGGGCCCGTTTCCAAGGCCTACCTAGACTCCTAAATTCGCGTTCAACTCTCCAAACATGTTCGCAAGCATCTTGCCCCCATCTCTCTTATCCATCGCCTCAGGCTTCTCGACGTCAGCAGTAAGATACTTTAGTCTTACAAAATAATGATACATTTCCAGAGCAGAATCAATGAGGTCCACCGTTCTCCGGCTCGCAAAAAGCAAGTTCTGGACCTCGTCGCACTTGTCGGAACCTCCGGACCTCAGATACTGGAGAATCTCGGTAAAGTCCTCCAGAATCCTTTCTGCATTTGCCTCTATGCCCTTCACAAGCTCGATCCTTTCCATAATGGCTGCGGGATTTGTTGGAGTAAAAAATTTGCCCTAGGAATGTTCTTTGTGCCAAATATGATCGTTGTCGTGACGAGTGGAAAGAATGCAGGAAAGAAGGCTGTTGTGATAAAACAAATCGACGAGAGATATGTTCTAACTGCATGCGTCGTCAGGATTCCAAAAGAGCCTGAGGACCACCAGCCCAAATGGATCAAGCGTAGAAATGCCAAGTTCTACATCATACTCAAGAAGTACAACATTGCTCACCTCATTGCAACGAGATACAAGGCAGATCTAGGGCTAGCAACGATTGACTACAGCGGGATCGAGGACAATGCAGAGACCAAGAAGGTGCTTACTAACAAAACCAAGGACGCCATGATGAAGGCGTGGAAGGAGAACAAGGCAAAGTTCCTCTTCTCATCTCTTAGCTTTTGATCATTAAAGTTTTCTGACATTGTTTGAGGCTTCGGGTGTTTTGTGGACATACGGATTTCCCGTGCCAGGAAGCTCGATACATCACATCTCCTGAAATGTTTACATGGACGCCTCTCAGACGCATTCCGGAGGGATGGGATGTTTAAGCTCTGCAGGGTCGAAAATGAAATCTAAATGACAATACCACCCTATCTCTCTCACCACGGCATGGAAATTTGTCTGAAGATCAAGAAAGTTGACGTCCCGGAGAATACCTACGACACCCTAGTCCTAAATTATGACGGTGAGGACGTAGTCTTTGAAGATATGGTTGTTATGACCTTTAAGAAATTTCACAGTACGGTTATAGGCGATAGTAAGATTTTGTTAATGAAGAACTCTTTTCCTTGGGCCTTGTGCACTGGAGTTGTTTTGTTGAGGCATTCCTTTTTCAGAGATGGAGACGAGGGGCGAGAGCATTGGTCGCAGATTCTCCATGGGAAATACCGTGATAAAGCAAGCAGCTATGACTTCGAGGCACGGGAAGTTGTGGGGAAGATGCAGTACGAGTTTACAAGAAGGATGCATAGGGAGAGAGACATGCAAGAAGAAGACGAGATAAGCGGGTTTGTTCAGAAGGTGTTTGGGTTCTTTTTTAGCAGCGAAAAGGCCGGAACCATTCTGAGCATAAGGAAGCTGATGAATTACGTCAATAGTGGAAGCCATGGATGTAGACTGAACATATTGTTTGGAGGACTTCTGATTGAAAAGACGATTGCGGAGCTCAACTCGCAGTTTACTAGAGACGTTGACCTGGCTCTCGAAGTAAGCCACGACCGCCTTCCAAGAATTTTCAGTGATGCAGGCCATGCCAAAGATCCTCTGGATTCCAAGAGGGATGGGCCAAAAGAGACAGGAGCAGGCGAAGCACGGTTGTTTAAGTTGAGGCTCCCTAGATGCAGCCCCCTACACAATAAAGACGGGACGAATGATGGATCGATGCGGATATCCGAGACATTGTCAAGCAATGGATACTTGTTGTGTAACTTGCAGATGCTCCGGAAGATAAAGAAGCTGTTTTACTTCACCATGGGCTCATACGCCAACAGTTGGCCTAGCATGTTTCTTACTCCACAGGCGGTGGTTGATGAGTCGGTCCCGAAGGATAGGAAGGCGGTGCTCAGGCTGTTGGGAATAGAGGATAGAGACCTGCTCTGTATCAATCTGGAGCCTTCTGAGGTGGTCCAGTACATAATCTTTCGTGACAGAGAGAACGGAAGAGTCATGGTCTCATTTAAAGGAACTACAAACTCTGAGGAGACGATCCAGGACATAAACTGCGAGTACACGGAATTCAGTAGTGGATTTGTACACAACGGGTTCAAAAGACTGTCGACCCACTTTATAAGCAGGCACATTGGTGCTATTGAGAAAATTCTCGAGGAGCTGGGAATCAAAAAGCTTACTCTATTGGGACATTCTCTTGGAGGAGCAATTGCAGCACTGGTTAAGATAATGATAGAAGAGATGAATCTCCTGAAAGATGTGGATGTAGAGGTGATAGTCTTTTCAAGCCCTCCCGTGGTTTCTGAGGAAGTAGCATCGAGATTTAGCGACGGGATAACTGTGATAAACTACGGAAACGATATAATACCTCGAATGAGCTATGGAAGCGTACTGGATCTCAAGTTTCTTTGCTGCTCGATTGGAGAAAGGCACAGTCCGCTGGATTCCACCGAAGATGTCGGAAAGGAGATGGACTTGGTTCTGTCTTATCTTAGGAGCACACGCATGTATCCGAAGTTGTATTTTCCAGGAGAGCTCATACACATAAAAAGAATCCGATGCTCACTTAACAAGAACGAAAATCCCATTGTCGTGTTCAAGAGTGTGGACAGAAAGTTTTTTGACCACATTGTTCTTATAAAGCATGCAGCAAAGCACCACATGATGAGCCACATAGCATCTGTGATTGATGAGGGGATCTGCTTGCTTGAAAGGAAAGAGGCAAAGGATTGAGATGTGGTTTTGCATTAAAGCGTTTTCTATGGATGTCAATGCTGGTGGAGAGTAAACCTGTGGATGGGTCTTGTGGGCCGTGCACTTTACAGGATTTGTTATGGAAGGTTGTGTCTTGGGAGAACACTCAGGTTTAATTTGCGAAAAACAAACCCCCGAAAATGGAGGAAGGCGAGCTGAAAATAATAGTTGAGAGGATTCAGGATCCTGATATAGATATCCAGAACAACGCATTGAACATGCTGTTTGACGTGACAAAGTCTTCGCATTCGAAGTCGATTGACACAATAAATTTCCAATATCTTGCAGACAATCTGGATGTTCTTGAGGATGTGTGCAAGAGACTGGAGGGAAATAAAAAGAGATGGCTGTGTGACATAATAAGTGCCATATGTGTTGTTGATGATGAAAGAAAGCTTCTGGCATACAGGGTCGAGGGAAACATAATTGATCTTAAGGAATGGGGGCATCTGTATGTCAAGAAACTTATTGGGTGTATTGCAGATGTCAAGAACAATAAGATGGACTTTCCTTTTGCGAAGACAAGAGATGTTGGGCGGGAATGCATTGACTTTCTATTTAAGCATAATGCGGAGTTTGAGGCAATAGATTTTCTGGTTGAGGTTGGAGGAATTGAGACAGTTCTGGACTATGTTGACACCCATAACTACAACAGAATAGTGCTGTACTTGGAAGACATGAATTCATTTGTCGATCTTGAAGAGGTCATTCTTAAGATCTATCTTAAGATGGGTGACCACTCCAGATATGTCGTTGGTCTGATAAGACGTCAGAAATCCAAGGAGGCCATTGAGTATGTGAGGAGCATAGAAGACAGGGACTACAAGAAGCAGTGTCTGTACATACTTGCTAGATGTAACCTGTATTACGAAGCCTCAGACCCTGAGGAGAAGTATATTTTGTCGAATGGATACATTAAGGATGTCTATAGAGAGATTGGGGCTGAGCTGGAGATAGACAAACCAAGCAAGATGGATGCTATTCTCAAGGGATTTAAGTACGATAAGGACACAAGGCAGCTTGCCTCTATTGGGATTGCCAATGGGTTTGTCCACATGGGATATGGGCGAGACCCGATATTCCTACCCCAGGAGGGAGACTCCAGAGTTCCATTGGACTATGAGGCTATTCTTGGGTGTGATGTGCCTGACCTCATCTCTGTCTTCGGGTCGATTGGAGTGATTGAGTCGTGGAACTCAGAAAAGGTAATGGAAACCCTTCAGGAGCACATATTTGCCGATTTTTCCTATAGAAAAACAGGAAGTCTTTTGGGACTCGCGCTGTCTGGACTAAGAAACTTTGAGGAGAGGCCAGCAATTTTGGCACTTCTATCGAATAACCTGCAATCGAGCAGCAGCATTCATGTTATAGCAACCCTCCTGGGGATCGAGGCCATGTTCTCTGGAACACAAGCGGAGGAGGTTCGCGAGCTTCTCCAGCCGTTGATGTTTTCCGATAGCAGCGAGGTTGTGTTTTTCACCTCCTTCACGTTAGGAAGTGTCTTCTGTGGGAGTGCCGACGAGGACCTCACATCTCTTATGCTGCAAACATTTGTGGAAAAGGGGAAGGAGTCGGAGACACAATTTTTCAGGTTTTTGATGCTGGGACTAGCCAGTCTGTTTTATCGCAGGAAGGATGTTGAGTGCGGGATAATGGAGATCGGAGGCGCTCTTAGCAAGCACGAAAGTATATTAATCAAGGGGTTTCAGTATGTTGGGACAGGGGATTCGAATGTCATTGAATCTATTTTGACTGACTCGTTCACAGGAGACACAGATGCACTTCTTGAATCTCTTGGACTGCTTAGCTGTGCCCTTGTGTCGATGGGAGACGAAACATCAAGCCAGATGGTGGGAAGAATCGTCTCTTCCTCCTTGCTATTGGATTCATCCCACCTGAGGAGCGTGTTACCTCTGTGCTACAGCATACTGTACCCGTCGAATCCACAGGTGAATGTTCTGGACATGCTCGAGAAGTCTTTGAATATCGGGGAGACGAACTGCATCATATCCACAATTGTGTCTCTGGGCCTTATTGGGGCAGGAACGTTGAATTCCCGCATAACCAAGATTCTGGATCAGCAATACTCCTATTACTACAAGGATTCAAAGGTACTTCCTGTGCTTAAGATTGCGCAGGGTCTTGTGTCTCTGGGAAAGGGGCTGCTGAGCATTTCACCGCTCTACTTCGACAAGACGACTTTCATGCCAAAAAACACCATAGGCCTTTTCTCTACAGTGTTCATGCTTCTAGATTCCTCTATTAGCCCACTGGTCTCCTCTCATGCATATATGTTCTTCCTCCTCTGCCAAGCATGTACACAGAAATATGTTACATGCTCAGAAAAAATCAACATCAGAGTGGGTCACCCCATAAACACGGTCGGAATGGTCGGGGAGCCCAAGAAGCTCTCTTCTGTCCAAACACACACATCGCCCGTTGTCTTGAGCGAAAAGATAAGAGCAGAAACGGATGAAAATGTCTGCTCCTCATACATCGAAGATGTATTGATCCTTAAGAAGAATTAAAGAGAATCCAGGGTAAGGCTGTATCGGCATCGACTTTACTTCTTGATCTCTCTAGCTCTCTAGAAAGATGTTCTTCAGAAACTCGAGCTGGATTTTGTTGGTTACAAGATGTGCTCTTTTGCTCCTGAGATTTAAGAAGACGTCTATGAACGTATCCAACGTGATGTTCTCCATTCTCTTGAGAATATCATACATGATAAACGTTCCTGTCCTTCCAACACCGGCAATGCAATGGACAAGAACTACCTCTGTGCGGACTGAATCGAAATATGAGTGGAACACCTCCATCTCCTCACGGGTGATCACGGAGAAGTCCACCCAGTTGATGTACCTGAGCCTCCTTATGTTTCTTCCTCGGATGTTGTAGATTTCGTCAATAAACAAATCCTTGTTCATATACTTTATGACCTTTCTGTCCTGAAGCCATTCTTCTTCAAAGTATCTTGGATCATCAATCAGCGAAACAACCAGCTTTGTGTTCGATTTCATTAAAAGATCGGTAAAAACATCCCTCTTTTCATCTTTCGGATTCTGTGCTGCTATGAACAACGTCCTGGGCGTTGGAATAAGAGACGCATTTACATATTCCTCGATTCCATACTTTTCAGAAACTTCATTGTTATACGGAGTGCAAGAGGATCTGTCGTAGCCAGAGGATGGCAGCTTAAATGTCGCAGATAGCGAATCGACCAAGTAGATTGCCTCGTCCAGTTTGTTCTCCATAATTTTCGATTTGATGTTGTCGTGGTATCCACCCAGAATATCCCTCAGCTCTTTATTTTCTGTCATTGGGGTGAGCAGAATATTTTTATGAGAAGCCTCTTCATGCTGATGTATGAAAAGAGATTTAAAACAATCGAGTACGATATACTCACCTATGCAACCTCCCGCAACGACATTCTGTCGTGTGAAGGCTGTATAGAGCTTGTATCTCCCATCCACCTAAGCTTTCCTAAGGAGTTTGTTCTGAAGGAAAACAGGATCTTCTGCAAGCTAAGGATCGAAGGATGCTCTGGGCGTCTTAAAGTTGTCGAGATCAAGAGAATCCTAAGGTCTTGCAGTGGATATGCAGTGTTAAAGAAGTTGATTCCAAGTGTCTTCGACATCAACTTTATAAGAAAAGTTAACTTCCAGAGATATCTGTACTCTTACAGGAATCTTATAATGAGGTCGTCCATAAGGGTCTTGGGGAGAAAAGTCGTTGATAAAATAAATTTGTGGAACAGGATCAAATGGCACTACGGACAGAATGAAGGTCCTGAGGACGACATCGAGGGCATCTCCAGTGACATTTTAATGTCTGACTATTGGGAGAAGTGAGGCACGTCTATTCTAGTTATGGGGTAATTCGCAGTAGATGCAAAAGCTAAGGGTATTGTGAATGAGTCTGTTGCAATAGCTGCAGAATGTGCTTTTACAGAGCTCGCATTGGTATGCTCCCTTTCCTTGGCACACTCTGCATGTACCCTCTGCCTTCTCAACAAATGGTCTTAGCGGATAAAGAAACCGCAGAGACTTTGAAAGATTCAGTGTGGATACAAGCTGGGTGCTACATATTGGGCACGAAATGGGAAGAGAGCAGACCATCGTTTTGCAGACCGGGCATTCATACCCAGCACCTTTTACTTCTAGATGGCAGGCACACACAGATGGCTCCATCATTGGCGAGGGGAACCCTATCTTAACCAGGCTGAGTTTTGTCCCATTGAAGTCTGTGGGGTGGGACAATTCCCTCATGATTGCAGAAAGATGGCCTGCATCGACCGGAACATAGAACCTCCCCTCGGTGGCCTTTGATATTGATTTATACAGAGTGATCTCGCCGCACAGGCTTATGAAGTGGACCTTTATGTTGTATGCCCTCAGTTTGGCCAGTACCTCAGCATATCCATGGGGATCTCTGGTGGATGTACTTGCAACAATCACAAGGATCTCCTTAACGTGCATGGTATTCTTCATGACCTCTATGGATCCCTCAAGCCCGTTAAGTAATGAAAACCACTTCGATCCCGTCTGCCCAAGAAATGCATGAATGTCTATGTCCATACTGCTTGTATACTTCACACACACGTCTCTAATGCTGAGAAAGGAGAGGGTGGACAGGGGATTTTCACTGTAGAACGAGGGGATAAACCCCTCGAGGACTTTTGTCACGTTTGCCCTGAACGTAGGGAGGAAGTCTGACTTGTCTATTGCCTCTGAAACGTCTATTATTATGTGAAGATGCCTCACTATCCCCTTTCGATTGTTGCTGTAAGGCGCCTCTGTTTCCAGGTTAAATTCGTTTACCTTCCTATCGTTCCTGTCCTCCCACGTCCTCTTGTACTCCTGTTCCCAAGAAAACTGCTTGGCCATGAAGGCCCTTGACCTCCGGACATTCTTACAGGCGGATGATTTTTATTGGAGTTGGGCTTCTACCTCCCGGACCGATGAATAAACTTAAAAAATGGATTATTTGGGGACCGATGAAAATGGAGAACTTCGTGAGGAGGATGGAGGAGGAAATCAGGAGCGAGGACGACGTCAAGAAGGAAGACCCGGGGTGCCATGAGCCGATCAGCAATACCCAGCTCCAGAAGAAGAGAAAGATAACCATTTCTCCATATAGCTTGCAGAAGAAGAAGTGTGTTACAGAAAACAACACGGTAGAAAAAAAGGAGGCTGCCTCTATGTCCTGCGGAAAGTGTGGAAAAAGATTAAAGCTGACAAACAACTACAGCTGCAGATGTGGGAACGTGTACTGCATCAGGCATAGATTCTACGATCAGCACAGCTGTACATTCGACTACAAGGCAATAGCAATACCGAAGCTCTCCGCACAGAACCCAAAGATCATTGGAAAGAAGATAGGCGAACTCTAGCCTGGAGACAGGACCATTTTATATAAGCTACAGCATGCACAGTGTTTTTATGTCCAAGTCCTGCCTGATTTATAACTTCAATAAAGCTGCTGATTCCACTTTATCAGAATAAATAAATATATTGTGATGACTAAATTAGAGATCACTGCCTAGCTATCAACCCTTTCCTTCTATTGTTGATTTAGTTTTATTGGGCGTGCCCGTGATAGAACCCACAAACAATAGAAATGGGGTGGAAAGGATTTTGGAGCGAAGCCTTGAGAATAACAGTTTTTGTCATCTATCCCGGACTCGAGCTCTATGCGTACTTTGTTTTTGTAGGGCTTCTATGCTTGGAAGACACGGAATTCGATTCCTGGACGATCTTTGTTCTGTTTGTTGCATATCACATGATAGTAACATACAAGGCAACATTCTATATGAAGCTATTCATAAATGAAGGAGTGAGCACCCTCGAGCTATTTCCGGACGTTCCGCAGGAGGGATACAACCTGAAGCTAAGAGGAATGAATAAGTTTGTAGAAGAAGAGGTGATGAGACAGAGCATAGCAAAGGTTAAGTTATGCAGCAAGTGCAAAACATACAAGCCGCCCAGAGCCCATCACTGCGGAACATGCAAAAGATGCTACCTTAAGTATGATCATCACTGTGCATTACTAAATACTTGTATTGGATTCCACAACTACAAGTTCTTCTATCAGTTCATGGTCCTGAACCTAGTGTCAACTGTTTTTTTTCTTGTGACAATTTCTATTTATATGATGGTATATATCCCAAAGTCTACCTCCCACTGGGTGAATTACATAGTGGCAGCATCATTGATGGGAATTGAATTTATCTTCAATCTGTCGCTCCTGATATTCCACACGTGGCTTATAGGAATGAACGAAACAACAATAGAGCACTATGCTCTCAACGATTACATCAGTGGAGACCATTCTTTCTCCCACATCTTTCAGGAAGGCCCGATAACAACACTAGCAGACTCCACAGACAGAAGAGTTTTGAATCCCTACAACCTTGGGGCAAAGCAGAACTGGAGACAGGTATTTGGAAGTGACCCTTTGGACTGGCTTACTGCAAGTCATTCCACATTGGGAAATGGAATGACGTTTCCAAAGAATTACGATGAATACGAGGAGCTGCTGTAAAGGTTACAATAAACCCTTAGGCCTTGACTATCGATCCAACTATTTTGAGTCTACTCTTTATTTTAGTTCTTAGGCTGCCTTAAAGTACCGTCCCACAACTCTTGCATATGCCTTAGTCGTGTGGAAGATGTCTACAAACACAATGAATCTATCCTTGCGCTTGAAAAAGCAACTGCTAGGATGTATCCACACCACACTGCCTCCCCTGAGGTGTTTATAGCTTCCATCCTTCATTCTTTCGCAGAGATTGTGCTGATATGCGAGGCTGAAAACCCTCTCTATCATTTCAATGTCTCCATCCTTCTTTCTATTAAGTGCTGAGAATATCCGCTTTGCGATCTCCATGTGCTTTATGCCAACCTCATGTTTTGCACAGTACTGCTTCTTATCTTCGGACTCCAGGTATCCCTCAAAAAGACATACAAGAAACTCAATGTCTGTTTTCTGGCTCTTATTTTTGTACTTCAAAAAGTTACAGCTGTCCTGGCTCACTAGAGACACCAAGATGGATGCTAGGTACCCGACGTCCCTGCCCAACGATTGCTGGTAAAAGTGAGACAGATGGACATCAAATGGATGTCTGAGCACAGTTCTCCCATATCTTGTTATCTTGAGTCTGATGTCGTCCAGACTCAGTTCCGTCGGGTCCGGAACGGCGCCATCATGCCGAACCAAGGAGGAGTTCAAACAACATCTCAGATCTTCTCTTATGCTAGAGATACTAATGCATCCCTTCTCTAGAAGAAAGCTCAGGGCGCTAATGGCATTCGCGCGGGTAGGATAGTCCAGGAATTCAAATCTAAGTGGATTCTTTCTGTAGCTCAGAAGCAGCAGAAAAGCCTGGGACAAATCAGATCTGCAGATTTCCGGGCTCTGCTGCAGTGGCAGCGTGCCGTACATATTTTCAGTATACAGCCGGTAGCATGTTCCCGGCCCAGTTCTGTTGCACCTTCCTAATCGTTGGTCTGCCGATTCCTTGGATATAGACCAAATCCCCAGATGGCTCATTTGGTCATATATCTTCACCTTTTGAAGCCCAGAGTCCAGAACATATCCAATGCCGGGTATCGTCAGGGACGTTTCACATATGTTGGTCGAAAGAATAACTTTTCTTAGGCTGCAGGGCTCGTAGATCTTGCTTTGCTCCTTATCGCTTAGCGCAGAAAATATTTTGTAAACCCTTATGGCAGGGAGCTTTCTCAACAGTCCATATAGGTCATTGATATCCTCTTCTCCGGGCAGAAAGACCAGGATGCCCTTGTTTTCTGGCTCAAACCCGTCCCATGAATCCTCTTTTGAGAGTGCTATCCTCTTGATGATGCAGTAGGACTCCACGATATAGTCGCTGGTACACTCAGGTAGATACTCTATCTTTACAGGATGGCCCGCTCCAGGAATATCGAGCACATCTGCTTTGAAGTATCTGGACACTTTTGCAGTATCGACGGTTGCACTCATCAATATCACCTTTCCTTTTATATTCTTAATGTTGCTTCTAAGTAGTCCCAGGATGATGTCCGTCCTAACAGATCTTTCATGCACTTCGTCGACAATGATGTAGTCAAACTCGCTTTCTCCGATCTCGTTCAGAAAGCTCCCATCCGTATATATAATCGTTCTGGTGTCCTTGCCGACGCTCTTGTTGAATCTCATCTTGTATCCGACGCCTTCCATTGCACTAGAAAGAGTCTTGTGCAGTGATGTAACTGCTATTCTGCGCGGCTCTACGACAGCAATCCTGGAGGAGGGGAAGCATGATGACAGCAAGTATGGGATATATGTTGATTTCCCACATCCCGTAGGCCCTTTGATTATGCATACCTTAGATCTTTCCACGGTGGAGAGTATTTTGTCTTTGCATTCTTCTATCGGTAAGTTATAGAAGTATGGTGACATCCCTTAGGGCTGCTGAACAGCCGAATTGATATGCAAAGTTCTTTGAAAATGGATCCTATGAAACCACAATGTTTGCCTCAAAGGAAGAGCCATGGATCTGCATGCCGGGCCCTGGGGCTCCTGCGGGGCATGTTTCATGAGAACCCGCATATTCTTTCGTAGAGATGTATTTTGTACTTTGTCATAACCTGCTTCATATTGGTCCTTTTGAGAATGTCGTCAATTCTTTGTGCAATGTCTTGCTGATCAGCAGAAAAGCTGGTGTACTGCGATAGAATGTCTCTAATAACCTCGCCGCAATTGGCTCCTGAACCATCTGAGGCCCAATCGAAGTCAACAATCTTGAGTCTGCAGTCTTCGGAGACAGACAGGCTTTCTAGTGAGAATGAAGTGAACCTATATCCTTCCTTTTCCATTGCATTGAATATTCCAGTGAGCTGTCCTACAAAGTATAGAACTATCTCGGATCCCATGCTACTAGACACATCTAAGCAATCTTTTAGAGAGCCAAGCTGATAAAGCCTGTAGAACAGAAACGTTCTTGAACCCAGTATCTTCACCGTAAATCGAGGAACATGGTCGGGATTTAGCCTCAAGATTAAGTCCACGGCAGATTCTGGTACCTCGTGAAGTAAAGCATCTCCTTCGTCCTCTTGAGTTTCAGAGCTCCCGTCAGGTATGGATATCATCCTATACCTTTTTCCGTCAATCACCTCTTTGATGTAGTAAGTGGATCCGTCAATCACTATCTCCTGCTCTGTATCTAGAACACCTTCCATACCCTCGGCCGGATCTCCATCTATTTTGTCTCCCACTTGCTGCTGCTCAATGATCTCGTGACTATAAGAGAACCTTTGGCTCCCATTCTTTGGAAGATGGGTATGCGTTCTGCTTCTATATTCTTCAAAGGACACCTCCTCCTTATCAAGAACAAAGAGCTCTCGGTTGTAGAACAGAATCTCCCGGTATGAGTTCCACACCCTCCCCAGCGCAACAAATCCCTTTGGATTCATCAGTGCATTGGCTTCGTGCTCTGTGCATGGGACGGCAGAGGAGAGAATGCCTTTAAGCTCGTCCTCCAGAATCTTCCGATCGTATGCACCGCATGCCATTCCCATACCAAGAGCTGCCTTGGACATCCCGCAATGGCCGCTTTTCATAAAGAACCTTGAAAACTCCACATAAATCCAATGGTAGTACCGGGATATCTTCTTATGCCTCATCAGAAAAAGCACACCCGGGTCCTTGGTCTTATAATAATATCTCTGCCAGAGGGATATGTACGACGGATTGTTCCTGAAGTATGGAATGTCTATGTATCTCAGTAAGACGCCTTCCATCTCGTCTTCACACACATCATCAAAGGTTATCATAAACTTTGTCCAAGGGCTTTATGACGCGTACTTATGCATTTGCTTCACCCAATCGTTGGTAAGGAAAAGGATTGGCCTGTGTCCTTGGATCTACCATCAGTTCAGCAATCACTATATCCTTCAAAAAATAAGAATAACGCATTCCCATGGCCATTTCGTGTTCGGATCAACTAGGGGGAGTTTCAATACTCTGCGATTACTGCTTCCTTATGATGACAGATCTTACATTTATAAAATGCAACGAATGTGCAGTAGACTTATGCCTGCGGTGCTTTGTGAACCAGATAGAAACGTCGGTACATAGCAAGTATCACGGGTATAGAGTGGTTTCAAAGATGAATGCAAAAATCGGTGAAGAAGGGTGGACCTTACTGGAGGAGATTCTGTTTGTGGAGTGCCTTGACACATGCGGAATAGGAAACTGGGAAGGGATTTCCAGGTATATTGGAGCAGGAAGGGATATCAAGTCCCACTTCTATAAGATGCTTGATCTTCAAGAGAGTACGAGCGAATTGCCTCGGATAAACCCAAAAGTCAGCAATCCTTACAGAGGCGCTATCAGTTCTTATATGCCATACAGGAGAGACTTCGACGTTGAATACATGGACGAGCACGAAGTCCTCATAAGAGACCTCAGCGTCGACGGAAGCAAAGAAGAACTAAAGAAAAAGATAACCAATGCAACTCTTGACTCGTACATGAGACTTGTCAGGTTCAGAAACAGGAGAAAGCACGCCATATTGGGTAAGAACCTGATGGATATGCAGAATCTAAAGAAGAAAGATGAGGAGTGTGGGTTTGTAAATAGCATCAAGTGGATTGCGCCGTATCTGACAAAGTCAGATTTCAATGTCTTTTTCCGTGGAGTATATATTGAAAAGAGACTCCACGAGCTATTGAATAGACGCAACAGGGAAAATAGGGATGCGATGGATGTTAAGAATATTCTGCCTTCGAAGTACTTTGTCAGTGACAAGGAAAGAAGGCTGTGCGAGACCTACAACCTGTCCCCAGGCATGTATCTCGAACTAAAGAAGGAAGTGATTTCCTGCTTTATTAGGAGGGGGGAGTTTACAAAAGAGGACTTTAATAGACTTTTCGGGTTTCTTGGAGAGGCTGATGGGCTATATGGCCTTTTTCTAGAGCGCGGATGGATCCATGAAGAAAAGGAGACCAAATGATATTCATAGCGTTGTCTACTGAAAGTCCGGTGTCTTGTTCTTAGTTTCTCTGAACAGAAAAGCCATCAATCCAACGAACAGACCCATGCAAGCCGTGTAAAACGAGAACATAATGTTCCCGTATCTGACATGCAAGGGATAGAGAATCACCAGGATGCCGTATGCAGATAGCCAGTTCATGGAAACAGCCAACAGCCCTGCAGAATTTGCATATTTTGGAGGGAAAACTTCTGTTGTTATAAACCATGGGATTGAGCTGAGACCGATATTGTATCCAAACACAAACAGCATGGTTGCTACAGGAGGATATAGGTCAAACGTAAGCATTGCCGTTGCTGTACCGGTGATAAGGGAGCTGGCAATGATTAATGGCTTCCTTCCAATGAGATCAATATACTTCGTAAACACTACGGTTACGAGAACAGAAAATAGAGAGATCCAGATGGCCATTACTTCTGAGGAATGAATGTCTGAAGGAAAGAGATCCTTGAGGAATAAGGTTATATAATCCACGCCGCAAAGATGCTGAGACATATGGACTAATATTGCAAGGAAGATGGACTTTCTTGCCCTATTGTTCGTGATTAGGTCAGGAAGAGATGCACCGGAAGATCCTTCTTCATGGCCTGGGCTGTCTATTCCTAGCAGGCCCAAAAAGTTCAATGCCACTAGAATCAGAGCTGTAAACAACGGAATTCTCCAGGTGTTATCTGAGCTGAGGCAGGAAAGAGCATTTCCAAAAGTTACCCCGATGTTGATTCCGAGTGGATGAAAGGACAGCAGAAAGCCTCTGTATTCAGTCGGAGATATAAGCGAGATATATATGGGCACTATTGCACATGTTACGCCAGCGGCGAGCCCTACGATCAACCGGCCAGAAAGCATGAAACTGAAACTGAAGCTTTGGGAAAGCAGGAAGGTTATGTATCCCATAGCATAGAGAATGTTGCTAAACAGCAGGGCTTTCTTCAAGTTTGGCCTCAGAACATTTACCAGGATGTTTGAGACCAAGCACCCGAGGAATATATTGCCTGATGCTATTCCCCATCTACTGTTTGCAGTTGTTTCATCCATGGTCCTTTTCCACATCTCCAGAACAAGCGAGTGCATGCATCCCATCACTGTAAGAGACATTCCGAACACCACTGATGACATGGAGGACATCAATGCCGGGTAGAAGACTGATTTCTGTATCGCCGTGGCTTTTTTTGTATTCATTTCCGGGACTGGGCTGATGTTTGTTTTGACAGATTGCCTTTCGGTCTAAATGTTGTGAATGCCGGTGAAGTCCATTTATATCTGGATTGATTAAATTATCATGCATCTGTCTTTAGAAAGACATCTTGAAAATACAAAGCGATGCCATCTCTCAATGCTATGCAGAAAAAGTGCAAGCATAAGACAGAAAGTGCAAGAAAGCTTTTTCTTCTCAATGAGGACGAGCTATGCATGTATATCGGCTTGAATGCCCCTGAAGACATATTGAAATGGCTGGAGAAAGATTGCGAGGAGTTGAAGATCACAAAGCGGGTTTTTTCATGTGTGCTTGAGATTGCTCTGAGGTATATTATAAGAACACTTCCAAGATCTGTCAACCCCACCGGGGAGATGTACTCCACAATGGAAGATGTGGACTCAAAGCATCCCGGGGATCTGATTGCCAACAAGTTCCTTAGATTGCTAGTTTGCATGGTGAAGAGTCTGGATAGAGACGTTGTGGCTGAGTTGTTTCCACGGAAGGTTATTCTGAAACTGGTGGGAATGATCAGGTCGGACAACGTGGAAGAAAGGCAGCATGTCTTCTCGCTTCTAATCAATATTTCTAGACATCCTGAATGCCTCAGCACAACTTTCCTAGGACTATCAAATGAACTTATAAACTTTATCGAAAGCAGCAGACCTCATGTTGGAATAGAAGAGGTTTTGGGAATTGTGTCCGCGTTTCTTAGTAGAAGAGCCATCCCAGAGGAAGATGTGGTGATTTTCCACCACCAGGTAGTTCTAAGGATGGCTAGGATAAGATTCTGTGGAGAAAGTAAGGAAGTACCTGTTGTCATGAAGATTATTTCCAGGAACTATCCTAAGACAATTCCTTTGACCATAAGACATTTCAAAAAGGTATTTATGGGAACATGGTCGAGCACGAGGGTCACGATTGTGCATGTTATTGGTGAGATCCTCAGAACCATAAATGATGAGATGTATCAGGGCCTGGAGAGTGAGATCTGTGAGGTGATAAGCATGTCTTTTGATTCTGACCACCATCTGGTGGTTGAGGAGGTTGCAGAAATGCTAGCGTTGAATCGCTGGGTTGTGTCTCGGCACGCAGAGACATTTGTTCCAAAGGTTTTTGAGTCGATTTACAGAGCATCAAAAAGGTTTTGGAGGGTCGAGGGAGTGAACAAGATACTTAGAAACCTCTCCACGATTCTTGATGTGGACTGCAGATTGTTTGAGAAATGCCTAAAGTTGTACAACATGAAGAGATGGAGAGATAAATGGACAAGAGATAGATGAGGCAGAACTCAACAAAAGTGTTCCGACAGGGGCTCGAACCCTGGACCTTCGCGTTATTAGCACGACGCTCTGACCGACTGAGCTACCAGAACTATATTTTCAGTTATTTGTGACAATATTGCGGCCGAGAGCACATTTCGCAGGAAAATCAAGTCCCTTATGGATAGAGAAATTCCAGAGCCAGATGATATAAGGCTGACTTCCAGAGAATTCCTGAACGAGCTTAGAGGCGAGTACAAGAAAGAAATTGTGAGAGAGCATAATAGGATCGTTTTCAGTAGAGATCCTCTGAAATACAGAAAGATGGGACTGAACGAGTATCTAGAAAAGGATGTAGAGTCTCAGGAGGAGATTGTTGTTCCCAAAACGGATAGAGGCAAACTGGCCAATTTGGCTCAGGAGGCAAATGTCTCTATAAAAATAGACGGACTTAACAGAGATCCAAACATAATGATTCTCTTGGTTAGAGGAACATTGACAGCCATGAGGTCTTTCAGGGAAAAGATGGAGCACATGCATAATAAGCTTCCAGAAGGCATACATGTTGACGGAGAGGTTAAGGTTTTAGACATTCCTTCTGGGACAGAAGACGTAGTTATAGGAAGAAATGGAACGAACATATACAGGCTGCAGAGAGACTTTAAGGTTATTGCAAGGGTAACAGATAATGGGAGGGGATCAAAATCCCTTGTAATTTCAGGAGACGACAGAGACCGAGTACAGGAGGCATGCAACCATGTCATAGACATGATTTATAAAGACATAAATTAAATGTTTTAATTTAAGTAGGCATTAAAAGCTTGATTAATGCAAGATCTTAGAAAATTAGACAACGCAATATATAGCTTTGGCCATCCGTCAGCAAAATCTCCACTTGTTTCCGCATTCACAGGTAACAAAGGTAGTCATGGGCTCGTCTCCAGACCTGGTCTGTAACTGCCTATAAGAGCATTTTCTTTCTCCACACTTACTGCATTTGAATATATCGGTTTCTGCCTTCTGAGTTGGGATTTGGCACTCATAGAGACTGACTTCTATCATCTTGACCTCCTCGTTTTTCAAGCTTTCACTCTTCATTTCCTCCGATGACATATCGACATATCTTGAGGGCGAGATGTCTCCATTATAGACTCTTCTGCAGAGAGCAGGATTGTTCTTGTCTTTCAAGTTCAAGCACTTACTTCGTATAAGCTTTGCGATATCCGATGGGTTTCGTCCAAATATTTCGATAGTTATCTGCCTCGCAAGCAATGCAGCAGACGCATTGTTACAATCGGAAATATTTGTTTTAATAGCATCGAAAAACATTTTAATAGACCTGTCCTTTTGTGAGTCGCCTGTCGCAACCTCCTCAAGAGCCGAAGAAGAGTCAGCATCGCTTTTTAGTGGAGAGGGTGCCTTCCCGGTCATTCCCGCCTCGTCTTTGGTTCCTCCCTCCACTTGATGCTTTACAACTTCTGAGTACTTGTTCTCTATAAGAGCCTGGATCCTTGCAGAGTCAGACAACTTGGCAAGCTTTTTGAGGTCTAGGGCACTTATACCCTTAGCAGTGGACAGCACACGATCAAGGCCTTTGAAATCTCTTTTTTTTACAAGCTTCGCGACTTCTTCCAGATCTACCGTTTGGTCCATAAGGGTTGGCTTGAGTTAAGTTTTATATTCCTGATGGCAGTATAGGGCACAGTCGGTAGACAACACAGGGTTTAATATGCATCATTACATACAGCTCTTGAGGGCAATTCTGCTTTTGAACTTGCTTCTTGCCCTCGACACCAGGAAGATCATCAGAAGAGAAGCAGCAGAGGAAAGCATTTCCAACCAGTAGAGAGAGGCTGTCACAAGAAGAGGTGCCCGGTAGCTCCTAAGCTTAATGTTTTCTCTAACAGAAACCGAGAGCCTCATAAAGAAATTGACAAGGAAAAACCTCTCGAGACTTTCCAAGTCTGTAGACCCAGAAAATACTTTCAGCGCAGCCCTTAGGCCTTTCAGTTGGATTGTCCCCCACAGCTGACACTTCTCACAGTTTACATACTTCAGAAGTCTAATCATTTCATCGACTCTCTGTATGGACTTCTCCAAGTCCACGGGCTGGATAACCCAGTTTGTGCTTCCCTGGGCTCTTATGGCATGAATTATGCTTGACAAACCGCCGCTCAATTCTGATTGATCCACATCAATGTTCCCGACACAGCTTCTTACGAGGAAGTAGGTCAAATAGAAGTTCAATCGATGGTTGTCTCGAAACCTCTTGCGGAAAAGAACAGGATTTGGAAGATAGGTGCCGAAGAAGTTTCTGTGGAAGGAGGATAGATGGGTCAATATAGAGAACTGAAGCCCGCTTACCAAAGTCGGAAGCAACGTATCCTCTCTAGAGATCTCCCATATCTTCCTCCAAATCTCTGCAGACCCAGTGTTAGTCTTGTAGCCTGTGTATGCCTCTCTGGTTTCCAGTAGGTTTATATACTCGTCATTAAAGATGGACTTTTTCTTTGTGAAACAAGAAAGAAGCGTACACTTGGATTCCGAAGGAAAATCCCCAAGGTCCTTTGTTTTCACAAGAGAGTATGAGTCCTTTGAGACAAGCCCTTCAAGACTCCTGTATGTTGTGTTGTTGATTTTTGAGACGGACATGTCGATTCGGTCTGGTTCAAGTGTCACTGCAGCGGCCAAGAGTGATGCCCATACCCAGAACATTGTTTTCTACTGGGATAGACTATAACATTTTTATAGGCAATTGTTTGATTTATTATGTAATCAAATGCGTAATTAGACACAAGAAATTATTGATGGGTAAACAACAGACACCCAAGGCGCCAAATGGCTGTGGTTCTTGGAGCTAGCAAGCCTGGCTAGCTCAACAGGATAGAGCGACAGACTCTTAATCTGTAGGCTGCGGGTTCGAGTCCCGCGCTGGGTAAAGGTTTTTTGTTGGCTAGCTATGCTGATGAGCTGTGAAAAGCTTCCGTAAAGCACACCTTCACTTGATCTTCAGGGGGAAGTGTTCCAGACCATATCAAGCTCGACGCGACTAAAGGTAAAGGCGTCCAAGTGTTTATTCATCTAATACGCTTTCTTCATCAGCCATACGACACCTTATTCTCTGCTTGTTATAATATCTCCCGTACATGTTCATAAATATGCTTTCCCCATCAGCCTTGGAGTTGCAAATAACATATATGCCATCGTCTTTTCTTACCACTTCAGTTACATGGCCAAACATGCAGCACTCATCCCTTACTTCATCCACGTCGAGGTAAGACCCAAAGACAACGGTGTTTCCAGTCTTAAAGGTGTCATAGCCATGATCCCACGCAATTAGATCGACCTTCATTCTTTTATGCGCCAAAGGAAAGTTGTTCATGGCCAAGGACCTCTCAGGAAACGCCTCAAACTCCAAAACAAGTCCATCGCCATGCACCATGAACCCGACGACTTTGCCAAATACAGTAAACATATCCACTATGTCCTTCAGCCTTACTCTTGGGTGTAAATTCGATATTACAACTCCTTTGTTTCCATTGTTCATATGGGGTGAGGAGAGCCATTTTCGGGAGCAAAGTATTCTACAGTCGATAGAGCCTTCTATACAGAATGAAAGGCCATTGCAACTTCGTGGACTATACATGAGACCCAGGCTCCTGCAAAGAACGCAGCCAAGTTAAAGCAGACAAACCCGACGCCAAACACTTGGAGGTTTCTGGTGAGAATAATACTGAGAGCCTCATATCCAAATCCTATGTAAAAGAAGAACACAACCATGAAAGTAGATGCAAACAGCACCAAGGCCTTGTTCTTAAAATACTTTGGAACATCTAGGCCGGTTACAAAAAGACATGTCGATGTATCTTTCAGAACCTCCATTATAAGGGCAGGTTTTCCATTTCGAAGATCCAAATGAGACAGTTCAAATATTCCATGCCTGAATAATCCATGGACAGAGATGAAGATTTGTTTGCTAGGATAAACGAGGAGGAGATGGAGGCGGATGTCGACCAGGCAGTAAAGAACTATGAAATACCAGAGATAAGGGTAATAGAGGAGTTCATTCTATCCCATGATAAGCTGTTTCAAGATATCGAGAAGCTCAACAACTAAAATAAAGTCCAGGAGTACACATATAAAATGGATATATCCGTGCCAATATCAAGGCCACTGCGATGTTTTATTCTTCTTTGGTGCTTTTCTGGGAGGTCCTAGTTCCTTTATTATTTTGAAGTCTACATTGGTTAAGCTACTGACATAAGTACTGAATCTGGATCTGTCTTCCGCAGTCTTGAACTTGAATAGATGATCCACACTTTCTTTTAGAGATAGGTCTCTTGGCTTCAATGTGGACCTGACAAACGATGGATAGTGGACCGGAACAACAAAACACACATGGTGGGCTGTCCTCCTGTACACCGCTGTGTTGTCGGAAAACAGAAGCACACAGAACTGCTTTCCAAGCGCACATCTCACCGGGTTGGAGGCTGTTGTTATGAACTCGAAATCAAAGCTGTCGCCTATAAAAAGCATAAAATTTTTACCCTTAGGAATGGCTGAGATAAATCTGTTCGAGAAATACAGCTACGAAGAGGTTAAGGTCAACAACGTGTCGCTGAGGCCATACATAAATCTATCTCGCCGAGGAATAGTTCCCCATGCAGCTACAACCATCACCAAGGGAACAACGGGGAAGGCCAGGATTCCCATTGCAGAAAGATTTGTGTGCTCTCTTATGAGGCATGGAAGAAACAGTGGGAAAAAAAGACTAGCAATCAATATATTTGAAGACGCCTGCTTTATAATCCATTCGATGACAAAGAAAAACCCTCTCCAGGTTCTGGTCGACGCCATTGTCAACTCCGGGCCTCGGGAGGATACTGCAAGAATTGGAAGAGCAGGATCAATGAGAAGGACATCTGTGGATGTTTCGCCTCTAAAGCGGATAAGCATAGCGATATCCAATCTTTCTGCCGGAATTAGAAATGCATCGTTCAGGAACAGAATAACACTGGCAGAGGCCATTGCCAATGAGCTGATAGCGGCCTCTACAAACTCACAAAACTCCTATGCAGTTAATAAGAAGAAAGAAATCGAGAGAATAGCCCAATCCAATCGTTAAACCATTTTATTTACTTTGCACTCTGGAAGATCTGGGCATTGTTGTTTACCCCATATAAATGCCAAGGTTTCAGATTGGTTTTATCAACACTCTCTTTGTTTTATCCAAAACAACCCTGAATGATGATGCCAAGCAAGATCCTCTCGCAAAACCTTGAAGATCTGCAGCCAGTGGTCACTGCAGGATGCGTCATCCAGTCGAGTTATGCATTAGTGGAAAATGGAATTGATGCAGCATTGTCGGATCTTATTCTTCCTGGATTCATGAATTTCTTTGGGCCAGGGCTGTGTGCTAACATGGTTTATAAGCAAGCAGAACTGTCGAAAGAGTCTCTTATATCGTACTTTGTTGGGATGGTTATCTTCTCGATGTTTTCCCAGATGAGGATCCTTTGGATATCAACGGCAGTATTTCCGGTGATAGGTAGAGGCTTCATGCTTATTGCCCTGAAAAACAACAAAAAGCCCTTCCATTTAGTTGTTGGGTGGCTAATGGCTTTGGAAATGTCTGGGGTACTCATGCAAAAGTTGCTTTTCAACAAGAAGATGAAAATCACCGGAGACAAGGTGGGAGAGATCTTCATCTCAATCCTAGGCTTGGGCCTTGGAAGACTGTATCACCTTCCAGACTATACAATGCTGCTGGTGGTTTTTCTGGTTGCACTTGGGCCTTTTGTCCAGTACTTGCTTTCACTGTCGTTCTTTTCACCGAAAAAGCAGAGAAAGGAAGGAAACAGATATCCAAAAATCAAACTTCCAAAAAGAAGGGCTGCCCAAAAGGCTCAGGATACACTCAAAAAAACAAGGTGAAATAAAGGTCTTTAATATCCTAGTCATAGATTGCGAATCCTATATCGCCGGCATATTCCCTGAAGCATCGCCTACACATCATCAACTTCCTTATTATGCCACGGAACGTGTAGCAGGACACACAGCTCCTCGACCCCTTCCCAAAAGGCTTTCTGTGCGAATGAGGCCCGCTTGGCTCATTCTTCTTCACTGGTACGTCGAAAAGAACTTCAAAGCTCATCGGGGGTAAATTTTTTAAGCACTTTGTCTCTAGGACATCGGAGACAGTTAGGGCGTAGCTAAGTCAGCACATTGGCACGTGTTGATTTGTTTCCAAAGGCTTTGTTAAATTGACAATTATCAGTAAACAAAATGAGTCTATTCCCGAGAAAAGATACGGATGGCATAAGGCTCGAGAATATACTGAAATACCTGGGGATACTTCTTGTAATACTGCTTGTGACCTATTCCTACCAGGAGATGAAGAAGTGGGTAAAAAGAAATGTGAAGGGCAGCAGTTTGGCAGGAGGAAATAAATAAAGAGGGTTTGGTTGTTAATAAAACTTGTCAAGCTAGTATCCTTAAATGACGGTACGGGGCCCATGGAAAGGAGAGCAAAAGTCTTCAAAATTCTTCGGAATAGTGGACTTGAGGAAAAAGATGGTGTTCAAGGCAGTTTTGGGACTGCTTTTGGGGATTGTAAAAGCGCAGATAGACTTAGCCAAAGAAATATTCAAAGCAGAGTTAAGTATCAAAAGCGGGAATCTTTCGGAAGCGGAATCTATCTATAAAGAGATTTCCCGGCACTTCAGAGACAACGATGTCTTCCGAAGCAAGTATGCCGAGTTTCTTATGGCCAAGGGAGAGTATGACGAAGTAATAAAAGAATTTGGAAGAGATCAAGGAATGAAGGAGAAAATCAAGAGAGCCCACGAGTGTTTTTCCATATTGCTCAGCAACAATATACGACTTATTGCCACATTGATAAAGGAAAGCCCGTATTCAAGACCAGTTTTGGAGTCGTACATTCAAGTGTGTCTAATAGATGAAAGGTTAGAAGAAGCTGAGAAGTTTATCAAAAAGTCAAGATCTCTGTTTCCAAGTCGACCTGAGTTTATTCATCAGGAAATGCAGCTGCACTTCCTGAATGGAACGTTCTCCATTGGAATCAAAATGCTGAGTGATCTGGGATACAAAGAAATGGCATTCTCTTTTAGAAACATTCTCTCAGCCTATGAAAAAATAAAAGAAAGCAGCCTAGGTAGCAGAGACAAGTACGTGAGGCTGGACAAGTTGATGCGAAGTATTTCATTGGTGGAGAGTGACAGCAACTTTTTCCCTAGCATTTTCTCAGCACTGAAGTTGAATGTCATATTCGATCTATGCAGAAGCGGGGTTGAAGGCGGGATGCAGGGACTGTCAAATAGAGCCCGATATCTTTACTCGAAAAGGAACAATGAGGATACTATGTATCTGTATATCATGGCATTGGTTTTCGACGGAGACATTGAGGAGGCTGAGGAAAAATACAGGCTGTTTGGATTCCGAAATGCGAAGCTTAGAAATCACATTGCTTATCGGATAGAGACGGCAAAGATGGAAAGAGAAAATGCAAGAAGAGAAAGGGAAGAAAAGAGACATAGAAGACGGAGACATATGGAAGATGGCTACGGCGGAATGGCTAGAAATAAATGGGATTTCCTGGGGTACTACAAGTTACTCGGATTCAAAGAGGGTGAAAAGCCGGACGAGAAAGAGATAAAGAAAGCGTATCGGAAGACAGTCGTTGAAAACAAAAAAAAGAAGAAAACTAAACAACAGGAGAAGGAATGGGAAGAGACATTCAAGAAGGTCAACAAGGCCTTTGGTGTGCTTACGGACAAGAAGAAGCGCGAAATGTACAATAAGGGAATAGATCCTGACAATCCTCAGCAGCCATCAGGATTTGGCAGTGATCCATTCCAGAAGATGTTCAGAGGATTTGGAGACTTCGAGGTCTTTGATTTCGGTGGTGGAAGAAGAGGGGGAAGAAGAGCCACGACAACATACTTTTACTTTTGAATAAAGCCTCTAGTAAGTTCTATGCACCATCAAGAGGTGGAACACATCTTTTGGCTCAGAATACCAAAAACTCTTAAGAAGGAGATGGCAGTAATCACGATACTCAAAGAGGGAAAAACTCTTTTTGAGTGGTTCTGAAGCTAGGATTACAGGTAGTTACTGCAATATAAAATATGTCAAGGCCTAATGGATTGATGAGGCAAATTCCATATCTTTGGTGATACTGTCTATTTCCTCTTGAGACATATTATACTAGATATCGGCGAGATGGACTCTGCTAATGGATGCGGCATTTTAAAGAAAGAGAGAAGAAGTGAAGAACACCATTATAAGGTGCACAGACGGGTTCTCCGGTGGATGAAGAGTGCTGAGAAGATCAAGCGTGAGTTGGATGAGGGCTATGAGAAGAAGTGGAGAAATAGATCGATTGAAGAGATTAAGGAGCAGAAGAAGGTGCATGACATAGTGGAAGTGATGAAGCTCCTCAGGGACAAGGAGGAGTGTGACAGGTTTTTTGTCCGGACTGGCAAGTACATGAAGGGCGGGAGTGAGAGATGGAAGATGGTAGCAAATGGGATACTTGAGGAGGGAGGGGAGAAGAAGGTGAGAAAGGTCGAGGTTGGGCTTTTCAAGGGCGAGAGAGGAGGGAGTGTGGTCTACCACCTGATGTTCAGGCCCACGGAGACTGAGAGGACAGGAAGGGTCGGAGGCTCGTCGTTTGGGAAGTATGATGATGTGGATGAGATAAAGAAGGAGGAGTCCTCGGATATGTCTGGGTTTCGGTATCCTCCTGGTGTCCGGTGTGAAATGACGAGTAATGGGAATGAGTTCAGGATAGAGTACCGGAATCCCAAGAACACCAGCGAGGTTCTCCGGACTCTCACTATTCTTCGGATTCCTGAGATCTGATGACATACTATGTGTATGTGGCATATGGACATAATAAATATATGAAGTGAGTGGACGAAGTATTGCTTGACGTTATTCAGATGCTTCGGATGGCAGGGCAGGGACGTAAATAGAAGGAGTGTGGCTGGATAGAACTTACACGACATGTAGCTAGGCTGGAAAGGAGGTGGATGGGGAGGAAGGAGGATACAGATGGTGTGGGGTATCCATTGAAGGCAGTAGGCTGTGTGTATGCAAGGTCCCGGGCTACCATTTATTCGTCAAGTCGTTGGAAGGTGCTTGGCTTGGGAACCAGGGGAAATGGTTGCCGAAAATGAGCAGGCACTCATAGAGGATGGAAAAGTAAACAAACATGGAAAGGCCAAAGATAAGGACAAAGGCGGCTATCCTCCAGGCTGGAGCAGGCGCAGGGTCCCTTCTGGGCATGGAGCTGCTCTTCCGGAGCAACTTTGCCAGGACAAGGACGAGGGAGCTGATGCAGATGTAGGGGAAGAAGCGCCAGGACTCGTCCACATTCAGCGTTAGGCCTGCTGCAAGGAGTGACACCATCAGAAGGTCAATGAGAATGTCGACAGAGGAGTCTGTGAATCCGATTGACCCTGGGGTAAGGGCGCAGGAGGTGGATAGCAGGTGGGCAGGCAGTACGAGCAGGGAGGGGAGGAGGGTGGAGCAGACGGCCACAACCTCATCGCTGTTCCATTCTGTAGTGGTGAATGCAGCAATCGAGAGGATGGAGATGGCAGAAAATGCAAGGAGAGAGGCATCCAGGAGCAGATAGAGTGTTGCATATAATGCAGGTCGAGGCGTGCAGGAAGACTCGGGGTTGCCGAGGAAGAGGAGAGGGAATCGGACCGCCGAGTACAGGCAGGGAGGGAGTATTGCAATGAGCTTGAGAAAGGGATTTTGGTCGAATTGGCCTTTCTCCGGGATGTAGTACATGAGGACAGGAAGTGCAATAGATGTGTATGGAAAAAGGATACAGACAGGCAAGATTGTGGGGGGAGGGTGTGCTGGTGCATCCCTCTCCTTGGACGGCGTGGCAGTCAAATGAGACCTCTGGACGTCTATGATACCCATGAAGGGTCAGGGGATCGACGTATATTGGGTGGGGGTACAGCAGATGGCGGCTGCAAGGACCAATGGTGGGCGAGTGTTCCTGGCGTTGGTTAGACGCCTTGTTTCGTGTGTGCGGAGGCTTGGGGGAGTTCTTCCCGGGCAATCTCGCCTGAATGAAACAAGCAGGGCGATGGGTGGGGACAGTAGCTTCCAGGGAGATAGAAGAGCATGGCCACCGACACGGCGGTAGTAGCGGGCCGGGAGTGGGATAGGTGGAGCCGTCAGTGTCAGCGGGCAGGATTCGGGTTGTGGAAAGGCCGTGATAGGTAAGCAGCAGGATACGTGTTTATGGTCAATTGGTTGGGTGTGGGGACAAGGCGTGGTCTGTGGGCCATGTGTGCTGACGAGGGCTTTATGGGGCCGGGCAGTTGTGTGCAGCCTTGTGCGGGAGCGATGGCGGGGGGAGCTGCGGCAGGCAGGATGCTCTGTAGGTGGATGGAATGGGCTAGTTTGAGAAGGTTCTGCGGTGAAGAGGTAAGGAGCAAAAGGACATTATGCCTTGGAGGAAATGACCTGTGCAGGGCAGCAAGCACCGCTGAGAGACATCACGACGTCATATGAAAAGGAGATGGAGGCGACTAAGCAGGAGGAAAGATCTGGCCCATGAGGCGGATCTATGCAGCATGGACGCTAGTTGCAGCGGCTGGTGTGATGGACTGCTCCCCACGATTGGAGAAGGCTGCCGCCTTTACACTCGGGCCAGATAGCCAGGTGATAGTATTCCCGTTTATGTTCCAGGGATACAATATTGCTGTGCTACCGACAACGAAGTACGGCGACTTGAAGGGAAATGCCAGGAGACGTGTTGCATCCTTTTTAGAACACAATATTTCTCACGCGGTGTGGTATTTTGTGGTTGGCGGGATAGCATACAAGGATGATCGATCTGAGAGGCTGTTTAGTGAAATGATGGACGGGTACTTGAAGAAGATATCTGCAGGTGCATCAAAGGTGTACAAGGGAGGCCGCAAGATGTTTAGCGAGTCGTTGGAAACAGTGCATGAAATGATATTTGAATGCAACAAAGCGGGAGATGGTCATGTAGTGAAGTATGGAAAAAGTATCATAAACAGACTTAGCGACATGATAGAAAATGCACTTGGTGAAGTGTCTGCAGAAGAGAAAAGGAAGTATCGAAGGTTTTGGAGTAGGGTTAAGGAACGCGCAGGGTTTCTTTATAGTACGGAAAGATTGAGGCGGGTAGTTGAGGCAGAGAAGATAGTGTGCAATGCATGCAAGGAGATCTGCCTTGAGTTGGAAGAGGAGGAGCTGATGGGGCTGTTGGCAGAGGGAAGCGTGAGAAAGGCTTTGAAGGCAAAGGTTGATGAAGATGAGATTAGCCGCGGTCTATACTTAGAATGTACTGTTGTTAACACTAGTCTGTTATTAGATGCACACAGAGAGCATGGAGGAGATGTTACAAGGGAGTTAGTCAAGCAGATGCTGCTGGGGAAGAAGGGAGAGGAGATAGACAGGAGATATATCAACAAGGTTGCGAATGTAGTCAAGGAAAGGCAGAGAAGTGAGATGGAGAAGAGGGATCGGGAGCAGGATCCGGAGAGGAGAAGACTAAGAGCAAGAAGAGTGGGGAGTCTCTGAGGGAGGGGGAGGCGAGTGAGGAAGCGGAGATGCCGTTCGTGGAGGTTGGAGGAGCACGCAGGAAGACAGGCAAGAAAAGCAGGGGTGGCCAGAAGCGCTTCAGGATCCACAGAAGGGTTCTTCGGTGGAGAGCCCAGAGAAGATCAAGGAGGAGTGGGACAGGGGAGGCGAGGAGAGGTGGAAGGTCTCTTGAAGAGATCAGGAGCAGAAGGTGTTCCATGACATAGCGGGTGTGCTGGAACTTCTCAAGAGCCCAGATGCAGACAGGCTCTTCATGGATGCAGGAGATTACACCAAGGGCGGGAGTTCTCGAGGCCGTCTGGTGGTGGGGTTCTTGAGAGCGGAGGATGGCAGGAGTGGTGGAGGTTGGGATGTTCAAGGACTCTCCTAGTGGGTGCCCAATTGTGTACCACCTGATGTTCCGGGTTACAGGAATAGAGGGGATGGGGGATGCTGTGAGATGGGGGGCAATCTTGGTGAGACGAGCGACGTTGAGAAGATAGATGAGGATAAGGAATACCAGGATGCGGCAAGTTTGAGTATCCTCTGGGAGTAAGGTTTGAAAGGTGAAGGAGACAGGATCATTCCAGATAGTGTGGAGGAATCCTTTGAACACCTTGGTTCTCCGGCGTCTCAGGATTCAGGGCAGGCCATGGATGATCTGAGTGGAGTGATGTGTTGATGAATAAAACAAATGGTATTATGGTTGTGCTCTTGTTCTCTACTGACATGGTTTGGGTTATGTGGGGATCTCCTGGATGTGTGTGTGTGTTTATGTATGTTGACTGAAGAGAGCAGAGCGATCTGGTGGGTGGGTGTTAGGGATGGTCTGTGTGGCCTAAGAGCGTGTCGATAGATGGAGTGGAGAACTGTTTATTAATCAGGCCTTAGTGAAAGGAAAGACTCTCTTAGCTTGTGAAGTAAGCCAAAGTAACCATTTAGGATGGCAATGGGTGTCCACATCATGAATGCGTAGATAAGAGCAGCAGAGGTGAGGATGAGGACAAGGATGGCGACTCTCCATGGGGCAGTAGGCGGAGCACTCTTTTCGGATGGGCAATACCTGTCGTTGAGCAACCGTGCCAGGATGAGTATGGGGAATGGGACTGCAGAGAGAAGACGGTACTCGGGTTCTTTACATACGAGCACAAGACTTACTAGAGGGCATAGTAGGATCAGGATGTCGATAAGGACGTTGATGCCAGTATCTGTGAAGGCGGTTTGTCCTGGAACAAGGCGGCAGGAGGTGGAGAGGAGATAGGTGGGTGGGATGAAGAGAGAGGGAAGGACGATAGAAAAGATGAGTGAATCATCACCTTTCCATTCATTGATGGGGAGTGCAGTGATTGAAAGGATGGAGATGGCGGCGAATGCAAGAAATAGGAGATTGAGGGTGTAGTATGGTGTGGTGTGGAGTAGTATGGCATACTGTACCGCTGAGTATGAAAAGGGGAGGAGTATTGTGATGAACCTGAGGAGAAGACTCTTTTTAAAACTGTCTTCGTCGGAGATGAAGTACATGATGGCAGGGAATACAATTGAGACGAATGGAGCAATGCCGAGGATCTTCCTCCAGTGTCGCAGGTTTTCGGTGTGTTGCTTGTCAGTTCTGTGTATCTCTGGAACGTGTGTGATGTTCATGTGGGGTAGAGAAGAAGTATGGATGAAATGGATATGCTGATATGATTGGGTGTGTGAGAATTAGTAGTAGGGACTTCGTTGTGAGTAGGATATGGCGTGTATTGTTGGGGGGACTGGGTTTGATGGCGGGGCTAGGGTCTGGGTGGTCTGTAGAGCTGGAAATGTTATGGGGAGAGAGGACTGGATGAGGCAGAGGCTCTAGGATTGTGGGTTGTATGAGGGGCGGTGTCTTTCTCTTGTTCGCTCCCCTGGGATTGTCGAGAAGGTGGAGCTTCTTTCGGTGGGGATGTCGCGGAGAGTGCAGTGCCGTGGGGAGTGCTTCGGAGAGGGGATGCGGAGCGGATGGCCAACACACGGGTTAGGAGCTTTGAGTTTGCAGCTCTGGCGGCGTGCTGGGTGCTTTGCGGTGCGATGTGCCCGGTTACTCGCTGCCTGGGAGGCGGGGGTCTTGGGCGGTATGTCTGGTGTGTGGACGACTTTGGAAACTGCAAGACAACGGTTCTCGCAGAGGATGTGCAGGGTTTCTCGGGAGAAGGTGCGAGGTGTGCGGGAAGGCGCTTGGGATCTGCGGAAGGCTGTCGGATGTTCGGCAGGGGTCGGCGGCTCTGTTGCTGGAAGCTCTGGATTGCAGCAGGCGCTTTGTGGGGATTGTGGTGAAGGGCGCAAATGCATCTCGGGAGCTGGGGGTAGGGCGTGGGGGGCTTCCTGTGCTTTGCAAGGGCGTGGGGCGGGACCTCGGGAAGTAGGGCAGGCGGTGCAGTGCTGTCTATCCAGAGAGTGGCAGGGGCGGGCTTTGGACTCTCGGTGGGGTCCCGGATGATGGATGAGGTGTGTTTCCAATGGAAGCGAGGTCTTAATTGCGTCTATGGATAGAATTGGTTGGTGAGGTTAGGTGTCTCTCTGTCGGAATGGCTGGAGACTGCGGGGTGTGCAGGTATGTCCTTCCTGGCAAGGAGCTTGAGGTGGGTGAGATTCTTGATGGCTGATGGGAGGGCCCGGCGATTGGGATAGAGAGGCTGTGCGGCGGTGGAGGCAGCCGATCAAGACGGAAAAGGGCGATGCGGAGTATTTCTGTGGGTTTGGACAGGGAGGAGAGTGGAAGTGATGGCCTTTGCTTGGGGTTGGTTGTCCTTGCGACTCTCGCAGCGGGCTTTGTGGCAGGCTCTGATGTGTTGAGGTGCTGGGGATTTGGTCCTGCGACTGGGGATGTGTGTCTTTGGGTTGAGGCAGGGTTCTGGCGATGTCCGCTCCCTGGCGGAGGGGCGGATGGACAAGGGCCTGGCTTTTGGGATGCGGCTCTGAGGGAAGCTCGGATGTTCTGCAGGAGTTGTGTGGGACTCCGGATGATTGGATGGAGAAGATGATGGCGGAGGCTTTGCGGGAGAGGGGATGAGAGCATTCGTTATGGTTGATTTATAGGATGAGGAGAGGCCGGCTAGAGGGTTGCTAGCTGTTTTGGAGGATGTGGCTGTGCTTGTTGGGCTGTCTGGGCACCTTTTGTGGGGCTTCCGTGGAGTCTGCCTGTGTGTCGGATGTTCCGAGCTCGGATGTGGAGGTTTTGGTGGAGGAGGGCAGTGGAGATGGGGCGCTGGAGCGGGGTGTGTGAGTGGATGTGCGGAGATTGTGGTTGATAAGTGTTTGCTGGGATGGTGCTTGGCCTTGATGTTAGGAGTGGCAGGCCTCTTTTCTCTCTCTGGGTGTTCTGGCTAAGGAGGGAGGAAGGGATAGTTATGGGAGTGTGATGCTGTGTAGAAGTTTGTGGTTTGGGGGACTCTGTTTCTGTGTGTTTGGTGTTTGGTTCTGGATTGGCTTCGTGTGTGTGGCATCCTTCTGTGTGGTTCTTCTTCTTCTTCTTTGGGGGAGGCGTGCCTTTGGTTGGGGGCTGGAGGAATGGGTTGCCTGGCTTTGGACGGCTAGTGGCAGCGACTGACGGTGGTTGTTTGAATGTGCCGCAGTTGTTTGTACGGGGCGGTTGGCATCTAAGACGAGCGCTGGACTCGGATCGGAAGTCTGGATGATCTGAAGGCATGGGTGCTAGATGGGATGCAGGGCGTGGCATGGGGGCTGTTGGAGAAGCTGGCGGGGCTGGACCGGCTTCGGATTGGTTGGGGGTGTTTTGGCTTGGCAGTCTCGGGGAGTTGGATGGGCGCGGCCATCGATCGGAGACGTGCAAGGACTGCTGCCCAGCACACGGATGCTCAAGGGGGATGCTAGATGCTCAAGAGGGGATATTCACATGTCTTTAATCGGGCAAGCAGGCAGGCGCTGGGGGACGTGTGTTCAGCCGACTATGAGCAGCAGTGGCAGTCGTATCGCCGGAGCCTCTTGTGCAGTCATGGAGTGGAGTAGTCGCGGGCTGATTGATGGGCATTCGGCAGGGCGGTGGGCATTCGGCAGGGCGGTGGGCACGGTCATCAAATAGCTCGGTGCAGTCTCCGGATCTGGTGCGTGATGGCGCGGCGAGTACGGTGCAGTGTTTGATCCTGTGTTCGCCCTGGTTTCGTCGTTGGTTAGCAAGGTGAAGGAAAGCACGGATGGCAGTGAGCATGGAGCATGGGAGTCCACGCAGTCTTATGAGGGGAGAGGGCCCTTCCGAGATTGGCAGTCCTTTCGTTCGGGCGGACGGGTTCTTCTCTGCTTCGTGCAGCATGCTCTGCTTCGTGCAGCATCCGGCTTAGTTCATCGTTCATCGAATGCAGCAGAAAAGGCCTCGATTCCTTTGAAGATCATCGACGGCTTGGGCACATGATGTCCTGAGGGACTTGAGCTTTTGGGCAGGGAGTCGAAGGCGGTGGTGGCATCCCGAAGAATCTCGTGGGGTTGCGCTCTCTGGGGTTCTGGGACGTTTGGCGATCGGCTTTTCTGGACGGCTCGCCTGACTGTCTCTGAAGAGAGGCGTATCAATGCCATGGGGAAGGTAGAGGGCTTGAGGCTTATTTCGTGTATGCACCGATGAAGGTGTTCCAGGTCCGGCTGGCTTCGAGGCAGTCGAACTGCACCTCGCTCGGGGCCAAGAGACCAAGCTCGGGGCCAAGAGACCAAGGATGGCAAGCCTCTGGGGGATCTCGACCTCCTGGACCTCTTGGTCCGGGCCTTCGGTGACATGGGGCAGGGCGCTCCGAAGGGCGTGTTTGAACGTTTTGAGTGGCCTTGGATAGTCGTCGAGAGGGCATTGGCCGCTCGGAAGCAGCAGGAAAAGTCTGTGGCATCTTGTTTAGAAGAGGGGCGTGAAGTGGACGACAGCCTCCTCTAGGGCGTCGAGGCACTGGTGGCAGCATCGACAGCAGCAGTTCGTTGGGGCTTGGGTTCGTTTGTCTCCAGGCCGTTTCTGATACCGTCGAGTAGGTTCTTGTCTTGCAAGGGATGATGGCGGACGATTCTTTGCTTGATCTCCTATAGCATCGGTGATAGGCGGCCCTGTGGCGTCCCATGGTGCTCCTCCTGTGCAAAGGCCCTTTCGCGATAGTTGAGGTCAACTTTGCGAGCGGTGTTTTGACACGGTTGTGTTGGATCTGTGGGCGGGATGTGTGTTGGCGATCCTTGCACATATGGGTTATGAATGGGGGGATTGGCGGCAGGATCTCGGGGCAGAAATGTGCCTGGGTGCGGGGGGGATTGTGGAGGGGGAACGGGTCTTCTGATGGGCTGAGAGGATTCGGTTGTCTGTCGTAGGCTTTGTAGGTTGCCGGATGTGATTGTGGGAGACTGTTGATTGTGGCGACATCGGGGGATCTTTTGGCGTGGCTGTGGCAGACACAGGGGCTCTGAGATGCCGACTGATTGGGTAAGGAGAGGGCTGTGAGGTGGGATGGATGGCACTGACTGTGGGTGGTGGAAGTGCTGGATGCCGGAGCCCGAAAGGATTCTCGGTGTATCGGGGGCTCTGAGAAGGAAGCAGAGTTTCTGTCTGTTTGTCTTAAAGGGGATGTGTCATATTACAGGAGTGTGGGCAGGTGAAGAAGGGTGGCAAGGATAGGGAGTGTGGGATTGTTGTTGGAGGTGTTGGGCGGATGTGGGTGTCTGTGGGCTGGAATATATATGATGTACTTCTGATGTGTCTTGATTTTGGGGGGTTTTAGGGAAGAATGGGGTCTACTTGCTTGCTTACCTACTTACTTACCTACTTATTTATTTATCTATTTATCTATCTATCTATCTATCAGGGAGTCTCTAGATGTATCGAGGATGGCTCTAGATGTATCGAGGACATACATTAATGGGGGCGGGAGGTTTAGGAGGGGCTGAAGATGGGGGATGGTTTCGGGGGAAGATGTGGAATGGATCAAGGAGATGTGTCTTGATTTGAGCTCTTCGGAATCTGGCTCGATTTGAGTCTTCGGATCTGGGGATTGGGGGCTCTGGAGTATGAAAAGTTTGTAGAGGAATGGTGATGAATTGAGGAATCGGATGGATGTGTGTACTATTACAGGCATGACGGCTCGGGGGAGGTTACGAGTTAGTCGATCAAGCAGATGGTGTTGGGTTCAAGGGGGCGGAATGTATATGGCGACAAGGTTGGGGTGTATCCAAAGGGAGATGTGTGAAGGAGCTGTTTCGGGGCTCTGGGAGGAGGGAGAGGATGGCGGAACACGGACGCAGATGGGTAAGAGAGCAAGGGAGGTGGGGCTTGAAGAAGGGGTTCTTCTCCTGTGGAGGACCCTGGATCTCGGGGGAGTTGGAGGTCGGAAGCTCGGATCTGAAGGTCAGTCTCTTTCTGAGAACTCGGAGCAGAGGAGTTTGATGAGATGGGGGTGTGGAGGAAGTTCTGAGAGGAGATAGAGACGGGGTGGTTTTTATGGATGTGTGAGTTCTCTGGGGGGTTGTCTTGTGGGGTTCCTGAGAATGGAAGGAGGAGAATGGCGGGAGTGTTGGAGGGAGACGTTGGAGGGAGGCATGGATGTGGAGTTGTGGGACCTTCTGTCTGATTGGACAAGGAGCGGAACAAGGATGGCGGTGGGGGGACGGTATGAGGTCATAGGATATGGACAAGAGATGGGTGTTCTTCGGATTAGGATGGGGGTTTGTGGATTGTGTGTTGTAAGGTTTGAACTGTGAAGGAGGATGGATTTGAGATGGTGTGCCTGAATGGTTTGAACAGCTCGGATCTCGTGGGGGTCTCCGTCTTCAGGGCAGGGCATGGATGATCTGGGGGGTGATGAATAAAACGAATGGGATTATGGTTGTGCTCTTGTTTTCTACTGGGATGGTTTGGGTTATGTGGGGGATTTTGTGGATGTGAGTGTGTGGGGCTCTCTGTGTTGGGGGAGTTGGGTGGGGAGGGCGATGTGGTGGGTGGTTGGGGCAGGGATGGTGTTGGGATGAGGGGGTTGAGAGGTGTTTATTGATTTTGGGGGGGGGGGTGGATGTGGAGACTCTCTTAGGTTGTGGAGTAAGGCGAAGTAACCATTTAGGATGGCGGAGGTAGGATGGCGGAGGGCAGATGGTGAATGGGTAGGAGCGGCGGAGATGAGGAGAGGGATGGGGACTCTGTCTGGGGCAGTAGGGAGCTCTTTTCGGATGGGCTGTGCTTCTCCCCTCGCGATTGTGGCAGGATGAATACAGTATGATTGGTTTGCAATAACAATACTTGGATTCTTCGATGGAATGATAAGTACTAAACTTACTAGAGGGCATGGGATGGATTGGGATGGATTGGGATGTCGATAAGGGCGTTGATACGGGTGTCTGTTCGGGCGGTTTGTTGCGGAGAAGGTGTTGCGGAGAAGGTGTTGCGGAGAAGGTGTTGTGGAGAAGGTGTTGCGGAGAAGGTGTTGTGGAGAAGGTGTTGTGGAGAAGGTGTTGCGGAGAAGGTGGGATGAAGAGAGAGGGAGGACGATAGAAAAGATGAGTGAATGATCACGCTTTGATTCATTGATGGGGAGTGTAGTGATTGAAAGGATTGAGATGGCGGGGAATGGAAGAAGCAGGGGATTTCGGGAGTAGGATAGTGTGGTGTGTTTGGATGGTGTTGGTGTGTGATTGTGTGTGTGTGGCGGAGATTAGTGGATGGTTATTGGAAGCAGGATTTATGATTCTGGGGAGCAGCAGTGATGTTGTGACGGTGAGGTTGTGTTAGGATGGGAGATGGAGTTGTGGGGGTTGTTGTGGGATAGGGAGCTGTGTGTTGTGTGTGAGCAGCGTGGGGTTGTGGGAGTGGTTGGGTCTCGGCTTCTGTTTCTTTGTTTCTCTTTGTGTGTGTGTTGTTCTCTCTCTGTTTGGATGGAAGGGATTTTTCGGTTTGCAGTTGTCTTGAGTGTGTGTGGGGGGGGGGTTGTGAAGGGAGTTGTGTGGGGAGGTTTATTTACGATAGGGGGATTTTGAAGTGTGTGTTGCTCTGCTGTGTGTTTGTCTGGGATTTGGGCGTAGTGTGTTGTTTGAAGGTCGGGTATTCAGTCAGGGGCTCGCTGTGTGTGGTGTGTGGTGTGTGGTGTGTTCTGGATTGTCAGGAGGGGGGAGAGATGGTTGGCTGGAGGGTGTATTGGGGACTGTTAGGGGCTCGTTTGGGGGTAGTTTGTGATTGGGATGGAGTGGGGACTTAGAGTGTGGGCTGTGTGGGATGGGACGCAAGGATGAGTGGAGGGTGTGGAGGGGGATAGGGAGCTGTGTTGTTTGTTTGTTTGTTTGTTTGGAGTGTGTTTTTGTTGTTGTGAGAGTTCTGGCTTGTTGTTTGTTTTGTGTGTGTGATTGGTGTTGTGTGAGATTTAGGGGCTTGTTTGATTGATTGATTGATTGATTGGTGTTAGGGGTGTTTATTGGTGTGTTCGGATGGGGGGAGAATGGTTTGGAGGGTGTGTGTGTGTGGGGAGGGGCTGTTGGGTCTGTTCTGTTTGGACTAGGGGCTGTTGGGTCTGTTCTGTTTGGACTAGGGGATGTTGTGTGTTTGAGTGTTGAGTGCTCGGGGGAATTGTGGTCAGTGGTGTTGGGGGAGAGGGAGGGGATAAAATGTGAGTGTGGGGGGCCTTGATTGTGTGTGTCTCTGCTGAGAGGAGTGAGTGTTGTGTGTGGGGTTGATGGATGATTGGCTGGTTTGGGGGGTGCCGTTTGCGGGGGGAGTGGTGTTGTGTGTTTTTTGATTGATGGTTAGTGATTGTGTGTGTGTGGGGCATCAGGTTGATTCTGCCTGACGTGGATGCTATTCTCTGGGGCTAAGCCATGCATGCTTGTGAACTCTTTGTGGGGGATTAGCGGACGGCTCAGTGATAGCACGATGATTTGTTTGCGGGATGAGCAGTAGCTGCGGGAAACTGCAGATAGTGGTCTGCCCCTGTGGGGGTTGGCAAGTAAGTTGTGGGCCTATCAGCTGGTAGTTAGGGTAATGGCCTAACTAGGCGCAGACGGGATACGGGGGATCAGGGTTTGGTTCCGGAGAGGGAGCCTGAGAGATGGCTACTACGTCCAAGGATGGCAGCAGGCGCGAAACTTGCCTAATCCTTTGGGGAGGCGGTTATGAGAAGTGATGTGTGTGCGAGTGCAAAGGGGTCGCATGTGATTGGAGGGCAAGTCGGGTGCCAGCAGCCGCGGTAATACCTGCTCCAATAGTGTCTATGGTGGATGCTGCAGTTAAAATGTCCGTAGTCTGTTGTGTATGTCTTTGTGTGTGATGTTTGTGGTTGTGTGTGGATGTAGTGATGTGTGTGGCAGAGGACGAGGGGCACTGGATAGTTGGGCGAGAGGTGAAATGCGAAGACCCTGACTGGACGAGCGGAAGCGAAGGCTGTGCTCTTGGACTAATGTTGCGATGAAGGACGAAGGCTAGAGGATCGAAATCGATTAGATACCGTTTTAGTTCTAGCAGTAAACGATGCCGACTGGACGGGACAGTGTGTGTTGTCCATGAGAAATCTTGAGTATGCGGGTTCTGGGGATAGTATGCTCGCAAGAGTGAAACTTGAAGAGATTGACGGAAGGACACCACAAGGAGTGGAGTGTGCGGCTTAATTTGACTCAACGCGGGGCAACTTACCGGCTCTGAAGGATGCCTGTGAGTGCATGGCATGAGGCATGCGGCGGTGGTGCATGGCCGTTTTAAATGGATGGCGTGAGCTTTGTCTTAAGTTGCGTAAGATGTGAGACCCTTTGACGGTGTTCTACGGAGCAAGGAGGGGATGGAAGAGAACAGGTCCGTTATGCCCTGAGATGAGGCGGGCTGCACGCGCACTACGATAGATGGCGCTTCTGCCTGCTGTGAGGGATGAAGCTGTGTAAGGGGCTTCTGAACGTGGAATTCCTAGTAATAGCGGCTGACGAAGCTGCTTTGAATGTGTCCCTGTCCTTTGTACACACCGCCCGTCGCTATCTAAGATGACGCACTGGACGAAGATCGGAAGGTCTGAGTCCTGAGTGTTAGATAAGATATAAGTCGTAACATGGCTGCTGTTGGAGAACCAGCAGCAGGATCAGTATGTTGTTGTGTTTTGATGGATGTTTGTTTGTTTGTGGTTTCTCTGTTCACGGGATTGATTGGCATTAGCGGCGATGAAGGACGTGCAGGAGGACGATATGCGTTGTTGTTGTGACGGTGTCTGAATTGTGTGCGGTGTGCACGGGGACCCCTTGGACTTAAGCATATCAGTAAAGGGAGGAGAAGAAACCAAATGGGATTGCCTGAGTAGCGGCGAGTGAAATGGCATGAGCCTGTGTGGTAACTGCGTTTGGCGGGTTGTGTTTGTGGCAGCAGCGGCGAGTGCGATTGAATTCGGATGCGGAGAGGGCGATGTGCCTGTAGGCGCGGCGGCTTTTTTTGTGAGTAGTGTTGCTTGGTAGTGCAGCGCGAATGCGGTGGTGGATGCACCGAAGGCTAAATATGGCTGATGACCGATAGCGGATAAGTAGAGTGATTGAAGTGTGAAAAGGAGGATGATGAGAAATGAAAGTGAATGGAGTGAATGGGGGATGTTCCCGCCCGTCTTGAAACACGGACCAAGGAGACGACGGCAGGATTGTTTTCCGAGAGGGGATGGATGCTGCGGTCGGACCCGAAAGATGGTGAGCTATGTGTGTGTTGATTGAAGGGATGCGAAAGTGTTCTGGAGGATCTAAGCCGTTCTGACGTGCAACTCGATGGCATGACATGTGCATAGGGGCGAAAGACCAAACGAACCATCTGGTAGCTGGTTCCCTCTGAAATGTCTCTCAGGACAGCGGCGACGGGGAGTGTAAGATGTTGTAAAGCACTAATGCGCTTGCGTTAAACTTTGAAGATGTCTTTTAAGTGTGTTGCCAGTGGGCATACTGTGGTAAGCATGGTGTGCGAGAAGGGATGAACCTTTAAGCGGGCTAAGGAGTCTTATGCAAGGTGAGTGAATCCGGCGGCCTGATTTTGACAGTTGGACGGTGGCCATGGAGGTTGGCATCCGCTAAGAAACGTGTTGCAACGTACCTACCGAATTGGGCGGCGGAGAAAATGGAAGGGATTGAATTGCATTCCGATGCCTGCGGGGGGAGTATCTGAGTAAGGGGGCGGTATCGTTCTGCTGAAGGTCCTGCGTGAGCGGGGGTGGAGGGGCGATATGTGCAGATCTTGGTAGCAGTAACAAGGAAATGATTTGCGCTGTGGACGAGGGTTCCCTGTGTGGCAGGGGTGAATCGACTGTGGATACGGAGGTGCATTGATAGTTGTGTGTATTGCGGCTGGGAGGCGACTTGGCTGTGACGGATGGGGGCGGCCCTGTCCAGGATAGCAGAACTGGATGCTGTCTGCTGCGGATTGTTATGATGCGAAGCAGCGATTGTGGGCGAGCCTGTTCCGATGAAAAAGAGGCTGCTTTGTCGTACCTAGACCGCATCTGGTGTCCACTGTTTGCCGCGGAAGTGTTTTGTGCAAGGGCCGTAAGGGAAGTCGGCAAGATTGATGTGTAACTTCGGGAGAAGGATTGGCTCTAGCGTGCTAGAACTGTTTGTTGTGGGGAATCTGACTGTTTACTAAAAACATAGCTTTGTGTGTGGACGCAAAGTGAATTCTGCCCAGTGCACTTTTAGTTACGGCCTGTGTGGGCTAAGCGAGTGTAAACGGCGGGAGTAACTATGACTCTCTTAAGGTAGCCAAATGCCTCGTCATGTAATTAGTGACGCGCATGAATGGAGCAACGAGATTCCCACTGTCCCTACGGCCTGTCTTGTGAACCTACAGCCAAGGGAACGGGCTTGGGCTGATCAGCGGGGAAAGAAGACCCTGTTGAGCTTGACTCTAGCATGTGTGAAGTGCTGGGTGTGGGCATGCAGCGAGGTGGGGATGAGTGCGATACCACTATGTCTTCCGCCCAGTGCTTTGTGGATGGATGTGGGGAGTTTGGCTGGGGCGGCACGACTGCTAAAGACTAACGCAGACGTCCTAAGGCGGGCTCAGCGGGGAAGGAAACCACGCGTGGAGCACAAGGGCACAAGCCTGCTTGAGACTGTTCCTATTGCGGGACTGTTTGGGGGAAACCCTGGCCTAGAGATCCCATGTCCTATTGTGCGTGGGACATGGGTGACAGAAAAGTTACCACAGGGATAACTGGCTTGTAGCAGCCGAGCGACCATAGCGACGCTGCTTTTTGATTCTTCGATGTCGGCTCTTCCTATCATCGCGAAGCAGAGATTGCGAAGTGTTGGATTGTTCACCCACCAACAGGGAACGTGAGCTGGGTTTAGAC